TCAAAGGTCAATTTAACCGTGAGCGAAAGACATCAAGAGCAGCTCCACGCACCTGTGCCTGTGTGAAGCGGATTGTAGATGAGAGCCTGACCACTGGGTCCTATTCAGACCTTTGGGTGTAGGCAAAATCAAGGGAGGCAAGATCAATTCCCGGGGATCTTTGGAAGCTGGATAAAGCTGGGCACCCCTACCTTTTTCCTTAACTTTTCTCTGTCCACCATTTCTTCACCCGCAACATTCGAATCAATCCATCATCGCCACTTGTGGACTTGAACTCCAAGAAGAATGAGCTATCGGGACCGAGACTACGAAAGATCTTCGCCCGCTTTGTCGGGAGCCGGCGGCGACTACCGTACTTACTCACGCACATGAAATCATTTTTTTGGCGGATGGACATTCACCCCCCCCCTCTGCCATCGCACCAGAAATGGAGGTGCAGGAGGACACGGTCTACGTGTCTGGTCTGCCGCCTGAGACCACTGTGGATAATCTGGGCGAGCTGTTCGGATCCATCGGCATCATCAAGGTTTCTATTCTTATTACATAAGCGCTCAGCGCGGCACCCCAGTGTCCCTCACGCCCCTTCTTCTTGATGCGGCAATCCATCCACAACTACTGTGTGGCCGATCAGATCGACAAGAAGAAGCGACCCAACGAGAAGAAGATTTACGTCTACACCGACAAGGCTACGGGCAAGCCCAAGGGCGATGCCACCGTGACGTATGACGATCCGGGTACGGGCCACGCACTACTCAATTCCTGAAGAAAAATGCAACGGCACACGTCTTGATGTTCTGTTCTAATCGATTATGTGCAGAGGCGGCCAAGGCTGCGATCAACTGGTTCAACAACACCGAGTTCATGGGTTCCAAGATCAAGGTCGAGATTGCCCAGAGGAAGGTACGCCGAACCACTCCGCACGCCACCCACTCGCCCCTGCAGCACCCGCTGCCTTGCGTGGCCCTCACCACTCAACGTCGACGTCTGCGCCCTGTTGTGCCCGCTACCCTGCGCTGGTCGGCAGGTCGCTACGGAGGTGCTCGCGCGCCGGGGAAGAATGAACAGCGGATTCGGGCGCGGCGGCGGACGTGGCGGCGGCCGCGGGAGAGGAAGAGACAGGGACGAAGATGACGGCGGCTATGGCGGCGGTGGATACGGCGATGGTATGGCTCCCCATCCATTTATTTCTGACGCTTGGCTGCTCTCTCAGGTGTGCTGGCTGGCTGGCTCTTACTAAGACTCGACGACCCTCGTCGTCATCGTCTCACTCTTGCAGCGGGCGGCGATGCTTACGGCGGCGGCTACAACTACGGTGCCGAAGGCGGCGGCGGCGGCGGTGGACGCGGCGGTCCTCCGCAAGCGCGCGAGGGCGACTGGGCGTGCCCCGACCCCGGGTACCTTAATCCCGTCCCTCCCCTCGCGTTCAGTGTGTCGTGTGTTCTTCTCTTACACACCCGGTGCGTCGACTGTGCAGATGCGGCAACGTGAACTGGGCGCGGCGTTCGACGTGCAACAAATGCAACACGCCCAAGCCTGGCGGCGGCGGCGGCGGCGGCGGCGGCTATGGAGGCCGAGGCGACCGCGACAGCGGCTACGGCGGAAGGGACGGTGGCAGGGACAGCCGAGGCGGCGGCTACGGCGGCAGGGACGGCGGAAGAGACAGCCGAGGCGGCGGCAGGTACGACGATGCCGATGACAGGGGCTACGGCAAGCAGACCTCTTCCTACTCCTCGAGCAGAAGGGACAACCGAGACAGGCCCTACTAAACATCCACCCTTTCATCCCTCTCTTTTGGGCTACTTCCTTCTTCACCTTCATCAAGAAAACTTTGCTGCACAACAAACCGAGGTCCTCAGTCGCGTTCCCCTCGTTTGTGTGTTGTCGTTACTTTGGATGACGCCAGTTCCCAGCAGGAGCCTCCACGCCTGCCATCCGCACGCGGCGTCCACAAGTTCAGCGTGTCGTGTGTCGTGTGACTTGATACCTATCTACACAGATTAAAGAGAAAGCCTCGTGTCCTTCTCACCATCCTTCTCGATCCCTCTGTTCTCCTTGTTCTTCTTCCTCGCAACATCTCTGTTAATGAGGGAGCATTGATATCAGTTGACGACCATTGCGACGAGTACTGCTTGAAGCAGAGGAAGGAAGGAGGCGTTGGACCTGTCCGGGGAGAAGCTCGGCGATGATAGCCTTGAGAGCTGCGTACTCGCACGCTTGCGCTGCCTTTAGCATGCGCTGCCACACGGCGGGCTTAAGATGATGAGCCCAGAACGTGCGCAGCGTCTTGGCGTCCTCCTCGGCCTGGATCTCGCGGAAGGTCATCGTGTTGGTGCTGTGGAAGACTGTCCGCACCACCATCTCCAGGTCGTGCGAGAACGCCGGCTTGTACTGATGACCTCTCTCCCAGCTGTCGAGTATTTCGTCGGGCGCGTGTTGGAGGGCTCCGTCGAAGTCTGCCAGCACGCCAGCCGCCGCGGCCGAGCCCCAATCGTTGAGGAAAACCTACGATGTGGTCATCGTGGGGACATTGTAGTGTTGGTCAGCTATGAGGACTGCCAAGCGCCCAACACCACCAACTTCAAGGAAGGGAGTGTACTTGAGTGGTTCCCTTGATTCGAAAGAAGTTGTTCAAGCGGACGTCGCGGTGGACCAGGCCACATTTCCTGTGGGCTTGCTCGAGGATGTTGATGAGCTGCACAAAGTCATCCAGATTGGCGAGCGCATCCTGGCGAGTGAAAAGTGCATTAAAGTTAGCATCGCTAAGCGCAGTTGTATGCTGTTGGTGGTTGCCAGGCCATGATAGTACCATGGAGTGAACTGATGATGCAAACTTATCTCCAACCGGTTGCAGGATCAGAACGTCGCCCACTGTGCCCAGAACGCGCGGTACCAGGCTACCCAGCGTTTTCACTGCGCCCAAATTCATCCACTCTCGAGTCAGAGCCTCTGGTCTGTTCTCGTTAAACCGCTTGATGACGACCTCCTCTCCTGCATCCTCAGCGCGTGCATCCATCCATATTAAATGAGTGAGCATGAGAAGCAGGTCATACAGTTTGAAAGAGCTCTCTGTAGTAAGGCGCTCCATAATGGTGGATGCAAGGTGGTGGTAGTACCGTTTAGCTCGCCGGAGAAGACGACTGCTGAGCCACCGCTTCCAAGGTAGTCCTTCACGTGGACGGGCGCACCGCGGATTTCTACCTTGAGGCCTTCGTAGTCTGGGCTCTCGAGCAGAGTGGCTAGCCCCCAGGCTCCGTCCTCGACGAGTTGCATCGGAGGCCCTTCGTGAAGCTGCTTCTTCGGTTTTACCACGAGCCTGAAGAACTGGATCAAAACGCCGTCGCTGAGGAACCCAAACATCGACGAGCGCCAGGGCTGATAGTTGAGGAGCAGCTCCTCGAGGAAGGATTCGAGATGGCCCTTCTCTTCGTCGTCGAAATCATCCTTGCCAGCCGAGCGTCTCCCCTTTAGCTCGCCGATGAGCGCGATATGGGCCACACTTTGGGGTTGGCCAGCGAGGTAGCCCACGACGTCGGGCTTGCGGGAGCCGAACGAGGTCGTAGTGTGCTTGTCCACAAGGATGACCTTGCCTCTTGGAAGACGACGGATGATGCTCGACCAAAAGGGTTGGACTACCCCGCTCTCGGTCGACCCAAGCCGGGGTGGGTGTGCGGCGAAGAGGGATGCCCAGTCCGGTGGCTCTCCGAAGACCAAGGGCAACGTCTGCAGCCGCTTCACGTCGAGCTTCTGATAGCGCTCTCGGTGGGAGCTGGGTGTAGCTGATGAAGGAATGAAGTTCTGATCAGCACCACTCTACTCCTTTTCAAGCTACGCGCAACCAGAGACGAGGATACAAATAGGCTGCAAAGCGTACCAGTCTGTTTGCCTTCACCCATTGAAGACTTCACGAGTAGCCTGAGCTCAGCCATTTCTTTGCGGTTCCTGGTTTCGCGTGCAGCATTCATCTCCTCGATCATCTTGGTGTGTTCCAACAGCTGGCGCACTGAGTGGAAAGAGCCAGCTCACATGTAAGCTCGCATGTAAGCATTTCACTCAAGAATGGAAGCGTGCCTTGGCGGGCCGAGGCGGGCCGTAGTGGGCTTGGGATTTCCGGATTGGCTAGATATATGCACACAAAAGCAATGGTTCAAGATTATTAATAGATTATTAATCAGGGGCCGAAGAGGTAAGAAAGAAGAACCGCTATCAGAGATGCATTTACACGGATTGGCACTGCAGCTACTGCACTCCATTTCGCGGCAGAGAAAGGTAAGACTTCTTGTTTTGGCGCCAAAATGTGTGTCGACGTGTTTGGAAGGCGTCCAGTAGCGGTGGGTGGTGTTGTTGATCCGGTTCCGGGGGCGCCTGGTACAGGTCGTAGAGGGCCTGCACCTTCGAAGCGGCCTACTGCTCAACCCGCGCCTCATCTGCCCGTCGACACAGGCCTGCGGCCTCTTCAGCCGATGCGTCGGCGCCTCACCCATCATGAAAGGCAGTAACACGACACACGACATACACAACACGCGCCTTGAATGCGTGTGCGGTACACTACACTGTGGTATTATTAAATAGTCTTGCGCGGAACGCTGGTTCGAGTACCTCGGGAGTGAGTGCGTCCCAGGACTTGAGATCGTCCGCGTTGAGAGACTGCACGCCGATGGGGCATCAATGAACCCAGCACCTCTTCCACCTCCGTCTGTATGCGTGCACCACACGTGTCAACCAACGTGACGGTGCGCGCTTGTGCTCTTGCAAGAGGGAACAGCATTGTGATACACCACGCGATGTGATGAAGTGGACGCCGTCTGCTGAGCATCCGGGTGGCCCCTATCGTTGGTAAGGAGATGAGACGTTGCAGTACGCTTCATCTTTGCATTATTCTTTTAGATTTTAGATTTCATAAATAACTGAAAAGCAGGACGAGGCGTGGCAAAAGCGCTGAAACGGCAGTGTCTGTGCCGCTGCTTCGAGGATCATTTCGATCCTCTTCTTTCGACTCGGTCTCGCTGTGGTGGTTGATCCTCTTCTTCCTTGTCTCTCGTGATCGACTTAGAACTTGAAGTACTGGTTCTCGCTGTAGCCGAGCTTCTGCAGATTGCCGATCTGCGCGTTGACCATGGGGGTCGGGCCGCACATGAGGATCATGACATCGTCCGCAGGGGCCGGGCAGTGCTCGGCCACCATGTCGGCCGTGATGAAGCCCTGGCTGTACTTCCAGTCCGCGGGAGGCTTTGTGTGTGTGTGTGTGTGTGTGTGTGTGTGTGGACAGCGTCAGCAGCAAGCAGAAGGAGGAGAAGAAAAACAAAGAAAGCCAGGGGAGCATTACCTTGTCAAGAGTGTAGTGGAGCTTGAAGCGGTCGGGGTTCTTGGCCGCGAGGTCCTCGAGGGTGGAACGCACGAGGATGTCGTCCTCGGCGACATTGGCGAAGATGAGAGAGACCTGGGTGCGGTCAGCGGGGTTCTTGAGGATGGCCTGGATGACCTGCAGCATCGGTCTGTCGTGGCAGGAGTGAGACGCAGCACACACATAGCACACGCCGAGAGAGGTTCAAAACGTACGTGATGCCGGTGCCACCAGCAAGCATGCCGAAGGCGCGCTTCATGTTGGGCGTGTAGGTGAACAGACCCTTGGGACCCTTCACGTCGATCAGCTCGCCGACCTTCATGTTGTCAATGTACTGCGACATCTTGCCCTGAGGGTAGACCTGTAGCGGACGTCATGGAGCAGCACATGAAGTGTCAGCGCCTACACAACACAGCTTTACTCAAAGAAACAGGCCGGCACGCCAGCGAAGTGCAGAGCGAAAAGGGGACGTGCCTTGATGACAAGATCGAAGTGACCGAGGTCGTCGTCAGAGGAAGTGGGCGTGTAGGGGCGGTAGACCTCCTTGCCATCAATTACAGCCCTGGAGCCAACGAAGATTAATATCTGAACAATAAAAATAGAAGAATCATCTCTCCGCGGAAGGATGCATGCATGTGTGGGGCAGGTACCTGAACGACATGTGCTGGCCGATGGGCAGGCCGAGAACGTCGGTCTCGTTGGGCAGGGCGAATCGGTACAGGCGAGTGTTGTGGTTGAGCTCGATCCTCTCCTTGAGCGCAAACTTCTGGAATTTGGAGGGGTCGAGGACGCCGGTGCGGACAGGAGCGGGCCGGGCAGCGGGCACATCCTTGGACACTACGCAATGATGATAATCAATGCGAAAAGCAGATGCGTTGGTAACGATTACAAAGATCAATCACAATTTCACTAATTAGTAAAACGGCGCACCCTCTTTACCCTTGCCGACTACATTGTCAGCCTTCTTGGCCGGCTGGGCGCTGTCGGAGGCGAACAAGAACCGACCGACGGCAAAGATGGTGATAGCGCCGACGATGAGGCCGCCGATGACGGTCGGATCAGACAGATTGATGAAATCGGAGAGAGCCAGCAGGAGAGCCATCGCGATGATCTGATGTCACACAGCTGGGGCCGGGAGAGATGCACAATCAAAAAGAAAGACAATATTGCTCTGTTTTGGCGGGAGTACGGAGTCACTCTCCACCACCCATTGGGCAAGAAGCCTTCCCTGCCCGCGGTTTACCAGGGACCGCCCCTGAACGGAGTTGGCAAGCCGGTAATCGCCGCCACGTCTTCATCTTCGTCTTCCATCAAAGAATGCCCGTTTTGATTTGTTTTTGAAATCGAATCGAATGTATTCTGAAGTCAGAACATTGACCGAACGTAAAAAGTAGGGGGTACAAGCGGTTGGGGGAATAGGGGGGGGGATTGGAAAACGGTGCCGGCGAGACGACGCCAGTATCTCCCGAGAGGCCGGACAAAATGGAGAGGTCGAGATCGCTCTCGGTCGTAGATGAGGGGATGTATGGGAGGGCCGCCGTTGATCGGGAGGTGGTAGTCGGCAGAGAGGGTCGAATCGCAAAGTGGGTGGTCGTCGGGTCATCGCATCGGCACCGGATCGTAGATAAATAGTGCGGGTTTGGGGGTTGTCAGGGTTCAATCCATCCTCTTACATAAGTATACAGCAACCCTTGCCGGCGTCCTTCTCCTTGCCCTCGCCCTTGCCGCCCTTCTTGCCGTCGTCCTTGGGCTTGTCGCCGCCCTTCTTGCCGTCGCCATCCTTGGGCTTACCGCCGTCCTTGGGCTTGCCGGCATCCTTGGGCTCGGCCTTGGCGGGCTTGGCGTCGCTCGAATCATCGTCGTCGTCGGACGAGGAGCTGGACTCGCCATCGTCGCCCGATCCGTCAGACTCGGAGGAAGAGCTCTCCTCCTCCTCGGAGGAGGACGACTCATCATCGTCGCCGCCGGAGGCAGCATCCTTGGTGGGCTCCTTGGGGGCTCTCTCGCCGCCCTCCGAAGACTCCTCCTCGGAAGATGACGACTCCTCCTCAGACGAAGAAGACTCATCGTCATCGTCGGATTCCTCCTCCTTGGCGGCCTCCTTCTTCTCGGCGGGGGCGGCAGCGGCGGCCTCCCTCTTGGCAGGGGCCTCCTGCTTCTCAGACTCCTCCTCCTCGGAGCTGGATTCCTCCTCCGAAGACGAAGACTCCTCCTCCGACGAAGATTCCTCGTCCTTCGACTCCTTCTTGGCGTTTCCCTTCTCTTCGGTCGTCGTCTCTTCCTCAGAGCTGCTCTCCACCTCCGAGGAGGACGAGCTGCTTTCTTCCTTGTCGCTCATGCTGAGTGGTTAATGTGGTGACGGGAATTGGTTTTCGGCCGAGCCCTGCGTAATTGAAGGTAACATGCGTGTAAGAACAAGCATCATGATGACCTAGGCCCACTTGAGAGTGAGGCGCACAGCGAAAACAATGAAAGCCGTAACCGGGAATGAAGAAAAAGTGTGATGTGGTCAAAAGATGCCAAAATGATGCATTGACACTTCAAATTTGGTGTCTAGCAGTGAGAAAAGAGTGGTAGAGACCCAAGATGAACAAAGGTGGTCACAATGTGCCACAAACACCAAGAATTTCAGACGCTACACGCCAACAAAACAAAATTGAAAACGACCCGCCTGCCTTCACTGGTAACCGAGACGAACCAGTGTTCGCAAGGTGCGGCGCGCTGTGCGAGTGTGGGGAGTCGTACGGTTTGGGTGTCGTAAAGAAGCAGAAGAAGATGGGCCGAGGCACACAGAGACTTTATGCTAGACAGACGAAGCAAAAGAATGACACGGCCTCGTCCCAAACCACAACCGCTGCGTGCGGGTCTCATTGGCTCGCGTAGCTGTGCGCCCGGCAATATCCCCGGACCGAAGCGCGCTGCTGTCGCGGTTTTCGCGCCCACGCTCAAACTGCCCTTTCTCCTCATTGGTAGCCTCAAATATTAAACGTAGACTATTAAATTAATTAGCGGAGTGACGGGGTTCGGACCTAAAGCAGCAAACGGCAACCGCACGTGGCAACTTCGCCGAACCGTGGTCGGCGACAAAAACAAAGATCGTTGGCATGCGAGGTATTTAATGAATGTGGATTATCCACACGAATGCCGGAAAATTGTCATTTCTTTCATTTTCTTTGCACCGAGGCCGAACACAAAGATGAAGTTAGAGGTGATTCACTGCACTGAGGCGAATTGCTTCGTCAAGCTGCCGCCGCAGATCGTGGCATCGATCTTTGACCAGGCGCCCGGCAAGTTCAGCTCGCTGGCGCTCGAGGTCAGCTGGCTCGGCCCCGGATATAAACTACAGAGGGTGGCTGTCGGCTGGGCAGGCGAAGCTTCCCTCGGGGAAGATGTGCTCGAGGTGCCTTTGGAGCTCGCGCGCAGCATCAAACTGCCACAAAACCAACAGGTGCGTGCCTCCTCAAAAGACACAAAACAATCAAAAAAAAAAAAAGAAAAGAAAGAAGAGAATAAATAAATACATTACTCACCAATGGTGGTGCAGGTGGAAGTGAAGGTGCTCAAGCAGGTGCCACAGGCCACCCAAGTGATGGTCGAGCCAGCCAGCCCTGATGACTGGGAGATCGTGGTACGCCGCACTCAAACAGCATTGCCCGTACAGTGATCGCGCGCGTTGGGCTCTTTTGAACCTGAGCCTCCTTTCTTTGTCACCCACTCTTCATCAGGAGCGCAACCAGAGCTATCTGGAAGAGCAAATCCTGAATCAGGTCAACGTGGTCTTTGAAGGACAGATCTTTCCGGCGTGGATTAGCAGGCAAACCGTGGTTCGCCTCAAGATCGGTACACACGCACCTACAGCCAAGAAAACGACGTTACGTTGGAGCCAGCCTCACACATTCACTCACCCGTGGTTGGTCGCTGTGGGTCTTTAGTGTCCACTGCGCCAGCGCCGCGCGTCCGGCTGGCCAGGGGGTCGGAAATCGTCATCGCGCCCAAGCCGCGTCACATGAACAACGCTGCGGGTTGCGACCTTCTTCCTCCCCGTGCCTCCGTCGCGTTGTTGGGCGACTAACATCAACTAACACAACGGCGCCTACTTGTGTCACTGCTGCGAAAAAGCAGGCGACAAGTCGGCCGTGTTCGGCCCGGCTGTGGTGAACGCGCGCAAGGTAAAGGTGCGCCGGCTACGGGTCCAGGAGATGCGGCTGGCCGAGCACTCGCTCCGAGCGACAAGCGAAAGCGAAGAAGACGAAGCCGCCGCCGCGAGCGATATGGAATCCACGTCGACCGCCAGCAGCGACGATGGGTCTGCCTGTGACCGATGGTGGGGCCGGGCGCTCCCACCACCCGCCCACTGCGCCCTCGTTCACCCCGAGGACCTGGTCTCCTTCGGGTACCGACCTGGCTTGCCCACCCTCTTCAGTTCTGTAGAGGGTTCAGGTTCGAAGATAGGAAACAGAGTAACTCTGTTGACTATTGGCTTTCTGTGGTCAGGTGGAAGGACGGCGACATCATCTTCGTCTCCGGCCTGGCGTCGAAGGCGCTCAAGCGGGAGAAGGACAAGGACAAAGACGCCCGGATGCTCATGAGCTCCGCGCCCAACGCCGCGCCGGGCTTGTCCCCGCAGCACGTCGCCGCCATATCGCTACAGCCCAAGGTACCCCTGCGCTTTCTTGTCTACGATGCCTCCCCGCGCGCGCGGGAACGCCCTCGGGCCTGGGAGACGATGGCTGCGCATATAACTCAAGCACACGTGTTGTGCAGGCCGCATTTCTTCGCGTGTATGCGCATTCGGAAGTGGCCCCGCGCCACATCATGCTCAACGAAAAGGTGCGCCAAGCGCTGCGACTCAAGCTGTTGGCCACTCTCAGGTTCGTTCTTGTCATTTTGTCGAGCACTCGCTCGCCGTCGATCGAGGGAAAGATCGTAACGATCGGGTGACGGCGTTGTTTTGCAGGGCTCAGCCGGTTCACCACCCGCCCTTGAAGTTCCAGTCCGTCCAGCTGCGGCGGATCACTTGGGCACAGACCAACGCAACGAGCCCTGTGCACCCTGCGTATCCACCGCCCCGGCCTTTGCAGTGCAATGCGGGCATCGCATCGATGAATATTCTGATCCGTTTTCTCTTCGCGAACAGGCCTCAGCTGTCCGCGGACATCGTCAGCCAGGCATTCCAGGGTATGAACTCGCTAGTCTCTCCGCTCGGCTCGGCTTGACGTGCGTTGGTTCACTCATTTCTGAACACTTCACCTCACCGCACAGATTGGCTCTACTCGACGCTCCAAGGCGAAGCGGCAGCGGCGGGCGTGCAGCGGAGTGGAGCCGAGGGTGCGGCGACGATGCCGCTCACCAATGGAAGCGTTGTTTCCCTCTCCATTCCACTGCGACCCGCCCCTCTGCGCCGGGTCTCGGAAGAAGACGGCGCCGCTGCCGGCGATGATGAAGTCACGGAGGACTTTGCAGTGTTCTTCGACGTGCCGCTCCTCACCGGCCCCGGAAAGGCCGCCACGAACGGGAGCAACACCAACGATGCCAGGTCTGTGGTGGTGCCGGCTTTGCCCAACACCGACCTGAACCTCTACCTGCTGGGCGGCTACGACACCACGAAGCCGCTGCCGTTCCACATCTCCTACGACGCGTCGAGGCTCGCCTATGACGGACCCGCACCTTGGTACACACACTCCGCCGCTCCGCGGTCTGTTCGCTCGATCAAACCGCCGCGTGCGGGCCTCGATGGCGAACCGCATTCGCTGTGCGCACGGCAATATCTCCGCATTGGCTCCCTCACTCACACATCCTTTCTCCCCTCCCGACTCCTTCACTCCAGGCCGTTCTCCGGCGACCTCGCCGAACAGCTCGGCGCGCTGGACGAGCAGATGGTCAAGGCCTCCGGCACGCTCTCGCTCTGTCTCAAGTATGCCGACATCCAGCGACAGATGCACGCGCCGCGTACGCACGCCACAGTCATTATTATTATTATTATTTATTAATGCATCCCTGCATCGCTGAACTCACTGCAACGCCGCGTCGCATTCGATAGCGCCCACGGGCATGGTGCTGTTGCACGGACTTCACGGCTGCGGGAAATCGACGCTGGCGCAAGCCCTTGCCCAGAAGTTTGCCACGGACCCCCACTGCCTCGCCTGTACCGCCGCCTCTTCTTCGCCTCTCCTGCAAGTGCATCGCGGAGAGACACTTGACCCTCCACACGATCGCACGCGCGCAGATCCTCAGTTCATGTCGTGCGGTCAGTTTGTGAACGCTCGGATTGAGGCGATCAAGGCCAAGTGGCGCCAAATGATCCGCGAGGGAATCAAAAACGGACCGGCGGTGATTGTGTTGGACGACCTCGACCTGCTCTGCCCCGCCGAGCAAGAACTCGTACGCCGCCACATTTTAACCGTGAGCTCCTTTTGCTCTTACCTCACACAACACACAACACACAACACACACACACACACACACACACAAGCAAATGGCTGGTGACTCGCGCGGCCCGACGCTCGCGGACTACCTTGAGGGACTGCTCGCCATGCTGGAGGACTTTGTCGCCGATGCCACGCTTCACAGCAAAGGTATGATCCGTACGCGCCCTCTCGTACGTGCCGCCGCGTGTAGTTTCTTGCTCACGTGTGCGTGCTTCGGTGGTTGGCGTGGTCGCAGTGGCCGAGAGTCGCCGAGTCGCAATCATCGCCACGGTGCAGTCGCTCTCGGGTCTCCACCCCAAGCTTCAGACGATCGGTTCCCTGGCGCTGGCCGTGGAGCTGCCTCCGCCTTCGCGCGAGGGCCGAATTGAGGTGCGGCGCTGGACCACGTCGCCCTACTAACTACTCGAGCTCGAGATGACGGCGCCACATGTGCTCACACTCACCGCGACGTCTATCTCGCACCTATTGCACGCAGATCATGCGAAAGATTCTCAAGGCCAAGAACCTGTCCCACGACGTCGACTCGCTCGACCTTGCCCAAGTGGCAATGGTCACCGAGGGCTGCCTCGGTGCAGATCTGAAGGTGCTGGTGGAGAGGGCCATGCAGGCCGCTTCGATGCGCTACATCAAGGCCAGGCCGAAGGGCTCGAGGGGTACGGCAGTCACGCCCTGACCCCCGTTGAGTGGACTCCACGATTCTGTACTCATTGCAACCCACACATCGGTCTCCACAGGTGCCGCCAGCACGCCCCAACTGGTGCTCACCACAGATGACTTCACAGAGGCGCAGAAGAACTTCACGCCATCATCACTCAAAGGCATCAACCTCCAGAAGTCGGACGTCGCGTGGAACGACATCGGCGGTACGCCATTCGCGCCGCGGTGTGGCCGCAACCCAACAAGAGTTTCTCTCACCATATCTCTTCACCGCCAACACCAGGTCTCGCGGAGGTGCGCCAGACGCTCAAGGAGACTCTGGAGTGGCCCACCAAGTATGCGCACCTCTACAAAGACGTGCCCATCCGCATGCGCTCCGGGTACGCCCACCTGCCACCTTTTTTCGCTCGGGTCGACAAATAATAGGCGAAAATTGCGAACCCATAATTTTTGGCGAGCTGGGCGAGGGATAAGTTGGACGGCGGCCCACCGTGAAAGTCATTGCACAGAGCCAGCAGCATAACGTATTGGTTTTTCGCCTTTTACTAAAGACCACCGTGTTGCTGGCTCACTCAATGTGCCTTCACTAATTTTTAGTATGGCCCCTTCGGGGTGCCGCCCTCTCTAAATCAAAAACAAAACTCCCAATTCACCCCATCTGAACGCTTGTGTGTGCGGCAGCGTTTATGATGAAGACTGCACTCGCTTTGCCTTACTCATGGACGCAATGTCAGATTGATGCTGTATGGCCCGCCGGGTTGCGGCAAGACGCTACTGGCCAGTGCGGTGGCGAAGGAGTGCGGGCTCAACTTCCTTAGCGTGAAGGCACGGCTCCTGCTTCGCCTTATCTTTACAAGGGTGGGGTATTGAGATGGGCACGGTGGGACTCACAGTGTTGATGCCGGGGCAATGCTTTCGACAGGGACCCGAACTGTTGAACAAATACATTGGTGCCACAGAGCAAGGAGTGAGAGATCTGTTCACACGGGCGTCTGCTGCAAAGCCATGCGTCCTTTTCTTTGACGAGTTCGACAGCATTGCGCCACGACGGTGCGTACGCCCTGGCCTCAACCGCGGCGCGTAGTTGCTCATTGCCACCTTCGCTGTCTATACAGAGGCCACGACAACACGGGCGTGACCGATCGAGTGGTGAATCAGCTGCTTACTCAGCTGGACGGCGTGGAGGGGCTCCAAGGAGTCTATGTGCTTGCCGCTACCAGGTAAGTCTTCTATCTACTCCTTAGCACCGCGCGGAGGGGAAGCTATTCGCTCACTCACCGGCTCCGGTTGCGCAGTCGCCCGGACCTCATCGATCCTGCCCTCCTTCGACCAGGCCGACTGGACAGATGCCTGTTCTGTAACCTCCCCACGCAGGAGGAGCGCGCTGACGTATTGCATCTTTCTCTTACGAGATCGTAGGTGATTCTGACTGACGGCGACCTGCACAGATTCTCCGCACGGTCAGCAAGAAGATCAGACTGGCCGACGACGTGTCGCTCGAGGAGGTCGCCAAATGGTGCGAGTATTACACTGGAGCCGACCTTCAGGCACTCCTCTACAATGCCCAGCTGCAGGCGATCCACGACCTGCTCGATACAGATGAGGACGGTCCGCCCTTGGGTATGAATAGTCCCTCTCCTTGCGCTAACTGGCATTATCCTAATATTGTGTCGCTGTTGAAGGTGGCAACGCTTCTCCGGTTGATCACAAGCAGCCGGTGCAGATTATACACCCGACCGCCACCGGCCACGCCATTTCGGACAGCGAACAGGCGGCCATCCGCAAGGAGGTGCGCCCGCACCCTCCAAAGCTATCGCCTCGCGTGAGTGGACATGCTAACCGCGCCCTCCTGTGGCTGTGGTCCACCCAGATGCACAAGCTCTACGAGATGCTGAAGAAAGATGGAGAAGCAGAGGAGCGGAAAGTGGACACCAACCTGGGAAACAGAACGCCCATCGTCAACCTACGCCATGTCCAAGAGGCCTTCCGTTCGTCCAACCCATCGGTATCGGCGACGGAGCGGAAACGCTATGAGGCCATGTATGCGACCATAACTCTTGTTCGCATCTGCTATCTTCGCTCTGGCTGACTTCTTTCCGTCCCTCCCAGTTACGACAACTTCATGTCAACCAGAGGAGACTTTGGCATGGCCGGTCCGGCCGACTCGCTCCAGACCCTGGCCTGAGCGTTGCCCGCGAAGAAAGTTTGTTGTTCTGGCATTTTTCGCATTCCATCATAAATCCCCATTTTTCCCGGCAAGAGCGAATGCCAGGCTGACGTCAGCAAGGGCTTTTTTCCTTCTTTACTTGGCTGCATCGTCCAGCTCGTTCTCTTTCTTTCTTTCCCTCCTCCCTCCATCGTAGAAGGCTTCACCACCATGGTTCGTGACTCCCCTCCGCTGCGTGGAGGCATTTCGGTTGAGCGTGATTAGATTGCTGAGGGATCGTACGCGAGGTTCGATATTCTTGCTAAATCGTTGTTCTCCCCTCCTCCAAACTCTAGCCTCGCGGACCCAAGAAGCACTTGAAGAGACTTAATGCTCCGGCCCACTGGATGCTGGACAAGATGGGCGGCACCTGGGCGCCCAAGCCCTCGGCTGGTCCCCACAAGATGAGGGAGTGCTTCCCCCTCGTCATCCTTCTGAGGAACCGTCTCAAGTACGCCCTCACCAAGAAGGAGGTCACCTCCATCCTCATGCAGAGGCTTGTGAAGGTCGACGGTAAGGTCAGGACCGACCCTACCTTCCCCGCTGGCTTCCAGGGTACGCTCTCTTCTCTCCTCTTCTTATTCTCAGGCTTCCATTTACCTACTCCGATTTCTTTGTTTGCGCCAAATAGATGTCATCACCATCGAGAAGACCGACGAGGTGTTCCGCCTCCTCTACGACACCAAGGGCAGGTTCATCGCCCACAGGATCTCGGCTGAGGAGTCCAAGTACAAGCTCGGCAAGGTCAGGCGCGTGGAGATCGGTAAGAAGGGTATCCCCTACCTTGTGACCCACGATGGCCGCACCATCCGTTACCCCGACCCCAGCATCAAGGTCCACGATACTGTCAAGATCGACCTTGAGACTGTACGTTTCGGCCCTCAGTTCTCATTCATCGCTCGCAGCTCATTGACGTTTGTTGTTGGCAATTTATAGGGCAAGATCGTTGACCACGTCAAGTTCGAAGCCGGCAACCTCTGCATGGTCACTGCTGGTCGCAACATCGGTCGCGTCGGTCTGATGGAGTCCCGTGAGCGTCACGCTGGTTCGTTCGACATCATTCACGTCAAGGATGCCGCCGGCCAGACCTTCGCCACCCGTGGCTCGAACGTGTTCATCATCGGCCAGACCACCAAGTCGCTCGTCTCGCTCCCCAAGAGGAAGGGCATCAAGACCTCCATCATCCAGGAGCAGCAGCACCGTCTTGCCAAGGAGAAGAAGTCGAGGAAGTAAATGGGGTAACTTCCAACCATCCATACACCCGCGAAGATCTGAGGAGGCTCATCTTCATGTGCAAACCGAGAGGCAAAAAAATAAATTTAAATCCAAAACATACTCAACAGATGCGAACTTGCCTCCAATTTTTTATTTTAACATAATAATGAAACCATAATAAAAAAGTCTCTTTATGACTGAATGCAAATTGGGAATGAGAGCCTCATCAGGCGCTGATGGAGGCGCCAGACCAGGTGTCGGCCGAAGGGAGAAGGCAGGCGGACTGCAGGGCGATGGTGGCGTTGCTGACGTCCAGATCGTAGGCGAACACCTTGACCATGCTGTCGGACGGGTACTGCCCAAACATCAGCACCTGCGTTCCATTCAACAGAACTGCAAGTAACCAACAATTAAAATAAGGACCAGCCAGCCAAGAGCGTGTTGTGTGTCGTGGCGCGACGTAGGCGTACCGGGAGCGATGAGCTTCGAGCCTTCGAGGCGGGGAATGGCGTGGGTGATGCCGGGCTGAGCCGACTGAGGAACACTGAAGGTGGTGATGGTCTGCACGTTGTCCTTCCACGCCTGCTCCGAGTACTTCTGCTGCACCACGTACATCACGCTGCCCCTGGGGTCCACCGTAACTGTATGTTTGACATTCACATTCAAAGTAAATTCTAGTTTAGTGATCAATAATCAGGGAATATGTACCGGCGACGACCTCCTCGGGTCCGTTGGTGAAGTACTTGGCGGACCAGGTGGGCGTGGGGCTCTTCAGATCGTACAGCTCGCCGATCAGGACGCGCTTCGAATCGGAGAGCCCTGCGTCGCCGACCACCATCAGGCCGCGACCGATGATGGGCACCACGGCCAAGGGCGGGAGGGTCAGGTAGGCGGTCCAGGCCAGCGCGCCGTCGGCCAGGCGCACCGCCGCCACCATGTCGTTGGTGCTCGAGGCAGTGGCCAGGAAGAAGTGCTCCTCCGACGCCGCCGCCGACGCCGCATAAGGCGGAGGCGCCAGCGGCACTACCAAATACCTACAGTGTTATAATACATAATTAATAAACCTTCGACAATAGAATAATGATAAAAATAAGAGTACCCGACGGCCTTGGTGGCGAGGTCGATGGAGAAGACGACGGGACCGGTACTGGGGCTGAGGGGCGCCACGAAGCAGGTCTTGGCGTTACAGGCGGTGACTCCGGAGCCCAAGATGTTGGGCAGGCCGGCGACCAGCTTGACGTCGTTGTAGGTCTGCGCGGTGTTGTCCAGACGGTACAGGGTGACGTTACGCGCCTGCGCGTTGAACTCGCTGAAGAGGAGCGGATTATGAGAGCCGGCAGCCACCAGCACGCACAGCAAAAGAGCAAGACCTGCCCCTCCACCAAACTCCTCGATTAGGTGTAAAACGCAACAACTCCGCCTAAACTGTACACTGATCTGATCCTTCATCGTACCGGTTGGGAGGAGGGTCATCACGTCGGTAAGGTTGGGAGAGGGCGAAACTGACGAAAGTCGGGGCCGGCAACCACCAGGAGGAGCAAAGTTGACCGATTGGTGTTTGAGAAATTGCACTCCGATCTCTTACTGGAACAGTTTAGGCCACAAAGAAGTTCCTCCAGGAGTTTTGGGAATTGTAATGTCCACCACGATGCCCAAGCACCACCTTGGTGCACAAAGTTGCTCTGCTCAGTCTGACCTCCCCTCGCCAGGCCAACATCTCAACACTTGTGTGCCACTTGAGCTGATTGTGTCATAGAGCAGCTTGGGCTCAGTGGGCCAGTGTGTGAATGTTGGATACGGCCATACTGCGCAGAAAGCACCGCTTCCCATCCGAACAGCGAAGTTAAGCTGCGCCAGGCGGTGTTAGTACTGGGGTGGGCGACCACCCGGGAATCCACCGTGCCGTATCCGTTTTACTCTCTCTCCACTCTTCTCTCCGTTAGCTTGTTGTGTGGCATCTCACGTCTCCAACCACCCTTTGCCCCCACACATTTTTTGGACCAGGATTCAGCACTGAGCAAGAAGGTGGGAAGTGGGAAGAAAAGAGAGCCACAACGCCAAGCAAATTGTGCAAGTCTTCGTTGCACAAGAAAGCCATCTGCCACTACACCTATCTTCAGGAAGAGACGAGGAGGCGACAGGCGCGGGTGGAGGGCGTGTAGAGCGCAACGAACGGGCTCGTAGAAAAGGAACCCGGGTTCACGATCAGCGACGACGCATGCGTCAGCGCAAACGGCGGCGCATTGTCAGCTGCAAACAACAACGTGGATGAGGGCCTGACGTCAGCAATCAATCAAACCCCTCTGTTCTAGCAGCCGAGCCAGAGAGGCGTACCGAGTACGAGAAGGTCGGGCAAGGGGTCCATGTAGAGGGCCTGCACGTGATCCCAGTAGACGGGCTGCGCCGCCTGCGGGAACGGAGACAGGTGGCCCGCGTCGGCGATGGTGCGCGCCGCCTGCTCGAAGCGTGGCACGTCATCGACGGTCCCCGCGTCGAGGTCGTCGCCATCAGCGGGCGGCACGGCGAGGGCGTAGCGGAGGAACTTGTCCTGCATGTCCCCTCGGTAGAAGAGCAGCTCTTGGCCCACGTACTTGACCCGGCAGGGGTTGCTGCCCCGGATGACGTCGGCCACCACCCCTTCGCTCTTCTTCTTCATAATCGACGATCGCTTTCGCTTTCCACCGTCTTCGTCACCTCCGTCATCATCTTCATCGTCGTCGCTACCGCCATCGCTATCCACACCGTCATCATCATCTTGTTCGTCGTCTTGTTGAGAGCTCCGCCGCTTGGCGCCTCCACCGTTCAGGGAGGGCGGCAGCATGATGCTCGGCAAGGGGTCGCGAGGCAGCGCAAATGAAGCCGTGAGCGAGGCCGGGTCGGAGGGACCCGGGACCAACACGAAGCGGGCGTGTGGCATGAGCCCCGGGAAGCGCGAGAGCACCTCCGCCAGCGGATCGAACGGGTACACCGTACGCGGCTACCAAACACGCGCGTACGCACGTGCACACACGCATGTCAGAGACACAAAGCTCAAAGAGAGTGTGGTGTGCGAGAGGGAGTACCTTGGGCGGTGTTCGGATGACGCGCGGGAAGACGTGGACGTTCTTGTTGCGCGCAAAGAAGTCGCCGATGAGAACAAACAACAGCTTTTCCTTGGGCTTGTGCGTCTGTGAACAACACAGACCAACACATGGGTTGAGTCGATATGCACGATCATGGTGTTACACAACGAAACCGGACGTGTCGATGTACCTCAACGACCTCCGCAAACGACCGGAGCACAGACTCCAGCCTCGTCATGGCGATGGCGTTGTCTACTCGGATGTCAGAGAACACCACCACCATGCCCTTGTCTCCGCCATCGCCCATCGCCCTCTGCGAAAACAACGCGTCGATTGACAACCCACACAACAAGACGACGACAATGAGAACATAAAACAATGACGACGAGCACAACCACACGGTGGGGATTGCACAGGGCACGATGCACGGCACACAATACGTACAATGATGGTCTCTTCGTAGCTCATGGAATCGCAGACCTGCGGAGAGGGGATGTAGGGTCCGCCTTCCTTCTCGGCCGCGCCGGGCACGTCGATCAGCTCGACCATGAGCTTCTCGTCCTTCATCTTGCCCTCCACCAACACCAACCCGCCTTCGGTGAACAGTCGGGGTCGCTTCGCTTTCTGTGCGTGTGTATTGTGTGCGTGTGTCGTGTCGTGTCGTGTCGTTGTGAGCACACGAAGCAGCGCACCAACCGCACTGTTGGCGGAAAGGCGTACCGCGTGGGAGAGGTCGACGAGAAGACGACCGGTGGGGTCCTCGATGTAGTGGAGGCCGTACTCGGCCTCGGAGAGAATGCCCATGAGGCGCCATCGGCCCGAATAGCGGCCGGCCAGCGACTCGATGGTGGTGATCGCGCCGGCGCCCACCAGACCGTTGCCCTCGCGCAGGTGCGCGTTGTACCACCACGTCCTGCGCAGCACGAACAGAGTGATGACGACACGTCAGGCCAAAGTCATTCAAGAAACCGGCGCGTAGGGAAGACGGCGACGTACTTGTACATGTCGATCTTGGACTGTGCCGAGCCCAGCAGCGAGCCCCGTTCGTCGCTGAGGCGCTCCACCTTGTGTCGCTTGGTGTTGTAGCGCAGCCGGGGCATGGCGAGCGCGGAGACGACCTTGAAGGACTCCTCGACCAGCTGGGTGGGTCGCGCCGCGGCCGGCGCGGGCCGGCTAGTGGCGGTGGTGGCGCCCTGGCTGCCATCGGCGACGAACTCCGGGTACTGCGAGCCGAGGATGTCTTCCAGTGCGAACGGGGACGCCTTCTTGGTAGGCGCGGCTGCCGCGGTGGACTTGAAGGCGCGCAAGAGCTTCTGCAGCTCCCTCTTGTCGATCAAGCTTTGCTTCACTGCGAGGCATATATTGATTTTAATCCAGAGGCCTCCGTTTCAAGAGATGGGAGGGTGGGGCCGTACGTGAAGTTTTGTCGATTTTGGAAAGGAGTTGGGATAGGAATTGGGCGGGCAGCAGCTTATACGAGGGTGCCTGATCGACCAGGTGCTGCATGGCATCGGGCGTGATCGAAAGGCCATGCAGCCGAAACGTTTGCGTGATGAGCTTCGTCGAGAGGACCGACATTTTCCTCCCCAATCTTGAGAGCGATCAATCGAGCCAATTCGATGGTGGATTTCCTCGTGCAAGTTTTTGGCGCGAAAGCTTCCCGCCAAAATGGTGTGGGCCACAGCGAACGTTGAAAAAATGCTGGTGTTTAATTGCAATTTCACGACACCACGCAAGCTGTACAGTGTCGTTTGTGTGGTGTATGTTGGTTGTAGGGAGTGTTGTGTGCTGCGGAGAAAACTGTGATGATGTGGGACGTGGGCAAGCACGCGTGGTGTCGGCTTAGTGCACTTCGCCTTCCTTGTCTTCGACGGGGAGCACAAGCTTCTTCATGTTCACCACGCCGTTGGTGTCCTTGTCCATCGCCACGATGCTGCCGTCCGAGGCTACCGAGATGTGCTGTGGCACGTCTGCCATCGTGACTCTCTGCACATTTTCATAAATGTGAGAACGGATGTGCAGACAACTCGTGTGTTGCACCACACGAGTTCACAACATGACTGTCTGCGTACCTGCCACGTTCCCTTCTTCCACTTATAGATGCAGTCCTTGCTGTCTACGCCCCACACGTGCTTCTTGCTGCCCACCGACACCTGCACGTGCACACGCACAATACAATAGCCGACGTCAAATCCTTGTGTCCTCGCATCGTGGACGGACGCGGGTGGGTCATTCAGGGCAGTGGCGCACCTGCTTGAAGGAGCCGGGCATCTGCTCCCACTTGAGCGATTCCCTATCGAGACGGAAGGTGAACCTCTCGCTGTTGATGGCCCACAAAGTGCCGTCGGCTCCGCAAGAAACGAGTTTCATCTGCTCAGATCCTGTAGAAACAATGCAGCAGTTAGCCCACGGTCTCAGTGGCGCGGCGCGGGGTTGTGTGTCATGCGACATACCTGGAATTCTGATCCAGGCCTTGCCATCCCACGTGGCGATATTGGATTGCTTGAGCGCGGACGTGGGCTCTTTCTCGTCGTCGATCACGGCCCACACTTCTCGATCGCTTCCCACGGCGACGTGGAGCACGGAGAACGGCGAAGGAATGCTCTGCCACGTTTGCTTATCGCCGTCCCACCGGTAGACCTATCGTCCAAGAGTTGATGTCAGTGAATTGTTACGCTTCAACCAAGCATATCAGCTGTACGAAAGTGCAAAGAATACCTCTCCGTTGTTGTTGACACCCCAGACAGCACCATCCTCGGCAGCAGAGAGCTGTTTCAATTTGGCGCCTGTCGTCTTCTCCCTGACGAGCGCCGGGTGAGGAAACGACCACAACAGAAACATATGAGAAAGAAAGAAAGAAAGAACGAACGAACGAAAGAACGAACGAAACCGAACGAGCGAAGAAGAAAGTTGCGGGAGGTTCGGACCATTGGTTCTCCTTCCAACGGTAGATCTCGTCGCCTCGGGAGATGGCCCAAACCGACGTGCTTCCTCCCACGCTGATGTGCTTGAATCCGCCCTTGAACCGCGTGAACGACGTGGGGGGCTCTGCAAAGATTGGGCAGAAAGAATGATCAGAGTTGTGGCCGAGGGAGCGGGCGCCTGGGGAACGGTGGTGAGTGAGTGGTACTTACCCCAGCTGTTCTCGAGCAGGATGCCCATCTTGTCCTCGAGCAGGAGCATCTTGACCCACTTCTTGTCCTCGAGCACGTCCATGCTGATGGAGCTCTGGACGTCGTTGTTGAACAGGCGCTGCAGCAGCTCGTAGGAGAACAGCATGACGCCGTACTGCGGCGACGAGCGAAGCACGCGGGGCACCACGCCCTTCCACAGGGCCTTGTAGCCCTCGGTTGTGGTCACTCTGCGGTAGCAGTCTCTCAGGTTGGCGTAGCCTTCGCCCTTCTTGGCCTCCACTTGCATTCGCGTCTTGAGCACGTCGGCCGGAGTGGTCAACGAAGCCGCGGCGACACCTGCACTCACCCGCGCACACGTGGGTCAGCACAAAGACGTATCGTACATACGCACGTGCGCTGCCACCAAGGCACGAACCGGCAAGCGAGGCGCAGAAGAAGAGCTCGATGGAGTGCAGCGGCTCGTTGCCCGTGCGCAGCTGCTCCTTCAGCCAGGCGTAGCTGCCAAAATAGATGCCTGCTCGTTGTGAGATCCGGGGCGATCAGTTGTGGCGCGTGTGGAGCTCGAGCGGCTCGCGAGTTGACAAAACGTACCCGAGAACGGAACATCGCGCAGGAAGCACGCGGACGCGCCCTTGTACATTCCCTTAATTCCTAGCTCGCGCAGGATGCTCATCGCGCCCTTGGGCTTCGCGGTGGTGGCAGCTGACGACATGAGCGCACCACCATCAACGCCACCATAAAAGCAGTAAGGTCAGCCACACGACGGCGCTGAGGTGTAAGATGGGTTCATGGGCACACGGTACCAGCATCGGCCTTCTTCTTGGCGTACTCCTGGCCCTGCACCTGCATGCGCACCTTGACGATCTCGGCGGGGTTGGTGATGAGCACCTGGTTGGCGCCGGCGGCGAGACCAGCCAACAGCTCGATCGAGTAGTTGACGCCGTCGGTGGCCGATAGACTGCGGATGCGGTCGACGATGAACAGCCGGATGGCCTTCTCGGGCACCTGGCCGACGAGCTGGGGGATGAGACCCTTGTAGAGCCCGAACGGTCCCTCGTGGCGGACCACGCTCGTGAGGCAGCCCCACATCGACATGCCGCGCTGACCCACCAACGTTCTAGAAGAGAAGAAAGGATCAAAGGGAGCCACGCCACTACAAAGGCAAGAAAGTAGGAAGACCGAGAAAGTAGCGAACCTCTGGTTTTGGAGCCTGGTCTTGACCAAATCGATGGGGTAGACGGCGGTGGCGCTGATCGCGCTGGCGGCCGCGCCGATGCTGAAGCTCACCGCTGCATTCATGAGGGAGGGCCTCTGCTGAATCTCACGCTGAGGAAGTTGAAAGATGAGATTTTGTTTGATTTTTTTAAGGAACATGCCCTCAGTGCAGAGCCGTTCTCATGCCCAGCGCTGCTTGGCAGAAAGAGGTACCCTGGCGATTTCATTTGCGATATTGCCCTTGATCTTGTCCAAAGTTGCGGGCGATTGCTCCACCGGCACCGGGATGGATGCTGTCGCGGTTGTGCTCATCTTCTCACGCAGTACAGTAGGAAATCGACTGTTCAATCGACGTGCCAGGCGCCTAACCTTGGTTGGAACTTCAAACTCAACACGCCCGCCCGACGAGCACAAAGTGGCGCGTGTGGCGTCTACAACAACCCCGAAAGTCCCGATGCACGCAAAGGAAAAAAAAAGAAACGTAAAGGAAATCGCGATCGCTCGTGTCACGCACCAGAGCACAGGCAGCCGCCTCGACTTCTCGTGGAGCGGGCCAGCTAGCTTGCAGAGTAGCATGAAAGATGTCCAGTTCATGGTGGCGTGATTCTGTGCATTTGTTTGTGAATTGTGATCGTGACTTGTCACGAACCGCGTGGGTGCGTGCGAAAGCTGTATAGAGCGCTGCGTGTGAATCTGCCCACGATGTAGCCCGGTGTGTCTGGCACGCCGTAGGTGAGCCCACCCGCCATCTCGTCGTCGTCATCTCCACCGACATCGCCGTCGCTTCTCCTCCTCTTCTTCTCCTCGTCTGCAGTGGCGTTGGTGGACGAGGCAGAAGGGAATCGCCAGCCTACGAGTTTCTTCTTTGTCTTCTCCTTCTTCTCCGTCTTGCTCTTGCCCTTACCCTTTCGCCTCTTCCTTTCGGTCATTACGTAGACAGGCCGGAAGGCGATGCCCTCGTTGGTCATGATCTTCTTCAACGACCGTTCGTCCACGAAGTCCAGCGCCAGCCGATAGCGCAGCAGGAACGCCTCCGCGCAGATGAACCGGCACTGCCGTCGCCGCACGTCGGCTTCGTCGTCTTCCCTTCTCCTCTCGCTTCTCCTGTCGTGGTCGCGGTCTCCGTCGGGAAGACGCCTACACAGGCGGCGCCGGAGCGCCCAGTGGCCGCGGGCATCGTTGGCCTTCTCGTCGCGCGAGGCGAGGGTGAGCCGTTGCTTCTCGAGGTGGGCCAGGATGGAGTCGCCCAGCTCCTCGCCTTCCCCCGAGGTGAGATGCTTGACCAGCCGTCCGGCGAAGAAGGCCATCGCGTTGGCCAACAGCAGATCGTCCAGCTCTCTCCACCTACACTCCACGATGACGAACTGGGCAAGCTCGCTCTGCAGCAGATCCTCGTCGTGGCCATCTCCGACTCTGCTGCTGTCGTGCCGCCGCCGTCGGTGGCGGTGGTGGTCTCGCACGTCCCGCACGAGATCGAACAGCGCGTCGTCGTGCAGGTAGGGCAGGAAGTGGTCGCACAGCTTCTGCAGGGACTCGCCGCCCACGAAGTCCTCGAGGGCGACTCGGAGCTCCATTGCTTGATCGTGCTCCTCCCGCGTCTGCCTCCCGTGGCCAGCACCGGCGGAGGCGGTGGTGGAGCGGATCGACTCTTCGATGAACGTAGCAAAGTAGTCGTAGTCGAGGCTCAGGAACCCGCCGTCCTCGACGCTGCGCTGGAACGGCTCGCTGGCGAAGAAGGCCGCCTCCCTGGCTAGCATGGACCGTACGGATCCCACAGGGTCGAGTTCCGCCAACCGCGCGCGAGTCTGAGTTGAAACGGTGTGGGGCAAGTGGTCAGTGAGTATAAAAGGAGAGGAGATCGGAGAGTATGTGACGCACCTGCACGGCGATGACGGGGGACACGGGGATGCCCGTGCGCCACACGAGCTTGTTCCACACGTGGTCGCGCTCGGCGAGGCAGTAGTGCTCGAGCGCCGCCGCGCCCTTCTGCGGCCGATCGGTGTAGGAGAAGTGGTCGAACCACTCGGCGATCAGTTTTCGAGAACGGGCGCGCGCGGCGGCGGAACGGCGAGAGCGTGGCGAGGGAGAGCGCGATCGCGAACGGACACGACGCTGAGGTGAGCGCGAACGAGAGCGCGAACGCTTGCGAGCGGGCGGTGGAGAGCGCGAACGCGAGCGGTTCTGAGAGTAGGGCGAGAATGAGCGCGACCGCGATCGCGAGCGGCGTCTCGAACGTGATCGCGAACGTTCTCGAGACCAGGAGCGCGAACGCGAGCGATTGCGAGCGTAGGGCGAGAACGAGCGCGAACGCGATCGGGAGCGCCCGCGCCGTTGTGGTGGCGGCGAAGGCGTGGGCGAAGGCGGTGGGCTTCGACTCGTGGCGTCTTGCCCTCGAAAGAAGCGACGGAAGAGGCCAGCGTCGTGCTTCAGCACGCGGCCGAACACGGCCGGCCACGTCTGGCACACCAGCAGCACCGCACTGTGCAGGAACCTGCAGCGCGCAGCGTGGGTGAGCAAGGAACATGGAGCAAGCAAGGTGAGACCATCGTGGTCAGAGGAGTAACGCACTCGCGGTGCTCGGAACTGCCGCTGCGCAGGAAGGGGAGGAAGTAGCGATGCTTGAGGCGCGGGTCGTCGGCATCGAGCAGGCCCAGGGTGGCACCCAGCCACAGCCGCGCCTCCTTGCGAGCCGAGGGGTCCTTCAGCACGAGTCCCTCCTTTAGCTTGCGCTCGATGAAGCCGTGCAAATCGAGTCTGGCATCTGCCTCTTTGGCTGCGTGATCGGTGGCACCATCTGCCGTCGATTGTTCTTCGTTAAGGTAGAGATTGACGTACTTCGCACGCGGTCGCCAGTGCTCGGGAGCCTCCATCGCATGATCTGCAAGCAACCCTTTCTGCTCTTTTTCGATTTATTCTGTGTTTTCCAGATCCTGTTTCTTTGTGTTCTCTACAACTTCGAGGAATCGTTCCTACATCTCAATCTCCCGCCGGGATCGCAAGCAACACCCACACCATTTTTGAAACTGTTACCGGCATGCAACGTACCCTCCCTCCTTCCTTGTTCTGTATTGCATTATTGCTTATTCTAGTATTATTTAGCTTAATTAATTGACATCAATTCTGATGAGCAGGTAGGGTAGCAACAGTTGCAAAGGGGGAGCTGGCCCTGCTGGCGCGCTCGGTGCCAAGTTCTGCACTTCTGGGTATACGCCAGTCTACTTTGGCCTCTCGCGTATCAGCTTCGCCGCTGCACGGTGCTGCTACCAGGCCACGACCATGGTCGCCCTCCTGCTTCCTTCGCATCAGCGCCCGATCGCTCCACGCCTCTTCCACGCTGCAGCGCAGCGCCAAGTCGAGCATGGTGGAGGCTACCTCTGCCGATGACCCCACAGACAGCGCCGAGGCCAAGGAGACCAGCGCTGAGTCGGCTGCTACGCCGACGACCACAACGACGCTGAACATCGGACGCATACAGCCCAAGCTCGAGCTGCACTACACGTGCGGCGTGTGCGAGCTGCGCAGTACGAAGCAGTTCAGTCGCGTGGCCTACGAGAAGGGCGTGGTCATCATCCGCTGCGGCGGGTGCGAGAGCCTCCACCTGATCTCGGACAACCTGGGCTGGTTTGGCGAGGACAAGAACATCGAGGAGATCATGCGCAAGCGCGGCGAGGCCGTCGAGCGAGGGCGCAGGGACGCCGGTGGCAACATTCTCCTCGACAACAACAACACCAATACCGCCGGCGACGATACCATCACCACCGACCTGGAGCACGACGGCACCCAGACAGTCGTCGAAGAGTCCGAAGACTGCATCCTCATCACCCCTACGGCCGCAGTAAGGTAGTTGGTTGGTTGGTTGGTTGGAATGAATACAAGCACTCCTTCATCAGCCAGCGGTTCACGCCTAAGATCGCCTCAGTCTCAGTGTGTTCGGCGAAGGGAATGAGGGAACGACAAGCCCTTCATCCGGCACAAAGCCACGACCCGTAGCGTTTGAAAGCGGATAGGGCAACGCTTTGTTGTGGCCTTGTTCGACCACTCCCCGTCCAGCACCTTCCGCGGTCGCCCAAGTCCGATTGGGCACGAAATTTTGATGTCGACGCATTAGTGGAAAGACGAAGCGAGATGGCAACATAAAAAGGGAAGGGGGGACCCGACCCTCTATTCCACAACCACACAGCGCCTCACCTTTCTGCCACAACAACAAGGCACCACACAAACACTCTCTGTGACACGCCAGAACCTCGCCGCCACCCACACACAGACCCACCCACAACCGCACACGACCGAACCGAATATTGGTACCAACGTCAGTATGGCCTCGAACGCGACTTCCTCGAACGGCTGCTCTGCACAGGCCTCGAATGGCGGGGGGCACATGAGGAGGAGGGCGAGCGACGTCCCTGCAGCTACGACCCGCAGACGTCGCAGCATCCTCGGCCTGGGCGACGCGGCCGAGACGTCGGACGTGAAGATGTCGAACACGGTGGGCAGCGCGCCCTACCCGTCCGGCATGCCTGGGTCGCCCTGCCCCAACAAGCTCGACCGCAGAAATCAACAGCTGGCGAGTGCAGCGAGGAGGCACTCGATGGTCGACGTCAACCCCGAGGTGGTCCCCTCGCTGTCCTACTTCGCCCTCACGAACCGCCCCCGCTCGGAAGCCGTTCTGTAGAGGTGCATCGACCAGACCGACCCCGCAGAAGATTCTAATCGGGGCTCGATTGGAAGAAAGAGCACTGCACTCCACGCCACGCCAGCTGCTCCCCCGACACCAAGAGAACGACTTGTAGAGTTTGTACATAGCCGCTTCGGCCTCTTGGTCAATCTTGTTCGAGATTGAATTGAACTTGTACACAAAATGCATAAACCCTTTGTCCTGTAAAAACGTCCTGCGTTCTGTAGTCCTGCCCGCGTTCATCCTTGGTCTCTTGCACGTCCTCCTCTGCGTGCATGTCTTGGTGTATTGTGAACTGTTGCGGCATCAACAGCCTGGCTGATCTCCTCCTCTTGATGCATCTCGCGCTTCAGTGTGCCCACCAAAAGGATAGGGCGCTGCCCGGAATCGAACCGGGGCCCCCTGCACCCAAAGCAGGAATTCTACCTCTTAACTACAGCGCCTTCTGTCGCACGTTTGAGGGTGCGTCGAACGTGCTTGCTTTCTCCCACTGCGGTGTTGTGACTGGCGCGCCATTTGTAGCGTTGTAGATACATGAAGCGCAAGGCTACAGAATTGGATGAGGGTGATCCATCGACAGTGCTTCATACGAGTGCGCCATCTTTAGGCGTTCCTCCTGTCTCATCTACGCCAGTAGTACACGCGGCCGTGAAGAAGGAGACGATTGATGAAAAATCAGTCGGCCCGCGATTGCCGCGCAAGAAGGGACCTAAGCCCAAGCGAATAAGACGAATCATTCTCAAGCCACTTACCGAAGACGAGGAAGATAGCCTGCTCGACAATCTGGACGCTTCCATCCAGGAACGGAAGCAAAATGACGATCCCATCCTCGCTCGCATGCGACGCAAGCTCGCCCTTCGCCAGGTATCGTTCACTCTTTCTAATTCATTAATTAATAAAAATGCATTAAGTAATGATGTTAACTTCTCATTGTCAATTCTGCGCAGTTGAAGCGGGAGAAGGACATGCGAACGTGGGACCTCGATGTGCTGCTGAACAACCTGCTGGCACAGAAGCGTAAGCAGCTCTACTTTGACTGCACCACCGACATACCTGTCCGCAGGGAGCCCGAGTACAAGAAGAAACTTCGACGTACCCATCTGATCTCCACCAACCCTCTCACCCGTTCCCGCTTTGATCTCACACACGACACACACGGCACACACGGCCACACGACACACACGACACACACGACACACACGACACACAGTGAAAAGGGAGAACGAGCTCGGAGGCTATGATGGCGATGGTACACACTGCGCACCATCATCGTTGCCATCGCAGCGACGCAGCGACTCATTTCATTTCATTTCATCGATCGACTTGTTCAGGCGCCATGAAGATCGAGGGAGCCGGCGCGACAGCCATGGACGGCGGCCGGCCTCCAGACGCCCCCGAATCGCAGGACTCGTTGCCCTCGACTTCTCTCGCCGCTCGCCCGCGCCGAGACGTGGTCCACTTCAAAGAGCGCCTGATGGGGTACTTCCCCCAACACCACCACCACGTTGGCTTCATCGCGTTCGGTTCATCGGCTCACACCGCCACCTACCATCTTCTCGTCGTTCTTGTCGTCAACATTACCAGCGAGAACCTCTTCCGTAAGATCGTGAGCCCGTACACGGGTCGGCCGCTGCTGCCCTACATTCGACGCGACTTTGAAAGCCGAACGCCCAAGGTAAAGTATAACGATTGTAATTACTGGGCGCTCGTCGATTGACTAAGTCTGCGCCTCACGCGTGCGTGGTGTGCGCAGTTGCGTCTGCTCGAGGAGCTGATGGTGGCGCATCGAAAGCGCATCTGCCGACCAGACGCCAACAAGTGGTACACCCGAGAGATGATCAACACCGTCCGAGTACGTGTCCCCATCATGTCCTCTTCATCTGTGTGGACCAGCTCACGCTCACCCCATTCCCCCAATGTCGTGTGTGTGTGTGTGTGCGCGCGCGCGCGCGTGTGCGTGTGTGTGGCACGCGGCAGGCATCGGCCACGGCGGCACCGTCGATAGACTACACCTACCTGAAGCCGGCGCTCGTAGGGCGAGTGAACCGCCTTCTCTGTGAGGAATTTTGGCCCGGCATAGACGGTTCGAACTTCCCTTCTCGCGCGCGCGCGCATTGTCTGTACGGGCCTCTCCTCGTTCGTATGGCCTGATCCCCCCCCCTCTCCAGTGAGCGAGTGTACAGAATATCCGGACTTCACGGTGGTGGCCCTGTACAAATCAATGGTGGTCGGCGCAGCCTTCATGACGCCCGAAGAGGTTCGCTATTCGTGCCTTTTTGCGCGTGTGTGTGGGCATTCACGCCGTACCAAATAATAGCGGGGGCGGCAATGGTCACTGACCTGCCGCTGTTCCCGTGTCCGCACAGGCCTACGTAACGTACATTGCAGTACATCCCGAGTGGCGTGGCGCTGGCATTGCCACCTTCATGATGTACCACCTCATTCAGGTACGCACTTCTCTGATTGCACCAGCATTTTATTTTATGATATTATATTCTATATTCATGTTTTGTGCGTTTGGCCAGCGCAGACGTGTCCGGGTAAGGATGTGATGCTGCACGTGTCCGCGACCAACGATGCGGTGATCCTGTACCAGAAGCTGGGCTTCAAGCCAGAGGAGTTTCTCGTGGACTTTTACAAGAAGTACTACCCCGACGACAGCCCCATTTGCAAGCACGCCTTCCTCATGCGCCTGCGGCGATGACGAGCCACACCCAATGCAAGAAGAAATCCTCAATTTGCACATAGTGGTGTGACCTGGCCCGCCCCGCAGTTGTTGTTGCATTGTAGCGGATTACGATGGAACGAACACCCAATAATGGGTGCTTTTGGTCGTTTGCTTATATAAGGTGTAACTAAATCAACAAATAAATAACCAGCGGTAGGTACAGAGACGACGTGTGCCCGCTCTACAGGGAGAGGAAGTCGTCGTACGTTCGTTTGCGGCGGCCCTCACCGCGCGGGATGGCCTGATGGGTGAGGATGCGTAGGTGCGCCAACGTCTCCTGCCGATCGTCCTCGAGCCCTCGTGGCGGCTGCAGGCACGGAATGTACATGGCGAACAGAAACGGATTGAACGATGCATATTCTGTTCACACGACACACACACACACACACACCACACACACACACACACACAACAACAACAGCAAACGCGCCACAGAGTCAATCATCCAAGTCGCACGCGACCGAGGTGGTTGTGAGGCACCTTTGTTGAGCGCGTAGAGCCCCTTGATGAGGTGCATGGTGGTGGTGGGGTCGGGAATGGGCGGCGTGAAGTGCTGAAGGGTGATCTGCAGTCGCCGCTTGACCTCTGGTGGCTCGTCGGGCGGTTGCAGCACACCCGCTGTGTAGGCATCGTTGAACACCTTCATGAGCGTGGTGGCCTTCTCCAAGACGTAGGAGCGCTCCTGCACACGGCGTCAGCAAGGAGGACACTGACGATGTTGATGTTGACGTTGATGGTGGTGCACTGGGACGAGGGTGCGGTGGGTACCAGGTAGCGAAAGCCGACGCAGAGGATATCGACGGCCCGATGGAAGCGCACGAAGGAACGGGAGAAGAGGCTGAAGAAGGTTTGCTCGTTGGCGGCGAGCAGGTCGACTCGCATCTGTGCCAAGTGGCCTCGCACAAGCTTCAGCGTGTCTTCGTACAGCCTTGGCTGATGCCGCTGGCAACACACGTTGTACACCGTTCTGGGCACACAAAACAGGAGACACGCACGTACAGAGTCGGTGCCGAACACGGACAGCGGGAAGGAGGGGAGCCACAAGCGGTGCCCAAGAAGAAGTAGGAGGAGGATACCTGTAGAGCTCTTCCTGCATTATTTGCTTCTCGGGATGCATCAAAATTTCAATAACTGCAGCTGAAATCTTCGGCCAGTACTCAGTTTGATAGCTGTTTTGTGAAGGAGGGGGCGGCACCACAGCAAGGCCATTAATATCTGTCCCATGTGAATGAATGGATTGACTTAATTACCTTTGTGTTGTAATTGTCGTGATTTTTGGGGCGCGCATGACGACCGCTGCGGGTGCCGCTGTCCGCGGGGCAGAGGAAGACGAAGAAGAGGAGGACATCATCATCATTGCCTCCAACACGTGCAGCTAGCTGCTCCCGTCACTCGAATCATCCAAACACGATCTGCTTTCGTGTTGTTTCAGTAAACGCTTTATTGTTTTGTTTTTTCTTCGAACCTTTTCGTAAGACACCAGGGGACCCCAGTAGATGAAGAGGAGGTCCGTCAGGAGGCTGGGCTTGTGGCTCGAGTGACAGTGGTAGTTGTATCACTTTATGTTCCCCACACCAAAAAAATGAGACACCGTGGGGCAGCACACCCACCTCCACGGTGTCTCCTCTCTCAACGAGTGGACACACACTTTATCCGCTCTTGTTGACCTTCTTCTTGGGCTGCTGCTGCTTCCTCTTGCGGAGAGCGGGATCGGCAGCGGTACCGGCGAGCCAGTCATCCTCGACCTCCTGCCTGACCTTGGTGCCATACTCGACCTTCTTGGACGACTTCTGCTTCTGTTGAAGGAGAAGAGATGAACGAGCATGAGGATGGCGGCCCTCATGCAGACTTGTGTGCGTGGCAAGACGATGATGCAGCTGTATGGGCAGCTGGACAAGTGCGTACCTTGGCCCAGGTGCTGAGCGAACGGTAGGCGAAGAAACCGCCAACACCGAGGAGAGCGAGCACGGCGAGCACAGCGAAGAAGCTGCGTGGGGCGAAGAAAGACGTGTCAACACCCCGTAGGAAGGTAGAGCAGTGGAGATGGAGATGTAGCGATTTTAGGGAGATGGGGGACAAGTTTGGAGGGCTTTCTTTACCTCTGGGCATCCCAGCCAACGACGGGCTCGACGAGATCGACGGTGCCGTTGAAGGCGGCGTTGGTGTAGTTCCTGCCCGTGGCGTCCTTGTAGTAGACATTCACGAGGAGACCGAAATCCCTGGGCTCCAACATGGCGTCGGGCCTGAACATGTAGGAGAGGGTGACCTCCTGAGTGGCCTGAACGGGCATGCCGTACTCCCAGCGAGAGAACTGCACAGACCCAGAAGATTGACTGTGAGCCACAAGAGAATTACGGCGGCGAATCGCATTAGGCCAAATTAGACTCCACGTACGTTCTGGATGTAGTAAGAGAAGTCCTGGGGGAAGTTGAAGGAGGCATCGATGAAGGTGATGTTGTACTGACGCGAACCCTTGTTCCTGAAGCCAACAAGCACTTCGACGGGCTCACCAGCAGTGAACTCTAAATTTTCGAATCGTGCGGAAACCCACATCAGAACACTGGCCAATTGAGAGCCGAGAGGCGCAACAGAAGCAGATCATCCTCCTCTTAAATTGAGAGAAGAAAGATGCGCAGTGCAAGTAGAAAAAGGCAGCTAAATCGAAAAAATAAGGAGCTAATCGAATGAAAAGAATGAGCGAATCGGGGGGGGACACTTACGCCGGGCAGCGTTGTCAGGGAAGACATAGCTGGTCACGACATCCTCAGCGGCAGTGGGGAGAACAGCCTCCTCTTGGAGAAGATCGGCAATGTTCGTTGGCGTCAGATTGGACTGCGCATTGATGGCAACGAAGGAGAAGAGAAGGAAGCAGAGGATGGAGGCGAGGAAGGATCTCATCTCGAGTGTGTAGTTGTGTGGAAGTGAGAGGAGAGATTATAAATAAATGTATATCTTCCCTCTCGACGTCGATCAAGTCGCAGCTGGAGATGAAGGCAGATCCGCTGCAGAGTCACCACAACAGCCTAAGTCGGTGCGCTGACAAGGATTCCACCAAAGTCAACGCTTTTATCGACACAAATGTTTTTCTCTTCTCTTTTCTCTTCTTCTTTCGCATGCTTTGGTGTTATGCAGGTGGAGGAGAGAGCTGCACGTCGTCGATGAACAGCTTGATGTCGTGGATGGGGTACGGATTGTTCGAGTCCAGCAGGTAGGCGTAGGTCGTGTGGCGCACGAAGGGTCGCTCCGCCTCGGTGTCGATCTCGACCACCGAGTAGTGGAACGTCCACGTGTGCGTGAAGAGAGTGCGCGCTTCGGGCCGCGTCTTGTTGTCCCCGTTGGGCGCGAGCACGTTGGGGAAGAGCGGGAACGTGTGGATGGGGCTCGTGGCGAACTCGTAGAGGCCCTTGCGGTGCTCGAACGCGCCGGCCCAGTGCACGTCGCCCGAGAGAAGGACAACGCCGCGCATGCTGCGGTCCTCCATGAAGTCGAACAGCTCCTCTCGCTCGTGCTCAAAGAAGGCCCTGATGTGGTGGTGTGCGTTGGCAATGATGAGTTGTGAGAGTACCAACCAACCTTTTGTCGAAGCGAGGAGGCAAAGTGTGCTGCTACGATGTACCATCCATCGGCGGGGCCGCCCACGGAGGCAAACATGCCGGGAGAAGCGATGAAGCGGAAGGCCAGTGTGTCATTGGTCTCGACAAGCCAGCGCTTGAGGCACTCCTTTTGTTGTGCGCCCAACATGGTCTTGTTCGGGCCGTCTTGTTCATAGTTCCCGCTACGATACGGCCTCTGAAGACAGACAGGCCGGCAAGTAGTGAGCGTAACAGAGTAGTAAAGGCGGGATCGGGGCAGCTAAAAGGGCGACTCACCTCGTCCAACACAAAGAATCCCACGTTGCCCACCGTAAAGCTGTAGTAGCGCTTCCTCTCCGCAAAGGGGACCTCGTGCAGCGGGCGTTCCTGCGGCAGCTCGGGGTTGGCACTGCCGATGAACGCATCGTACGCCTGTCCACACGAGTCGACGCCTGCTGTTAGCGAGGCCTCGGGCGCGCCGTGGCTCGACGAGATCGAGGTACCTCCATGGCGTCCCTGTACAAGGGGAGGTCCGCGCCACGGTCCCAGTTGTTGGCCAGCTCGTGGTCGTCGTAGATGGCATAGCGCGAGGCGTCCTTGAAGAAGCGCGCGTAGTGTGCATCGGTCAACAGCTTCCTGTAGGCCCGCTCGAACGGCATCGGAAAGGGCAGATCCGCATACACCTACACGGCACGGCACGGCACGGCACGGCACGGCACGGCACGGCACGGCACGGCACGGCACGGCACGGCACGGCACGGCACGGCACGACCAACGACACGACCAACGACACGACACGGACATCGATTAATTGCCGCGCAAAGGCGACGACGCGCGCGTGGCTGGTGGCGGCGGCGTACGATGTCGCCCAGGATCAGAGCGAAGAGCGGGTCGTAGAGCCGCTTCCAGGTGCTGAGGACCTCGAGCGAGTCGAAGGGCCACGGGAAGCCCATCTCGATGCAGGACCCATAGACGAACGATAAGCGCGCGCCCTCGCCCACCGGCGGATACGTGCGGAAGCGGTGGACTTCGGAGGTGGACGCCGCCGAACCTGATCCACAGTGCACGCGGCATTGTGAGCTTGTGCAGGCACTGCACTGCGAGCGGCGATGAAGAGGAAAGGAGCAAGGGGGGTACTTGGGTCGGACTTGAAGAAGAGGACCCGGTAGTGGTAGGTCGTGTTGGGTGTGAGCTCGTTGAGGTCGACCACCAGCGTCCAATGTCGCTCCTTGGCGCTCTCCACGCGCTGCACAGCGCTCGCTTGCCACACCTCCCCACCCTTTTGCCCCAATAAATAAATAAATAAATAAATAAATAAGATTAATACAAAATAAATAGGCGTACCAGGCTTGCTGGACGGTAGTGGACGAGGACGTGGGAGTGGTGGGCGGCGTAGACCCACACGCGGGCTGTTCGATCAGTGACGGCACCCAGCAGGAACTCCGTCTCGAATTGTGGATCGTGCAGGCGATTTCGGACATAGATGAATGAGCCGAGGAGGACCGGAAGCAGCAGGACAAATGCCAGAAGCTTGCATCTCCGCCAGCTCGACGCCGTAGCTCGTCCCCTTGAGGTGGCCGGTGGTTCGAGCTTCTCAACAGGCTTGCATCGAAGCGGCTGCACCTCACCGGCGGTGACCGTGGCCCTCTTGCGCATCTGAGCTGCTCCACAAACACTATTTTTTTTTATTTACAAATAATTATTTGTTTTGCATTTCCTTTGGTTTTGCCGGGTGTCCGAGGGGCAAGGCAGTGTTACAGTACACCCTTGCCACGCGACAGGAGCGTCTGGACGTACTGGAGCTGCGCCTGAGTGTCGTCGTCTTGCAGCTGGCCGAGGGCGATGGCCTCGTTGACCAGCCGGAAGATGGCCGTGAATGCCGGCCCGGGCTCCACACCCAGCGCCGTCAGCGCCTTGCCATCTATGCCTCTGCACGCGACCAGCCACGCAGCGGTTGAGCAAGCAAGGGTCGTGTGTGAGTGTAGGTGCGTGTGTATGGTGTGTGTGTTGTGTGTGTGTGTGGTACGTACAGCTTTGGCTTGCCGAGCAGCTTGAGCTCTTCGACGATGAGGCCTCGCGCCAGCCGCTCCTCGTCCTCCTTGCTGGTGATCTGCCCGTTGAGCTTCGCGCGGAGGAGTGCGTCGAGCACGGTGCGGTAGTGCGGACCGGGTGGGAGACCCATTCTGATCAGGTCCTTGCCGTCGGTCTCCACGGTGACATAGCGCAAGTGGGTGAGGTAGACCACGATGTGCCTTCGCTCTTCTTCGCTCCTTTGCTTGTGAGCCATCATGTACAACAGCCCCTCTGGGAGACCACGTTCAGCACACCGCACACGCGCGCACGCACGCACGCACGCACACCACACACACCACACACACACACACGAAAAAGAGAACGAACCGAGAGGAATAGGGTGCATGATGCTGTAAAGATCGCTCAGTTGGTTGTGCCGTTCCTCGGCCGTATCGTCGCCTTCTTGGTGCGCCTCCCTCGCTTCAATCCACCTGAGTTGAGAGTTCGTACGTCGTGCCAGCCCATAAGTCAGCTGCGATCGGGGAAAAAAAGAATAGCGACAGCCTACCGTTGAAGGGCCACATGCGCCTTGTGCGTAGCATCGCGCAGATCGCCAAATCGTGCTTTGATACTCTCGGGGAAGAGGAATCGGTCCATCAGCGCTTCCAGCTCGGCCGGCCTGCCCGCGTTGGTGTCAGAGACGCCGCAGCCGAGATTATGAGCCACGAGAGGCGGTGGGCGTACTTTCGAATGTGGCAGCACAGGGTCAAGAAGAAGCACTTCCACCTCTCCGGTTCCGGTCGCAGATGCGACAGTTCGTACCATTCGAGCACGTCCTGCATCAGCCTGGCCACCACACGTGATATGAAATTCCCGCCTTCATTGTTGTGGTGTGGTGTGTGTGTTGTTTGGAGAGAGCGTACTTGAGGTCCTGGTCAGTTGGATAGAGCGACTTCCACGGAGGGAAGACGTGCTCGGGCAGGTGAAGCTGTCGCAGTCTCTGCAGGCACAACAGCGCACACTCGCCGCGCTCGTCGAGCAGGTGCTGGAATTCGTTCCAAGCTCGACTGCCGCTCAGCTTGTTGAAAAATCCCTTGTCTATGGCGGTGCGCAGTAGTCGCAGCGACTGCTTCTCTGCATGACGTGGCCATTTGTGGGAGAAAGTACGAGTCAGTTGAAAACAACAGGCGTGGTGCAACATACGCGACCTTGGGGGGAGGGTAGTACCGATGGTGAATCCATAGCGCTGCTCGAAACGTACGGCGCGCAGAATGCGCGTGGGGTCCTCAACGAAACTGATTGTCGGGATGCAGGAAGATAGTTAGGAGCTACCACCGATTGGTTGGTGCGCTCTTACCTGAGAGAATGCAGCACGCGCACCACCTTCTGGCGTAGGTCGTTGATACCGCCAAAATAGTCGACGAGCGTGCCCAGTCGGCCCTTGGTCAGCTCGATTGCCTGTAGACACACACACACACACACACACACACACACACCACGACACACACACACAACAACCTCAGCTCGTGCCTTAAGAGGGACGGAAAGGGCCAAATGGAAGGCAGGCGAGCACCATCGCATTGATTGTGAAGTCTCGCCGGTAGAGGTCCATCTTCAGCGATGACAACTCCACACAGGGGAGGGCCGCAGGGCTGGGATAGTACTCGAGTCGCGCGGTCGCCACGTCTATACAGATGCCGCTGGGCAGCTTGACCAGCGCCGAGCTGAACTTGTGGTGGTGCTTCACCTGCCCTCCGGTCGCCTGATTCAAGAAATCATGTGAGCGAGTGTGTCGTGTACATTCGCCTCCATCCTTGGGCTCATCGAGGCGTAGCACCTTGGCCAGCTTGTCCGCGAATGTCAGGCCATCGCCTTCGACTACCAAATCGATGTCCTGCACCCAAGCCAAAGTGAAGGGGGTTGAGGTGAGAATTCAGGGAATTGGTCGCAGTGCAATGTGGTGGCAGGTACCTGGTTGGGGGTGCGGAGGAAGAGGTCACGCACGAACCCGCCGACGACGTAGACGCGTGTGTTCATGCTGTGCGCGATGCTTCCGGCCTTCTCCAGAAACGAGAACACCTCTGCTGCGAGCGCGCCTTTCACCAGATCCCGCACGTTGCTGCCGTCGCCCACCTAGAGCACAGCGCAGCCGGATGGGTAAGCCAACCCGGCGGTATGCGAGGAATGTGTAGGCGCGCAGCACCTTGGATTTGCTTTGCGTGGGCTCCTGGGCGGCCTTGGCCTTGGCCTTGGCAGGTTTCTCGGTCGAGTGGCGATTGCCGGCGTCGCCGACGAGTTTGCCCTGTTGCTGCCGACGTTGCTGCTCCTTCTCCTCGAGAAACGAGATGGGGAAGCGCGAGGGCTGGTGGATGAGCAGATTGACCAGGTCCGCCTTGGATATGACCCCGACCAGCGTGAGCGGCCGCGCACTGGCGTCACCGGCATCGCCTCCACCACCATCACCAAAACGGCCCAGGATCGGAATGAGGCGTTGGCCCTTGCCCATCATCAGCTCTGCGCGGCGATCGGGTGTGTGAGACGCACGCGCAAGGTTGAACATAATGAAGAGGAGGGGGCGCAAGGTGTACCGACGGCCTGGAAGAGTGTGTCGTCGGTCGTGAGCGTATCGAAGTCCATGTCCATGTACTCCTCCACGGTCACGTCCTCCAGGCCGTGCGACACTGCCTTTTCGGCCACCGCTCTATCGATGATACCCACAAGCTGGCGCGTAGAAACGTATACATACGCACACGAGCCAACCAGGCTGGTCAGAGACTCGAGCAGGAAGTCCTGGGCTTTGTCTTTTACCTTGGCGTGGGGTTGAATGAAGCTGGGCAGGTCGCTTCTGGGCGCCGACGGCGGCTCTCCTTCGAGCACCGGCATCTTCTTGAGATCGAATCGACCGAACAGTGCGCGCGCTTCGCCCAAGGTTTGTTTACTTTCCCCACCGCCCCCGCTAAAGTGAGTTTTTCCCTTCACGCACCCAAGCGAACGCCACAACCAGGTGTATTGGGGGGAGGGGGGAATGGGCTACCTGTAGGCGACGATGGGTGCCTTGGTAACGAGATCCTTCATCTCGCCCAGACTGCCGTGTTGCTCGACCTGCGAGACCACCAGGGCGAAAAGGCGGTTCTTCACCTGCGCCACACCGTTGACGGGTCACGAATGAGCAAAAGTGCGCCCCGCACACGCGTGCAGTTGCCCGTGTAAGAGTACCTCCTCCAGAGTGAGGTCGAGTATCGTGGCCGATGCGGCGCTGTAGTGTCCTCCGCCACCAAAACTTGAGCATATCCGACCCACGTCAATCCTACTCTTTCCTGCGCAACACGCAACACGCAACACGAACACACGCACACGCACACGCACACACGCACACACGCACACACGCACACACGCAACTACAAGTGTAAGGAATACAGCCCCTCACGCCACCAGGCTCGGGGAGAGCTCTACCTGAAGGTGACCGGGACCGAGCCACTAGCACGACCCTTCCCCGGTCCTCCATCACGCCGAGGCCAAACACGGCACCGTGGATGTTCTCCTGTCGATCACGCGATCTTTAGTAAACGTCAATGGTGCGTGAGCGAATGTGAGAAAGGGGTGGGGGGGGGTCGCACCTGGTCCATAAATCGTTGCACCAAGGCGGAGAAGTTGTTCACGTAGATGGGCGCGACGATGTGCGTTATGACCGCCTTTTCATCACCCACCGTATGTGTAACGGCATTGCACTCGAGTTGTTTGAGAATGCTGCCGCCGGAACCTGACACAGTCAAGCGAGCCTCTCAACAGCGCGTACAACCACGCACACCGAGCGCAGCGACACACACACACACCTCACACCACACACACACACCACACACCACACACCACACACCACACACCACACACACGTGTCAGCTTACCCTCAGAATCTCCGTATGCGGTGGTGACGGTGTTTGCGACGTTGGTCAGCTTGTGCTGGTGGTCCAAGATATCGGAGAGACGCATAGGTCCGAACTCGGGCGTGAGCAACAGCGCGGCAGCCTCGAAGTCCTCCTTCGTGGTCGACGAGAACCCGAAGCTGCCCGTGTCGCTGTAGATGCCCAGCCCGCACAGGGTGGCTTCGTCCGGCGTGAGGTAGGGCGGCTTGACTTCGCCATTCTTTTCTACACACACAATCACACACGACACACACGACACACGCACACACGACACACACGACACACACACACAAGGCCAATCGTTGGTCATGTCATCAATCAATGGCTGACACAAATAATACAAGCGCAAGGAAAAGAGTTGGCGTTGGTATCTCTACCTTTGATCTTCTTGGCCAACTCGTGCAAGAGGAGTGCGGTGCACGAGCCGAGCGGCTTCACCAGGCAGTGGTCCGCCAGGGCCGGTATGTCCTCGTCCGAGGGCGGGTGGTGATCGTAAACAAACACCTCGTTCTTCTTCGTTCCTGGGCCTATAATGCAGAATTGAAGAGATGCACTGGACGCTATGATTACACTCACTCCTCGCGCCGCCGGAGCCTCACAACAGTGAAAGAAGCCACCATCGTCTCGGGCGGGGGACTAGTTTAGGCCCAGGAAACAGATTGAGACGGGAAAACGCACCAGGCGGCACCAGGAGTGGTCCGGCGTGGGTGAAGCGCGAGCGGCGCCGGCCATCGACGATCACCAAGCGCAGCCCCTGTGGTCCCTCTCCATCCTCGCTGTGGGAGTCCTTGGCACTTGCTGCCGCCCCCGCGACAGCCTGTGCGCCGAGCGGACATGCCAGCGTGGCGATGAAGTTGTGCGACTCCAGAAACTCCTCGTTCCTGTTGACCCAGTCCTTCACCAACGGGTCCAGCGAGTCGGGATACAGGATCGGTATGTGCTCTGCGCCAGCGGGCAGTGAGCAGCGAAATCAGAACAAAATCAACAGCGAGTTCTGCTGTGCAGGATTGGATGAAGATTTCGAATCGATGGAAAAAAAGAGCACCTGGTGCATCGGCACAAAACTTGGGGCCGTGCAGGAGGCGCCCCAGCACGCAAGAGGCCAGGGAATCAAAGTCTGCGTTGAGGTGCCCCACCACCAGCGTCTGCATCTGTATTTTTATTTTGTTTTTATTTTGTTCGTTTATTTGCAAATAAACGTCCAAAATAAAAACAAAAAGAATGCACGGTGAACAGAACAACAACCGGTCGCAGAGAGGCAAACAGCGGAACAAGGAAAAAACATCAGAAAGAAGCCACAGCGAAGTGCCCCCCCGCTCCCGTAGGCCCCAGGTGCTAAGGGTCTCGTGAAAAGGGTGGTGTTCTCCGTCAGCGAAAAAGTTTAGGTGGCGATCGCCCGGCAGTGACAGAAGGAATCAGAACCAGGGCAATGGTGGCGTCGTAATCTCTGTCGCCGCGGAGTCATCTCTGCAACTTGACCTTACACCGGGCTCTGTCACCTCCGCGGATCCACCGCGCCACTTCACGGTTGGCTCTCTGTTGCTGATAGCAACATGCATGGCACTGATTGGTTGCTACCCGAAGTCAACCGTTCTTCTTGGGTCTCGTTTGCCGTCACACCCGCCCGCACACACGCACCTTCGCTTCCCCTCCCCCCCAGCCATTCACTCCTCCTTCCCCCGTCCCCAACACACCAACACACGCAAGCCTAGCGGCCTTTACCCACCACCGGGCTCGTGTCCTTCTTGCACCCACCCGACCACATCATGAAGGTCTTCTACAGCGTTATTGTGGGCGTCCTTCTATTGTTCATGTTCCATGACGGTACCTGCCCCGACCTCATCTTCTCAAGATCAAGAAAGCCGGAAACGTCGAAAGATGTCCGCCGTGGTCAGATGATTTTGTAGCTCACGCCGGGCGTTCGGGGCGGTTTCTATGTTCGTGTACACAAAGTAGGGGCCGCGAACGGAGTCAACCTCTACGGGGCCGGCACCTCGAGTGCCCAGCCCGTCTACGATGCCTGGGTCAAGAGCTACCTCTTCACCAGGGACGATGTCAGGTACCAAACCGCCACCTCGCGGCCGCCTTTTCTATTTTTGTGCCCACTCATCGATGGGCGTGGTTCTTTCGTTCGGCCGGTTGATCACACACGCGTTCTAACACGTGTTTTATCTCCGACCCGTGTGCGTAGCATCACCTACGGCTCGGTGGGCACCAACCCGGCCTTGACGGCCTACACCAACGGCGAAGCGGTATGCCACACAGCTTGCTGCACACAGTCAGGTCCGAAAAAGACAAGATTCTCAAACTTCGCCATGTTGTCACCCCACGCAGGACTTCATCAGCTTGGACCGAGCCATCCCCGCAGCCCAGGCGGCCACCTACGGCGACCTTGCCCAGTTCCCCCTCGTGGGCCAGGCCCTCGTGATGGGCTACAACGTCCCCGAGCTGCCGAACAACACCCACCTGGTATGATACTAAAACTCCGCCAACCCCGATCGAGCTCCGGCTTTTTGTCGCACGCCATTGGTGGGGGATGATCCCCAGAAGTGTTACTAAGCGAGCCACTCGATTATATCGCGCAAACAGGTTCTGGACCGGCACGCCCTCGGGCTGATCTACTGCGGCGCCATCCGGTACTGGGACGATGCGGCCATCAAGGCGCCCAACACGGACGCCGTCAAGGCTCTGCTCCCGCACCAGCCCATCCTGGTGGGCTATTCGGACAACGCCGGCATCAGCGTACCGGCCGTCTTCAAGGGCGCCCTCTCCAGCTTCAGCCAAGAATTCGCAGACGCCCTGGCCGCGGCCAACGACACCTTCGCCCTCATGTTCCCCGACAACACCACCGGGCAAGCGGCCGGTTCGAGCGGTTCTGCGCGTGTGACCTGGGTTAAGGTACCGTCATCTCGGCCCGAAAAGCTTGAGCTAGAGTGTTTGTGCGAGGCGCCGCACACTCCATTAACTCACGACACGTTCGCCTGACGATATGCAGAACAACACCTACTCGATCACGTTTGTCAACTACTACGACGCCGTGAACTACAGTCTCCCCTACGCCCACATGGTCAACCAGGCCGGCACCACTGTGGCGCCCACGACGGAGTCCGTGCAGTCGGCCATGGCTGACTACATCACCGAGCTGGCGGAAAACAACTTCGCAATCGACATCTTTGACGGCAATGGAACCGACAGCTGGCCCATGCCGTACATGTCCTTCTTCTCCATGAACCGCAACGTCACCACCTTCGACTGCACCAACATCCTCGAACTGCTCAACTTCGTCGCCTGGGTGCACACCAACGATGCGTGCGTCATCTCACTTCAACCCAGTTCCTCATCAACCGTGGTTGCCTATGAGATCATGAAAACCAACTGTGTTGGCCGTTCTTCATAAACGAACAGGGCGTCGCAGGTGATGATCGACCTCAACTTCGTGCCGCTCGACGTCACCTACCGCAAGAAGTTGATCGACCTACTTGCGACTGTCCGGTGCAACGGCGCGCAGGCCTACACGACCAACTTCCTCCTGGGCTCGGGTCCCTCGCTCCCGCTCTACACCTCGTTCGCCGTCGCCCGTAGCTCGACCACGACCAAGCTCAAGTTCTACCAGACCACCGCCAACGCCGCCAAGCAGCAGCTGATCACCTACGACTCCGACTTCGGCGCCACCAACAACGGTCTGTCTTCGTCCTGGGTCAGCCAGATGCGCGACGCCGCGCTCCTCCCCGTCACCGTGTTCGCCATCGTTCCCGGTAGGTGGCACACGCACACACCACCGCACACACGCTGCGGACCACACCCACTTGGCTGACATAATTGTCGCGGCTGATGCCAGGATACAACGTGCCGGAGCTGAAAGGCTTGGATCTGGTGCTGGACTATGAAACGATTGCTGCCATCTATTTGGGTGCGTGCCAATATGCATCACACACGCCTGAGCGCATTCATTCTGCAAATGCAAAAAAAAACTCACCTCTGCCGTTTTCACAACACAATAGGCAACATATCGATGTGGGACGATGACCGCATCAAGGCCCTCAACTCGGAGGAGGTCGTGAACAATCTGCCCAGCCAGCCGATTCTGGTGGCCACCCAGAACATCAGCTCGACCCTCACCCAGCTGTTCGTGTCCGTGCTGCGGGCCAACGTCCCCGGATTCAGCGACTTCGTGAGCAGCTCCACCAACCCGAGCTTCCCGGTCCAGTCGACCAACCGGTCGCTCGTCACAACCGCCGCGGACGGTGTGATGCCGCTCCTCAACGCCAACTCCTATTCGTTTGCCTTCTGGCAGCTCTACGACATCTCCCTGGTAAGCAAGCAGTCCATGTGCATTTCACCTTATCTGACCTTGGCTGACACCGCGCCGCACCAACTTTATGTTATCCCGTGTAGACGCGCACGACCCAAGCCGCGGCGCTGAGCGTCAATAACAAGACGGTGGCGGCCTCGGACGACACAGTGAAGAACGCGCTGGAGGAGTATCTGGCCAGCGGCTCCTTGGACAGTCTCCCCTTTAACGCGCTCACCTCTGGTGCGTCTCCCACATGCAAACGCACCCAATGCGGCAAAACTGATAGACGCGGTGCGATGGGCGTATGCAGTGACGGGCGAGAGCAGCTGGCCCATTTCGACCTTCGGCTCGTTCATCTACCGCCAGTCGACGATGCAGGACTGCAGCAAGGCCGAGGCCCTGTCCAGCTTCTTCGTCTGGGCGCTCAACAACACCGCGTCCCAGCAGATCGCCGAACGCCAGGGCTTCGTGCTGACCTCGTCGTCGCGGACCCTGATGAAGCGGTTCTGGAACCTGCAGAAGAATTTCACCTGCGAGGGCGTGGCGGTGAGCTCCTACTACAACTGCATCATCGGCGGCACGGTGTGCTCCGACGCCGGCCTCTGCGTCGCCAACGAGTGCGTGTGCAATGCCGACAAGACCGGAAAGTACTGCGAGACCGACATCTCGTCATCCAGCTCGGACTCGACAGTCATCGTCCTTGGTACGTTGATCACATACGACACACACGACACAACACGACACGACACACGCTGACCTGAAATTGGTGTAGCTGTGATCATTCCGGTTGTGGCGGTCATCTTGTGTCTGCTGCTGGCCTTCATCGTCGGCCTCATCGTGTGTCTCAAGCGGAAGAGCAACTCTAACGACGACTGGGAGATCAACTACGACGAGCTCGAGGTCGGCGAACAGCTGGGCGCCGGCGGCTTCGGCGAGGTCAACAAGGCCGTGTGGAAGGGCACCGAGGTCGCCGTCAAGGTCATGGCTTCGGAAAAGTTCACCAAGGAGATGGAAAAGAACTTCAAGGACGAGGTACGCACGACACGACACGACACGACACGACACGACACGACACGACACGACACGACACGACACGACACGACACGACACGACACGAGCACACATGCTCACCTCGGTGGGGTATCTATTCGGCAGGTGCGCGTGATGACGGCGTTGAGGCATCCCAACGTGGTGCTGTTCATGGCCGCGTCGACCAAGGCTCCCAAGATGTGCATCGTCATGGAGTACATGGCCCTCGGCTCCTTGTTCGACGTACGCTCCCCCCCCCCTAATCTCTTCTTCTGCCGAAGAGAAACTGATCCCTTACCAAATCCCTCATTCTTGTCGACGCAGTTGCTGCACAATGAGCTCATTCCGGACATTCCATTCGCGCTGAAGGCCAAGATGGCGTACCAAGGCTCGAAGGGCATGCACTTCCTGCACTCGTCGGGCATCGTGCACCGCGACCTCAAATCGCTCAACCTGCTGCTCGACTCCAAGTGGAACGTCAAGGTCTCCGACTTTGGTCTCACCAAGTTCAAGGAGGACATGAAGAAGGGCGGCACCAAGGACATCGCCGGCAGCGTCCACTGGACGGCGCCCGAGATCCTCAACGAGGTGACCGATGTGGACTTCATTCTCGCCGACGTGTACTCCTTTGGCGTCATCCTCTGGGAGCTCCTCACCCGCGAGCAGCCCTACTTTGGCATGAGGTGCGCACACACTGCGACCGCACACACACACCACCGCACACCCCGCGCATAACTCGCATTCTAACGATCTTTTTTCTCACTGGTATTTAGTCCCGCGGCTGTGGCGGTGGCAGTGATCAGGGACGGGATTCGGCCCAAGATGCCCGATTCGGGCAGCTGCCCGGTCGAGTACGAGGAGCTGATCGTCAACTGCTGGCACTCGGACCCGACGATCAGGCCGACGTTCCTCGAGATCATGACCCGCCTCAGCTCGATGAACGGTGACACCACCGGCAACAGCGCGACCTACACCTCCAAGACCGGGTCGTCCTCGTCGGGCAACTCGGGGCCGAAGCCCAACATCTACGGCTCGTGGACCATGCCCTCCAACACGAGCGGCTCCACGTCGGGCAACTCGTCCAACAAGTCCGGCTCGTCGAACAACTCCAAGAACATGTCCGCCAACCAGGCCGCGGCGGCGGCCGGCGGCATCCGCGCGCCCGAGGGCGAGGTGACTATCGTGTTCACCGACATCACGCGCGCCGCGTCGCTCTGGGAGTTCAACCCATCGGCCATGCGCGACGCCACGCTGCTGCACAACGACACCCTCCGCACGGTGCTCAAGAAGCACCGCGGCTACGAGGTGGTGTTCATCCGCGACCGCAACTCGGGCGAGGGCTCGTTCTGCATGGCCTTCCAGAACACCATCGACGCGCTCAGCTGGTGCATGGAGGTGCAGCAGGAGCTGCTCCAGGTCGAGTGGCCCGAGGCCCTGCTGGACCACCCGGGCGCGGCCGAGGAGTGGGGCGACACCGATGACCGCGTGCTCTACAAGGGCCTGCGCGTGCGCATGGGCGTCCACGTCGGCACCCCGCGCATGGTGCGCGACCCTATGACCCGGCGCGTCGAGTACATCGGCCCGGCGGTCAACGCCGCGGCGCGCATCACGGCGCTCACCCACGGCGGCCAGATCCTGATGAGTCACGCCGCCTTCTTAAAGGTAAAGGACACCGACTTGGCCCGGGAGACCAACCGCATGGCCTCGCTGGGCAAGTTCGAGATGCCCGACGCGCCCCAGGGCTCCAAGCTGTTCGAGCTCAAGGCCCGTGGGCTCGAGGGCCGCTTCTTCGGCGGCGTGTCCAAGGACATCGAGCTGCCGTCCAACACCACCCCGTCGACCGGCTCCGGCTCGGACAAGGCGACCACGCCGCGCGGCAAGGGCAAGAAGAACGGCGACGACGACCAAATCAAGGATATGAGCGCCGTGTCGGCGACGTCGAGCAACGGCGAGGTGCAGCAGTTCGTCGGCGAGGGAATGATGTTCAAGGAGGATAACTTCCTCACGTCGGCCAACCTGTGCCGGTGGATCATCGACTACAACGAGATCCAGGTGGGCAAGCAGATCGGCCTCGGGTCGTACGGCGTGGTCTACCGCGGCAAGTGGAAGGGCGTCGAGGTGGCGGTGAAGCGGTTCATCAAGCAGAAGCTGGACGAGCGGCGCATGCTCGAGTTCCGCGCGGAGATGGCCTTCCTGTCGGAGCTGCACCACCCCAACATCGTGCTCTTCATCGGCGCCTGCGTCAAGAAGCCCAACCTGTGCATCGTGACCGAGTTCGTCAAGCAGGGCTCGCTCAAGGACATCCTGGGCAACAACGCCATCAAGCTCCCGTGGCGGCTCAAGCTCAAGGTGCTGCGATCGGCGGTGCTGGGCATCAACTACCTGCACTCGCTGCACCCGGTGATCGTGCACCGCGACCTGAAGCCGTCGAACCTGCTGGTCGACGAGAACTGGAACGTGAAGGTGGCCGACTTCGGGTTCGCGCGCATCAAGGAGGAGAACGCGACCATGACCCGCTGCGGCACGCCCTGCTGGACCGCGCCCGAGGTCCTCCGCGGCGAGAAGTACGACGAGAAGGCCGACGTGTTCTCGTTCGGCGTGATCATGTGGGAGGTGCTGACGCGGAAGCAACCCTACGCCGGGCGCAACTTCATGGGCGTCTCGCTCGACGTGCTCGAGGGCAAGCGGCCGCAGATCCCCAACGACTGCCCACTCGACTTCAAGAAGATGATGAAGAAGTGCTGGCACGCCGATGCGGCCAAGCGTCCGCTCGTCGAGGACGTGCTGGCCTACTTCGACAAGCAGGTCGGCGATGAGGACATCGAACACATCGCCTAAAGCTCTTTTCTGTACTCTACACCGGCTTCTGTACTCTACATCGGCACCGGCTTCCGGCCCACCAGCTGTAACCATACATCAATCAAAACAACCTTCCTCCGTTTCCTATCGAAGAAAAAAAAAGAAATTCAAAATTTACAGAAGAAAGCGAAACGGATAAAACTAAAGAGCCAAACGCACATCTCGATCAGACAACCGCCAGGCATCAGTTCTTTGAGGAGTAGGTTCGCGCTCCTTGTTCCAACAAGGGTTTATCACCTGGCACTTTTCTTTTCATTATCTAATTGCGATTTTTACATCAAGCAAAATGTCATCCCCGCCATCGTCTCCGCTCACACCAACACAGCCCTATGCGCGCCCGGCACCTGCACCAACCACCACAGCCGAGTGGCAGCGCCGGTCACCGCCCCGCTCGCCCACCCTCTCGCCTTCCTCGTCGACTCCGTGGTCCAGTACGCCCTCTTCATCTCCTCTGTTGCGACCACCAGCGGCACGACCATCGCCATCTTCAGCTTCAACGTCGACCGCCACGACGCCGACCACAGTGGCCTCGTCGCCGCGCGCCTTGCTCACGCCAGCGATGGCCATGGCCCTGACCCAGCGTCGCTTTTCCTCGCCACGGCCGCTCTTGTACATGCCACCGCACATCGTCGCGAGACAGGAGGCGCCACCACCGTCCTCGTCGCCGTTGCCGCCCTCCGCGTCTTCGCTTCTCGCCGCCGCCATGCCGCGACCACCGCCTTCGCCGTTCTCTCCGGCCACGCACAAGCGCAAGCGAAGCCAGGCGGTCATGGACGATGCCGGGGGGAAAGGCGGCGGGGTGAGTGGTGCTCGAGCGACGTCGGACGCCGCGCCATCGATCAAGAAGAGGCTCTCCTTGCCCACCGCGACGCGTAACAGCAGCGGAGCGAGCACCAGTGTCGCAGCCACGACACCGTTCCCCGCGGCGGTGCGAGCATCGGGCTTGCGCCGACGACCTTCGCGACAGAGCTTTCCTCCCGCGCAAGCCAAGACTGTGGCGACTGATGCTGCGCCAACGGCGGCCGGCCCACCACCATCGTCGACTCCACGGCATGTGGCGCCTGCGAAGCCGATGGCGGCGACAGTGGAAGAGGAAGCGGAGAAAACGGAGGAAGAAGATCGCGATGAAGACGATGAAGAAGAGGGGGTGGGAGAAGGAGAGAAGCGTGCCGTTGCGGGAAGTCCGGCCAAGCAGCGCAAGAGAGCCCTGAAGCAGCAAAGCGAGCGGCCAGAGAGCGGCAACAAGCACGATGCGGAAGAGGCCAAACGAGTTTACTCGTACGCGTTGGCCCCTTGCTAACCGGCACGCAAGTCGTGTTGTGCGGTACCATGCGAGTGCGCGTGCTGAAGCGTGTCTCTATTTCGTGTTTGCGTGCAGGTCGTCGCTCTTTGCCAAGCTCCTCAACAAGCAGCTGTTTGGCGAGTTCGTCAGGCAGATGGATCCGGGCATCAAAGTCGCTCCTGACGCCTACGAGCAGTTGAACGAAGGGTACGGGACCACACACCTTTTGTCCACACATGCGTTAGCCTGATCATCGTGACGTGCGCACCTTCTTCAGTGTGGACTCTTTCTTCAAGTCTGTGTGCCAAGATTTGGCCACGTTTGCAGCAAACGACCAGCGAAGGACCATCAACACAAAAGACGCTGTAGAGATGCTGCACAAGTTGCGCGCCTCCCACGCTTCATTCAACGCGTGGGTTACTCATCGTGTGCTTTGTGGTGGCGGCGGCGGCGCGTAGGCACAAGGTGGTGGATGGGACCAACCGCACTGTGTCCGACATAGCACACGAGCACCTGCCGATGGAGCTGGTTGCGGAGGTGATCCCCGTGGCCAAGGCCAACAATGTCATCACTCGCACCAGGCCCTCGGTCCGCCAGCGATCCAGCAGAAGCGGCTTACACGAGGTGTTGTAGCTCGGTTGGCTCGGACAGGCAGGACACGTCAGCAGCGCGCTTAAATGGGGAATGCCAACAAGGAGAGCAGAAGTCGCCACGGCATTTTCCGGAGAGAAGAAGGGGGGCGAAGATTGAAGCCAACATCAGATCGATCAATTTTCCACACCCTCTCGCCCAAGATGATGTTCCTTCCTGTCGCCGTGGGCTCCGCCGTTGCCCTGATCGTTGGCATCATCTCCTTCCTCTTCGTTCCCGGCCCAGACAAGGCGTACGTTGGCCGTTAACGGCATGTTTGATGGGAATGGAAGGAATCATGAATCATCGCAAGGAATCGATCCTCACGACGATTCCCTTGTTTTTGCAGTCTTAACCGCACGGTGGCCGTTACCGCTATCGTCTGCTGCTGGCTCATGTATGCACCCCCCCCCGCACACACGCACACACATGAAGTTGTCGAAGCAGAAAGATCTTACTTTTTGCCCTTCCTCCTCAAGGTGGGTCTGCGTGTACATGTCGCAAATGTATCCTCTTGCGGCGCCACAGAGGGCGCTCGGCAACCACTCCTCGTAAACATAAACACAGCACAACATCATCTTTCTCTCTATGATAATTTATTTTCCCTCCCGTTCTTCCTGCAATTCAATCACCTTTTGGATGTGAAGTGGAGACTTCATTAAATAGACGACCACACCACATCTTTCATCGTCCCCGCCGCTCTTCCGTTCGTTCTCTGCTTGATTTGTTTTCGTTTTCCTCCATCCATTTACTTCCTCTTTTTGAGCTGCGAGGTGCTGAAATACGGGATGAGGTAGACGGCAGCCAGGACGGGGAGCGCGAGCGTGAAGAACGCGATCACGGGAGTGAGGTTGCTGCATTCGAGAAGGAGATGTGATGGAGGGGAGATCAGAAACCACACGGTGGGAGGCAACCGTGGCGAGGAGGAAGGCGTACAAAGTGCCCTTGGGGAAGGGGACACCAATCACGAGGGGGACAGCGTCGGTGCTGACAGTGCTGACGGCGTTGCCACCAGTGGTGTAGCTCACCTCGGCGGGAGGGAGCTCCACGACGGCCTCGGGCTCAGCAATGGTGAGGTGCACGTTCTTGTTCTTCACCTGGTACGAGTGGTAATACCACTCCTCGGTCGAGGGCTGAGCGGCCAGGGTTAGAATCCAAAAATCTTGGTGAATTAAATAAATGAAGGGGGCGAGCATACATCCTCAGCCTTCACAACGAGGTCACCAGAGACGAGATCAAGTTCCTCAGGGAGCGAATCAGCGATGTTGACGTTGGCCACGCGACCAGGCGCACCGATAACCTTGTAGCCAATCGTGACAGTGTACACGCCGGTCTTAGGACCAGCCTCCACAGTCTTGCTCACTTCGAGCAGGTTGGCGGCATTGGCGAAGAGGGCCAGGGAGGCGAGGCAGAGGAGGGCGACGATCACAGCGCAGCGCATCTTCATCCAATTGTGTGTACTGATCAAAAATCTGGCTCACAGCCTCACCGTGTACCTTCTGACTTTGTCGCCAGCGCGGTTTCCAGTCGACAGTCAAGCGGAGTCAATAGAAAAGCAAAACGAGAAATGGTGGCTTTTCTCATCGTCTGAAAAAGGCGCGAACGGTCCATCGATTCGAATTTAGATCACACAGAGAGACAGGCCACGAAGATGGTACGCGCTAGCTTGAATGGATGTTAGCATGAGCTGCAAATTAATGCTTGAATTTACGTGCGTAGTTGCCGCTATCACTGCTTCAGACCTCGGTCGGCCACCCCATGGTACGTCCAATCGATTTTGCCCCCCCCCCAAATCTGCGCAATAATTAATTGATCGTTGTGAAGCTGGTGGAGTTGAAGAACGGAGAGACGTACAATGGGCACCTGGTGAACTGCGACGGATGGATGAACATCAACTTGCGCGACGTTATCTGCACATCCAGAGTACGCACCCCGCTGTGAGTGTCATCTCACCCACGTCGACTTACCGTTCGTCGCGGTGCTCTAGGATGGAGAGAGATTTTGGAGGATTCCTCAGTGCTATATTCGTGGAAACACTATCAAGTACTTGTGCATACCCGATGAGGTACAGCGCCCTTGCTCATACTGGAAAACGATGAATGGTCATGCAGTGCTGGTGGCGTGTATGTGTCTGTGTCCGTTTGTCGTGCCACCCACCTTTGTCGTCTATTCAAGAACCTTCTATCTTTTTTTTATCTTCACACTCCTGAGACCATGTCTCTCACGGAGCTGAGAGTGGTGCGGTGGTGCGATGCGCTGGCTGATGGTGGTCATGTGATGTGCTGGTGCGCAGGTGATCGACATGGTGCAGGAGAACGCGCCCATTCCCAAGCAGGGCGCCGCGGCTCGAGGTCGTGGCCGTGGTCGCGGTGGTCCGCGTGGCGGTAGGGGCCGTGGCGAGGGCGGCGACCGAGGCGGCCGCGGCGATTACCGAGGCGGGAGGGGCCGTGGCGACGGTGGCGGCTACCGAGGCGGCCGAGGTGGTGGCCGTGGCAGGGGAGGGGTCTAGGTCGAGGTCTAGGCTCTCCCGCCACACCACATTCACGATGTATGCCATTGGGTGGCTCCAAGTGCCCTTAAGTGTTGCGCGGTAACACCTCAATAGGCTACATAACTCAACTGAAATTCTGAGAGAAACGCTGGTCGATTGCTGACGTCATCCAAGAGGCCGCAGTTCCCTGCCACGTTAGATCATCTTCAGGATCTTCAGCATTCATAGGTGACGACGTGACAGTGGAGGAGGAGAGGTGCAGACCTCCAAAGGCGCCATTAACACACAAAATGTTTGGGAAAAAGAAGAACAAGGTGAAGGTCAAATTCGAGGTGGAAGCGCTGCGAGTCCTCAATCTGCCCTCCAAGCTGAATGGCAGAGAGGTGAGGTTGGCGTGGAGCAAGGGCAAGAGGAAATCAAACAGGGGCGAATCAGAGGCGGCCGTGGTGCACGATGGAACTGCCAACTTCGACTACAGATTCACGATTGATGCCAGCATGGCGCAAGACGCCGCACAACAATTCGAAAGCAAGAAGATTGCCTTCTACATACGGGTGGGTCTCCCATTACCACGCGCGATCGTTCTGTTGATTTATCATTTATTAATTGTTTATTTTATTTATTTATTTCAAACAATCATCCAACCATTAATTGGTTGTGGTGGGCAGGATGACAAAAAGTCGAAGGTGGGCAAGGAGACCCTGGACCTGGCCGCCTTCGCCAAGGAGGGCCAGCAGTCCAACCACAACCTCGCTCTCGGCAAGAAGAACCCACCCGTGCTCATGGTACCCCCTACCCCTGCCGCCGCGAAACACACAACGACATCGGCGACTCACCACGCACCTACGCTGCAGCTGAACCTGAAGGCGTCGTGGCTCAAGTTCAACGGCAAGTTCATCCTGAGGTGCCCACACAACCACCCGGCGGGGGGAGTGGGAGGGAGAGAAGGCGCTGCGGCGGCACGGGGACCGCTCGCGGCCAACGGCGCGGTGACCCTGCTCAGCTTCGTGCACACCAGATGAGTGTGCGCCGGCGGAGACCCGTGAGCGGGTTGTTGTTCCTTGCCGATACAGGCGGGCGGGTGGTGCGACTGTACAGTGCCTTTTTTTTTAACTCCAAGCGTCTGTGTGCGTGTGTGCACTCTGTGCATTTCCCGCTTCTCGTTTCTCTCTCTCTCTCTTTCGTGTGGCGCAGAGATAGCACCGCCAGCCCGGCGCAGGGTGAGACGGGAGCGGGGAGGGACACGCTGGACATCGACGGGCAGGAGTTCCAGCTGCGCACAGCCGACGTCATCTCTGAGGCCGACACCTCGTGTTACACTGATACCGTACGACCTCCTTCTCCTCCAACGCCGTTTATATCATTTTCCGTGATATCTCTACGCCAAGTGGGTGGTAGTGCGTCCGCCACTTGGTTGATAAGTTGTGCCTTATTCGCGACCCACGTTGATTATCTCAGATCTCGTTCGTGATTGACCAATGCACACGTGTTGTTGGTTGCAACTGACCTGTGATTGGCCGTTCTGCGGTTCCTGCCCTATTCCAATAGGGTGATTCCGACATGGACGCCGATGGTATGGACGAACTCGTCGTTGGCGGTCACGAGGGCGACGAGCCTCGGCGGGTGAAGCTGGCCAGCTCGGCCTCGGCCTCGGCCTCTTCGTCATCCGCCTCCTCTGTCGTGGCCTCGAACCGGTCCAGCAGCGCACGCGAGATTCCCATCATGGCCGGCCCGCTGTCGTCGCGTAAGTCGACCACCGCCGTGAGCCCCCCGAAGATCGTGCTCAGCGGCGGCCTCGGCGGGGGTGCGGGCAGCGTCGCACTGGCCTCGGCCCGATCGGCCACCGGCCTCGGCAGCGACGGCAGCGCCAGCGGAGCGAGCTCCGCGGAGCGGCAGCTGCGGAAGGACCTGGCCAAGCTGGCCGAGAAGCACCAGAAGAAGAAGAGCAAGCTCGACGAGGCCAAGAAGAAGGCCAAGGCGCTGGCCGACGAGAACGCGCGGCTCAAGGAAGAGAAGGCGCGGGCGGAGAAGGCGCTCGACGCGCAGGTGAAGGGGGCGGAGGAGGAGGCCCGAAAGCGGGAGAAGGTGGCGCGCGAGGCCGAGGACTACCGACGAAGAGCGAAGGAAAGCGAAGACGACGCGAAAGCGAAGGGCAAGGAGCTGGAGGAGGCGCGCAAACGGGCGAAGGACGTCGAGGAGGACCTGCGCAAGCGGACCAAGGAGCTGGGCGAGGCCAGGGACAAGCTCAGGGACTACGACGAGGTGCGCGAGCGGCTGCGGATCAAGGAGGACGAGGCCCGCAAGCGGACCAAGGAATGCGAAGAAGCCATCAAGAAGGCCAAGGACCTCAAGGAGAAGGTGGCCACGCTCACGCAGAGCCTTAAGGAGGCGGAGGAGACCCGCAGGGAGAAGTCGGGCGTGGCCGAGGAGGAGCGAAAGCGGTGGCGCGATAAGGAGGAGTCGCTCACGCGCGAGCACGAGGCCATGGAGGCCCGGCTGCGCGACACCGAGGAGCGGTTCAGGCGCGGCGAGCGCGAGATCGACGAGATCAGGAAGCGCGAGTGCGAGATGGAGGACATCATCACGCGGCTCACCGACGAGGTCAAGAGCGAGCGCGCCAACGCCGGACGCGCGCAGGAGCAGGCCAAGGCCGCCGCCCCGGCCCCTTCTTCATCCTCCGGCAAGCGCTCCCAAAAAGCCAACAAAGCCGAAAAGGTGTGTACCGTGCGTGTGCGTGTGCGTGTGCGGTCGTATCTGACGCTCGGTCGTTGCGCAGACGCCGGACTTTGATTTCCCGATCATCGCGTCGGGGCCGGTGCTGACCCTCGACGCCACCTGCTCCGAGAGCCCTTTCGACTCTGATGCCGCCTCGATCGGGAGCAGCGACTTCTCCATCGCGGCCACCGTGTCGGCACCGCTTCCAGTCGCCAACAGCGGCGGCGGCGGCGGCAAGGTCAAGAGCGGCGGTGCCAAGCGCGACCGATCGCTGTCGAAGAAGAAGCAGCAGCTGCTGGAGCTGGAGCGGAGGGTCAAGGAGGGCGAGGACACGATCCAGCGGCTCAAGCAGGAGCTCGACGAGGCGCGCGCGGCGGCGGAGGAGGCCCGGCGCGAGCGGCGCGAGGCCGAGCGACGCATGCGCGAGGAGCGCGAGCGCGAGCGCGACGACGAGCAGCGCGACCGGGGCCGCGAGCGGAGCGAGCTCGAGGAGCAGATCGTCAAGCTCCGCACCTGCGTCGAGGACGAGAAGCGCAGGCAGCGCGCCCTGGAGGAGAAGCTGCGCAAGAAGGACAAGAAGGAGGAGAAGGCGGCCAACAAGGCGGCGGCCAAGGGCGGCGGCGGTTCGTTGGTGAGCGGCGGCAGCGGCGTGGTGGGCGCGCCGGCGTCGGGCGAGCTGGAACGGCTGCGCGGGGAGGTGGAGGCCAAGGAGCGGCGGGTGCAGGAGCTCGAGCGGCGGTGGGAGGAGCGCAGCCGGGAGATGGAGGAGCGCGAGCGGGAGATGACGCGCACCCGCGAGGGCCTCACCCAGACCGGCGACGACATCAAGAAGCTCGAGCGCAAGTACAGGAAGGCGCGCCGCGAGCTCAGCTCCTACAAGGTACACCACCGCACTCGCCGCACACGCGCATCGCACACACCGCACACGCGCACCGCACACACCGCGCACGACCGCACGGGCTGATGGGGAGTCCCCATTGGCTGGGCAGGAGGGCGGGCTTCACAAGATGGCATCGGGCGACTGCGACGGCGACGAGAAGAAGAAGCAGAAGCAGAACAGCGGCGAGGAGAAGGCGGTGAAGGACAAGAGCCGGAGCAAGGGCGAGGCAGCGGATGGCGAGGGCGAGAAGGAGGTCGAGAAGAAGCCGGTGAGCTGGCAGGAGAAGGCGATGCGGCTCAAGGGCAAGCTCCACCGTATCGAGGCCCAGCTGGCCCGCGAGCGCAAGGAGAAGGAGCACATCAACGACATCCTGGCCAAGCGCGACGACGAGCTCGCGCACCTCCAGCGCCAGCTCGCGCCCATCTTCGGGCTCGACCAGAGCGGCAGCGGCTCGGGCCTGGACGAGCGCCTGCTGCTCGAAGAGGGCCAAGACGGCGATGGCGGGCTGCCGCTGGCCATCGCCGAGCGGCTGCCGACGGCGACGATCATTGCGCGCAGCAGACGGCCGCCCAAGACCTTCCTCACGCCCTTCTTCGAGTGGTGGAAGGACATCAACGGCCGACCAGACGGGGCCATGGGCGACCTCAACCTCAAGGCCTGGTGGACCGCTGTCGTCGTGCTCCTCCTCTCCGTCTTCCTCCAGCTCTGGTGGCGAACCACCATCACCACCACCGCTGCTGCGGCAAAGCCTTCAGCGTGAAGGCACACAAGCACAAAATTTCGTGTGATTGTTTATTTTTGTGTTTTTTGTTTATATAATTGCAATTTAAAAAACATAGCTGGATTTATTCCTATTTTTATATCGAGCTTTTATATTTTTTGATGTTTTTTATTTTATTTTAGTTTAGGCGGTACCAACAAGAAGTGGTTCGTGAGGAGGAAGAAGGTGGTGGTGGGCAAAGGTGGCGGAGGCGTTGTTGTGGGTCGGGGTGAGGTTGTGGAGGAGGTGGTCGTAGTGGGGGCTCACGAAGAGGCGGCACGACGGGCACGGGAACTCTTTGTCGAGGAAGGGCCGGTACCAGAAGTTGACGGCGACGTTGCGTCGGTGCTCGTCGGGCCGGGACTGCACCTCGTGCCACCAGAACGAGGGCAGGTAGAGGACGTCGCCGGCGTGGATGTTGCACTGGAGCGGCTTGGCGCGGGCGAAGAGCGGGTAGCGCGTCAGGTCGGGCTTGACAATGTCCACCGGACTCATGACCTTGCGCACACGGGGTAAGTTGTGTTTCGATCAAGACACGCACACGCCGCACAAAGGTGGTGCTACCATGGACGTGCTTTCGGTGAGAACGCTGCGTGAGAAGGTCGACGTGTCGCGATCGAACGAGAGCACGGCCTCCCTGATGTGCCCCTCGTAGAGCTCTTCGTTGTGGTAGGGCGGGAACAGCTTCAGCTCCTTGCTCCCCGCTGTGTATGTCGTGTGTCGTGCGGTGTGTGCGGTGTGTGCGGTGTGTGCGGTGTGCATGTAAGCTTTGCCAAGGAGTAGACAAAGAGTACAGGAGCGTACAGATCTGGCAGAGGAGGTTGTCGAAGGGATCGAAGTGGAGCTTGCCGAGGGTGCGTCCATTGCCCAGCCAGATGTTGGTCATCGCCCGGTCGAGGAAGTCGGCCCACGCAAAGCCGTCGGCGATGTCGGCCATCATGCGGGGCAGCGACGACGGGATCGAACAGTACTCCAGGTAGAACGACACCTTGGCCTCGGTCTTCAACAGCTCCAGGAACTCTGAGAATCTCAACTACACTCACATACGAATAAATGCGCATTCCTCAACACATGCCATACATTCCACACACACACACCACACACACACCACCACACACACGAGGGCTTTGGCTGTGATCGGTACCTCGATGCTGGCTGGTCGCACGACCACCTTGTCCGGGGACTGGAGCTTGGCGAGCACGCGAGCCGGGATGGGCTTGAAGTCGGTGGGCTCCCACAGGCCGGCGTCTTCGCAGCCCTCGAACTCGCCGTCGGGGCTGATCTTCACATGCACCCGGCTCTCCCCAAACTGCTCACTGCCCAGTAGTAAAATTATAAACAGAATTAAATTATTTTAAATTAAAGTAAATTCAATAATTGGTACGTAAAAGTAATAATATAAATATCATATCATAAATAAATATAAATAAATAACTATACCTGAGGTAGTCGTTGGTCCACTTGTGGAGGGCGGGCCAGGACTCGCGGTGGAGGGCGCCCTTGAAGACGACGGGCTTGGAGTGGGACACCATGTCGAGGAACTCGCGGCGCGTGGGCACGCCCTCCACGTACTCGCACTCGGTCTGCCCCTCTGCCGGCTCGTACAGATTCTCCGACAACCGCCGCTTGTACTCGCCCTGCTCTCCTTCATCAGCGTGCACACCGCACATGCACACGCACACGAGACACGCACGCACAAGACACGCACGCGCACACGCAAGCACTGTGGGGGCACCTGGGGAGTGAGTTGGCCGTTGGGGAGTCGCGCGGTGTGGCACTTGGTGTTGGCCCAGTGCAGGAGATCCTCCCACGGGTCCAGCGCGCCCTCGTAAAAGCTCACCTCGGCTGCACAGCCGCAAACAACCCAGGCGCGTGTGCGGTGAGTGAGTGAGCGAGCGAGTGAGTGGGAGTTGGTCACCACCACCTCATTATCGTCGTCGTCATCATCGTCACCATCATATCAAGAGAGCTCGGCAAGCGCACCTTCTTCGGGCGGAGGCGAGAGCAGACACTCCCGATCCTCCTGTGGGCGGCTGAACAGCACCGCTTTACTGGATACATGCGGAAGCGCGACGATCAAGATGACAACCGTCATCACTTCGTGGCGGCGGTGGTGGTGGTGGTGGTGGGGGATACGCACTTGTGCAGGGTAAGGAGCCAGTTGGTGGGCTTGCGCGGGTGGAGGCGTGGCTTCTGGCTGGAGCTGGACTTCGATGGGTGACTGAGCAAGACGTCCCCGCCGCCACCCTCCGCTACAGCAGCGTCGTCGCCGCCCCCACGTGTGGTCCAGAGGGCTACTCGCACCCGCGGCGCCTCCTCGCGCAGAGCCCACCCCAGCGCTTGGGCTCGCTCCACCCTGCCCAGCACAGTAGGATACTAATAAATATAATTAAATGATAAATAAATTGAAATTATATAAAAGAATAAATAAATGGAAAAAAAAGGAGGAGCACGTACTGTCTATCACGGCCGTCGGTGGAAGAAGAGGAAGAAGGGAAGAGGACGAGCAGATGCTCGACGGGAGGCTGGGCACCAGCCGCAGCGCCGGAGGCGAGGCCGAGTGTGGACAGCAGGTCGTGAGGCTGCGATACCAGGAGGTACTCCACTTCAGCAGCAGCCGCCGGCCTCAGCACCAGCATAGCCAGCGCCAGCGCCAGCGCCAGCATCAGCCACCGACCCATTCTTGGTGGAGAACGCGTGTAAAGAGAAAAAAGAGAAAACAAAAAGAAACTGCCAATTATATTTTCGTATTTTTCTGGAGCAAGGGGAGCGCGAAAAGATGACGAGAATGTGGGAAAGACAAGAAGAAAGGAAGAAGACAAGAAACTGAGGAACGCGAGGGGGAACACGGCCCTCGACGGGCTGCCCTCTCTTCATTCCCTTCACCTTACATCACAACATAGAAATATCAGGAGAAGAGAATTCAAAAGAAGCAAATGGCGAAAGTACAGTCGATGACCCCACCGGCCGCCGTGCCCTTCACCTGGGTGGACCATCGCAGGAGCGTCCCCACCACCGAGGAGCTCGAGAACCGTCGAAACCTGCTTGGGTACGTTCGTGTCGTTTCCCGCGTGTCGTGTGTCGTGTCGTGTGCCATGATGTGTCGTTTCCCGCGTGCACTCTACTAACCGCACACGACACACGAAGCTAGGCTGGTGAACAAGCTCACGTTTACCAACATGGACACGATAAGCGCGCAGCTGGTCGAGGGCATGAAGGACCCCTACCTCCTCAGCGAGGCCGTGGAGCTGGTGTTCCACCAGGGCCTCAACCCGGCGTGGATGGTCCTCTTCGCCCACCTCTGCCGTCGCCTCACCAAAGACTCGCCCTTCTTCGGGCGTCGCGGCGAAATCGTACGCCACCCATATACACCCACACACACACTCTTCGTTCGCGTGTGCTTGTGTGCGACGCTGACACGACACGACACGCACCACCGCACACGCACACAGAACTTCAGGACGGTGCTGATCGATAAGTATCGCAGCGAGTTCGAGCAGGCGGTCTACACGCAGGTGCCGCCGCTCGTGCAGCTGTGCGCCCGGTGCGTGGACGCGTCGATGCCGCCCACGGCCGCGGCCCGGGCCGAGACCGAGGCCCTGCTGCCGCAGGAGCTCGCCGCCTACCTGCGCGAGCGGCCGTGGGTCGTCACGCCCAAGGTCCTGGCCGAGCGGTGGCAGCGCATGATCGAGCTTGTCGTGCTGCTGGGCGAGTTCTACAACGTGGGCCTGGTCGCCGAGGCCCAGATCACGTGGATGCTCGACCAGCTGTGCGCGTCGATCGAGCAGGGCGTGCGCCGCAACGTGGAGCCGCTGTGCCGGCTGCTCGCCACGGTGGGTCCGGTGCTCGACGGCCGCCGGCGCCGCGCCGCCGAGCACCTGGGCGTCGACCAAGATGACGATGACGATGACGATGGCGTCGGCGTCGTGGATGACGGCATCAACGACGGGGCGACGTGGGTCGACGATTTTGTGCTGGCTCGGCCGAGCGAGAAGAAGAAGACCGAAGAGAAAGAGAAAGAGAAAGAGAAGAAGATGACGAAGGGAGTGGACGAGTATATGGACAAGGTGGCGAGCTACCTGCGCCGGGGGAAGGAGTGGAACCTGGGCAGCCGCATCCAGTTCATGATCATGGACGTCATGGAGCTCAGGACCCGGAATTGGCAGTGGCGCCGCGCCAGCTAGAGCCAGCTGGCACCACGCTTATCTTTGCAGTGTACAAAACAAACCACAACACAATTACACAACACACGAACATGTCAACACTTGCGCGCCACACGCACGTGCACAGTATTACAACACGACAATGGTTTTGAGAAGAATGTATTTGTACAGGTGACACAGGCACGCGCGCGTGTTAACAGCCACAACATCTCTTGTAGCGTCTCCGGCACCTGGAGCTGAAGCAGCCGCAGCCCCAACAGCAGGCGCCGCAGGTGAGGATGAAGGCCGCGACCAGGCAGCCGATGAGACAGCACTCGCAGCACTTGTTCTTCTGGTAGTTGTACTGCATCATCACCCCTTGGCCTGCGCGTGCACGCACACGCACGCACAACAACAACAACACACACCGCACGCGCACCACCACACGCACACCACCGCCGGTGACGGCCAGCCGGGGGGGGTTAGGGCCACTTGCAGCAGCGAGTGTTGATGCCCTTTACTTTACGGTGATGGTGGGCTGGAAGCGTACTTGGACCGATGCCGTAGTCGGCGAGCTTCTTCCCCTTCTTGAGGGGCATGCTCCCGTTTGCTCCGCCGTTGATAAGCCACAGTCTCTGTCTAGACTTTGAATACCCGGCTGGCTGTTGCGCTGTTGCAATTCACGACATGGCACGACACGCACACGGCACAGCACAACACGCACACGACACGCACATGGCACAGTTAGAGTTACAGTTGAAGCTGGCATGGCCTAGGAAAAAAAAAAAGATGAGAGAATACCGAGTGCAAGCTTCATGAGTCGTCGGACGGTCGTTCGATTGGGGTCGACGTGGACGGTCACTGTGGTGCCCGTGACCAGCTGGATCCTTACAGGCACCTGTTTGGATGTACACGACACACGACACACGACACACGACACACGACACACGACACACGACACACGACACACGACACACGACACACGACACACGACACACGACACACGACACACGACACACGACACACATGCGATGCACACGCAAACGGTTTGTCAGAGGTGCGATGAAAGAGGGTAGGGGGGGGGCGGTGGTTCACCCGCAGCGAGTCGTCACCGCCCTCTTCCTCGTCGCTCAGGTCGCTCAGGTCGTCATCGTCATCGTCGTCACCGTCGTCATCGCTCTCGTCGTCTGAGCAGCTCTCGTCTTCGTGATCCTCTTCCTCGTCATTTACGGTTTTTTCTGGATATCCACAAATATTATTAATTTCCTTTTTTAAGTAAATAACACAAAAAATGGCCATTATTAAAATTAGAAATTTTAGCTCTCAAAAACGGAAAAGTGATTATTATAAGATTGATTTATCATTTTGAAAACTGTTCGTATACGGGCGCGTACGAGGGGCAGGTGGAGCTATGACAAGTTCTATGGAGTCCGAGGAGTCGAGACTGCTGGTTGACAGATTACGCTCCATGTGGCCTCGCCTGGCAGGGTGTCGCTGGGGTTGCGCTCCACCGCAAAGGCGAACATTCGCAGCTGCGAAACTTGTTGTCGACTACGCGACGAAATAAAAATTTAAGCGAAAGGAATTATCACAGTTGATTCTTTGCATATCTCTCATTATGATGGTATTTTAATCTGCCAATTTCTCAAGATACTTCCAATTTTGTATTGCTATTATTAAATTAAAACCCTTTTTGTGTTGTCAAAACCATTTTTATGAGGTTAAACTGACAAACAAAATCACTTTTCAAAATGACTGGACCTCTCATTTCAAATGACTGCAAGTTCAAGGTTCTTGTCTGTGCAATTCATGTGTAATATTGTCTGCAAAATGGTCATAATCATCTGTCATCTGCCTAATGGGCATAAGAATCATCTGTTGTCTGCAAAATGGCCATAAAAATCATATGTCATCTGCATAAAATCATCAGTGAAATGGCCATAAAAATCATCTGTCATCTGCATAAAAATCATCTGTTGTCTGCAAAATGGCCATAAAAATCATCTGTCATCTGCATAAAATCATCTGTGAAATGGCCACAACATCATCTGTCATCTGCATAAATGTCATCTGTTGTCTTTAAAATCATCTGCAAAATGGCCATTAAAATCATCTGCCATCTGCATAAAAATCATCTGAAAAAATGGCCATAAAATCATCTGTCATCTGCCTAATGGGCATAATAATGGCAGATGATTTTAAGGGGGCAGTGCCATCTAGTTTTGGGCTGTGACCCACTTGTTTAAGAGGGCCAATTTTGAAAAAAAAATTTCCCACACACAAGTTTTTTGTTTTTAGATGGACAATGGACGCATCTCCCATCATTCAAGTACCATTAAACAACGTAGAAACATGGCATATGCAACCTAAATTAATCTTCAACCTTGCCAGCTTGTTCTTGTGGAAATGTATGCTTTGCATGATTTTGTCCACATCTTTTCCTACCCCCCTTTCACATTCACAACTCAAAAAAATAAGAGAAATAGAGCCTCCAAGATGACCTTGTTTACCCCCTTTTAGCCCCCATAGATGTTGCATCTTGGCGTACAATAAAAGGCAGAAGATGCCTTTTTCAGTGGTCCACAAAAGAATTCCAAATATTCTCATGCAAAGTGGCCGAGGTTCAGGCAAATATTTGAAATCGTGATGGGTACACAGCCCAAAACTAGACAGCACTGCCCCCTTAATGGCCAACTGTCATTCATTACCCACCTTGACACAAAAGCTGCTGTGGTGGCGGTGGCAGGCAATGGTTGGGGGTGCCTTAGCAGGCGGGCAGGCCAAGGATGGCTGTCGATGTACACGTTGATGGCCTTGGGAAAGGTGCGCTGGTCGACCCAGTAGAAGTTCTTGTCGCACCCGCTGATGTAGAAGTGTGGGCGTTGACACGCGGTGAAGCGTGGGTCTAGGTCGTACAAACACAAGGGGGCTAGGAATGCAGGGGGGAAGAGGGGTATATTGTGGGTCCGGATGTCAGTCCCGTCGATAGAAGAGGAGAAGAGAGAGCCATCAGCCCGCTCGCGAGAATATCGCTGGAACCGGAGTCTGCCAGCTGCCGTGGCGAACCGGCACATTCAGCATTTCGGGGACCGATGGGCCTGGTCGGGGGTTCAACTCTGGTCGTAGCCGGTTTCGGTTCGGGGGTCATCGGCTTCGTGGGGCAGAGAGGCAGCCGCAGCGCCGGGGCCTCAGCGTTCTCAAAGAACGAGGCGAGTGCGAAAGGGGCGACGGCGCAAGGACGACTACAGGTAGTGGATGGTGTACTCGGGGAAGGCCTGATGATTGCCGAACACTGCACGTCGTGACACACACGACACACGCCAACGTGAGCATCTGCGAGGCGTACGAGAGAGTTGGGGGGGGGATTCGTACCCACACACATGCCGTTGCCCCCGTGGACCTGCCCGACGGAATCTTGCAGGCCACCGCCTCGCTTCTCGCTATTTTTTTGCCAAACGAAACGGTGTTTGGGCCAATCAGCACAACGCCTTTGTACACCTCCGGAAGAACATCGGGCAGGTTGAGATGCAGCAGCTGCAGCCCCAACAGCAGATCCCGCAGGTGAAGATGAAGGCTACATAATCAGGCACGCGACAATCACAGCACCTACACTTATTGTAGTTGTAGGTCATCGCCACCCCTCGGTCTGCGCACACATGACATCCAGCCGAAGGGGGGGGGTTAGGACCACTTGCAGCAGCGATTGTGGATGCCCTGTGCTTTAAGGTGGTAGGTGGTGGGTGGGCTGGAAGCGTACCTGCAGTGATCCCGTAGGGACGGTGAGACTACCCGCAGCGAGTCGTCACCCGCTCAGATCGCTCAGCTCGTCATCGTAGTCGTCGTAGGCAGCATCATCGCCATCGCTCTTGAGACTCCTCTTCCTTCCTCATTTACAGTTGTTTAGGTCTCATATTTATTTTCCCCTTTTGGAGAAGGGCGTCTTTTGGTGAAACATTCATTTTTCGTGGCCACCAAGAACAGGGATTCAAAGAAGGTGCTGCTCGGGTTCCAAGTTCTGAGTGCGTAGACCCTCTCTCCTGGTTGCGCCATGTCCCACTGGCATGAGGGTATTTGGATCGACGTTCTTGTCATTAAAATTCAAGAATGTACCGCAACAACTCTTGCAATTCTTCCGCCACTTTGGGCTGAAGCAGCAGGTGAGGATGAGGGTAGAAGAGGAAAGATGAGCGTTTATGTGCAGCCTTAACGAAGAAGGGGAGGAAGATGGATGGATGGAAAGCTAGAGCTCCGGGGCTAGAGTTCGGCGTCAGGCTGGACAAAGAGGACGCCGCTGGGGCACAGCCCGGCCTCGTGAAGGGTGAGGCCCAGGTCAGCCAGTCGTCGCCGCGGGTAGGACGACACCAGGTGGAAGCGGCTGTGCTGCTGCTGCGTGTCTTCGTCGTCATCTTCATCCATGATCGCCTCCACCTCATCATCGGCGCTTAGCTCGCGCTGCTGTGTCTCGGCTCCGCTCTCGCCGCCTCCACCTTCGCTTGTCTTGGCCCGCCGCAGCTCCTCTTCGAGCGCCAGCGCTTCGACGTAGGTGCGCACGTCGGCCAGGCGGTCGGCCGCGCGGAAGCGGCGCTCGGCGCGTCGGCCGTCGGGGAAGCGCAGGACCAGCGAAGAGGTGGTCTGCTCCCCGGCCCGCGAGTCGTGGTCGACGGGCTCGGGCACAACCCGCGCCTGCAGGGCGCGGAGCCGCTGCTTCTGCACGCGCCGATGAAGCTTGCGCCAGGCCTCGCGTTGCTGATGGCTCCGCTCGCGCATCTGGTCCTGGGCGAGTGCCCGCGCATACTCGGTGTCCTGGGCCTCGCGCAGGAGCCGCGCCTCGTCCCGCAGCGCCGCCGCCACGGCTTCGGCCTCTTCGGCGTCGATGAAGCAGCTGACGTCATCGCCGTCGAGGGTGGTGGTGGGGTTGACGTACGTGTCGGCGGGGTGGTCGAGCACGTAGCCGTTGCGCAGCTGCTGCTCGACGCTCAGCTCGAGCGCCAGGCGGAGGCTGTCAAAATCAAGGCCGTGGTCGTGGGCGCCGTAGTCGTAGTCGTCGTCTGAGTCACTCATCGCGTGCTTCTCCTGTGACAGCACCTGATAGACCCGCGTCGCGGCTTGTCGCAGCTTCTGGCCCAGCATGAAGCTTCCCCTCCCGCCAGGGGCCGCAGTGGTCCTCCGTGCTGTGTCGGCCATTGATGTGTTGCGAGAAGAAAGAGGTGTGGGGGGGGGTACAAAAGAAGATGAAGAAGTTTGAAGCGCGACTTCAAACGTAACGATGCGCGGTGGGTTGCTGGTCGTTTGTCCTCCTAGCTCGTCTTCGCTACGATCGTTGTTGATACACGCGCTCTTCCAGTCGCACGCGATCGTGAGAGAGCAAGGGAGAAGCTGCGAGTCCGGCCGTGCGCTGGTTGGTCAGTCAGGTCCGACACTCACCCCGGCACTCCGAGTTCTGCAGATCACATCAAGCCAGTGACACATCCTCTCCCGCCGAGCCACCCGCGGCGAGAGAGGTCTGTTATGTAACTCGCAAGGGAGCGATAAGGGAAGGCACCGTTACGATGCAACACGAAGCCAAGACTTTATCGGTTCCGTGAGGGTGCACCAACGGCGCCTCAAACACTTGCACTCTTGTGTTGCACTGCTTTGAACGCAGCGTTCACTCGTCTGAGTCCCACTTCCTCCTTTGATACTGTGGTTACAAAGTTGGTGGTGAGTGAGTCATCCATGGATGTACCAAGAGTTCAAAGGCATGCGCGTACCGTGATCTTGGTGTGCTGCTGCTTCTCGCTGATCTGATCCAAGAGGCTGATGAGGTTGGCCTCGTTGACCTTGCCTCCGAGCTGACCCGACTGGGCAGCGCCAATGATCATGTCCTCAACTTGGCGGGCCTTCTCGGGCTTCACCAGGCTGATGCGCGCCACTTGATCAACACCAGCATAACGTTAGCGTTACGCTCCAAACCTCCAACGTGTCTGGGTCGATCTGACGCACTTCTTTCTCGGGCCTCAGCAGTAAGGATTTGGGCAAGGATTTGGCGTCTGCGTTCTTCCATCTCCCTGTGTTTGCATCATCTTTAGATCCCGCGGGTCCGCTACACGTGCAGTTGCAGAATGTGCACCTTTGTCGAGCCTCTTGCTCCTGGGGGTTGGGTCCAGCGCCGCCTCCACCAGGGGCACCGCCGCGTGCGGCAGCCTGCAGAAGAAATGGAAGCAGCCATTTCAAAATCGGCAATCAAATTTCTTCAATCGCCATCGCAAGTCGATACCTGCGCCTGCAGTTCGGCCATTCGCCTCTGTCTGATCATTTGAAGCTCCGCATCGTCGTCCTATTCGGCACATACACATGTCAACAATCAACTTTTCCGATCGCATGATCGTTCCGCGTACCATCTTGCTGTGTGTACTACTTTTTATTTTTTTATTTTTCGTAGGGGGTCCGAAGGGGAAAACTCTTCGGCTCAAGCGCGAAAGACCGGTTTTCCTGGGCCCCACCACAACGGCCAAGGAACAACAGGAAAAACAATTAATCTTCGCCCATCCCAACGAGTTGGGTGGCGTTGTGATCTATCTCTTCTCTCCTCCTCTCTCCCCTCTTATCGACGGCACGCCCCCGTCAGAGATCGGCAAAGGAGATAGAGAAGGACTGGTCGAATTCAGCCAACATTGGCCGAATCGAAGCAACATCGAGCGAGTGGTCAGTTCACATTAGATCGAGCTCTTTGAACTATGGAAGGCGGACAGAGCCAGCAGCAATCGAATGACTGGAAGATAGGTTCGTCTGTGGCGCTGGAGACTGCGCTTGGGGAGCGCGTGGAAGGCGTGGTGTATGCCTTCGACCGCGTGATGAACTGCGTCATCCTGCAAGACGCCCCCATGAATCCGACGCAGAAGAAGACCTACCGCATCATCAATGCCAACTTCATCAAGAAGAAGGGGCCAGGACCCGCCCTGCCCGCGTCGACCATGGACGTGCGGCCGGTGCGGCCACTCGACATGGGCCGCATCAGGGCCAAGGAGGCCAGTGCTGTCGCCGATGCCCGAAAGGACGCAGCCCGCATCAACACCAACGTCAGCACCGACGCACAGAAGATCTTCAACGCCCTCGCCAAAACGTTCGCTCCCCCCCCCACCACAGCCAATCCGTTACACGAGATCCCAATTCCTCTGCGGCCGAGCTCTTCTCGCATTTTTTTATTTCTTATTTTTGTTTTGATGTGGATGGTGCCGTCTCCAGGCTGCCGTGCCGATGGGAGAACGAAACGATCGTTATTTTCGACGATTTGCGGATCTCGAGTCCCTACCGGGTGGAGGACGTGCGTGGCGGCGCCATGACCTCCAAACACGAGCTCGAGAGAGTCAAGAGAGTGGTACCCGCACCCTGCACTCGTCCCCCTTTGTGCCCCCTTTTCCCCTGCGCTTGTTGTATGTGTTTGCTGTGGGTCCACTCTTCCTCTATGTACTGCCACTGTGAGCATGTTGGGACTTCGCTCTCATATATATCTCTCTGCGCGATACGAGGGTGGGTGCTCGATGACTAACACCATCGCTCTTCTTCAACTTGTTGTGTTTCCTCCAGTTGGACGGGGAGAAGCGGCGACTTGGTCTGTCAAAGTAGAGAGTTAGAGGCGAGTGCTGTGCTGGGCGCTTGGCGGGCTTGAGCACTTACGAAAGGAGGAGGAGAGGCCGAGACATCGAACAGGAACAGACAACGAGCGAACAGCGAGAGAGAGAGAGAGTGGAGCGCCGCATGTCGCCAACATGCGCGCAACGACGCCCTCTCTCTCGACCAGTGTGTGGCCTCCCCTGCTCTGCCTTACTCTTCTCTTCCTCCAGAAGGTGGAAATACAAAACAAACAAAAAAAAATAATTTATTTATTTCTTGGCGCACCCAAATTGAATTTTCATTACCATTTATAATAATATTAATAATAAGTGGACTGCAAAACGTTGGTGAAGACGTAGAACATGGACCGTGCGGTGTGGGCGGCTGCCTCGGAGAGCCAACGACAGGAAAGGCTCAAAAAAGAGGAGGAAGACAAGCAGCTCGAGGCGGCACGGGCTGCGGAGCACGCGGCCCATATCGCCCGCCTCTGCGCCACCCCGCCGCCCGACGGACTGCCCGACCTCCTCCCCGAAGAGGTCCGCCCTCCCCTCTTCTCTTCATCTCTTTTATTCTCTTCGTTGGTTATGGTTCGGCAATGGAAGGGCTGAACGAGTATGTCTTCTCTTCGCGGGTGCAGCTGTGGGTGCGCATCCTGCAGCACTTGCCGATGCGTTCGTGGAAGAACGTGGCTCGCGTGTGCGTCTTCCTTCGTCGCATCGCACAAGACCAGATGGTGGTACCCGTTCTCCCTCTCACAAACGACACACGACACACAGCACAAACACGACACACGCGACACGCGACACTCAACTCAATTTCCACCGCGCACGCGCCAGGATCCGGTGGTGCTGTTCAGGCGGAAAAGAGAAGAGGCGCGACTACGCCTGCAAGCGACAGCCCTGGGCTGACCTACGCTGTAGTAGACCGGTTCTGTGTTTATTATTGTCAGCGATTATTATAATTAATTTGTTGTTGTTGTGGGGCAGAGGGCGAGGTCATGCCATCGTGCTCGCACCACCGCCCGCACCATCGAGAAGGGACTCGAGGAAGGCCAGCACGGCCTCCATGGTTGGTCGCCGGTCGGGCACCCCGTGCCAGCACTTCTTGACCATCTTCTTGAACTCGTGCGGGCAGTCGCCGGGGATCTGCGGCCGACGGCCCTCGAGCACGTCGAGCGACACGCCCATGAAGTTGCGCCCGGCGTAGGGTTGCTTCCGCGTCAGCACCTCCCACATGATCACCCCGAACGAGAACACGTCGGCCTTCTCGGTGTAGCGATCGCCGCGGATGACCTCGGGCGCGGTCCAGCAGGGCGAGCCGCAGCGGGTCATGGTCACGTTCTCCTCCTTGATGCGCGCAAACCCGAAGTCGGCCACCTTCACGTTCCGGTTCTCGTCGACCAGCAGGTTCGACGGCTTCAGGTCGCGGTGCACGATCACCGGGTGCAGTGGGTGCGGGTAGTTGATCCCGAGCGCCGCCGAGCGGAGCAGCCGCAGCTTCTGCTGCCACGGGAGCTTGATGGCGTTGTCGAGTAGGATCTCCTTGAGCGAGCCCTGCTTGACGAACTCGGTCACGATGCACAGGTTGGGCCGCTTGACGCAGGCGCCGATGAAGAGCACGATGTTGGGGTGGTGCAGCTCCGAGAGGAAGGCCATCTCCGCGCGGAACTCGAGCATGCGCCGCTCGTCCAGCTTCTGCTTGATGAACCGCTTCACCGCCACCTCCACGCCCTTCCACACGCCCTTGTAGACCATGCCGTACGAGCCCATGCCCACCTGCTTGCCCATCGTGACCTCCTTGAAGTCGAGGATCCAGCGCACCATGTTGGCCGACGTGAGGAAGTTGTCCTCCTTGAACATCATGCCCTCGCCCACCTCCGTCTGCAGCTCCTGGGACTCCTCCATCTTCGTCGTCGTCGTCACGCCGCCGAAGAACCTCGCCTGCAGTCCGTCCGCCTTCACGTCGTATAGCTTTATCCCTGTGTTTTTCCGAGTTGTGAGCGCACAAGCACACACCGCACACGCGCACCGCACACGCACACGCACACACGCCACACAGCCCTGTGTCCCCCCCCCCCGAGATGTGAGCGCACATGCGCACACGACTGGACACGCACCGGTAGGGAAATCGGGGGTCTCGAACTTGCCCACGCAGGTGGCCTTCTCGAGGAGCGCCTCGTCGGCGAACCGCAGCTGCTCGAGAGCGACCTCCGACGCGAGGATCTGGCCGCCGTGCGCGAGCGAAGTGATGCGCGCTGCGGCGTTGACCGTCGCGCCCACGTACTCGACGCGCCGGGACTTGGGGTCGCGCACCAGCTTGGCCTCGCCGACGTGGACGCCCATGCGCACGCGCAGGCCGCGGAAGATGACGCGGTTGTCGGTGTCGCCCCACTCCTCGGCCGCGCCCGGGTGCTCGAGCAGGGCCTCGGGCCACTCGACCTTGACCAGCTCCTGCTGGGCCTCGGAGCACCACCCGACCGCGTTGACCGCGTTGGTGAACACCATGCAGAAGGAGCCCTCGCCGCTGTTGCGCTCGCGCACCAGCATGGCCTCGTAGCCGCTCCACCGCTTGAGCAAGTCGCGCAGGACTTGGTTGTGCAGCAGCGTCGCGTCGCGCATGGCCTGCGCGTTGAACTCCCAGAGCGTGGAGGCGCGGGTGACGTCGGTGAACACGATCGCCACCCGGCCGTCGGGCACCGGCGCGCGGTCGATCGTGCGCGTGAGCCGCGCGATATCGCCCATCTCCGACGACGCGGTTGAAGAGCGCCCGCCGGCGCTGGCCTCCAAGCCCCGCATCGAGCGGCTGTGGTTGGCCCACTTGCCGTTGGGCAGCTTGAAGATGTTGCCGGACGCGCTGCTCGAGTTGTTGGACGAGGTATGCGACGTATGGCTCACGGACTGGTCGCCGACGATGGCGCTGAGGCGGGTCATGATCTCGAGGAACGTGGGCCGAATGCCCGAGTCGTAGTGCCAGCAGTTGGTGATGAGGGTGGTAAAGTCGGCTGGCGCGTCCTCGGGCACGGTGGGCCGCAGCTGGTCGCGGATGACCGCCACCGCCACCGCCGCCGGGCTGAGGGTTTCGTAGGGCTGTTGCCGAGTGAGGAGCTCCCACATGATTATGCCTGTGCCACCAGCCGCGGCTCAATCAGTACGCACGCACGCACGCACGCACTATCGCACACGCACACGCACACGCACACGCACACGCACACGCACACGCACTACCGCACACGCACACGCACACGCACACGCACACTCACACGCACACGCACACGCACACGCCGTACCGAAAGAGTATACGTCGGCGAGAGCGTAGTCGATGTCCTTGGCCTCGTTGAGCACTTCGGGCGCGGTCCAGTGGATGCTCATCTGATGGGCCGGTCCGTGGTTATTCTTGGCGTCCTCCTTGAACTGGGTGAGACCGAAGTCGGAGACCTTGACGTTCCACTTGTTGTCGAGCAGCAGGTTGAGCGACTTGAGGTCGCGGTGCACGATGCCCGACGAGTGCAGGAAGTGCATGCCCTTGGCCGCCTGGTACGCCATCTTCACCTTCAGCGCTAACGGCAGCTCCGGGATGAGCTCGTTGTGCAGCAGCTGCGCACACACCACAACCGTTACATGATTGGCATTGGTTGATAAAAGCTAAAAGCTAAAAGAGGTGGAGCTGATTGGCGCGAGTGGATTGCCAAGGGAAGCGGTACGTCATAGAGGGAACCGAGAGCCATCAGCTCCATGACGATGCACATCTTGGGCTTCTTGGTCGACGCGGCCATGAACAGCACCACGTTGGGATGCCGCAACGCCGTCATCACTCGCACCTGTTGTCAACACACACACACACACACACACAAGGTGATTGCGTCATCGCTCAATCTTGTGAGTGATGACACTGGTGGTGCGGGTGAGAGGGCGCGTGCGTACCTCTTCGACGAAGCTCCGCTCCATCTCCTTGTTGACATCCTCCATGATGAGGAACTTGACGGCGACCTCAGTGCCGCGCCACTTGGCCCGGTAGACCTCGCCGTAGCCGCCAGTGCCCAGGTGCTCCTCGAGCTCGAGCTCGTTGGGGTCGATCTCCCACTGGTCGCGCTGCCCGCGGCTCCGGCGCCAGGCCACCGCCAGGACGCACAGAACCACGAGCCCGAGCAGCAGGACGATAGCCACCGAAGGGATCACCGCGCCCAGCACCGCCGCGAGCGCCGTCGAGTCCAGCCCAGACGACGAGCTCGCCTCCTTAACTGCGTGCGCGCAGAAAGTCCCCTCCCAGCCCTTGTTGCACTGCACCACCACCACCACGAAGTGGTTAGAGGTCGGAGGCTCCAGAAGGCCGCTAAGTTTCAAGGGGGTGGGGAAGTACAAGGCAGCTGCCGTTGAAGCAGGTGCCGCGGTCGGAGCAGATGGTGCCGTTATCGATGCAGCCGGCCAGCGGACTGACGGCCTTGCCGTCGCACGTGACCGCCTTGATTTGGTTCAGCAGATGGGCGAGGAGCGGCTTGTGAGTCCCGGGGACCGCCATCGAGTACCTATGCGCACCGTGGTCAGCCCAGACACCACCTTTTCTGGCCATCGCGTCGATGGGTGATCTGGTACCTTACTGCCGTACTGGCCGCGACGGCTTCGGTCTGCGACCAGTAGACCCACTCCACCAGGGCCTTGGCCTTGGTGCAGTCCTGCATAGAGGTAGTCCTGAACAGCAGCGAAAAGAACCCCACGACCGGCCAGCTCGCCTCTCCTGAGTCTGTCCACGCCAATCGGGGATGAGTGCGGTGCAGTTTGATTGCGATTGGCGGGGCAGCAGGTACCGAGAAGGACGGACTCGTCGGTCGATGTGAGGCTTGCGAGCGCGGCGTGGATGTTGGCCGGCTCGGCGCTGGAGACGTTGCCGGCCGCGTTCAGTAGCCGGGCCTGGCCCAAGAAGAGCTGGTAGTCGCGGTACTCTCCGCTCACCAGCCACGCCAGACTATAGAGCGTGTCTGCGGCGGTGGATGCCACCGCGCTTGGCGCAGCGTACACGACCCGGTCGGGCAGGTCCTCGACGGGATAGTGCACAGACTCTCCGGACCCCACCTGTGCGTGCGTGCGATGAGTCACGGTGCCAGAGAGAAGAGAGAATGGCCGGCGCCCGCGCACCGTTGATTCGAAGTCAGAAGAGACGAGGCTCAGCGCCTGAGTGATCAAGAGCGTCGCGCTGCAGGGCGTCGATGGCAGCACCAGCTTGATGAGCGCGTTGGGCAGGGCTATACTGGGGTTGAGCGCCGCGATGGCGGTGTCGTTCCACCACGCCACCTGGTTGAGCATGATCTGCGCCAGAAGCTCCAGAGACAAAGTCATGTTGACCGGTTGTAGGACCGGCCCACCGACAATCTGCGCCACCGAGCCACAGACGTTATAATCACGCAGGTCGCGATGGAACAGGAAAAAGCGCGCACCCGATACGCGGGGATCAGTGCGTAGGCGTGCATGGCAAACGTCTCTGCGTCTGGAATCTGCAGCTTCTGGTCAGCGGTGAGCCCAGAGCCCACAAGCCCAAAGTCGATGGTTCCTAAAGGCAATGGACAAAGCCGTCAGCAATCACCGTGCAGCCGCTTGGAATGTTGGGATCACGACGAACCCTTTGCCACCAGCTCGACGGTGGTCGATTCATCGCCAGCGCAATATTTGACCTGGAACTGTGGGTCATAGTTTGCGTAGACGTTGGCCAAGTCGGGCAGGGCTTGCTGCTGCGGACCTAAGGCGACCGACCACGCCACGCCGAGGCTCCGCTCTCCATCGCAGAGCAGGGTGCCCAAGAGGTCGATTATTTGTTTCTTGTACGGCAACGTCAACGGCACCTGTGCAGCACCACGATCACATTTGAATGCGAGATCGTGAGCACCATGTGAGTTTGGCCACTCAGGAGCCCAAGCGCAACGCACCCATCCTAAATCTTCAGCCCACGATGCGATCTGGTACACACGGGTACACACGAACACACACGGGCAAATTGTAAGCAATAGAAGGTGAAAGAGGCTGATGGCGGGGCGACTGTTACCTGGTCATTAATTTGGATCCAGGCGAGGAGCTGCTCTGCTTCTCTGATGAGAGGGCAGAGGTCGGCGTCCGACGATACTAATCCTGCGCCCAGGAACATGATGTACGAGAAGGGCCATGCGTCATCGGCTCCCGCGTCGTCGATGCTCACGAGCAGGTCACCCGCTGTAGTATAGACCATACCAGCAATTATGTGGCTGGCCTGATGAAAAAAGAGCCTGAGAACTCACCTGAAACGCTGTCGCTGACGTTGGTCAAGGCAGCGCGCATCGTGTGAACGGACGCCTCCACTACGTGGCCCGCCCGATTCTTCATCGACGCCACAGTCAGCTCCGGAGAATGCTGCAAGGCAATCGGCTGTTCGATGATCCCCAGCGTGTAGTTGGTGTCCTGTTGTCGCGCGAGGAAGCGAAAAAGTATGGGTGTAAGCCTCGGGGGACACTGGTGCTGGTCGTTGCGGTCGTACGGTTACTGCTTGGGCGACGGCGGAAGTGGACGCGACCGCCAAGAGCCGGCCTTCGACGGCCACGGCCAGGCTACTGAAGTTGCGCGACGCACTCGTGAACGCGTCGCAGAAGTCAGTGTCGAACGAACACACCACCTTGCCAAAGAAGATCGACAGATCGGCCACGCTGGGCGGCATGACCAAGACGATGTCCTTCTCTGGCAGGGTCGCGCTGGGATTGAGCGTGCTGATGCGTGAGTCATTCCACATCCGGATAGTGCCCAGCCAGATCGCGGCAACCGTTGGTCGGTCCAGCACCTGGCCACGTGTGGCACACCAGCGAGAGTGAGCGCTTCGAACCACGTCAGCACACGGCCAGAACCCGAGGGGTCTACCAGAATGTGAGAGCCCAGCTCGGGTAGGTTGTAGGGCAGCACGACCGAGCTGGCAAAGATGGGAAGTACGGTGAGACCGACGGGCGGGAAGGCAGCGACGGTCGGTGCTGAGCGCCGCCACCAGACCCTGGCCCAAAGCCTGCACCGCCTGCCCGAAGGTGGGCGTCGGGAAGTACTGCAGAGACAAAATGTCCTGTGTTGCCCCCCCCCCAGGCCACCACGGTTACTGTGTACACATAACACGAGCGTAGGTGTTCTACTCGCACCTTTTTGCAGCGGTAGCCCTCCGATACTCGGGTCCATATGGCTGAGTTGGTGGTACCCCCACCAGCGAATGTGACCCCCTCCACTCCTGTCCCCTCAGCCTTCAGTCCGCCGTACTACGCATCATAGATTGCAAAAAAGAAAATGCGGAAAAAATAGAAAGAAAAACACACCAAGACGGGGCAGGGAGAAGGCAGCGATGAAGAAGAGAGCGAGGGTGGTGAGCGCGAATCGATGAATCATCATTATCTCGGCGTCACCGCGGCCACTTGGTGTTAGTGTGAAAGAGATAAAAAAAGGGCGGGACGACACAGTTGCTGATTTGCGCCGGCGGCCCTGGATTGCGGTGTAGCACGAGGGCTGGATCAGCTTTCAGCCATCCCATGGGCGCTCCTGCACTACCAATCGGTTGCTACGCACACCTAAAACCAGTCGACCTCGTGTTGAGGTGCACCTCGATCCTGTCTGATCTGCCAAGCTTTCCCTAAAACAGGGACAATTTTTTCCCTTTGCGTTTGGGCAAGTAACCGACCGTGTGGTCTCGCTCATTGTTTGGCCTTGACTGAGAAAAGTTGAGAGCCAACATATACACCAATGCGTAAATGTGATGTGTTGTATATTCTATGTTGTTCTATGTGGTTGTTGTTTACACGATTTCGCCTCCGCTGCCGTGGCACTGGGCGAGGTGGTCTTCGAGCAGCTCGATGACGTCCTCCATGGCCGGCCGCTTGTTGGGGTCCGAGTGCCAGCACTTCTTGATGAGCTTGGCAAAGTCCTGCGGCGTGTCGGGTGGCACCTGCGGGCGGCGGCCCTCGAGCACGTCGAGCGACACGTCCATGAAGTTGCGTCCGGCGTAGGGCTGGCGCCGAGTGAGCACCTCCCACATGATGATGCCGAACGAGAACAGATCGGCCTTCTCCGAGTACTTCTGTCCCTGGATGATCTCGGGCGCGGTCCAGCAGGGCGTGCCGCAGCGGGTCATGGTCGCGTTGTCCTCCTTGATGCGCGCGAACCCGAAGTCGGCCACCTTCACGTTGCCATTGTCGTCCACCAGCAGGTTGGAGGGCTTCAGGTCGCGATGCACGATCACCGGCTGCAGCGAGTGGAGGTAGTCGACGCCGAGCGCGGCAGAGCGCATGAGGCTCAGCTTCTGGCCCCACGAAAGCTTGATGCTGGTGTTGGAGATGATGTCCTTGAGCGAGCCCTGGCGCACGTACTCGGTCACGATGCACATGTTCGGCTGGCGCACGCAGGCGCCGATGAAGAGCACGATGTTGGGGTGGTGCAGCTCCGACAGGAAGGCCATCTCGGCGCGGAACTCGAGCATGCGCCGCTCGTCCAGCTTCTGCTTGATGAACCGCTTCACCGCCACCTCGACGCCCTTCCACTTGCCGCGGTAGACGATGCCGTACGACCCCATGCCGATCTGCTTGCCCAGCTGGATCTCGTCGTAGTTGATGATCCACCGGCACAGGTTGGCCGACGTGAGCGACGAATCCTCCTTGAACATGAGCCCGTCGCCCACGACCGACTGCACCTCGCTGTCCGACGACACGTGCGACCGCACCGAGCCGCCGGAGCTGTAGCTCTCCACCGAGCTGTGGGAGCTGCGGGAGCTGCGCGACAGGCTGGCCCCGCCGCGGATCTCCTTGTCCTGCGTCACGCCGCCGAAGAACCGGGCCTCGAGGCCCGTCGCGCGCAGCTCGTAGAGCTTCTCGCCCTGGATCAGGTCCGGTATACTGAACTTGCCCAGGTACAGGATGCGGTTCTTCTCCTGGGCGAGAGGCGTGTCGCGCAGGCGCTCGTAGACGTCGCGCGACAGCAGGATCTGGCCGCCGTGGGTGAGGGCCGTGATGCGGGTGGCCATGGTCACCGTCGGACCCGAGTACTCGACACGCCGGGTCTTGACGTCCTTGATGGCCTTGGGAGTGCCCAGGTGGACACCCATGCGCACGCGGAGGCCCTTGAAGAGAACCTTGTCGTCGGTGTCGCCCCACTCCTCGACCGCGCCCGGGTGCTCGAGCAGCGAGCGCGGCCAGTCGATGGTGAGCAGCAGGCGCTGGGCGTCCATGCACCAGTTGACGGCGTCTATCGGGTCCTGGAAGGCCATGCAGAACGACCCCTCGCCCGAGTTGCGGTCGCGGATGAAAATTACCTCGTAGCCGCGGTGCTTGCGCAGGATCGAGCGCAGGGCCTCGTTGTGCAGCAGCGTCGCGTCGCGCATGGCGTTGGGGTCGTACTCCCAGAGCGAGGCGGCGCGCGTGATGTCGGTGAACACGATCGTCACCTCGCCCTCGGGCGGTCGCACCGCGTCGCGGTCCTCCAGGCGCCGCCCGGTCCGCGAGGCCTTGGAGCTGGCCCGCGACCCGCCGCTGCTCTTGGACGACACCGAACCGCGGTCGGACGGTAGTGTCCACGACGAGTTGGACCGCGGGATCTTGGGCTTGTTGCTGGTGCCGGTGGCCGACGACGACGACGAGCGCGAGGTGAACATGGCCGTGCTTGAGTCGCCGTGCATGGACGAGAGGCGGGTCATGATTTCGAGGAAGGTCGGGCGGATGGTGGGGTCCTGGTGCCAGCACGAGACCATCAGCTCAACGTAGTCCGGCTGCGTGTCGCCCTCCACTTCCATCAGCGTCGGTCGCAGGTTGTCCCTGATCACGGCCACGGCCACCGCGGCCGGGCTCAGTCCGGCGTAGGGCTGTCGCCTGGTCATCAACTCCCACAAAATGATGCCTGTAAAGAGGGTCAACGACGGTCATTCGACGTCAACGATGGTCGTCAATCAAACAACTGTTTGTCAAGCGTGGTCAGCGTACCAAACGAGTACACATCGGCGAGGATGTAATCGATCTCGGGCGACTCGTTGAGGATCTCGGGCGCGGTCCAGTGGAGACTGCCCTGGGCGTCCTTGGCGCCGGACTTCTTCATCTCCTCGCGGAACCGGGTGAGGCCAAAGTCGGAGACCTTGACGTTCCACTTGTTGTCGAGCAGCAGGTTGAGCGACTTGAGGTCGCGGTGCACGATGCCCGACGAGTGCAGGAAGTGCATGCCCTTGGCCGCCTGGTACGCCATCTTGGCCTTGAGCGTGAACGGCAGCTCCGGGATGAGCTCGTTGTGCAGCAGCTGTAGCCCACCACCACCCAACAGGAACCGGTTTAGCCACAACAAGTGGAGAAAGGGGCCGTGCAAGGAAGACGCGTCTCGGTCAGTACCTCGTAGAGCGAGCCCAGGGCCATGTACTCCATGACGATGCACATCTTGGGCGGCTTGGTGCAGGCGGCCATGAACAGCACCACGTTGGGATGCCGCAGCGCGGTCATCACGCGCACCTCTTCGATGAAGCTGCGGGCGGTGTCCTTGCCGAAGGCCGCCGGCGGGATCATCTTGACGGCGACCTCGGTGCCCCTCCAGCGCGCGCGGTACACCTCGCCGTAGCCGCCGGCGCCGAGCGGATCGCCCATCTCGAGCTCGTCGGTGGAGATCTCCCAGTCGTTGCGGCCGCCGCCCTTCTTGCGGGCGAAGCAGCAGAGGCACGCGATGACGCAGGCCATGATGAGCAGAATGATGCCCACGACCGGCAGCGCGATGCCGAGCGACAGCGCCAGGGTCGTGCCCGTGTCGTCGGAGCTGGAGGAGTTGGACTGGCAGTAGCTGCCCGAGAAGCCGTTGTCGCACTGGCAGCGCGAGTTGACGCACACGCCGTGGTCGCTACACACCATGTCGTTCATGATGCACGAGTAGACCGAGCTGGCCGGCTGGCCGTTGCACCGCACGCGCGACAGCTGCGAGACCATCCTGCGCTTGATCGCGCTCGACTTGCTGGCGACGACGACAAAGTTACGGTCGGCCGCCAAGTCGGCGGTCGTGCTCGACTGGGACCACCACATGAAGTCGTACAGTGCGCGCGCCTTCACGCAGTCGCCCGTGGTGACCGTGTGCGCGATCAGGGAATTGAAGGTGACGACAGGATATCCGCTCGGTTCCGGACCTAAAAGATTCCGAAAGAGGTCAGCACCAATCGCGTTTGGGCGCTGAGTCTAGCCATTGGCCGATTGGAGCAAGGCTGACGCACCCCAGATGGCGCGCAGGTTGGTGATGTCGGCGTCCTGCAGGGCCGCGGTGGTGGCCGCCGTGGTCGGCTGCACGGCCTTACCGGCGGCGTTGACGATGGCCGCCTCGCGCAGCTTGCGCTGAGTGATGATCTGGCCCGCCGAGGCGAACACGAACGAGTAGGGGTTCGCCGCCACATAGGGGATCGTCACCGTCGACGTGCCGGTCATCAGCGTACTGCAGCGGTTGCAGTGTCAGCTTCGTGCAGTCACTCGGGGCTCCAGCACAGAGGAATGGTTGACGTACGAGCTGTTGCTGCCCACGACCGGGAAGGGATCAGGGTAGCCGGTTACGCCCACCGTGGAATTCCAGTTACGCACGGCTTCGGCCAGGACCTGGGTCCACACCTGGGTGACGACCGAGAAGCCCGAGGAGAAGACGGGCATGATCTCGCGGTCGGGGAGAAGGTCCTCGATGGTGGGGTTGAGCGTCAGGATGGCTTCGTCGCGCCAGTTCGTGATCGTGTTCCGCAGGATGCCCGCCACCACGTTCATGTTCAGGACCAGAATGCCCTTGTTGAGAATCTCGGGCAGCTGCGTGTGCGAGAGAGTCTAGGGTCAGACACGTAACAAGCCCAACCCTTCAGTGTGGTCGTGCGTACGTTGTAGACAAAGACCATGGGGAAGGCCGTGATGGTGAACAGCTCCACGTCCTCGCCGATCTCGTGGAGCGTCTCTTGGCTCAACACGTAGCTCGTGGCGCCAAAGTCGACGTCATCTGATCATAGGCAAACATTAATCAACAACTGTCATATTGCAAAAAGGTATAAGGCGGCGCTGGTGTACCATCCTGCATGGCGGTGATGGCGGCGGCGGTGGTGCTGTCAAAGTACTTCTGGACGTAGGAACTGGTGGAGTACTCCTGAGCCCAATCGTAGAAGGCGGAGAGGGGTCCGCCCGTGCCGATGAGGTAGGCCACGGTGAGGGCCTGTTGGTCTTGGCACTGGAGCAGGACGAGCAGGTCGATCAAGCGCTTCTTGTAGGCGATGGTGAGCGGCGCCCAGCCGTTGGTCTGGAGCGTGGTCTCCGTCTGGCCATTGGTGGCCACCCAGGCCAGGATCTCCAGGAACTGCTTCAACGGAGTACAGTCCTGCTAGCGCAATGGAAGACGAGTAACAAGAAATGCAATAGCCTTTAGTAAGAGCGAAGACGAAAGCGAAGACGAAAGCGAAAACGAGGTAAGAAGGTATTGGTACTGTTGTGTTGGTGTTGTTGAGCACGCCGACGAGGGAGACGTAGGGCATGGGCCACGTGTTGGTGCCATTGCCATCGATGATGTCGGCCGACAGGTCTCCTTCTTTCGCCCATTAAGATGGGTAGGGGTTAGGCATCGCCCCACATAAACAATCCACGCACACAATGCAGGACAACGAGAGAGCCAGTAATGCAAACCTTGGTGGACAGTTTCAATGAAGTCGTTCATGGCCGACTGCACGTTGGCGGCGGTGGGCTGGACAATATTGCCCGCCCTGTTCACCATGGCGGCGTAGCTCATGTTGGATTGTTGAAGGAAGGCCGGATAGTCGATGTACGTGATGCTGTAGGCATTGTTCTGAGATTACACCATTTACATTCGTCAACACATTAACCACAATACCACTACTGTAGCCGCCACCAATATCATCAGCGCATCACACCAGGGGGGGCGAAGGGGGTACCCTGACGTAATCGAAGCGGTCCGTGGGGTTGTCGAATCGCATGGCCTTGCCATTCTGGGCCGGCGGCAGGCCGGCGAGCAGGCCACCGGCGGCGTTAAGCTGCTGGGCGAATTCGGCGTTGAATATGGAGAGGGCGGTCTTGAACACCTGCGAGCCGGCCGTCCCGATCAGGGTCTCGGTGAAGCTCATGGTGATGGGCACGTCGGGCAGGTCCGACGAGGTGAGGTTCTGGTTGAGCGCCAGGATTGCGGGATCCGCCCACGAGGTGATGGAGCCCATGAATATTTGTGCCAGGGTGTTGCCATCCAATACCTGCATAGAGAATGACACGCGCCTATTAACTCCACCCAATCACACGTGAGTGGTTGGGGGGGGGGCGAGGAGACCAGCTGATAACTCAAACCGGGCAGGTTGTAGGCAACGACGAGGGCCACGCCGGCCAGCGGAACCTGCGTCAGCCCGCTCGGGACGAGGTCTTGCGAGATGGCACTGTCCAGACTCACGAAGTCGGCGTTGCCCGCAGCGAAGGTGGCCAAGGCTGTTTCCGCGGTGGTCTCTTGTGTGTACTGTACCACCACGTTGTCCCTTCGGTACTGGTAGCCTGCATGCCACCGCATTGCAACACCATCCCAAAGATAAGTTAGTTCCCTCCCCTTGGCGCATCTCTTGTGCTTTTTTGGGCCAGTGAAACGAGAAGCGAAGAACGAAAGCGAAACCGGTGGGTTCACCCCTGTGGGAAAAGAACGGGAAAAAATAGAACGAAAAGCGAAGGGCACAAGAAGAGGTGGAAGAAGAAGAGGTACCACTGCTGAGCTGCCGCCACAGGGAAGTGACGGAACCGGAGGAACCGACCCCGGTGATTACGAGGGCTCCTGTGCCTGCTTTCGTGTGAGAAAAGATGTTAGTTTGGGAGGGAAAGAGCATGAACACTTTCATAGACTTGGAAGTAAGTAGGGGCGGGAGTTCGTACCAGCGAGGAGAGAGAAAAATATGAGGGTGCAGAGAAGGAGGAGTGGGCTGCGGCGAAGTACGGCCATCCTGTGTGGGGTCACTGGCGACTACGACCACGAAACTATAGGTACACGGTGCTGATGGCGGCTGGGTCTTCCTCCCGGCCAGGAATCCCTCCTTGTTCAAAAGGCACCACCCGAGACTTGCGGCGGAGTCGGGTGTGGGAGCAGACGTGTCTTGCTGCTGGGCGGGGGGAGACAACAACACTGGAGAACGGGCCACAAGACGCGAACAGACACCCACGCAACACAAGGCGGTAAGACAACCAAATCGTGGTGCCGTATCTCCTGCTGCGATCTTGGGGTAGGGGCTTGCGCTTGGGTGCTTAGTGTGAGCTCACAGTGCCTTGATTAATTTGGAGTTTCCAGTTTTCTGCGAGTTTGGTCCGCTCCGGTTGGTAGCCAGGTCGATTCTCGTTACCGAGGTCCCTTCGAACTCTCCGATGGGTGGGCCATTGGCTGGCGTTTTCTCCCCTTCTCCCCCACTTCTCTGCACTTCTGGTCGGCCAGCCAAGTTGAAACACAACGTTGGCGCAGGGGAAAAGGTCCACTTCTTTTTCCTGGCTGACGGCGTGGCCCCTACCAGGACTGGAAAAGGAACTTCAGAGCGAAGGGCACACGCCACACGACACACATGAGCCGCCACGCCGATTACTCGCCTTGGCCCCAAGCCATTCCAACAGATTTTCCTCAACGCGAGAACCCCCTATCGCGCCAGGATTTTTCCTTCTGATTTTAACTCCGAGCCCACCTGGCACTCTCCGGTTGGGAGAAGCTGCACAGTACGATCTTGATCTCCTTCTCCAACGTTGTTGTGTTGCCGCTCGGGGGGGGGGTACAGCCTACTTCTTCTTTTTCTGCCCAGGCCGTCTCCCCTCTTCTTCACTTGGCGATCTGGTTCTTCTTGGCCATGGACTCGCCAGCGGCGGCGAGGGACGACGGGATGTCCATCCGGTCGAAGTGCACCTCCACCAAACTCATCCTGCCCTCCTTCCTGTTCTTGGGCACGAAGTTCTCCAGCACCTGCGCATCACAATTGGTGAGACACTCAGAGACCAGCTTCGTTGTTGTTCGTTGGCACGGCAGCGACGTACATCGTCGAGCTGGTCCTCGGTGAACACCTCGGCGCCCTTGGTGGCTTCGTCCTTGCCGCCGGCGAACACGTAGGGCAGAAGGTGGTAGGCCCACGGCTGGATGTTGTTGTAGAGCGGGTGCCGATCGGTGATGGCTCTGCAGAATTACGGTACGGGCCGGTGAGAACGACAACATGCTGGTGAGCAAGTGCCACAATCATCAGGCGAAAGCACGAACCTCTCGATGGTGTAGCCGTCGTTGTTGATCAAGAACACCACGGGCTTGAGGTTGTTGCGAATGTATGTGGAGAGGTCCTGAGCGGTCACTTGGAACGAGCCGTCACCGACAAACAGCACCACCTCCCGGTCCTGTGTACACACACCATGAACATGAGTCGCGAGAACAACCAGTGCCGCCCAGTTACAATAGTACAATACGATACCGTGTTCTTGAGGGCGATGGCCACGCCGAGGGTGGCGCCGACGGTATAGCCGATGGACCCGTAGAAGATCTGTCCGATGAAGTCGCAGCCCTTGGGCAGAAGGGTCTCGGCCACCGAGAACATCGACACCCCGGTCTCGGCGATCACCACAGAGTTGGGCTGCAGGAAATCGCTCACGCGGTCGAAAAAGCGGCGCAGAGTCGTCTTCTCGCCCTGCAACACAACACGCAACAGTCGTAAGCTATAGCTTACACTCTCGACCTGGTGATGGCGTCAGCTAGTCGGCCGGTGCGTACCTTCTTCATGGCGTGCTTCTCGGCACCGTCGTCCTTGTCACTGTAACGAGCGGGCTTGTGCACGCAGCCGTAGATCGCTCGCTTGATGTCGAGGTTCTCGGGGTCCCTCTTGGTGAGCCTCTCGCTGAGCTGTGCCATGAAGGTGGCGAGCGGGATGTTGTCGTAGCTGTGGAACTTGACGTTGACCTTGTCGTTTGTAGCCGTGATCAACTTCTTCGGCTTAAGGTCCGCCGAAAAGCCTGTACGTTTACGTTCATGTGAGCGAGACGCTTGCAAGAAGGGTTTCACAATTGGTTAAGGATTGATTCAGTTACCTCCGGTGTTGAAGTCCGTCATGAGGGCACCCAGGTAGATGATGCAGTCCGCATTCTCGACGCGGTCCTTCACGTAGGCCCTGCTGCGGTTACCCTCGTAGAGACCGATGAACTGCGGGTGGTCCTCGTCAATGACGGCCTTGCCCATCATCACCGTCACTGTGTCCGATCGTCCGTTAGCATGCCCTAGCCAGTACAGCAGCCGGATCGGGAGTGGGTGAGTTACCGTAGGGGAATCCGCTCTTCTCGAGCAGGTGGCGGAATTGCTTGTGAAGCTTCTTGCGGATGAGCTCCATGTCGGCGATGATGATGGGCTTCTGAGCAGCCTCGACCATCTTGAGGGTTTCCTCCATGCACTCCTCGAGTACCTGGCTGTCCACGTCGATCTCCTTCACAAACTGCTCTTATACAAAAGAACTATGAGCCTTTGCGCAACAGAATGCATCATAAGAGCAGTGCAGGGCCGTACCTTGAAGTTGGGGTCGGGCGCAGCGCACTCGGCATTGCAGATATCACTAACGCCACAAGGTGGTGTGAATTGCAGGTCGATGAGGAGGAGAGACTTCAAGTAATGCGTACGCGGGCAGGCTGATGTAGACGGGGCTCAGCTTGGTGAGACAGACCGACAACACGCGATCTATCTCCCTCGGGGCGCTCTCGGGGTCGTTGAGGATCGTCTGCGCCGAGGTCACATGGGAGAAGATCTTGAAGGGAATGCTGTAGTCACCTGTGTGAGATAACGAAGAGGCCAGGGTCAGAGCATGTGTTAGCTGGCCTTGACCAAGTGCGGGCAGTCCTACCCAGAGTATGGTGCAAAAGCGGCTGCTTCCGCTGGTCCTCGGTGGTGGGCGATCCGCTGATGACCACAACTGTCCGAGAGCAGCAATGTCAGTCAATGAAGCCCAGCCCCAACACACCACGCGAAGAAGGCGCGTACCCGGAATCCTCTCGGCGAAGGAACCGGCCACGGCGTTGAGCGCAGACAACTCGCCCACAGCGTAGGTTGTCGTGACCGCAGCCAAACCCTGCATTGCGTAACCCACACGCATACAACACGACACGTAACAATATGGCGTTAGGACATGCTTCGTCCCACACTTCTCCTGCGAATTTCATGTGGGAATGCGGCGGGGTGATGGGACGTTGCGGACAGCGTAGTCCGCACTGAATCAAAAAAAAAGATGGGGTGCGGGGGTGACCTTGATGCGAGCGTAGCCATCGGCAGCGTAGCCGGCGTTGAGTTCGTTGCAGGTGCCCACGTACTCCATACCGCTCTCGATGACCTGGTTGCAGAAGCCCAGCACGAAGTCGCCGCACACGCCGAACATGTGGTCCACGCCCAGCTGGCGCAGCCTGGTCAGGAGGTAGTCCCCCACCGTCGTCTTGCCATTCTTCGTCGCTTCCATGTTGTGTTGGGTGGTGTTGTGTGTGAGTGAGCTGGAAGAGGCTGCGCGCAGTGTAACTGCGTGCAAACGAATTTGTCGTGTGCACCGTCCCGCCAACCACGATACAAAGGTTCAACGGGTGGTTCTTGTCGAAATGTCTGCGAATTCTATATGACGGAACAACACAGGAAAACGAAAGAAAAGTTGGCAGTAAAAAAAGAGAAAAAGTAATTCACGCCAGAACGATTGAATCAGGGTACTTGACGGTAAATGGAAGAAGAGAAGAAGATAGTGGAGGAGATTGGGGAGAAGGAAGGAGCAGATGCGGCGAATGGCACCCCCTCCCCTTCGCCCTCGAAGAAGAAGCAGAAGCAGGTGCACGGCATCCTCAAGAGCGGCAAGAAGGAAGCCAGGTGTGCCTTCTCCTTTCAACTCATGCCTGCTGAGGTCGATCTATTAAGCATATTCTGTCCTCGATTTGCAGGAACTCAGGAGTCGTCTGGGATGAGGACAATTTGATTTACAATGAATCAAACAAGAGCGCTACGATGAAGATCGACGAACCGCCTACGCCCTATAACAAGGAATACGATTCGGCCGAAGATGATGAAGAGGAGTCCACGTCGTCGTCAGAGAAGGAGAAGGGATCGAAATCGGACGATGATGGCGAGCGCACGTCCAGCGCTACTCGCAGGAATCACAGGGAAGACATCAAGACCGAGGAAGCTGCCCGTGCTCACTTTGATCAAGTGAGCACCGCTCTCGAGGAAAGCAAGCGGCGCCCGGCCAGAACCGCACGACCGCGCTTCTCCAGCGACGAAGACACCACCGAAGATGATGAAGGCGCCGAACACGGTACCGGCCACCCTATCTCTCTTCTTTTGCCTTCTCTTCTAGTCCGGTTGGTGTGCGTCGTCGCTCTGCGGAGCCAGTTGATCCTGTCGTGCTTTATGAATAGTCCTCTCTTCGCCTGTCTGCTGTCGCTGCGTGCTGTTGTTGTTGGCGGAGCCAGGTGACGCTTGATCTGTGGTCTGACGTCTGTTCTCACACAATCGCACAGGAGAGAAGCGCGGCGAGTTTAAGAAGAAGCGCATGCAGCACTACAACGAGTGGAAGAGGCTACAAGAGTTCAGGAGAAGGTACTGCTCGTTTACAAGATGAGGAAAGCTCTACTTTAGGACCAACGTTGTGCCTGACTTGTGTACTCGCCGTAGCCACAGCAACGACGCCAGCGAGGGGGAGGACGACGCGGAGGAAGAAGAGGACGACGACAAAGATAGGGATGACGACGACACCAGGACCGCCAAAGCGCTGAGGACGTAAACATTTCCGACCGCCGATTATCTGACAGGGCTCTCCCACTCTCCTCGCTCTCTTCGTCGCTCGCAAACCCAGTTTCGCATCGGGGCCTAGGGCGCTCACGACTTGTACATTCGCCTGTACACACCCCATATACCGCAAAAACCCTACTTTCACTCGATGTCGTCTCTCTCTTTGCTGCAAGGAGTGTCTACGTGTCCGTCGGCCGTGAGATCCAGGACCAGGCGCCCGTGTGGGCCGTGAACTCCCCTCCCCCTCTCCTCACCTTGTCTTCTCCCGCTTTTCATGGTCATCTCTGCCAGCAACATGCCACGAGCCCAACAACTTTGAGTACTCCAGGTGATGAAGGCAACAGGCAGTTCACGGCGACCATGAAGGCAGAGCGCCCATTGGCTGTTGCTTCACGCATTCACGGTCAACTCAGCCGCCAAGACACGGACTACTCCTTGCACCCAAAATATGTGCTGTTTGGTAGGTTTCTCCAGTGGTGGAGTGCGGGCCCTCGGGTCCTGTACAACGAGGAATAATGCGTTCACTCTTGATATGCTCCTACCATGTCCATGGTGGACTGCGCGCGGGCTAGGGACGAGCACAGATAGAGCCGGCTCAGCCTCTCAGCAAGACGTGTAACCGCAAGGTCCCCAGACAGTCAGGCAGCCAGACAGGCGTTGAGCTGGGAAACATCCTTATGGCAACCGGTGCCACGGCCAATCAGGTACGCGCGCTGTTAGACTCTGTGATTTCGGTGGCCCGGCGGTTCTAAATAGAGCTTAATGTGTGGCTACCTGCTTCGCTTCTCAAGGTAGCAAGCGCAGTTCATAAATGGCAGACCAATGGGCGTCTGGTTGGAAAGGTCACACTTGCTTCACCTCGACCTGGTACCCCAGGTTCGCGCTTCGCCTTGTCGTCTCTATGCCGCGGTGGTCTCCTCCTCAGATCCACCAGAGGGCATAAAAGCCCTCTCTTCGCTTCTCTTCTTTGTCATTCCCTCCACCGACAGCAAGCCACCCACCTTTTCTCGCCCCCCAGAACCCTCTCTTCTCTCGACGGAGGAGGGCTTGTACAACACCACATCTTGCTCTCGACGGAGGAGGGCTTGTACAACACCTCATCTCGCTGTCCCACAGCACCACCACACAGCATCATCATGCGGTGCGGATCAGCCACCACGGTCACTCTTTCCTGGGTCCTGCCCTTCGTCCTGCTCCTCCTGGGTACATGCTCGTCCTTTAGGGCCCTCACGTTTTCATCGCCTTCGTTTCTACACCTTTGTAACATTTTTTTTTGCTGAATTTGGTCTTGTGCTACCATGCAATACGTATGTTGTACACTCACTTCTATTGCACACTCACTTCTCGTTCTGGGTCTCCCTAGGCACAACTGCAAGCGCCAGCGGCGCTGTGACCCTGTACGGCGTAGGTGAGTACTCTCTGGTGGGCGCCCTGTCCAGCGTGGCCTCCAGCTACTCGGTCCGTACCACAACACTCGCCTCGCTCATTTTCACCATTCGTCGCCCCTTTGCATCTTCTTGTCTCACGTTTCGTCTACTGCGACTATGACAGTACCACAGGGATACGGTGAGCGTGGCATATGTGGGGACGCCGAACGTCTCCACTGTCCTGTTGGCCTTCACTGCTCGCTACAGCCAGTACGGCGCCCTCGACAGCCAAATTGATGAGGACATGCTCGCAGCGGACACGCTGCAGCTGCCCATCTTCGGCTCGGGCATCGTCTTCAACTACAACCTGGGACCCTCCACACCCACACAACCCCTGGTAACCTGCCCCCCCCCCTTATCCCCTTCTTTTGATGTTGAGAAGCTTCGGCTCATCCCCTAAACTGCAGGTGTTCGACGCCGAAACTATGGGGCGGATCTGGAGCGGCGACATCACCAAGTGGAACGACTCGGCGATCGCCAGCCTCAACGAGGATATCGACACGCCGCTTCCCGGCGATGACATTATTCTGTGCTGGGGCTCCACCACGGAAGAGTCCATCACGCAGACCTTCAAGCGCGGTCTGCGGGCCATGAGCCCCGAATTCGACGCGGCCCTGACCGCGGCCAACGATGACCTGGGCTCTCTCCCACCTATTCTCGCCGGCAGGGGCATCGCCATCGCCACCAACAGCTCCGGAAGGATCAACTGCACTCAGGTACGTATTGGCAGACCCACGGCGAGCGCGCGCGCGCACACACACACACACACACGGTACACCCTCACGACATATTAACACCTGACCATTATCATGTCCACTTCTCTTTGACAGGCCACAGAGTACAGTCTCACCTACTCGGACTGGGCCTCGGCTCTGAAGTACCCCAACAACGCCCGTATGCGCAATAAGGCCGGCAAGGACGTGGCAATCAGCGTCACCTCCCTCCAAGCGGCTATGAAGGACTTTCAAGTCCTGCTTCAAGATGGTACAGGTGAGCCAACTAAAAAAACATGCGCGTACAGCACCTTGACAACTGAGCTAACGAACTATGTTCTTTTCTGTGTTTTTTAGGCGACTTGCTGATCCCGCTGTTCGACGGCGAGGGTGACTCCTCGTACCCGTTCGCCTACATGTCGACTGTACTCATCGTCAAGGAGGGCAATCAGAGCGACTGCACAATCCCGCAAGAGATGACGCAGTACTTGAGCTGGATCTACACCAACCAGCACGTCTCGGATCACATGTCGACCCAGGGCTGGGCGCCGCTCACGGTGGCCTACAGGAAGATGATCATCGACGTACTTGGCATCGTCACGTGCGACGACGAAGAGGTCCTCACCACGGCCTATCTCATCGGCGAGGGCACGTCGCGCCCCGCGCTCTCCGACCTAGCCGGTCAGTATCCCTCGAGCACCGTCACCCAGAAGTACTTCACGAGCGATATGGCCACCGCCATCGTCGACATGAAGCAAGGTACACACACACCACACACACACCACACCACACACACACACACACACAAAAGCACAAAGCACAAGCATGGGTTGTCTATTCACCTCGCTCCACCCGGCCAGGCGCAATCGACTATGCCGATGTGACGACCGGCGTCACCGGCGCACAGTTGGTGGGAGCTGAAGAAGCCAACATGGACATTGTGCCCGTCCTCGGCTATGCTGTCTTCCCGTGCTACAATGTACGTGATCGCCCCTTCTCTCCACTGATCACAAAATCTCCACGAAACCTTGGCGTGCTGACGAACCATCATGATTCAGATACCTGCGCTTCGATTCCATCCGCTGTCGCTCAACCTGACGCTGGAGATCTGGGCCGGCATCTACCTCAATCAAATCACGACCTGGAACCACCCGAGCATTGTGGCTATCAATCCGGCCTTTGCGTCCATCCTCTCAGCCCTCCCCATCAACATCACCGTGATGCTGGGCACCGATCCCTCGCCCCTCACGCGCATGGTGACCACCGTTCTGAGCGACGCCAGCCCGGACTTCAACTCCACCGTCGGTGTTGTCGAGACGCCGGACACCTACACGGTAGCGGGCGTGGTCAACCGGACCGAAGCCGTCGCCGGCGCTGAGTCCGCGCTGGCCGCGAAGATGAACGGCATAATCAACACCTTCGCGGCGCTCTCCAGCGGCCAGCTCGCCACGGCCAAGAGCGTACGCATGGCCGCGCTGTACAATCCCACCACCGGCAACTACGTCGTGCCGTCGACCGCTTCCATCCAGTCGGCCATGCGCGACCACGACAACGAGTCCCTCATTCACCTCTTCCTCGGCGCTCGCAATTGTACATTTTCCCCCTTCACTTGCAGCTTACTGTAAGCGCCGTACTAAACAAAGCTCTCTACATTACCACATCCAGCGCCGGGCGCAGACAGCTACCCGCTGGTGATGTACGACATCCTGCTCATCTCCAAGAACTCCTCGGACTGCTCGAAGGCTGCGGCACTATCGGACTGGATCTACTGGACCCAGAGCGACAGCGCGGCGAGGAAGGTGGCCGAGCGGAACGGCGTGGTGCTCACCAGCGACGTCACCGTGTGGAAGCGGATGATGCTCAAGGCCGTCACGGGCATGACCTGCAACGGCCTCAAGGTGAGCTCCATCGCCGGCTGCGTGGCGGACAGCACACTCTGCTCCGACCGTGGGCGCTGCATCTCCAACGCCTGCGAGTGCGACGCGGGATGGACTGGCACCTACTGCGAGACCAGCATCAACACGTCGAGCTCGGGCAGCGACTCGACCGTGCTCGCGGCCATTCTCGGCTCGGTCCTGCCGGCCGTGTTGCTGGTGGTCATCCTCCTCGCCGTGCTCGTGCTGGTGCTCGTGATGCTGGCCCGCCGCAAGCGAAGCAAGGACGCGTGGGAGATCGACACCAACGAGCTCGAGATGGCCGAGACCCTCGGCGCGGGCGGCTACGGCGAGGTGTTCCGGGCCAAGTGGCGCGGCACCGAGGTGGCGGTCAAGATGATGTCCGCCCGGGACAGCCTCCTTACCAAGGACATGCAGCGCAACTTCGCCGAAGAGGTGCGAGTGATGACGGCGCTGAGGCACCCCAACGTGGTGCTGTTCATGGCCGCCTGCACCAAGCCGCCGAACATGTGCATCGTCATGGAGTTCATGGGCCTCGGCTCGCTCTACGAGGTACTGACCTTTACTTGTGTCCAAGAAGAGATTGATTTGCTCATCACCATTTTTTTGGTCGTTGTGTGCGCGCAGCTGCTGCACAACGAGCTCATCCCGGAGCTGCCGATCGCGCTGAAGGTGAAGATGGCGTACCAGGCGGCCAAGGGCATGCACTTCCTGCACTCGTCGGGCATCGTGCACCGCGACCTCAAGTCGCTCAACCTGCTGCTCGACAACAAGTGGAACGTCAAGGTCTCCGACTTTGGTCTCACCAAGTTCAAGGAGGAGTCCAAGAACTCGGGCCTGGGCCAAAACGCCCTCCAGGGCTCGATCCACTGGACCGCGCCCGAGGTGCTCAACGAGAACCCCGACATCGATCTCATCCTCGCCGACGTGTACTCGTTTGGCATCGTGCTGTGGGAGCTGCTCACCCGCGAGCAGCCCTTCGCCGGCATGAGCCCCGCGGCCGTGGCCGTGGCCGTCATCCGCGACAACCTGCGCCCAACGCTGCCCGAGATCGACGCGGTCGAGACCACGCCCGAGTACGTCGAGCTGCTCACCAGCTGCTGGCACGCCGACCCCACGATCCGTCCGACGTTCCTCGAGATCATGACCCGCCTCAGCGCCATGATCGGCGACTCGAGCAGCACCATGTACTCCAAGACCACCTCGTCGTCGTCGTCATCGAGCGGGCCGCAAGTGGCCGTGGCCAGGCCCGGCATGGACGCCTCGTGGACTCTGCCGTCGTCCGTGACCGCCACTTCATCGTCATCGGGCAGCGGCAACAGCCGGTCGAAGGACTACTCGGGCAAGCTGGGCGCGGCGGTGGCCGCCGGCGGCGTGCGGGCGCCCGAGGGCGAGGTGACAATCGTGTTCACCGACATCACGCGCGCCGCCTCGCTCTGGGAGTTCGACGCGGCGGCCATGAAGGACGCCACCATGATGCACAACGACGCCCTCCGTGCGCTCCTCAAGCAGCACAGTGGCTACGAGGTGGTGTTCATCCGTGACCGCAACAGCGGCGAGGGCTCGTTCTGCCTCGCGTTCCAGAGCACCGAGGACGCGCTGATCTGGTGCATGGAGGCCCAGCAGACCCTGAACAAGCTCGAGTGGCCCGAGGCCCTGCTCGAGCACCCGGGCGCGGCCGAGGAGTGGGGCGACACCGACGACCGTGTGCTGTTCCGCGGCCTGCGCGTGCGCATGGGCGTCCATGTGGGCATTCCCAAGGTGGTGCGCGACCCGATGACCCGCCGTGTCGAGTACATCGGCGCGGTGGTCAACACCGCCGCGCGCATCACGGCCATCACGCACGGCGGCCAGATCCTCGTGTCGCACCACGCCGCCCTGCGTGTGCAGCACTCCGAGCTCGTCCGGGAGAAGAATCGCCTCGCATGCCTGGGCAAGTTCGAGATGCTCGACAGCGAGCCCGAGGGGGCCAAGCTCTACGAGCTCAAGGCGCGCGGACTCGAGGGCCGTTTCTTCGGCGGCGTGTCTAAGGACAACGAGCTCGTGCCGGAGGCGCTCAGGCGCAACGCCCGGAAGCAGCAGCACGCGATGGACCGCTCGCCGAGCCAGCGCGAGCTCGACGCGTCGTTCGCGTCGTCGGCGGGCAGCAACGACAGCGACGAGGCCCAGACGGCCGTGGGAGAGGGCATGATGTTCAAGGAGGACAACTTCCTCACGTCGGCCAACCTGTGCCGCTGGGTGCTCGACTTCAACGAGATCGCGCTGGGCAAGCAGATCGGCTCGGGCTCGTACGGCATGGTCTACCGCGGCAAGTGGAAGGGCGTCGAGGTGGCGGTGAAGCGGTTCATCAAGCAGAAGCTGGACGAGCGGCGCATGCTCGAGTTCCGCGCCGAGATGGCCTTCCTGTCGGAGCTGCACCACCCCAACATCGTGCTCTTCATCGGCGCCTGCGTCAAGCGGCCCAACCTGTGCATCGTGACCGAGTTCGTCAAGCAGGGCTCGCTCAAGGAGATTCTCATCACCAACAGCATCAAGCTCACCTGGTCGCAGAAGCTAGGCCTGCTGCGATCGGCCGCACTCGGGATCAACTACCTGCACTCACTGCACCCGGTGATCGTGCACCGCGACCTGAAGCCGTCGAACTTGCTCGTCGACGAGAACTGGAACGTGAAGGTGGCCGACTTCGGGTTTGCGCGCATCAAGGAGGAGAACGTGACCATGACCCGCTGCGGCACGCCCTGCTGGACCGCGCCCGAGGTCATCCGCGGCGAGAAGTACTCGGAGAAGGCCGACGTGTTCTCGTTCGGGGTGATCATGTGGGAGGTGCTGACGCGGAAGCAGCCATACGCCGGGCGCAACTTCATGGGCGTGTCGCTCGACGTGCTCGAGGGCCGTCGGCCGCAGATCCCGCCCGACACGCCACAGGACTTCAAGAAGATGATCAAGCGCTGCTGGCACGGCACGGCCGACAAGCGGCCGGCCATGGAGGAGGTCATCGGCTTCCTCGACTCCATCCTCGCCGGCGACGCCTCCGCCGCTGACAAGGTCTAAGTCGAGGCCTCCAATGTATCTCATGTATACGACCTAAAAATATTAATATGTAGTATGTAATACGTAAGAAATATCTTTTTTTAAACGAAGAGAAAGTGGAGAATGGTGAACGCGACCAATGTTGAGATGCAACCAGGCATTTTTTTAGTGCGGAAATATTTTTGATTGGCCAGCAGAATTAATCCGAAAAAGAGGCGATGAAGGTGCGGAAAGGGCACGAAAAGGGAGAGTGGACAGCCAGAGGGACCGTGGCAAGCGTCACAACACCACAGCACCACAGCAACCAACAACACTGCCAACAACAACCACCCAACACAGAAATCTATAGGTAAGGCGAAAGAGAAGAATGCGTAGTGCCGAGCAGCGAGGGAAGGTGTGTTTCGATCAAAGCACAGAGGAGAAGGGAGAGCTGTTGGACTTTGTCATTGTGGGCGCGGGGCCACACGCGCTGGCCTTTGCCTGCCGCCTGCTCGAGTCCAAGCCGGACTCACTCTACGACGAGAAAGATCTCACCACCCGCCACAAGTACCACCCCGGTATAGTCCCCGCCCCTACTTACCACACCCTCGTGGCCACGTAGACCACAAAACGACTCTACATTCGCCAACATAATGGCAGAGACCCGAAAAAGAAGACCAATCGCAGTCATGGAATGAACGCGACATGTGTGCGTGCAGTGCTATCTTCGAAGAAGAAGACGAAAAAGGTGTCGGCGGAGACGCCGGAGGAGAAGCCGATGTCGTTCGTGGCGGTCGACGAGAGCGGAGGCTGGATGCGCAAGTGGGACGACCTGATGCACAACCTCGACGTGCACCACCTGCGCTCTCCTCTCAATGCCCACCCAGGTAAGTTCAAGTTAGGCCAACTTTCTTCAGAAGGAAGGGATGATTGACTGCGTGTGCGTGCGTGTGCGGCGTGTGCGATGTACTGTGTGCGCCTCAGATCCATTCGACGTGACTTCGTTGAATGCGTTTGCCCACGAACAGGGCCGAAGCGCAGAGCTGCAGTGCTTGGGAATCTCGCCACGGTCTTCGGGCAGAGAGGAGTACTCTAATCCACCCCATTCTTCCGCGGCCTTTCGTGTCCAACCACCCAAGGCTCACCTCTTGACCCACTTCCGCTCCACCGCACAACAGCAAAAAGAAGGTGAGGGATCACGCAGCCTACATCTTCACCAACAACGACCGCATCATGCTCAAGGTGCCTTCAGTGCCACTGGTACGAGTCACTTTCTTCAGGTTGGGTAGGTTGCATTGTGCGGTCTGACCGTCCTCCTCGTTTGCAGTTCAAGTCCTTCTGTCAATCGCTGATCACGCGCTACGACCTCGATTCGCACCTGGTCCAGGCCCGAGGTACGTACAACAAGACGATGCCGAGTTAAGTACACGTGACCTTAACTGATCGTGGAGCGCTAATCAAACGAAGTGATTCGAGTGGAGCCCTGCTTCGATGCGCCGGAATCCACCGAAACTCGACCAACGACCAAGCCTTCGTCGTTCAAGGTAGCACACGCGCTCACACACGAGAACCACCACCGGACACTCAGCACAGTGCCTATGGGGTGTGCAGGTCCACTTGTCCACTGGCCAAGTGCTGCGGGGCAAGCGCGTGGTGTTGGCCACGGGCCAGACTCGGCCCCGCATCCCCTCGTGGGTGCCGGAACAGCAGACCACCCAACGGAAGGGCAACACCATCATCCACTCGGACTGGATGCGGGTCAACGACCCTGCCTTTCGGAGGAGCATCAAGAACAAGGTGGGCCTGGCCTCTCGCCAGCCTCTGATCCCAACTCAACCCCAACACTGACGAACGTGTGCGTTCGTGCGTGGTGCGTGCGGACAGCGTGTGTTGGTCGTGGGGGGTGGGATAACAGGTTACCACCTCTCGCGATCGGCCATCACCGCCGGCGCGTCAAAGATCACGATGGTAACGAGGAAGCACATCAAGGTGCAGCACTTCGACGTATCGCTGACGTGGGCCGGTCGGTACAAGAAAGTGCACTACAGCAAATTCTTCGGCCTGAGCGACCCTCTCGGTACTCCATCTCTTCCCGCCTGTACTGCGAACTCTACCCACCCTAACACACTTGTGTGTTGTGTGTGCTGCGTGTGCGTGCCTTTGTCGTGTGTCGTCTTTGTAGAGCGATTTCAGGTGCTGCAGGAAGCGCGCGGTGATGGCGGCGGTACCGTTCCGCCGCACATGTACAACTACCTGAAGGAGATGCACGGGTGGAAGAGCGACGGCAGGTTCAAGCTCATGGAGGAGACCCAGGTCGAGCACATCGAGTGGATTCCCGCCAATCAGGTACTGTCCGCCTAATCTGCATCGCATGCTGCGCAGGCAGCGCACTGACTGACGTGGGGCCTTGAAAGGAGTGCGCGTCGGCAGAGGTCGAGGGGGCTCGACAGTCGCGAGACGAGGGCGACTACTGGTGCGTGAAGCTGTCCACCGGGCAAGTGCTCCACGTAGACTACATCTGGCTCGCCACCGGGCGGGCGCTCGACGCCGAGAAGGAACCGCTCCTGGGCGACCTCCTGCGCAGCCGGCCAATTCCCCTGGTGCACGGCCTGCCCGTCCTGCACACCAGTACGCCCCCTCTATCACGACAGTTTAGTTCCCTTGCTCACCACCGCACACGCACATGCACCACCGCACACGCACCACCGCACACACGCACACTCGACAGGCTTGCGCTGGTGCGATGATTGGGAGGTGTATGTGTTGGGCGCGTATGCGGCGCTTCAACTGGGACCGGACGCCATCAACCTGGCTGGAGCTCGTGTGGGCAGCTTGCGGGTCTTTGATGCCGTGAGCTCAAACGATGTCGTGGTGCGCCACAACGACGACAACGGAGGTGCGCTCCGACTCATGTCCTTCTCGTGGTTGTGAGTGAATGGCAATCAGAGGACGACGCTGACTGTTTGCTTTTGATCGAAACACACAGTGCCTGCGGCAGGCGCCACAAAGAAGTCGGAGTCGTGGGTGTGCCGCGAGGAAGACCTCAACCCGTTCTCGCTGTTGACCGACCACTGCGCCGAATAATCGAAAGGACACACACATTCAAGAAGTGTGGGGGTGGGCTGTGGGAAGGGGTGGCTGGTCAGTGCGTACCTCGATCCTCTATTCATAGATCGTAGAGCACACATTCTTCTGGTCCACAGGAAAGGGAAAATGATGATGCAAGAGGCAAAAAGGATACGGCACGGTGGATTCCCGGGTGGTCGCCCACCCCAGTACTAACACCGCCTGGCGCAGCTTAACTTCGCTGTTCGGATGGGAAGCGGTGCTTTCTGCGCAGTATGGCCGTATCCATCAGCTCCACCATCATAACAGCAGATCACCGCCACGCTCGCCGTTTGTGGGCCGGGCCGAGCGCGGGGCGCTGACGAAGAGCATCGGCGAGGCCACCATTACGGCGGATATCCACATCGTGGGTCCACGTGTGCCTGCATGCTACACGAAACGAAGAGAGAGGGAGAGAGAGAAGAGCGGTGACGGTGGCATTCACGGTTGAAGCTCGCCGGTGTTTAGTGCGCACTGGCTCCCTCCTCTACAAAGGTGCTGCACCTGCTCAGACCACCCGAGGATCTGGGCCAGCAGCAGTTGTTCACTCGGCCGAGGTCCGCAGCCTCTTCTCGACCGCCTCGAGAGCCCTCCGCCGCCTGACTTCGTTCGACACGTCGGCAGCGTCGGATTCGATCAGCGTCTCGGCTGGCGCTTCGGCCTCGACTGGGGCCTCAACTGCGGCAGAAGAAGATGAAGAAGACGATGAAGCAGCTGCGGCAGGCGCGGATGGCCCGGTCAGCTTCTCCAGGTACTTCCTGTGGAGGGAACGAACGAACAGAGAAGGTCGGTCACAGATCATGAGAGGCTTGAATGGGCGAGAAAGCACCTCCTGGCCTCTTCGACCATCTGCTGCTTGCGAAGCTGCAGGAGCTGCTGTCGCTCCTCGGCGCTCTTGGGAAAGCCCTTGGCGGCGACACCACCCGCAGGCACTGTTGCCACGCGCGCGACCGAGGGCGAACCGCCAGCTCTGCTGCCTTTGGTTGCTGGCGCGCTGCCCGCTGAAGTCGTTCCGCCAACCGTCACTGCCGGCACATTTGCCACCTCTGCACGACCCACAAGGAGAGCCACAAATCAGATGGGTAAGGCATGCATCATCAAAAGCAGAATTGCCAGAGAAAGGAGCTGCCACCTCCAGCGAAGAGGACATTCTTGAGCCACCGGGCGATGCGCTCTGAGTTCTTGAAGGCGATGTAGAGCACAATCAGCAGCACGAGCACCACGTACATGTTGTGTTCTTTTATTTCTATTATTGGGTTTTTTTATTTCATTTTATATTTCGTTTGTGATGCCCACTTTTTGTCGAGCACGGCTGGACCGTTGAGGCAACAGAACGTTGGTCGTTAGCTCGTCGAACTCCATTTTGTTCAAATCAATCCCGCCTTTGATTGATAGAGAGAATTGGATTAGCACAAGTGTTCCTTTGTCGTGATTGGGAAAATGCCGAAGGATGGAAAGAAAGAGAGGAAGTCCAAGAGCAGCGGCGGCAAGAAAGAGAAGAAGGTGAAGGTCAGTGTCTTGTACGAAGTTACCATCAAAGGTACCGCCCAGGTGGCAGTGACTCATGAAATATCTTATAGCGGGACCTCACCCCCCCCCCCAAAACAACTCAAGGAATTGATAAATTGGCACGCGACGACAATGGCAACAAAATGTACATCCAATACAAGCGAGGCAAGAAGTCTTCCAACCACGGAAAGACGAAGGAGGTGCGCGTTTCTTTCATTTGATTCATCACGAGATTGTGGCCGTTGTTTTATTTTTATTTTTATTTTTATTTTTATTTTTATTTTATTTCGCATTGTTGGCCTCAATGCAACCAACCACACAACAGGCAGTTATCCAGTACAACTTTGTGCAGTGGGATGAAAAGATCAACATCAAGAGCACCCTCCTCCAGACTCCCTCGACGGGCAAGTTCGATCCCAAGACTATCGACTTTCACGTCATCCAGGTCTGCATGCACACTCTCAAAGAGGGCCTCTGGGCTTGATCATAGCTAACCATTCTCTTTAACACACACACACACACGCACACACACACACCACACACACACCCACACCACACACAAATTCCTCGCACAATAGCTGGCCGCGCCCAAGTTCAGCAAGAAGAATGAGGTGGCAGTGATGACGATGAACCTGGCCGACTACGCCCAGCCGTCGGCGTCCTCGCCCTCCGCCGAGCCATCGGCCGGCCCCAAGGCCTGGAACGTGATCCAGTCGGTGCAGTTCCCCGTCCAGAGCGACAGCCGAAAAGGCAGCGACAAGAACGCCATGGGCCTCGAGAGCATCCCTCAATTCGTACCTTTGCCTCACATTCTGTTCTTTTTCTTTTTCTTTTTCTTTAACGAACTAACCCATCATAAATGCAGGAAATTATGGTCAAGTCGCGTTGGCTCAAATATAACGGCAAGTTGCTGATTCAGTACGTGGAGAGCTCTGATGCACGCAGTCGTTGATGGACGCGCGATTACCTGACACTCACACGCACGCGCGCTCCTGACAGGACCAACAAAGACAAGGAATCGGGCAAGCCCACCGTACGCGTGGGCGATGAGGAGTTCGATCTGCAGACGGACAAGGAGGGATCGGACGACGATGACGGTGACACCACGTTGGGCGGAGGCAGCGACGACGAAAGCGAAGTCGAGAGCGAATTCGAAGACGACGACTTTTCCGAGAACGAGAGAAAGGGTTCAGGTCAGCATCGATGCGATCCCACTCACACGCCCTGAGCTCAGTCGTGTGTCGCTTCACGTGAATGTACTGACGTCACTTATGGCCTCCACGCACAGGCATCGCGGGATTCAAGGCCAGCACAGATTCCAAGTCGGGCAAGACGAGCAGCCGAGGGAGCGACGCGTCATCGTCATCGTCGGCGGACAAGAGCGACAGTAAGCGAATCAAAGCCCTACAGGAGGAGGTCCAAAAGCTCAAGCAACAGCTGCGCCAGTACGTCGCCTCGTCTCCCTCGTGCACGCACAGGTCGCACAGACAATATTAACTCGGGGGGGGGGTGACTGTCAGAGTGAACGAGACCTCGCAAATTCGACTCGAGAACATTTCGGCGCAACGCAGAGAGATCGAGGACCTGCGGGAGCAGGTGGAAGGCGGCAAGCCGGCCTCTCCGAAGCTGGGTGGTGCAAGCGACAGCCAAGTGAACGACCTCATTAAGACCGTCGGCCTTTACTTCAAGGTAAGCACCACCATCGTTGCCGTTCGTTGTACGGCCGTAATTAATCAATTGGCGAGCGCAGAAGGACAAGGACGACTCGGAGCGTACTTGCCATTGGTTGGGTTTCACTGCAACCCTGACAACGCTGTTCACGGGCATGGCCCGCAGCGACGAGGGCGTTCCTTCCTCGCTCCAGAGCAAGCTGCCCGACCTGCAGGGCGTCGGCATCGATCTCGAAAAGCAGGGTACTCCCTTACCTTTTCTTTTTGTATTTGTAATGAAGAGCGTTCACTGACCGTAGCTATGTATCTGTGTGAAGCCCCCAGCGCCGACGTGCTTCGCAGTGTGTCGCCCCCAGCACGAACGGCATTCATTCTGGAGATGATGCTGCGCGAAATCTACATCGGGTTGCTGAACTCTTTTTACCACGTACCCGATCCTCGTCCCCTTGGATTGTTTGTCTGTTGCGCTGTGCGCCAGCTTTTTTAAGCGTTTTCCCTGCAGGACCTGGATGATGTGCTGCTGCCCGTCATTTTCGAGGACCAGAGCATTGAGAAGTTGTACGTCATCATCGCTCCACTCGCGTCTGAGAAACTGAGTCATGAGTTACTCAATCTGATCAATTGGGACGACGTGCAGAGAAATGCTGAGCAAGAAGAAGGGATCGTCTTCGCGCCAGCCGTTCACGTGGAAGCTCTCGGCGATCGCCACCCAGATGGCGGCCAACCGCCTTCCCATGGTGATCCAGCTCCAGTTCTTCACGCAGGTGTTCTACTACGTCGGCAGCCAGCTGTGGAACACGCTGCTGGAGCGACCAGAGCTCTGCACCTGCAATTTTGGCTTCCACCTCAAATACGCCGTCTCCGAACTGCGCTCTTGGTACATATCGCGCCTCACCCCTCGCGGCCTGCTCACCATTTGCGGCTGACACTACTTACGTGCAACAGGATCAACACGCAGAATCTGCACGATGAGAACTTCCATCCCTCGCAGCAGCTCAATCGTATACTGGTAAGTCGCACACACACGCACACGCACGCACGGCATACACTGTGTGCACGCCGCACATACGACCATGAGTTATGAGTTGGGTGGAGGCTGACACGATCCGTTTTGTTCCTATCAGGATGCGGCGGGCGTGCTCGTGGTAAGCAAGAGCTTCTTCGACGACGCCAAGATCCCGCAGGATTTGCAGCAGACCTTCCCCGCCCTCTCCCTCCACGAAATCAAGTTCCTTCTCGAACACTTCATCCCTGACAAGTGCGTTCCTTCGCCTTTGCCTTTGCCTCTTGGTATTCCGCTTTCGCTCTTTGGCTTACCGCCTCTTCGCTTTCGTTCTTTCATATGTGTCGGCCGCAGGAGTGCACAGGAGAAGGGCATCCCGACGTCGGTCAAGCGCAAGCTGGACGCCGCTGCGCAGAAGGAGGAGGGAAGCTCTTCCTCGCTCGAACTGGACCCGTTCGCCAGCGTGCCTTCACCGTTCTCTTCATCATCGTCGTCTTCGTCGTCATCCAGCGGCAAGAACAAACCCAAGGGGCGAAGGTGAGCGTGGAAGGAAGTGGGACGGCAAGGGAATGCTTGAATGTAAGTGAAAAAGAAAATCAAGATGATGTGAAACTCGTCCCTCACGCCCTCACCTTTCGGTGAACACAAGAAGGAGAGAGCAGCGGCAGGCAAGAACAAAAGAAGAAGTTGAAGATGGGAGGCGGAGAGAGCAAGCACCGTCGGCCGCTACAGCGACAGGAGGAGCCACAGAAGGAGAGATATGACTTCAAATCGATAAAGGACAAATTTGAGACGATCGAGGAGGTGCAGGAGGCCTTGCGCAAGGCTGGCCTGGAGTCCTCAAATCTCATCATTGGCATTGACTACACGATTTCCAACATCAGCGGGCAAGACCACCTTCAACGGGCAAAGCCTTCAGTCCATCTCTCCCCATCATCTCAATCCCTACCAGTACGCCATCAAGATCTTGGGCGAAACCCTCAGCGTACGCTGCTTGTTGCCGCCACCGCCTGGTGTCACAGGTCTTGACGGCCCAAATCTCATCTTCCTCATTGTGAACCAGGCGTTCGATGACGACGGGTTGATCCCCGTGTTCGGCTTCGGTGACAAGCAGACGCAGGACAAGACTGTCTTCCCTTTCTTCCCCGGTGCGCCACCTCTTACCATCGACATCGGGAAACACGCGTGCTGATGAAGGTGGTGGTCGCCGTGGCTCTCTTAGACCGAGTATGCAATGGTTTGCCCGAGGTTCTGCGCCGCTATGAAGAGATCACGCCCCGTGTCCAGTTGGCCGGACCCACCTCCTTCGCTCCTCTCATCAGGTCTGGCACTACCTGCGCTGGCTCGTTTTGAGTTGCGAGGGTGCTCAAGGGCTCACAAGACCGTTGCGCGCTCGACAGGGAGGCCATCAACATCGTGAAGCGCGAGAGGGCGTACCACATTCTCATCATCATCGCCGACGGACAGGGTACTGTTGCAACCTCTCTCGGACCATTAGCTCCTTCTTCTTCTTCTCGATGAGCTCATCGTCCATCGTGCCACAACAGTGACGCCCGACAGCGAATACTGCCAAGCCGAGACCGAGACCAAGAACGCCATCGTCGAGGTAAGTCGCCTCTCCATATGTGATGCCAGCCAAGGCCTGAGCTGATCAGAAGACGAATCAAACGAACACGCAGGCCTCCCACTATCCTCTGTCGATCATCTTGGTCGGCGTGGGCGACGGACCCTGGGATTCCGCTGAAGAGGTCCGTTCCCTCTCGCCCGCTCTTCACCGCACGTTGTCCTCACACGCCACCTCACCACCGCCCTCGTCGTTGTTGGGTGTGTGATGGGCGGGTGGCCGGCAGCAGTTTGATGACGGTCTGCCGACCCGACAGTTCGACAACTTCCAGTTCGTCAACTTCCACAAGGAGGTCTCCTATGGCGGCGAGGAGTTCGGCCCGGCCTACTTCGCCGTGGCCGCCCTCCAGGAGGTGCCCGAGCAGTACGAAGCCATCCGCAAGCTCGAGCTGCTCTGATCTCCGAGTGATCCACATGGAACGAAGGCGAGGCCAACTTTTCGAGATATATATGTGTGCAAAGCACCGCCTGTGGCGTGGAGGACGGTGGTGAAAGAGAGTATGTACAGTGCAGCGTCCACACACACAGCCCTCAAGAATCTCGATCCTGACTTTTGGAATTGGCAATATCAAAGGCCTCGCGCCACAACCAATCAAAACGTTGCCCTTTCCCCGACAACATTGCCGAAGAATTGGACGTCCAGTTCTGTTCAAAAGGCGAACCAGTAAGGATGACCATGCAGGCCGTAGAACAGTATGTTTTGGAGTTGATCCACCTCTACCTGATCCTCTTCTCCTTCGCTGTACACAAACACTGTTAGACATTCTCACTCATGTTTGTATATTTCTCCTTGCTACACATGAACTTATAGTGACCACCACTTCAACGTGTTGATCGTGGGCGACGCCGGGACCGGCAAATCAAGCATCTTCTATAGATTCGTTGTACGTTTCAAGCTTCTGTCTCTTTTTGTGCCTCTTTACCTCCACGAAGAGAGGCACAGTACATACTCACTGACCTTCGTGGCTGTGTGCTGTGCTGCACAGGAAAACTCATTTTTCAGCGCTTACCTCACCACCCTCGTCGTCAACCACGTACGCTTTCCATGTGTCCTGCGAATAAGGATCTCGTAACCCTTCGCCACACAGGACCAGAAGACCATCGATCTCAATGGAAAGAAGATACAGCTCGGCCTTTATGATCTCTGTATGTACCACTTTCCACCTTCGTTCAACTAACGAGCTCGTTATTTTGTAACTAATTATTTTCTCTACATGTTTCATTTTCACACAACATTCATTGTTGCAGCTCCTCGGGAAGAACATTCGGGAGTCGCGTCGGCTGTTTCGGGCTCTCCGGTAGACTTGAACTCCTACACGTCGGACCGCTACAAAGAGGCCCATGGCATCATCGTCGTGTACGACGTGACCGATCAGGCATCGTTCGACCACATTCCGAGCTTCTTGGACGAGATGGCCAGGCACGAAACGACCACCGGCCTGGGCAAACCATCCATCCTTCTCGTCGGCTGCAAGACCGACCTCTCCCCGAGGGTTGTTACCACTGAGGCTGCAGAGGTACACCGACATGAACAGACCTTGCTTTGCATTCAAAGAGCAGGTTTCAGCCTTATTTGATGCTGATCGCCTCTATCCTCCCTCTCTTCGCTGTCAACATGTTGGAGGTGAAGAAGACGAGAAGCTGAGAAGCTAAAGAGACGTGAAGATGTCTGAAAGGAAAAAAGGTAATGTATTGAGGAGATCTGAAACGGTACAAGTGTGAAGTCAGAGGAAATAAGAGGGAATAAAGAAAAGAAAGGTAAACATAAAGAAAGATAGAGAAAAAGAGAGAGAGAGAGACGAAGAGTATCCAACACAACAGGGGCTAGCTCAACAGAACGGTCTTGAGGTGATCGAGACCTCCACCAAGGATGGCACCAACGTTGAAGCAGCTTTCAACAAGCTCGCTGCTGACATCCTGCAGAAAGTAGGAGCCCAATAGCGCGCAGCAGGCTGAAGACCTGTGGAGGAGAAGGGTGCTCCACAAAGCACAAACGTGGCCTTTTACCATTCTGGTTTCTCTGCACATTCGGCCTCGTTGTCGCTGAGATGGGCGCGTTTGACTTCCTTGGGTTGAAGTTGAAGGGCAGCACGTGACGGGTGACTGTTTTGGCGGTGGTGACATCGGGCTGAGGTGCCGACCCGACAGTCGACAACTTGCACAACTTTTCGAGGTCGTGCAAAAGCACCGCCTGTGGCGTGGAGGATGATGGCGAAAGAGAGTATGTACAGTGTCGCGTCCACACACACACAGCCCTCAAGAATCTCGATCCTGCACCCAACCTCTGTCGGTTTGTCTGTCTTTCTTTGCGTGGAAGTCACGGTTTACCTGACCTCTTCACACGCCCAGCTCCTGTGTTGTGTGTTGTGTGTGGATTGAGTTACTTGGGTGGCCCCACCACCAGCAGCAGCGCCGCCTGAGGCTGGGCGAGAGGCGGAAGGGAGCAGGGCGTACGGGGACCGGGACGATCTCGATCTCGAGGAGGTTCGCGTTCTCAGAGTCGTATCTGTCGTACACGAACCGGAAGTGAAGACCGCGCTTACCGTACTTGTCGTTCAGCTGCTTGCACGCCGACGTCACCGCTCGCGCCACCTGAGCACAGACGCACATGTGCGCGTCAGCATGCCAAAAAAACGCAGCACTAGAGAGGGGGCGTGCTTACGTTCTGGGCAGTACGGCGGCTGCTGGTCCTCTTGATGAGGAAGATCATGAAGCCGATAAAGATGGGCATGGGGAAGAAGTCGATGATGCTGGCGTTGTGGTGCTTGAAGGCCTTGGCGCCGTGCCACAGCGACAGCAGCACCCACACCAAGATCAGAGCCAACGTAGCGTAGATCCAGCCCTTCTTCACCTGGCCGCCCACCTGCTCCCTTATATCCTACGCACATTGGTAAATGAGTTCACAAGATTAATCGTTCATCGATTGGGCGAACAAGCAGAGAAGAAGGTGATAGAGCACACCTGATTGAGGTGAGAGAGGAAGTCCAAGAATTCGTCCTTTGATAGGCGTCCCTCAAGTAGTGGATGATAATCGTTCGGATTGAAGGTCTGGGCGTCCGTTGCGAAGTAGATGTCGATCAAGCCGAGCTTGTTGAGGGGGAGTGACACAGTCTCCCCCTTCTCCGCCTGCGCCAGCTCGCTCTCATCGTCCCCGTCGAGGTAGACCCCAGCCGGCATTACGATTCCGCCTGCTCCATGGCTGGCTGCCTTATTGTGGACCACAACGCGCTCGCCCTGAGTTTCGTTCACCGAGAGGGGCAAGGAGGACTCCATCTGCCCTGCAATGATGGAGAGCTTGAAGAGATCTTCGTGGCCAGACAAGACAGAAAGAAATGTGTGGAAAATGAAATATTACAATTTTTAAATATTTTTGATGTGGTGCGGACGAGGGCGCCCCTGTGGCGCGCTGCTTGTGGTGGCGGTGCTGGCACTGTTCTCGGCTGCAGTTGAAGGCGTGGCAGGAGGTGCGGCGTACAGAGTGAGGCATCCATCATCAAGTACGATTTTGTGGAGCGACGACGCCCACCTGCAAGTGCGTTCGTGTACGACCCCCCCCCCCGCCTCCTCTTTGCTTCCTCTACTTACACCCTGCCACACCGCCTCTTGATCAGCGCTCACTGACGGGTCTGCCAATGTTGGTGCACAGTTGGGTCTCGAGTGGAGGTGCAGCCTTCCCACTCCTCGCTCTACGCGCTGCAGCGGGGACGCCTTGAATGGACGACGAGCCCTCTCACCTCCGCGGTACAGTACAACCGACCAACCAACCACGTTACCCAGACCCCGCAGCACGTCACGGTCACCATCTGATTTCTCACCCACCACAACTCGTACTCGTTGATGATTGCATTCGTGCCTGCCGGCTGCAGTCGTTCGACCTTGAGCAAGTGAGACTCGTCATGTCTTCCTCTACTGCGTCGACCCTCTGTCATGGACCCATGCCGGCTCTGATCTCTGCTCTCGACGTTGAAGACGCGAAGCACGAGGAGTGTCCCTTCGTGCTGCCGGGTCTCCATCTCGAGGCCACCTACGCGACCGAGGCAAGCGCTCCGGCGGGTGGTGTGGCCGAGGACGAAAGCACGGCGCGCAGGAGACGCGGAGACGCTCTGTGCGCGCTCCTGGCGCAGGTAGGGCTCGATCTGGGCCAGTGCGCGACCGTCGTGGGCGGCGGTGGGGACCACGACCTGCTCCACATGGGCCGCCTGCCTTCGAACTTCTCGCTCTCGACCATGGCCTACAGTCTGCCGGCCGAGGTCCTCCAGAGCTTCGAACACGACGGCTCCTCTCGACGGTCATCGCCCGAGCGCACGGATCGCTACTTCTTCTACGCTCCCGACTTCCCCCTGGACAGGGCACACGCGATCGCTGCACGGCTGCAAGAGGCCTTTGATGAGGGCGCGGGCGAAAGCAACCACCAGGACGACGACACCCGACGCTGGAGCCTGACGGCGCTGGAGGTCCGGTTAACGCCCAACAGGATTGAAGGCCCACCAGCACTCTCCGTCGTTGCAACTCAGTTCAGGCAGACTCCCGCCACGGTACTCCTCTTCCCCTAGCTTGGCCGACTCTCGATGTCGAACCGCTCACCCAAGCCGGGGCTTTTCCGGACTGCGGGTAGGGTGAGGCGACCAGGCTGTCGGTGTCCGACAGTCGGCCGGAGGAGATCTCGTTTGTCACCGGGCCGGGACAAATCACGACCCTCTCCAACTATCGCAGCTCCTCCGCCGACCGACCCTCGCTACCGGCGGCCGATTCCCAGGTCAAGGTCAGCGAGCAGCCGCGCAACTTCACGCGCTCTCTGCCTATCCACCGCCGCAGCGCCACCAGCGAGGAGGGCATACAGCTCCAGTCCCTTCGGCGGTCGCTCGACAAGAAGGGATTCCACCGAGAGATTCGTACCGACATCACCCTATCTGCCCGCGGTCGGGAGACTTCCGAGCTGCGGTGGTGCCAAGTCGCCCTGATGGAGATGTTACCCGAGTCGGTGTTTGTCGACAAGTACCAGGTGGACGAGCTGCACCGATTTGGGTAGGCGTAGTCCCCCCCCCGGGGCGAACCCTGCCTTCAGTCCACTCACCGGTCGATGACTGTGCAGTGGTCCGCAAGTGCTGATCTTCGACGAGTTCGACTTGGAGAAGCCGTCGTCCGATCACGGCGCGCGCCAAGGTGTGGTCATAGTGCAGACCACGACCACCAATCCCACCAAGTACGCTTCTTCTCTGCCACTTGGCCCTGTCGACACCTTAGTTATTCATTCACCCGCCCCCTCCTCCTCTAACATCTCTAGGGTTGGTGACCGACTTGAGGCCCGCCTGTCCGTCGTGCTGCCCATCCACTTGCGCTATCAGGACCCGTCGCTCGACGCCACCCACCGCAAATTCAGCATACCGCCACCGCTGGTCTACGTGCGCTGCGGCGCGGGAACTGTGCCAACGCCGCCATCGCATCCATCATCGTGGACTCGAGCCGTACGCGATAGCGACGAAACGAGGGGCGCTGACGCATCGGCAGCGGTGCTGGAAGTGTGGGTGCCCGTGGGCGAGAAGCAGAAGCAGGGCCTGGTGACGATCGTGACCCTGCTGGCGACCACCCTCGGCTCCGCCATTGTCCTTCTCTTCCTGTGGTCGCACCGCCGTGCCGGCAAAGCCAAGCGAGAGTGAGGCCCGACAGCCCCACGCTACACTTTCAAGAAGCAGAGGGAGAGAGAGAGGGAGACAGAGATTGTACAGCCGGACCAACACAACAGGTAATGCACAAACACTTTACACCATCCACATGCTTTTGCAGGGTACCCAGGGCGGGATAAATTCGCGTGTATGATGAAGGTACCACACCACGGCGATCTCCGCTCAACCAACGTCACGCACTCGTTCACTCACGACCTCACCTCCCAGTCTGCGTCAGGTCCCAGGCACCAGAGCTGATTTCCACAGCATTTCTTTGGTTCGTTGGCTGGTAATCGGTCTTCCGTGGAACGGCCAATCACAAAAATTGCCTCATGACCCGCAAAATTCTGCGCTTTGGCCCAATTCACCGACACCCACCACAGAGACAAGTGGTCTCCCACCCCCTCCTCTTTTTTCTTCATACACTCCACTACACTCCTCACCAGACACTAGTGCACCACATTACAACTACTACTAAGCCAACAACAGCAGAAGAAGAGAAACAAGGCAAGACAGAGAGATGGACTTGAAGCTGCTGGAATCGGTGATGCGGGCCTTCTGCCCGCAGACCAACAAGGGCCACTTCAACGTGCCCGAGGGCTACAGCTTCCGCGGGGCCGTGTTCGACCTCGACGGGGTGGTGACCCAGACGTCCCACCTCCACGAGGAGGCCTGGAAGCAGCTCTTCGACGAATTCCTCCACAAGAAGAAGAACGAGAGCCAGGCCCGAGGCGGCGACCCAACAGACACGAAGCAGAAGACGAAGAAGGAAGAAGACGTGAAGGAGGATGCCGAGGAGGGCTTCGGCGGGAAGTTGAGCGAGGGATCGAAGGAGAAGGCAGAGAGTAGCCACAACGGCCGCCACGTCCAATTCGCAGAGCAGCAAGAGAGCGAGGCCAAGGCCGAGAGCAGCAGAGACAAGGAGGGAAAGCCCAAACGCGACGGCGAAGATAAAGAAGAGGAGGAGGAGACGGTCGCCGCCGACGGCGATCCCTACCGTCCCTTCAGCGAGCAGGACTACCTCACCTACGTCGATGGCCGTCCACGCCTTGACGGTGCGCCTGTGTTGGGGTGTGGGTCTGGGTGTGGGCAGTGGTGTTCTGAGAAGGTGATGCGTTGCGTGGACAGGTATCGCCAACTTCCTGAAGTCGCGTGACATCAAGCTGCCGCAAGGCGACGCCAAGGATGATGAGGACATGGAGACAGTGAGCGGGCTTGGCAACCGCAAGAATCGATTCTTCAACGCTCTCATGAAGGAGAAGGGCGTCGTCGTATACAAGGCCACCGTAGAGCTCATCAAGGTCCGCCCTCCATCACCAACCAACCAACCAACCAACCAACCAACCAACCACCAAATCTAAACCGTGTGTAGGAGTTGAAGCGCATGGGCGTGAAGATCGGCGCCGCTTCGTCTTCCAAGAACTGTCGCCCCATCCTGGTCACCGCCGGTCGGACCCTCTCCCTCCACCCCCACAGCAACTCATCACCAACTAACCCTCGCCTGACCTTTGTTGTGTGTGTGCGGATGATGTGGTAACTGCAGAGATCGAGTCGTTGTTCTCGGTGGTGATCGATGGCGTGGTGTCGGAGAGCCTCGGACTCAAGGGCAAGCCGGCGCCGGACATCTTCACCAAGTGCGCCGAGATGCTGGGCGTGCACCCGCGAGAGAGCATCATGGTCGAGGACGCCACCAGCGGCGTCCAGGCCGGCAAGGCCGGAGATTTCGGTCTCGTCGTCGGCATCGATCGGGCCAAGGGCAGGAACCGACAGCCGCTGCTGTCGGCCGGTGCGGACGTGGTGCTGGACGACTTTTCCCAGATCACGTCGTGGCATCTCAACGATTTCTTCCTCCCCAATGACGCCGGCTATGTCCTTCAGTTCGACAACTACGAACCCAAGCAAGAGCGCCTCCGTGAGGTATCGCTCGTTGTGTGTGTGGTGTGTGTGTGGTGTGTGTGTGTGGTGTGTGTGTGGTGTGTGTGTGTGTGGTTCTGACAACCACCACTTAGGCTCTTTGTACGCTCGGCAACGGTTATTTTGCGACGCGAGGATGCCTGGACGAGGCGCGAGCCGACGCTGACGAGCACTACCCGGGCACCTACATGGCCCGGGGCTGGAACCGCGAGGTCAGCAAAGTCGAAGGCCGCGACGTCGCCAACGAGGTATAATCCCACCTCGCTCAGCTGTGAGACTCCACTCCATATCTCACCGTGGTGTGTGTCGACAGGACTTGGTCAACCTGCCCAACTGGATCCACGTCACCTTTCGGCCCGACGGCAAGGACTGGTTCTCGTGGAACCGCGATGCCAAGGGTATGTGCACTTCCCTCTTTTTCTTCTTATTCTTCTTATCCTGATTTTTTTTTGTATTGTGGTTTATGTCCGGATTGTACTCTTACGCGGTCAGGAAACCTGCCCTTCGAGCTGCTGCACTACGATACGCGGTTGGACACGCACAACGGCCTGCTGGTGCGGCGGTACCGCGTGAAGGACGACGAGGGCCGGATCACTATGATCATGACCCATAGGGTGGTGCACATGAAGAAGCCGCACCTGGGCCTGGTCAAGTACACCCTCATTCCCGGTACATGGTCCCCTTCTCTCCGATGCACCCCACGGTCGCTGTCGCTGCGCCACTGACTGAAGGCCTGCGCTGCGTGCACAGAGAACTGGGGCGGAAAGATCGACATCGCTTCAGAGATTGACGGCAGTGTGCGGAACACCGGAGTGCCTCGCTACTTGTACGCACGTGTGACAACGCACAGCTCATTCTCGTCAACTATTGTTTCTTTTGGTAACCATCGTGTCGTTGGTCTGCCTTGTTGGGTTGACATTGTGCAGAGGTCTGCACGATAAACACTTGCGCGTGCTCGAGAAGGGCAAGTTCCCGCTCTCCACCAACGCAGATGAAAAGGACCAGGGCGTCTACATCGTCACCCGCTTCACCAAGGTTGACCACCTGCCTTATTTCATTTCATTTATTTCATCTTTTTTTTGACCTCAAGCGACAACTAACCCGCGTGATGGTCGTGGTGGCGCTAAGGCGTCGTGCGAGGTGGCAATGGCTGCGCGAACGCGGGTCTACCGAGGCACCAACTCCAACCCCCTTGACAACCCTGTCATTGGTATGCCCTACCCAACTCTGTTCTTGTTCTGCAAACTCAGGATTGTAAACTGGATCAACAATTGATTGTTGTGATGATACCTTCACCACAACGTTACAGTGGAGGACGAAGAAAAGATGACGCAGATCTATTCTGTGGACATCGAGCAGGGATGCGTCATTCAAGTGGAGAAGCTGGTCTCGCTCTACTGCAGCAAGGACCGCGGTGTGGGCAACGTCGCCGATTCGGCCATCGATGACATTCAACGCCACCACATGAAGGTAGGACCCTTGGCCACAACATCATTTACAGCTCTCAGCTCCTTTCTAACACACACACACACACACAACAGCGCTATTACAATATCTTCAGCCTCCACCAAAAGATCTGGTCGGAAATCTGGCGGCGTGTGGATGTCGACATCGAACTCACGCCCGAGGAGGCCAGTCCCACGCTCAAGCGCGAGCACCTCGAAGCGGTCAAGAAGGAAGAGCGCGAGCTGCGCGTGCTCAACGGGAGTGAAGAAGACCCGTCCTCCGAAGAGTTCTTCAGGGCAACCACCGGTACGACGATCGGAAGCCACCCAAGCAGGCGCAGAACGGCACAGTTGTCCACCAGGCCCGTACGGGCTCGCTCGGAGCTCAGAGCCTACCATGAATTTGAACGAGGTACCCAATCGACTGTGTCGCAAGCTGTGTCGTGTCGTGTCCTACTCACCCCATACTACAGCCAAAGAAAAGATGGAGAGAGTGGAGCACCTGCCCCTTACGAAGTACTCGGACATCGCCAAGGCCACGAACGAGGAGGACCTCCTCGCCGCCGCCTCCCGCCATCTGCAGGTTCGCACCTGTCCTACTTCTTTTTCTTGTTTAACAAAGCCGATTGACCTGTACGCGGGGGTGCATGGGTATTCATTCATTCATCTGCAGCTGGTGCTTCGCTTCAACATGTTCCACCTGACCCAGACCGTGTCCTTCAACACCATCGGCCTCGACACGTCCATTCCCGCTCGGGGCCTCCACGGCGAGTCCTACCGCGGTCACATTTTCTGGGACGAGGTACCCCTTGCGCCCCTCTCTTTCATTACTGTCTTTTCGCAGGAGCGCATGACATGTTCTGACCGCGCGTGTGAACGCCATGGTGGGGTGATATCTGCGTGTGACGGCGCAGCTGTTCGTGTTCCCGAGCTACAACCTGCGTCTGCCGGAGGTCACCCGTACCCTGCTGCTCTACCGGTTCTACCGCCTCGACGCTGCACGAGACCGGGCCAAGCAGGTACTCCACGCGTCTTCACCTGCACACTCAAGATCGCAGGGGAACACCACTCATGCCCGAGTGGTGTGTGTCGTGTGTGTGTGTGTGTGTGTGTCGTGTGTGTGTGTGTGTCGTGTGTGTGTGTGTGTGTGGTCCTAGCTGGGCTATTTTGGCGCATGCTATCCCTGGCAAAGCAGCAGCACGGGAAAGGAGGAGACGCAGGAGGTGCACTACAACCCCATGAACAAGACCTGGGGTCCCGACTACTCGTCCAACCAGCTCCACGTCAACATCGCCGTCTTCTACAACAGTGCGCCAGTGTCCACCGTTTCTTCGTTCTTCTTCGTTCTTTGTTTTCTTCGTTCTTCGTTCTTACTCATGAATGTTGAATGTTGTGCGTCATCCAGTCTGGGACTATTACAATGTGACGGGCGACCGCAGTTTTATCGCGCTCTACGGTGCCGAGATGATGCTCGAGATTGCCCGCTTCTGGGGGCTCAAGGCCATCTACAACGAAAAGACCGACCGCTACGACATCGATGGTGCGTGCTTGGCATTCCTTCGCCAAACCATTTCGCGACCCAACTGACGGCGCTGGCACAGGCGTGATGGGTCCGGACGAGTTCCATGAGAAGTACCCGGACACGGACAAGGCCGGGCTGAAGAACAACGCCTACACCAACGTGATGGTGGCGTGGCTGCTCGACAAGGCCCTGCTGGTGCTCAATCAGCTGCTGCCGGAGGCCCGGCGCCAGGAGATGATGAGCCGGCTCCACCTGTCCAAGCTGGAGCTCGACCGGTGGGAGCACATCACGTTCCGCATGGCCGTGCCCTTCCTCACCGAGACCCCCGGCATCATCGCCCAATTCGAAGGCTGGGAACAGCTCTTGGTACGCGCGTGTCGTGTCGTGTCGTGTCGTGCGGCGTGTGCGGCATCACTGACGCGTTACTGTAAATTTGTAGGACCTCAACTGGGACGCGTACCGCAAGAAGTACGGCACGATCAACAGAATGGACCGCATTCTCAAGTCCGAGGGCGATTCGCCCGACCGATACAAGCTGGCCAAGCAGGCCGACACCTGCATGCTCTTCTACCTCCTTCCCGAGCAGGAGCTCCTTCGCGTACGTTGTGTGTGTGTGTGTGTGTTTGTGTGTGTGTGTGTGCGCGCGCGCGTGTGTGGTGCGTGCGGTGTGTGCGTTCCTTACATTCTGCATTCCTGCGACGCTGCGCAGATACTCGCTCAGCTCGGGTATCCGTTCACGCGGGAGCTGATCCACAAGAACATCACCTACTACCTCAAGCACACCTCGCACGGTTCGACGCTGTCCTACGTGGTCTTCGCCCACATTCTCCACAAGTTCGACTCCAAGAAGGCCTGGAAGTTCTATCGCACCTTCGTCATGAGCGACATCGGCGACACCCAAGGTAGACGCCACCTGGTCGCCTTCCGCCCAATCTAGACTCATTTGCGTGTGTGTCGTGTTTTAGGAGGGACGACGAGCGAAGGAATTCACGTCGTGCCGCTTGCGGCGTCGATCAACATGCTGCTGATGCAGTTCTGCGGTATCGACACCAGCTACAACGCCATTCGCATCGACCCGCACCTCACCAAGGTCATCAGCCGCCTCGCCTTCCGCTTCAGCTATCAGCACCAGTGGTACGCACCCCAGCCAACCGGTTCAATTCCAACACACACGGCACACACGGCACACTGACCGTTCATAACACGAATGGACCACAGGATTCGTGTGAAGCTGTACGACTCGGTGCTTACGGTAGCGGTGGACGGAGACTCGGGAAGCGAGGACAAGGTGCCCATCATCATCCGCGACACCCTCCACTTCCTCCTGCCCGGGTCCAAGATGCAGTTCCACCTGCCCTGATCTGATGATCCCAACCCGACACATTTTCATCCAATACAACCTTCTCCACTCTTGACTCTCGTTGGGTGCGCCAGCGTTTCTTTCTGTGCACGACACGACAGGCCTGGTTGGAACGCGTCAGACAAGGTCCTTCGCCTTGAATCGGTGGAGCCAGCTGGCCACCACCCGAGAGTCGATCGGGTGGCAAGCCACCTTCGCTGTCGCACCATCCGTCCCCTCCTCCAGCTTGCGCGAGGAGTCGGCGATGGCCTGGAGGAGCGCCACAGTCTTGCCGCACTCGGCGGAACTCGTGCCCGGGAACCTGGTTTCGCCCGAGGCTGCTTAGGCGGCCATGGCTTGGGCGAGGCTGGGGCGCGCGCGCATGAGCGGTTGCGTACCACGAGCGGAACATGGAGCGGACGACGTAGAGCGGGTTCGACTCGTCGCTGGAGTCGATCTTCCGGCGCCACGCCAGGTAGGTCACCGCCTCCAGCGAGGGCGCAGCAGCGTCGCCAGACGAAGAAGAGGCGGTGTCTTCCATGAACCGCCGCACGCCCTCCAGCAGAGTGTCGAACGTTGTAGCCTGGGAGAAGTTGTTGATGTGGAATGTGCCCCCAGGCTGGCCGGCGGTGTGCTTGGCAATCTTCACGATCGCCGCCGCGGCCGAGTCCACGGGGACGAAGTTGAACTCGACTCCCCTGCACGCGGGGTAGCTCCGCATGTGGACGATGCCGCAAAGCAGCCGGCCGACCCAGTCGCTCTCGTTGGCGACGCCACCGCGGGCGCAGTGCGGCGCGGCCTCGCCGACGATCATGCCGCAGCGGAACACGTTGACGGGGAGCCCCCGCTTCCTGCCCCTGCGGAGCAGCAGCTCGGCCACGCACTTGGTCTGCCGGTAGCCGCTCCTGAGCGCCGCCAAGTAGGCGCCGACGTCGCCGCCGCCGCCGCCGCTCGTGCGCCGCATCAGCTGCTTCAGGTCTTCGTCTTCTTCGTGTGCCCTGGCCGTGCCTCGATCCTGCAGCACGCTCAGGCTCGAGATGTGGTGCACGACCGACAGTGTGCGGCCCGTGGCGGCCAGTCGCACCACGTTGCGCGTGCCTGCAAGAATCGATGAGCGCGTGTGTGTGGCGGTGTGTGCGGTGCGGTGTGTGCGGTGGTGCGTGTGCGGTGTGTGCGTGTACCCACTACGTTGCCCTTGACGAGAGAAGAGTAGGAGAGCAGGGAGTTGACCCAGGCGCCGCAGTGGAAGATGACCTCGGCTTCATCGCCCAGCGCGTCAAAGCGGTCCCTGCTGAGGCCGAACCGATCGAGCGAGAGCTCGCCGGCGACGGGCCGTATGCGCTGGGCCTGGGCGTCGTCCCAGAGCCCGTAGTCCTTCATGTGGTCCCGGACGCGCCGCATCGCCGCGTCTTCGTCGGCCTGACGCGGCCCCACGCGCACCAGGCACCATACGGTGGCCGACGGGAACTCGGCCAGAATGCGATGCAGGAGGAATGCGCCCAGGAATCCGGTGACGCCGGTGACGAACACGCCCCGCACCTCCAGGGCCGCACCTGCCCTCGAGACCTATAGTATACCCCCACCCACCCACACCCTTCGGGTTAGAACTGGCCTGCAGCTCGCTCAGCTCAGACCACAGCTCAGCCCAGCTCAGCTCAGCTATTTGAGGAATGGGCACGGGCGCACCTGCGAAGATGCCTGACATTTTTCGTCGAGCAGCCTGATGGTTTCTGGGTCCAATCGCGAGTCCCTGCGCCAATCGATTGACTGTGTCGCGGCCGTCGACTGGTCGCTGGGCGACCCACCCTGCGGTGGTGAGTCTTCCCCCGAGGCGGCGCCACCGCCGCCACTGTGCCGCTCGACGTACTCGGCCAGCTCGTCGATCGGTCGTTCGAGGACCATGGCCAGCGGCAGGCTCACGGCGAACCTCTCGCGGATGATCTTCATCAGGTTCACCGCCCCTAGCGAGTCGCCGCCCAGCTCCAGCAGACTCGCCTGCTGGCCCTCCTGCTGATGCAGCTGCTCGGCGCCGGGGCTGATCGTATGCGCGATGGCGTCGCGAATGGTGTCTCGGGTAAGGCGCGCCTGGGTCGTGGTGCGCGCGTAGGCGGCGTCGATGTCGGCGCGGTAGTGCACGGCCAGGGCGCGTCGGTTGAGCTTGCCGGTGATGGTGCGTTGGCCATTGTGTTCGCTGAAGGGCTCGCGGGCGAGGATCACGTCGCGCGGCACCTCGTAGTACCTCATCTCCTGCTTCTTGCTCACCGCCCGAATCCCTTCGGCGATCTCGTGCTTGAGGCGTTGGCGGCCAACGTGGTGGTCAGCCTCACCGTCGACGGCCGTAGCCGCGCGGGGAACGACGACGGCCACGAGGTGGGAGCGGCTGCCGTCGCCGTAGACGAAGCACTCCCTGATCGAGGGACAGCCGATGGTCAGTGCGGCTTCGATCTTCTCGGGCACCACGAAGAGCCCTTGCGCCAGCTTAAACAGGTTCTGTCCATATGTGCCGGTGATGTGCGGTGGTGAAGGCGCGAGTGAGTGTGTCGCGAATGGAGCACAGTGTGAATGGGCGGGGCGCGGGGTGCCTTCTTGCGGTCGATGAGCTCAATCGACCGGGTGTCTCCGGTCTGCTGGAGCATGCCAATGTCCCCCGTCTTGAACCAGCCGTCTTCAAAGTTCTCCTTCGTTTGCTCTTCGTCGAGGTAGTAGCCTTGCGTGGTGACCACCAAAGGCGTTGGTGAGCGATCACTAGCGAGGCGGCGAGGTGGACCCGTACGTACCAGGAGTGATTGTGGGGCTGCGCACCCAGACCTCGCCTCGCGGGAACGGCTTGTCCGTTGTCTTGTATTCTTCCCAGTCGACCAACTTGAGCTCGACGTCGCTCGATACCTGATGACGAGAAGAGGCGAAGGTATTCAACACAACAATCAGGCCAGTAACAGGTTGCGGCAGGGTCATATAGAACGTTGATACATTAGACAACTGCAATTATGCATAGAAATGTTGGTGGTGATTGTACCGTCTTATTGCTGTAGATGCCGCCGATCTCTGTGGCGCCGTAGCTTTCCCGGATCTCAATGTTACCGAAGAGCTTGCGTGTGAACTGCAGTACCTCCTTGGGCACCGGCGCACCACCTGCCCGCCATGAAGAAAAGATCGTCAGTTGCTTGCCCTGCAGAGCTGAAGCTTCTTCTCTTTGTTTGTACCGATCGTGATCATTCGAATGCAGCCGCTGCCAAGCATCTTTCTAAACCGCGCCATAACCTGGGCCTTCAGCTCCTGCTTTTCCAGCGCATTCTTGGCCCCGCCTGTGTGGTATGGAGAATAGCAGTGGAACGTGGTCAGCGCCGAGCGCAGTACTGGACAAGAGGGACGGGAGGCACCGACCATAGGCCGCGTTCAGGGCCTGAGTGTAGAGCTGGTGTACGGTGATCCAGGTGATGGGCGGACCCGAGAGAATGGTGGGCCGCAGGATGGGGATCTCTTCCAAGATCCGATCCACGCCCCCCGAGAAACAGCCAACCCGGGAGCCATTGCCTGCGGCGGACGGCGGTCAGTGTGCGCGAGATTCGGGGGGGGATGGGCGCATGACTACGCACAGAGGGCGCGTTCGGTGTTCTTGCGGGTGGAGGAGGCCGACAGAGGGCCGCTGGTCATGTACACCTTCGGAAATGCGTAGAGCACAGTCCTGTCGTATGAATTGAGTGTAACGCGAGTGCGCTCGCCAACACCAGAACAACACTTGGCAGGAATTAGAGAGAGAGGCGCACCTGGATCTGAGGGTGTCGTGCCACAAGCGTTCCGTGTAGATCGTGCCCTGTTCATGATGGATCTGTGCGTCAAGCCTCTGGCCAAACGTATTCATGGCGGGGTGGACCGACGAACCTTGGGCAGGCCGGTGCTGCCGGACGTGTACACCACGGTGACCACATCATCGGGTTTGTTGGGCACCGCAATCGGGAATGTCGGGTTCTGCATCGTCGCAATATCGAGGCATCAAATGGATCGAGTAAGTTCAGGTCAGCCAACACGCGCTACACGGGAGTGATTGCTGGCGGCCAACCTCGGCCAGGAACAATGCTCCTTGCCTCTCGACGCTACTGAACCGCAGGATCTTGACCCCAGTCTGCACCGGTGAAGCTTGACGAATCAGGCACCACCAACAAAGCTTTGGGGGGGGGGAGCGAGAGCGAAACCTGGTGTTGTTGTGGGTAGGTGCCGAGTGTGGCTTGAGCCGGTAGCGAGTCGCCGTCGGAGAGGGACGGCTGGTTCTTGTCGAAGTGGATGATGTACTGGAGCGCGGGCAGTGACGGAGCCAGCTCCTCGAACAGTTTGACAAACTCGGGACTGCACACGACGCAGGTGGCCTGGAAACGAACATGAGCCAGCCGATGGGCCAAACAAGATAATAATTCGGGTTTGTCCTGTGTACCTGGACGCGCTTGAGTATGTACAGCATGTCGGAGCGGTGGCTATTTGTATGCAACGCCACAGAGATGACAGACCGATAGACGCACGCAAAGTCGGCCAGGTACCTGATGATTGTGTAAACATAAAGAGAGAACTGAGATCAGAGGCAGACCTTGACCTAAAGACCTGAGTAGAGAGAGATAAATTAGATGTGGTATCGGCCCACGCACCACTCCAAGCGATTGGGAGAACAGATGGCGAGGTGCGATCGCGCCTCGATGCCCAGTATCGACAGCCCCGCGGCAAAGTGTCGCACTCGCAGACCAACCTCCTTGAACGTATGCCACTTGTAGGAGGCCGCCAGTACTTCTGGCGCGGCGGAGAATGCGTCAAGAGCGCCATGGATCACATCAGCTCTATATCGCCACGACCTACCAGACGACTCAGAACATTCACTGATGATTGGTGGCTCACCTGTGCCATCGACAGAGAGGGTGGGTCGCCACCCGAGACACCAGCGGCCGGCGAAGCAATTGAAGGCCAGGGATAGGATCGTCACGCAGTCGGGTCCCTGCACCGCGTCTTGGCAGGTCCACGGATGCCCCCTCTCCTCCAGCATCTCGTGGGCATGCGGCGCTCGCTTGTCTGCACCCGTTTTTTATTATTATTATTTATAAACAAATATTAATTAGAATTAGTGTATACAAATAAGTATATTTGGGGGTACCAGCATAGCAGGCAGAGCAGCGCTCCACCCAATCGCACGTGGGGCAGTGGTAGCGGGTGTCCTCGGGTCGTATCGTGCGCCAGCACCCTTCGCACTCGGCCTCCATCTTCTCTTCTCCTCTCGTTGTCTGGCAGCTCAAGCTCGCGTCTCTGAGTGCGGCTTGCGTTGCTTGCGTTCAGTGAACACAAGAGTCCACCCAAAGTGGCAGCAGCGAGGATTGTAATCTTTTTGAGTAAGACAGAAGAAGATGGCCGACAAGGAAGAGTGGAGGTGGGTGTGCGTTGATGCGGGCTCGCGGTTGGACGGCGACAGTGACGAAGAGGAGGAAGAGGAAGACGAGGAGTACGACCCCACCCGCGTGGACGAGGACGGTCTGCTCCGTCCGCTCACTCGCTGGGGCCAGACCCTGGCTTGCCTGCCCTCTTCTTCTTCAGTTGCCCTGTCCTTCTTCCTCTACGGCGGTACCCCCCCCTCCGCACTTTAGTTACATTTTGTGTTTTTTTTTCATTTCCTTTATTTTGGTCATAATGTAAATCATTTTTATTTATATGTAAAATGTTATTGTTCACCTCTAAGCAAAATGCAATGTAACAACCACTCAGGAAGGGACGGGCGGTTCGCCGATGGTTACATCTACCCTCGCGAAGTGTGGACGTGCAGTCTGAAGGTTGGCGCGGCCGGAGAGCGGTCGGTCGAGTGGCGCTGCGGTCCTCTCGTGGGTGATGACGACACCGCCACCCCCAAAGGTACCTACTGCTGCTCCTGCTAGTACTACTGCTACACCTTGACCTTGGATCAGGCCTTCTCATGAGTACTACCAACAACGACCACCACTCCTACAACTCAGGTCGTTTCCTGCATTCGACGTGCGTGGTTGGGCGAGGCTTGCTGGTGTGGGGCGGCCACGATGACGAGGACGTGTTCGACGATCTCCACCTGCTCGACACGGACACGATGCAGTGGCGCCGGGTGGAGTGTGAGGGCGAGAGCCCTGGCCCTCGCTATGCGGCCGAGTCCGTGACGCTGGCGGACGACTTGGTGCTGGTTTACGGCGGCAAGGACGACAGCAAGGCCTTCAACGACCTCCACCTGCTGCGCTTTACCTCGGCGGGTACCTCTTTCTGGGTGTGTCGCGTGTGTCGCGTGTGTCCGTGTGTCGACACTGATGTGTGCCATCTTCGCCCTCCGCCAGACAAGCAAAGGGCTCAGTGGAGCAAGCTCGCCCCCACGGGACAGGCCCCGACGCCGCGAGATTGCGGCACTGCGACCTTGCTCAACAAGAAGTACAATTCTCTCTCTCGCTCTCTCGCTCTAGCTCGTTCGGTTCTGTGTTAAGTGTGGCGTCCCTACATCAGGCTCTACGTGATCGGCGGATCAGATGAGGAGAGAGAGGTCTTCGTGTACGACGTCGGTAACGTGTCCCCCGCCCTATGAAAAGAGCACTTGGGCAAGATGCGCTGACTCCTGGTCAATTGACGCAGAAACGAATGCGTGGAGTACGGTGGCGCCGCCGGAAGAGGGCTCAGATGAGGCGGCGTGGCCCACACTCCGATCGGGTCATGCCTGCGCCCCGGTGGCCGGTCGCTACATAGTCATGTTCGGCGGCTGCACGCCCGAGGCTCTTCACGGCGATACGCACGGTGCGCTCGTCCTTCTTTCCTGATGCGCCTTTCTTTCTTCGGGCCAGTCCCGTTCTGACCGGTCAAATTGGCACCAGTGTTCGACACGGAGCAAGGAACGTGGAGGCAGCTGAGCTTGCCCGAGGAGGGCGCACCTGCGCGCCGAGCAGGTTTGCACACCCGAGCGACTCAAGTTCGCGTGGCATTCCCAGTTTACTCACCACCCCTAACGGTGCATTCCGTCTGCAGGCCATTCGATAGTGGCCCTCGCCGACGCGCGTACCTTGGCCCTGTTTGGTGGCGAGACCGTGCGACCGGACAAGCTCGTCGACATGGCCACGCTCAATGACCTCCACCTCCTCCAGCTTTCGAGCTAGCCTTGGCAAGGCCGCCTCATTTGTTTTGATGATGTTGGAGTGATTTGTTGTTTTTGAGTTGGTGAAGATGTTGTGTTTGTTTTTGTATTGGTGAAGAAAAGGAGATGTTCGATCATAGCCCAGGCCCCAGCAGAGGAGAATACGGTGCTTGGGGTTCTGTAGACCCACCGTCCTGGCTTCTGCCAGGTCCGGCGTTCGTCTATTAGCCGAAGTGCGACACTCCGCACGGAAGAGCGGACCACGCAAAGCACGGCTAAAGAAGATTCAACACCAAACCCGACTCTCTCGGCAGGCTATGTATTTATCTGCCCGAGCAAATATTGTGGGACCGCAGCTAAACTCCACGCGTGCGCTGGGGCTGGACGCGTGAGCTCAAGCGGACGCGACATCACGTTTGGCGTTGACGACAGCAACATGTTTCGTATTGTTGGGTGGTTGAAACAATAACTCGTATGAGTTCCGGAGTGTGGTTAGGGATGTGCGGCGGAGGTGGCGGCGGATTGGGCTTGCCAGGCGAGGGGGAGGGAGGAGAGGGCGGCGTGGTTGGTGAGCTCCAGGGCTTCGAGGAGGACGTCGGGTCGCAGCGGCGTCGTCGTCTTCGCGTGTCTCTCCGACAGGTGCTTCTTCCAATTCTTGGCTCCTGGAATCTGAGTTTTAGCACCCAAAGGATGTGGCCCAGTGATGAAGGTGGGCTTTACCTCCGGGCATGTTGGCGTACAGGCCGAGCATGTGTCGTACGATGCTCCACAACTTTTCGCCTTCTTCCATCTGCTCTTTCGCATATTCCACCTAACAACGTTACAGTGGCCTTGGTCAGAGTTGGCTGACGCCACACAGAGGGTAAAGATGGTGCGACATACCATGCGCAGCACAACATCGCGTCGGCTCACCTCCTCTGCAGTACTACCGAAGAATTCCCTGTCCAAGGCGGCAAAGAGGAACGGATTGGAGTAGGCAGCCCTTCCTATCATCACACCGTCCACGCCCTGTATCGACCACGGTTCAGCAAACCAGTTATTGATGGTGATGGTGGTGATGATGATAAAGACGGGCGAAATGCCGGTGGAGGGAATGGTACTGACCTGCTGCCTCTGATAATGGATATCTTCGATCGTTTTCACCTCGCCGTTGAGCTCGACCTTGAGCGCAGGGAACTCCTGCTTGATTCGGTACACGTAGTCGTAGATCAGGGGAGGAATTGTTCTGTTCTCCTTCGGCGACAGACCCTTCAACCACGCCTTCCTACACGAGCGACCATGCCAGTCGGTCAGCCATGTGAGCGAGTGTGCGCCGCGCAGTTGGACGCACGCGCACCTGGCATGAATGATGAAGCGATCGCAGCCGGCCAGCGACACCGTGTGCACGAACGCGCGCAGCTGTTCGTAGGAATCCATTTCGTCCACGCCAATCCGGTGCTTCACGGTGATGGGAATCTGCACGCCCTTCTTCATCGCTTCGACGCACGAAGCGACCACCGACGGCGTCTTCATGAGGACCGCGCCAAAGCTACCTGGCGCATTCACTATGCGTGAGTCCAAGGTCACTAGTACGTCACGCACACGCACCACCGCACACGCATGCACTGACCTTCTTTGACGTTTTTTGAGGGACAGCCAACGTTGAGATTGACCTCGTCGTAGCCCAGCTCCTGAGCCACCTGCGCGCAGAACTGGAGTTCGGTGGGGTCGTTCCCGCCAAGCTGCAGGACCAGCGGATTCTCGTACGGGGAGTAGCCCAGCAATCGCCCCAGCGACGGCGGCGCGTGGGCGTGTGCGTGCGTCGGCGCCGCTGTGGCAGGAATCTGAACGATCGGTTCAACGTGAGTGAGCGAATGCCAGGTGGCAAAGAGAGGGAGCTGGGTGCCTTATACCGTGAGGGAGAGTGGCGAAGAAGAGGCAAGAGAGGGACTGTGGTGGCGTTGTCGCACGCGGGCGAGAATGGCGGCGAGCGGGGTGTGGCGCGACTGTTGGTGTTCGGCGTGGATGGACGACAGGATGGCGCCGGTCGACACCATCTCCGTGTAGAGAACGGTGTGCTGCGTTATCTGGCGCATCAAGTACCTGCCATCCAGAATTAATATTAAAAACTGATAAATTAATCAATAATTAATCCACTATGGACGATTAATCGATATATTGGCCGGCGACGTACCTATAGTGTTGGTCGGTGCAGTCCATCATGGGGGCGACGGAGATGCGAAAAGAATCTGAGGCCTTTGCGGTATTGGTGGAAGCGGAACGAATCGATATCGTTGCATCACGATTCTTCCTATCTGACACAGATCGTGCACCATACGAAACGAGACACGGCACCGCAGATTTTACGGCCGTTGGGCATAGCAATCGCGATCGAACGGACATGTGCGGGGTGGATGAGGTGTTTGGTGGTGCCCTCTTCTTTTGAGTGTTGTTGACAAGGGGCTGCTGACGTCAGCAAACAAGACTCGCCTCCGTCAGTAGTCAGTGTCGATCCGTCGTTGACCGGCCCCCAGCTTGTAGAAGATGTCGCCCTTGCCGTCCCACACCTTGGGCTTGATGGTGGCGCCCACCATCACGGCACTGCTCAGCAGGAGGGGCGTGATTGGTGGGCCAAGCAGCGAGAAGAAGGCGGCCACGAGAATCCACAGGTGCAGCGACTCGAGCATCTTTCGTGGCAGCACCTCGTCGTCGCGCTCCGCGTCTGCTTCCTCTTCACCATCAGTGCCTTGGCCCGGCTTTGTAGCGGAGGTGACCGTCGTCTGACGGTTCGAGGTCGTTGCTGGTCGCTTGTCACTGCTGGCTGGACTGACGAACAGAGTGTAGTAGACCTTTGCAAGGCAGACGAGCACGGCGAACGATGCAACAATAGAGAAGTCGTTGTCGTCCATCCCCTGCAGCGACACACACCACACACACACACACACACACACGCAATAAGAAGACGCAACAATCAGGGGCCGTGGGAAAAAGCAGGCGAACCTTGACGATCAAAGCGGGGCTGCCGGTTTCGAGCAGATCCCGTCGCACGTTCCATTTGGCGGTGGTGTCGACCACGAGGACGCACAGGGATGTGGATAAGAGCATCAACGCGCCGCGTAGCATCTGGCGTCGTTCCTCCAGGATGTCGATCGACCAAAAGCGATACATCTACAACGTCGATTGCCAGCCATGACAGTCATCAGTGGCAGAATGATGCGCATTGGGCAACACGGGGAATGTGGCCACGTACGAAGAAAATGGAGAGGAGGGAGGGTAGCAGGAGTGTGCCGAAGAAAGGCGCCTTGTTCCACATGAAGGCGTTGAAATAGCCGTTGATCGCCATCATTCCCAGCTGCAGCAAAGTCACGGCCGTAACCGACCTGCACGGCACAGCGCACATTAGCCTTCATTCCATGCATGTCGAGCGCGTGCAGGAGGTGTGCGTGCTGCGAGCCTGGTTTGGGGCGCAGGCGAGGTCGCACCGTTGTATGGAGGCGAGCAAGTCAGCTCGCTGGTCCATCAGTCGCAGCTTCCAGAACCTGGCATGCAAGGTCAGTTGTTGTTCACATTCGGGCACACAGGCAACACGCTATCACGAACACCGCACATGCACACACCGCACACCGCACGCACGGGGACATGAACGTACACAGAGCCCATGAGGACGTGGAAGGTATGCACGATGAGGGCCAGCGCGATTTCGGCAGCGTGGAAGAGCGGGGAGGCCACCACCTGCCGGTCGGACAGTGTGAACACCGAGAAGCCGTAGCAAAACAGGCCAACGGCCGCTGACCCATTGAGCAGCATGAATGCGCCGCCCACCACCGCCGTAGCCGTCCTGTGCTGCACCATCTGCGCTGTCATCACCAGATGGAAAAATAACTCATTACAATGAGATTAATCTTGCCGCACCAGATTTGCGAACTCATTGGCGAGAAGGGCACGTACAAGTGTGCACCAGCGGTTAGGCGTGCACCTCTTCCTCAAGGATGTCCAGAAACTCTGCCTTTTCTTTCGGTTGCCTTTCTTTTATTTATTTTTCGATTAATCGGCCAAAACGAAGATGAAGGTGGCAACAACCAAGCTGGCGACGCGCAGTCGGCCGGTTACGCCGATGTTGAGCCCCGCGCTGCTCATGCGGTGCAGCGTCGGACCGACTTGCACATCTCAATCGCTGCTGGCACGCCGATTTTCATCAGACGTAAAGAAGACGATGAAGGCGGCCGTGGTGCCCCAGTACGATCTGGAGGACAGCGACGAGGTACACCCGGCGTCCCTCATCGTCCGCAGCGACTGGCCAGTGCCCTCGCTGCACGACGTCGAGTCGCGGCACGACGAGGGCGACGTACTCGTGCAGGTGGCAGCCAGCAGCGTCAACCCCATCGACAGCATGCTTCGCCGGGGCTACGGCCGTGCTCTGCTCGAAGCCACCGCACAGGGGAGGTCGCGCCTGCCCTTCATTCCCGGCTTCGATGTCGCCGGTACGTTCGATACCGAACATCAGCGGGCTGATGGCGGTTGTGTGAGCTCACCATGATGATGGCGTGTGCAGGTACGGTGGTGGATGTGGGCACCGGGGTGTGGAATTGGAAGAAGGGCGACATGGTGTGGGGAGGCGCAGAGCTCTTTCGCAATGGCGCCCATGCCGAGTACATCGCCATCAACCAGGTGCGTCGCACGACCACCAATCGGTTGGCTGTATTTGTTGGGAACCGGCGGCTGACGATTTGAGGCCTGGACCTCTAGCACGCGCTCGCGCCCAAACCAGCCAACCTCACGATGGAAGAGGCCGGCTCGCTGCCTTTTGTGGCCCTCACCAGCTGGCGTGGGCTCGTCGACACGGCTGGCCTTTCTTCCTCCACCAGCAAACGAATCTTCATCAACGGCGGCAGTGGTACGCTCCTTCTGGTCCCAACGTTCTTTGTTCTCTCTCTGCGTGCTAAAATCAACTGTGTGTGTGTGTGTGGTGTAGGCGGGATTGGAGTGTTCTCGATCCAGCTGTTGAAGAGCTGGGGCCACTACGTGGTGGCATCGTGCGGGGAGCGGAATGTGGAGAAGCTCACCAAGCTGGGCTGTGACCAGGTGCTAGACTACCGAAGCCCTCAGTTCCAGCAGTTTTTTGGACACCCCCGAGAGCGTCGACGTCGTGCTCGACACCGTGGGCGGCGCCAAGAGCGAAGCGAGAGGCCTTCGCGTAGTAAAGCCCGGCGGGCACTACCTGTCGCTGCGTGGTGCGCCCCTTCTTTCGAACCCCGCGCAGCTGTCGCTCCCTCCCCCCCCCGACCTAATAAGTTTCCTCCCTCAGGTCCGTTGGCCACCATGACCGACAGTGGCGGCCTCGTTGGCGGCCTTCTTGGCGCCGCCACAACCATCGCCCAGAAGAAGCTCGCTGCATTCACGCAAGGTACCTTCCTCGTGTGCGTGTGCGTGTGCGTGTGCGTGTGCGTGTGCGTGTGCGTGTGCGTGTGCGTGTGCGTGTGCGTGTGCGTGTGCGTGTGCGGTAGTTTGTGTGCGTGTGCGGGTGGCCTCGATGGTACCTGAAAGTGCATCCGCGCCTGCAGACCGAAGACACGTGCATGTGGACTACGTGATCTACAAGCCCAACGGCGACGCACTGCGCGAGGTGGGGAAGCTCGTGGAGATGGGTCGCATCAAGCCCGACATCGACCGAGTATTCGATCTGGGCGATATTCGCGAGGCGCACCAGTACCTCGAGGGCGGTCACGCCCGCGGCAAGGTCGTCATCAAGGTGATGTAAGCTTCTCCGATCTCTCCCCGTGCAGCTTCGGGAGATTGATTGATCAAGGCATCACATCGTGATCGTACTTGTTGATGTGTACGAGTTGTGAGTAGTCCTCGCTGGCTTGCTTGGTATGGCCATTTGGGTGGGTGAACTCAACCGAACTCAGCCGAGCTGACACGTGGCCCTTTATCTCTTCGCGGCCAACTGAGCTCGCAGTTCATTCTTTCGCTCTCCCAACCGCGGCCGCACCAGAACAAGAACAAGAACAAGAACCAGGAGAAAGCTCTCTTATGCTGCTATTGGCAGTTGGTCCATAGATATGGAGCTTGCAGGCGAGACACAAGGGGGCCAGGATTTCGTCATTAATCTGCAACCACGATTTTATGGCTTCTGTACGTGGCCCTTGCAGCTGCTGCAACTCCCATGCGCCCTCCTAAGAAAATCTCTTTTGTCTTTAATTACAGATGACAACGTGGCCCAGTTCGAATCCTCCTACACAGAAGAGCAGGTAATCAAACTCTTGATTTTTAATCAATTATAAAATCAATTCATATTTGATTTTTTAATTAATAATTTATTCTGGCCAGCTGTTGCAGAGAGCGAGGCGGCTGAAGAACCAGCAACGGCGTCGGGTGCGACGGCTTCTTCTGGCGCTCATCGGCACGCTCGGCACTTCCTTTGGTGGTGGTTTGGTTGTCGTTTCTGTGTCTCACTTCCATGTGCGTGCGCGTACAGCGGTGACGGTGAGCGTGGTGGTCATGATCATTGTATATTCCATTATCGCCACATCACGGTACATCGAGAACGAGAGCGGTCGTTGCTCGCAGTATGCACGCGCACGCCCCTGGATCTGACCTTCTTCATATATCCAACACACACAGAGATTACTATGGCGGAGTGCCGCACAGACGCAATTGGTGGTGGAGCTTCTTCAGGCGAAAGCTGAGCGAAAGCGACAAACGACCACACGAAGGTAGTTCAGCTCAGCTCCAACGGCCTGGCAGGCGTTGTTGAGGCTGACGTCCCTCGTATCTCCGACCAGAGACGGGTGGCGGGTCGCAGCGCGCCATCGCACAGAAGCACGAGCCGGCGGGAGGAGGGGAGGACGACGCGGGGCTGGGCAAGACGTGGCTTCGGACGTGCGACAACTCCAAGCAAGGGCGAACCTACGTCACCGACGAGCGTGGTACTTATACGCTACTGCTGCCTGTCTATCGTTTGTCACCGACATCAAGACTCACGCCATGCGGCTGGTGTGATGCTATGCAGGCTATGTGTGCCGGTGGGATCAGATGTACTCTGGAGCGGGGTATGGCTGCTGTTGGGAGTCAGATCGCACGAATATCTCGCGCTACTCCTGCCAACAGTGCGACATCAAGTGCGTGGCTTTCTCCATATGGTTCTGCTTTCCTTTGGCCTTGGTTGACTGGCCCTGTCCGATGGATGGCGACAGGACTACGTGTTGCTTGGAGTACGAGTTTTGTGTATCGTGTTGCCTCAACCCAAGCCAAGAGCAGCGCGTTGCCAGTTGGCTACAGCTCAACATTGAAGGTACAACACGTTCCAATTGTGATTGTCCTCTTCTCATGTCTGGATTCACCTTCACCAGACTCCCGCGAGCGAGAGGAGATGGCGCCTCTTTCTCTATTCGAGCAGTGCCTCGCCCTGTGCCGCACGTCATCAGCCTCGATTCTGCGACAGCACATCTTCATCTCGCCCTCTCACTTCTGCTATGCTGGTGTACCATCATAGCTTCATCCACCTTCATGTGATGATGTACAACAGAATCCAAGGCTGGTGTATGTACAAAAGGGTGTATCTAAAAGTGTTCCACATGCCAGAGAGTATGTACAAAAGTCTTCGCCACCTTCGAGCTTCCTCCTCCTCCTACCTTGCACTCTACAGCTGTACCGCTTGCTCCTCTTCATGTTACATTCGAGGCGGCCTCCTTGATGGTTGAGAGAGAGCTTGAGAGCTTTCACGCGTCCTTCTTGTCGCGGGAGACGTCGCCGTTGTTGGGGTGAGCTGCAATCATCTTGAGCGGGACGGCGATGGCCCGAGCTGATGAAGCCGGCGACGCAGGCGAGCGAGACGGCGACGCGACGGCACGCATGACGCCCCGTTTGGCGGCGATCCACGAGTGGTAGACGGCAGCGGAGACGAAGACGCCGGTGGTGCCGACGACGAACACGGGCGTGGCGACCGCGGAGCCGCCGATGACGCCGCCGAGGATGATGTACTTGACGGCCGTCACCAGCATCGTCGGTTGGATCGACACGGCAAAGGCCGTCGTCACGCCCACGACGCCCGCCACCAGCGGCCGCTCGCACAGTCTGTAGAAGGAATCCATAGCTGCCCTGGCCCCCATCATGAACCCGAAGGCGAAGCTCGTTCCCGTGGCGGCTAGAACGACTGCGTCGGGGGAGAAGAGACTGGTAAGAGTTGGATGGAGCTACGTATGAACATGAGATGGATATGAATCCTTTGTGATTTGAAGGATTGGATGTACCTCCGAGCTTGGATCCAACGTTGAATGAGGGCCAGTTCTCAAAAAAACCCGTCCTGCGGGCTACTTGAGAATCGACGATCGCCAACTGCATATCGGCCGGCGTCGAGTTGACGGTCGGGGCGGCCTGGCTCTTGGGCGCGGGTGAGTCGCCGTCGATTAGAACCCACGAGTCGCCATCCTCATCCACGAACGCCTTCTCGCCGTCGACAACGATTTCGTGCGGCTGCTGCCCCTCGTCACCGAGCAAGCCCTTCATCCGCTGCTCCCATTCCAGCCGCTTGGCCTCTCGGATCTGTCGCACCTGATCCTCCCAGTTCGAAAGGAACATCGAGAACACCAGCGAGTTTTCGGCTTCGTTGGGCTCTGCGTTCTCCTCCTCTTCGCTCTCTTCTTCTTCCTCTTCGCCTTCTTCCTCGTCGAGGTGGGGTGAAGTTGCTGCTCCAGCATTGACGTCGCCAGGAGTCTTCGTCGACAGAAGAACCTTTTGTTGGGATGATGCGTCGATGGGTGGCTCGGAGGAGCCAGGAATGGACTCCTCATCTTCGCCCTTGGTCTCCCCGATGATGGCCCAGTCCTCAAATTGATATTGATCGCTCTCGTCGATAAACTTGAGGATCTCGGGCATCTGCTCGTCCGTGATGCGAACGAACTGCTTGTTATCGAAGTGCTGCACGTCCTCGGGCTTCACCTCGTGAATCATCGTCTCAATGTCGTCTTCATACATCGGCTCGATCATGGAGTCCATGTCGCCCGAAATCTCGACCGACCACGGCTCGTGCTCCGCCATATTTCCTCCTTCTCTCAGATCGTTCGCGCTTGTTGTTTGCCTTCGTACTCGTTAGATGTGGAGGGATTGAATCGTTTGTAATTGTTGTGCGGCGTGTTGTGGTCTTCGGCAGAAAGGCCAGGGCGGTTGTACTGTGGGTTCAGCAAATTTCCAAGCCGTATTTCGCACCTCTTCGTGTCCGAATGTTTGCCAGATTTTGAACTATGCAAAGAATGCGCCAAAATTGCCGTTTATTTCTATTTTAGATTGTCGCCGTCAAGATCACCCCAGCGAGATGAACAAGGAGCAGAGCAACGATGAGGTGGGCACCTCTGTGGGTACGCGTCGACGCCCATGGGTTTTTTTTTGGTGCGTGGTGATGGCTCAGGTGCTTGCCGGGGGGGGGGAAACAAACAGCCTTTGAGCTGAGCACCGAGCCGGATGCGCCTAAGGACGCTTCGCCAGCCGTTGCTGCCGTGTGGGAGCTCTACGCGCGTGTGTGGGACGCCGTCATGCACAGTGACCCCATCTCAGCCACTATGTACGTTTGGCGCCCCGACATATTTCACCGCGTGGTGTGCCCCCTCACGCGCCTGCTCGCGGCACACACAGCGTCGGCGATCACCGGTTCAACGACAAGCTGCAGGACTTGTCCAAGGCCGGCTACGAGGCCCACGCCCAGGCCGTCGCCAACTTCCGGAAGCAGTTGGAGGCCATCAGCCTCGACGACATTCCGCTGGAGAAGGGTGAGTGATGCGTTCGTCGCGCAGAGCGTGCGCGCGCGTGTATGTGATATGGTAAGCTGACACCACCGCCTCCCACACACAAGACCAGCAAAACTACCTCTTCCTGCAGAAGTTCCTTCAGTTCGAGCAGATGAAGCTCGACAGCTTCCATCGCTTCGAATTGCCCACTTCGCATTTGTTCGGCCCGCATATCATGTTCCCGCAGCTCTCCACGTTTCACCCCACCGCGTACGTCATCCTCCATGCAGACGCGCTTGTAACAACAAAACCAATGCGCCGTTGAAGCTCACGCGACCAACGCTATGTGCGCGCGCACGATCAGTTCGAAGGCCGACTTTGAGAGCCTCATCAAGCGTATCAAGGCATTCCCGCAGCAGGCCGATCAGATGATCGACGGCTTCCGCGAGGGCATCCGCGCCAAGATCACCCACCCCGCCACGTCCGTCGCCACCCTCATCAAGCAGTGCGAGAACCAGATCAAGGCCTCGCCGCAGGTACAGCCCCGGTTCGTCGTGTGCGTGCATGCGTGCTTGCTCACTCTCTGGTCGCTGTAGGAGAGTCCGCTGTACGGCCCGATCGCAAAGGCCAAGAAGGCTGAGCCGGCCGTGCTCTCGGCCGATGACCTGGCGCAGCTGGAAGCCGAGGTGGTCGCATCGATCGAATCGCTGGTCTTCCCCGCCTACGCCAAGCTTAAGTCCTTCCTCGAGTCCGAGTACCTGCCCGAGGCACGCCAGGAGGCCGGCATCTGGGCCTGGCCCGAAGGCGAGAAGATCTATGATCTCACCATCCACTTCTTCACTTCGCTGCCCCTAACTGGTGCGTCTCTCTGCGCCGCTCGCCTATTACTTCGCCCGCCTGACATGTTGGAATGTTTGGAATGTGGTGTATGTCTTGTGCGCCGGTGTGTGCTCACACAACAGCGGAGAAGGTGCACGGCCTGGGTCTGGAGGACGTGGCGCGCATCAAGCGCGAGATGGAGGCCATCAAGGAGAAGGTGGGCTCGCCCAAGGAGGAGGACCTCAAGACCTTCATGGAGAAGATCAAAGCCGATCCCCGCTTCTACTACGCCACCGGTACCCTCTTCCTTCTGGTTCTCCTGCTTGTTCTCCCTCTTCACCTCCTCCTTCTCATCAACTTGCCGCTATTTCTGCCCAGGCGAGGAAATCGTGCAGGAGTACAAGAGGATGCTGAAGGAAGCGGAAGCCAAGCTGCCCCAATATTTCGGCATTCTGCCCAAGGCCGCGTACGATGTCAGGTACCTGTGCACCATAAGATAAGCAGACCCATGGCGTCGTCTGTGTTGTGGGCTGTTCCGACTGTCGCTGATCTGCGGTGCTGTTGTTGTTGTGCAGAGCGATCGAGCCCTTCAGGGAGCAGAACTCGCCCCCCGCCCACTACTACCCTCCGCCGGCTCCCGTTCCGGTACGCAAAACGAAACCAACCCCCCTCCTCTCCACAATAGAGAAATTAGTAAGCTCGTGGTGGTGACGTTTGCTGACGTCAGCGACGCGCGCGTGTGGTGCATAGGGTTCCACCGCGCCGGTGCGGCCGGGTATCTTCTACGCGAACACGTATAAGCCCGAGACGCGTCCCAACTACGTCATGGAGTCCATCGCGCTTCACGAAGGCGTTCCCGGGTGCGCATGGGGTTTCCTCCCCCCATTGGGGGGGGGGCATTGCTCCAATCAGGAGAACTGGTCCTGATAGCTCGCTCCCTCCCCTCTCTGGCGTAGGCACCACCTGCAAATCGCGGTCGCTCAGGAGCTCGACGGGCTGCCGCGGGCCAGGAAACAGCCGGCCGACTTCACCACCGGCTACATCGAAGGCTGGGGCCTCTACACCGAGAAGCTGGTATCAATGCCCGCCGCACTCTTTGTTGTTTTTCAAGCGGCCTTGCTGGATACCCAAGACGATGACTCACACCGCTCGCGCGCCTGCCAACAGGGCCTCGAGATGGGCTTCTACCAGGACCCGTACAGCGACTTTGGTCGCCTCACCACCGAGATGATGCGTGCCGTGCGTCTGGTCGTCGACACTGGTAACAATACCTTATCACCATTGGCTACTGACATAACAATGATCGATCCAATTCGTTGGCATTGGCTGATCGACGTTGCTTGATTGGTTGGTGGACTGTTTTTATTGACCCACACACACAGGGCTGCACGCGTTCAAGTGGACAAGGAGCCAGGCCATCGAGTACTTTGCCGACCACTCGGCCATGGGCATGACCGACATCGAGGCGGAGGTGGACCGCTACATGGTGTTCCCGGGCCAGGCCCTGTCCTACAAGGTCGGCGAGAAGACCATCCTCCGCATGCGCGCTACGGCGCAGGAGAAGCTGGGCCAGGCCTTCGACATCCGGGCCTTCCACGACGAGACCCTCAAGCACGGCTCCCTCCCGCTCGAGACCTACGAACGCAACATCCTCCGCTGGATCGACGCCCGCCTCGCCGTCAACTAAACCTCGATGTGCGCCACACGCTTCTTACTCTTTGAAATAGGGTACGAGTGCTTGACAACCATCCGTTGTATTAGGAAATTGATATAAATGCCCAATCGTGAGATAACAAGACCACTCCGGGCCAATCCGGGCTTCCAATGTGATGCATACCTGGTAGCCCCGCGGAGCGATCGGGTTTGTGCACCACACAGCGGTCTGGCCCTGGTCGTCCACGCCCAACAGCCGGCCTACAACCTGACCGACGCCCCGCCCGCGCCAGTCTACGCCACCCAGTACGAAGCCCGCGTGGCCGCGGCCCGCAGTCGGCCTGGAGCGGCGTAGATCCCCGGGCCGACACGGGCGATCGGGTGCCGGACTACTCGCAAGCGGGCACGGCGGCGGCGGCGTGCCGCTCCCGCTCGACGGCTACGGCGCGCCGGTGGTGCAGCTAAGCCCCGGCGGTGACGACCTCCCGCATTACCGAGGCCGTGGCCAACATCAGCAAGCTGCCAGGCGCGGCTTCCGCGGGGTGCTCCAGCTGTCGGCGGCACCTTCAATCTCACCGGTGGCACCTACACCAGCGGCCTCATCACCCGCGGCGCCGGGTCGTCGCTGAGCCCGGTCCCGTTCTGCTAAGCGTGGATACTACCCTGTCGGGGGCAGCACCAGCTACAAGGTGCTCTCGGACCCCGTGGCCCTCACCACGCGCATGGCGGTCGGGGCCTACAGCCTGACCGTGGCCAACTCCACCGGGTTCGCCGTGGGCGTGCTAGTGCGGCTCAACGCCACGGCCGAATGGCTGGCCAGCATCCAGGCAACATCGGCGAGCGACCCGCTCAACCAGGCGCTGGACATCCACCGCACCATCGTCGCGGTCAAGGCGCCTAAGATCACCCTCGATGCGCCCACCTACGCGCCGGTCCCGGTCGGCACGGGCCACTTGATCAAGATCGACGCCTCGACCATGACCCGCCACATCGGCTTCGTGGGCCTGCACGCCATCAAAGTGGCGGGCAACCCCAACGACGGCCACTTCCTGGAGGTGCACGGTGGGGTGGAGGACTTCTTCATGAAGGACGTGGGCGACAAGCAACCCTGCCTCCAGCCTCCGCTCGCACTACTCTATTTTAATAATATTTTACGTCTATTTACACCGTAAATTTGTTAACCGCGGGAATGCAGGCGTGCGCGTCTGCTCAGGCCATGGAGAGATCGCTTGTGTTGCCGATGAGGGCGTCGAGCAGGGCGATGACCTCCTCCACGGCCGGTCGCTTGTCCGGCGCCATGTGCCAGCAGCGCTTGATCATCTTCTTGAAGTCCTGCGGCGTGTCGGGCGGGATCTGCGGGCGGCGGCCCTCGAGCACGTCGAGCGACACGCTCATGAAGTTGCGCCCGGCGAAGGGCTGCTTGCGCGTCAGCACCTCCCACATGATCACCCCGAACGAGAACACGTCGGCCCGCTCGTCGTACTTCTCCCCGCGAATGACCTCCGGCGCTGTCCAGCAGGGCGTGCCGCAGCGGGTCATGGTCACGTTCTCCTCCTTGATGCGCGCGAACCCGAAGTCGGCCACCTTCACGTTCCAGTTCTCGTCCACCAGCAGGTTCGACGGCTTCAGGTCGCGGTGCACGATCACCGGGTGGAGCGAGTGCAGGTAGTTGATCCCGAGCGCGGCCGACCGCAGCAGCCGCAGCTTCTGCTGCCACGGGAGCTTGATGGCGTTGGTGGCCAGGATCTCCTTGAGCGAGCCCTGCTTGACGAACTCGGTCACGATGCACAAGTTGGGCCGCTTGACGCAGGCGCCGATGAAGAGCACGATGTTGGGGTGGTGCAGCTCCGACAGGAAGGCCATCTCCGCGCGGAACTCGAGCATGCGCCGCTCGTCCAGCTTCTGCTTGATGAACCGCTTCACCGCCACCTCGATGCCCTTCCACTTGCCCTTGTACACCATGCCGTACGATCCCATGCCGATCTGCTTGCCCATCGCGATCTCGTTGTAGTCGAGCACCCAGCGGCACAGGTTGGCCGACGTGAGGAAGTTATCCTCCTGGAACATCATGCCCTCGCCCACGGCCGTCTGCGCGGCGCCGCTGCTGCCCGACCCGCCGTCGGCGGCCGACGACGACGACGAGGCCACCGACGCGCCGCTGAGCTCGCGGGCAAGTTTGTCGTGCCGCCTGGGTCCCTTCAGCGAGTTGAAGTCGTTCTCCTTCGACACGCCGCCGAAGAACCGTGCCTCGAGACCCCTCGTCTTCAACTCGTAGAGCTTCGCACCTGGACGTCAACATGGTGAGTGTGCGTGTGCGTGTGCGTGTGCGGTGGTGCATGTGCGTGTGCGGTGAGGTACCTTCTTGGTCGCTCTCGAGCATCTCGAACTTGCCGAGGCAGATAAGGCGGTTCTTCTCTTGGGCCAGCTCGGAGCTCTGCATGCGCTGGGCGGCGTGGTGCGAGATGAGGACCTGACCGCCGTGCGTGATGGCCGTGATGCGCGCGGCGGTGTTGACCACCGGCCCGATAAACTCCACACGGCGGGTCATCGGATCGCGCACCACCTTGGGTATGCCCACATGCACGCCCATGCGCACGCGCGGCCCGCGGAACAGCACGCGGTCGTCGGTGTCGCCCCACTCCTCGGCCGCGCCCGGGTGCTCGAGCAGGCCCGGGGGCCAGTCGAGCTCGACTAGCGCCCGCTGGCTCGCCATGCACCAGTTCAGCGCGTCCTCGGTGCGCTGGAACGCGAGGCAGAACGAGCCCTCGCCGCTGTTGCGGTCGCGAATGAACACCACCTCGTATCCGCCGTGCTGCTTGAGCAGCGCGCGCAGGATCTCGTTGTGCATCATGGTGGCGTCCTTCATGGCCGCCGGGTTGAACTCCCAGAGCGAGGCGGCGCGCGTGATGTCCGAAAAGACGATCGTCACCTCGCCCTCGGGCGCCCGCACGCCGCCGCCGGCTGTGCCCTCGTGCGCCGCCAGCCACTTGGCCGAGTGGTCGCGCGACCGCTCGCTGCCGCTCGACGAGTTCGACGCCGACGAGCCCGACGGCAGATTCCACGACCCGTCACCGGCGGCCTTTGCAATGGACGGACCTGATGACGACGACGAGGACTTGGAGGTGAAGGAGGTGTTGCTGCTCGAGTCGCCCACCATGGAGCTGAGGCGGGTCATGATCTCGAGGAAGGTGGGGCGGATGGTCGGGTCGGGGTGCCAGCAGCTCACCAGCAGCTCGCGGTACTCGGGCGACAGGTCCTCGTCCTGGTGGTCGGGCAGGGCGGGCCGCAGGTTGTCGCGAATCACCGCCACCGCCACAGCTGCCGGGCTGTAGGCCCAGAAAGGGGCAGTGTGAGCTGCCGCATACGCACACACGACACGACACACACGACATGCGCAGACACAACTGGGCGGACCTCATGCCGGCGAATGGCTGCTCGCGAGTGACGAGCTCCCACAGGATGATGCCGAAGGAGTAGACGTCGGCGAGCACGAGATCAACGTCGGGGTTCTCGTTGAGCACCTCGGGCGCGGTCCAGTGGATTGAACCCTGCAGCGCCGCGGACTGGCCCATCTCCTTCATCTCCTCGCGGAACTTGGTCAATCCAAAGTCGCTCACCTGGTCCCCGCACACGCACACACCCACCGCACGCGAAGGTGAGCGTTGATGAAGGAGTTTGAAGCATGTTTGGCGGGAAGCGGGACTACCTTGACGTTCCACTTGGAGTCGAGAAGGAGGTTGAGGGACTTGAGGTCGCGGTGCACAATGCCCGACGAGTGCAGAAAGTGCATGCCCTTGGCCGCCTGGTACGCCATCTTCGCCTTCAACGCGTTGGGCAGCTCTGGCACAAGTTCGTTGTGCAGCAACTGCACCACCACCGCCACCAAGTTGAGTGAGAATGAACGTTGAGAGAAATGTCTGTGTACGTAGTAAGTACCTCGTAGAGGCTGCCCAGGCCCATGAACTCCATGACGATGCACAGCTTGGGCGGCTTGGTCGAGGCCGCCATGAACAACACCACATTGGGATGCCTCAACGCCGTCATCACCCGCACCTGCACGTGACATGCCAAGCACGCGTGTGTGAGTGTCAAAGAATGCCAGCTGTGGCCAACTTGGGTGGGTGGACCAGGCGGGAGGGAACGGACCTCTTCGGCAAAGTTGCGCTGCATGTCTTTGGTGATGCGGCCGTCGCGGGCGACCATCATCTTGACGGCGACCTCGGTGCCGCGCCACTTGGCCCGGAATACCTCGCCGTAGCCGCCCGTGCCGAGGGTCTCGGCCATCTCGAGCTCGTCGGTGTTGATCTCCCACTCGTCGCGGGTCTGGCGCCGCTTGGCCATCACCACGAGCGCGATCGCCACGACGACGATCAGGAGCACCACGAGCGCAGCCGCGGGGATGATCGAGGCGAGCGTGGCCACCATGACCGTGTCGTCCGATGCCGTCGTCTTCAGGGTGCTGACGTTGGTCTGGCAGTGGTCGCCGGTCCAGCCCTCCCCGCACTCGCACCGCTTCTCGTAGCACACGCCGCGGTCCGAGCACAGCGTGCCCTCGGCCGAAACGCAGTCGGCGATCGCGCTCACCTTCTCGCCGTTGCACGTCACGTTCGCCAACGCGAGCAGTATGCGCTGGCTGAGACCCGGCACCGTCGCGGCTTGCGCGATTCCGTTCCTGTTGGCGGTACGCAGGGCTTGGGACGATGACTGCGTCCACCAGATCCAGTCGACCACAGCCGCGGCCTTGATGCAATCGGTGGCACGGGTGGGCACCATGAACAAATCATAGAGCGTCACCGGGTAGCTTTGTTCTCCGCTTCCTGCACCAGCACCAAACGCGAGCGTGAGTGTGAGTGTGACACTACACACGATGACAGATGGAGTGGGGGTGGTGATCGGGTGTCGAACCATAGAGCGCGCCCTGGAAGAGGTGCTGGTCGGAGGTATCGGTGAAGTCCAGCATGGCCGATTGCACGGTGTAGTTCGAGGCTGTGACGTAGTTGCCGGCCGAGTTGAGCAGCGCCGCCATGCGCACGCTCTTGGTGGTGGCGATCGTCCCACTGGAGAGGGCCGACAGCGCGTAGGTGACCGTGTTCAGGCGCGAGGCGATGGTCGACTCCGCGCCAGCGATGCTGATCGTCCGGTTGGCGATCGACTGGACGGGGTAGTTGGGCTGGTCCACCACGCCGACCTGTTGGCCGTGTTTCGTGTCAACATCAGATACCTACACGCACAGGTGCGAAAGCAAGGGCCAACGTACGGTCGAGTTGAAGCTGGCGCTGGCGCTGGAGAGCGCGGTGGTGACAGCGCGGGTGAGCAGCGAGGGATCGGTGCCCACGACGACGGTGATCGGGCGGTTTGTCAGGAGGCCTGCGAACTGGGGGTTGATGGCGACGATGCGCGGGTCGTTCCACACGTTCACCTCGTTCATGTAGATGGCGGCCCACAGCTCGAGCGTCAGGTTGAGTGGCGTAATGACGAAGCGAAGCTCGGGTATCTGTTGTCGATAGACCCAAAGATGAGCAGAGCGCGATGCGTGTCTTGTGTGTGTGTGTGGTGTGTGTGGTGTGTGTTGTGTGTGTGTGTGTGTGTGTGTTGTGCGGGAAACGCACGTTGTAGCAGGGGAACGCCGCGTAGCCAAGTACAGGAATGATGGTGACGCCCTCCACGTGGACCTGCTCGAGCGTAGCGCCGGTCGTCACCGCTGCAAAGTCGATCGCTCCTGCACCGATTCGATCTGTCAGACCGAGCTGCGCTCCAGGCCATGACTGTTACCCGTGTACCTTGGGAAATGTCGCGGACAACTGTCGGCACGTCGCTGGCGAAGTACTTCTGCGTGAAGGTGTTGGAGTTGTAGTTGCTCGCCAAGTCGACCAGGGCCGGTCTCGATATGCCCTCGCCGATGACGTAGGCCGTGGTGAGGGCCTGCTCGTCGTCGCACTTGATGGTGCCTAGGACGTCGATGACCTTCTTCTTGTAGGCCACCGAAAGCGGGACCCAGCCCTGGGCCGCTGCGCGATCCACCGCGCGCTGGTTGATCTGCAGCCAGCTGAGGAACTGCACCAGCTCCTGCGTGATCGAGCAGTCCGCCGAGTCGCCTACGGCGCTCACCACGACAGTGGCCACGTAGCTCAGCGGCCACGACCCTTGGCCCTCCCCGTCGAAGGTGGGAATCAACAGACCACCTGCGCGCGAGAGTTAACTGCGGTTCTGGGGTTCGCGGCATACACGTTGTGGGGTGGTGGGTGGAGAGACCTGTACCGTCCTGCAGCGCCTCCTGAAAGTCCTCCAGCGCCACTTGAATGCTGTTAACGTTGGGCAGCACCGTCGCGCCGGCCTTGTTGATCATCCGGGCCATTCCCACCCTCAGCGCGGTGGCCGTCGCCAGATCTGAGTAGGTAAGGCTGTACGGAGTATTCTGCAATGCAGAACGATCGAACGCGTGTCAGTACTCAGGCAAAGACTACCGTAATAATGAAATCATTACTAAACCGCCGAGGGCTCACCTGAACGAAGCGAATTCGGGTGGTGCTGTTGGTGGCGGAGAAGCCTCGGCCCTGGTCGAACGGCGGCAGACCGGAGAAGTCGTCGGCCAGGTCGAGTTGCTCGGCGAAGAGGGGGCTCAGGGCGCGCATTCCACGCTTGAAGGTCTGCGTGATGGTCTCGTTGTCGGACGACCCGTAGCACAGCACGATCGGCTCGTGGGGTAAGACGGTGCCGTCGTCGAACGGGTTGAGGCGGAGGATGGCCGGGTCGTCCCAGTGCGTAATGTTGCCGGTCCAGATTCGACCCAACGTCTCCCCATCGAATATCTGCATTTTTTGACGCTCAAGTCAATCCAAGACTGACAACACACACTAACACGAACACAGAAGACATGCACGACACACGATGGGCGTGCGGAAGAGCGGAGGAAGCGTACCAAGGGGGAGGCGAGGGTGATGTTGGGCAGGTTGTAGGTGTGGATGAGGCCCGAGGCGTAGAGGGGCACCTGGAGCAGGCTCGAGTCGATGTAGGAGGAGTCTGCCAGACTGTCCAGCGCCGCGAAGTTGCTGTAGGCCACCTGGAGGGCGAAGATTACGATCTGGAAGTTGTCCGTTCCTGTGTAGGCCGCCGTCACCGTGTCCCGATGGTACTATTCCCCTCCCCCCACCGTAGTGAGTGGCTTTCGAACTTGGCTTCAGAAGCAGACGACGAAGATGGTGTGAGAGAGGACTCCGTACGGTGTAGCTGCTGCCCAGGTGACCAGTGCGCTGTAGAGCGAGTACTCGCCGACGCCGTAGAGCGAGACATTGGCCTCGACACGGTGTTCTGGTATCCAAAGTTGGAATATGTAAAAGGGCCTTCCCCCAAAATGATACTTGCCAAGCACGGGTGCCAAAGAAGAGAGAAGCGAACCATGCAAGGTGAAGGCCAGGAAGGCTGAGATGAAGAGTAGGGCGAGCGCGGGCCTGAGGAAGCGCATGGTGACTGCGCGAGTGGCCGTCGCGAAGTGTCTGGCGTTCAGGCGGTGGGTGGATGCGGAGAGCGAGTTGCGCCTTTGAGCGTGTGGTGGGTGAAGGTGTGAAGAAGACCAGGGCAATCGCGGCAATTTAAACCTGTCGTGTGGCAGAGGAGGCAACCCGAGGCGACGCCCGCCCCGACTAAAGTCGGAGAACAGCGATCTCCCATCTCTGTTTCTTCACTCCGCTCCGCAACGGGTGGTCACCAGTGTGCTGACTCCTGGTGGCTGGCGTCCTTCCCGGCTTGATCTCAGCTCGGTGGTCAAGTACGTCGGCACGACACCAAGAGCTCCAGCCTCCCTATTGGTGTGTTTCCTGCTTGCGCTATAAGCGCTGGTGAAACGGTGCATGTCAACCTTCCAAGTGGTTGTTACGTTGCAACATCACGAATCAACCCGCCACGCTCCCCGAACAATGGCCCGAGCGAATGGCTCAAAATACGTATAATTGGCAACAAAAAAAGGAAATGTGTCAATGTGCAATGGAACAGTGGCATAGTAACACATAATAACACATAAAAGGTAAAATTGCACTTCGCCAATAAAAGAGAAAGGACCGAGAAAGACTGAAAGAAGCGACCAACCATGCGTTTCATTGCAAGAACAAGCGAGAGCGGTACCTGGCGCTAGGCCACCCCAGAACCATTCGGCCATTTTCTTCGCAGCACCGACAAAGGAGCGTACGGGTGAGCTGGTCGCAAGGGAGAAGCTGGTTGGTGGGGAGGAAATCGAGTTACCGGGGGAGGTACCGGGTACCAGCTCAGCGATCCATCACAAGGGCGAGGGACGGGGTGAGGGCAAAGCAGAGCGACCCGGCCGCTCTTTTATTACATGCAACGATGATCAAACAAAAGAGGAACCACCAACAGGCGCGCTGCTGGGACTCGAAAGGGCGAGAAAGCGTAGCTGTGGCCTTAGGTGCGGTCGAAGCTCTGCCTGAAGTTGGAGTCACCCTCGACGGTCTCGCGCTGGTAGAGCACCATCGCGAAGATGAACTTGCCCGCCTGCAACAAAAACAAAAGAGAAGAGAGACGAGGCCATACGCAATGCAACTCGTTAATTGTTTGCTTTTCCTTTGCAATATGTTGTGAAAAAGAAATTTAGGAGCTCAGTGTTGACGAAGTATCATCAAGTAAGTCAGCCCGAAGTGATACTATTTGTTTTGACATCAACGCACACTACCACGCTCAGAGGGAAGGGGCAACGTACAAGAACGAACATGTAGAAGAAGGTGGAGACGAACACGGTCTTGAATCCGTTACACATGTCCTTGGCATCACCGCTGAGGTCGCCGCAGTCGGAATAGCTATTTTACACACGCGTGAAAGCCAGAGGTGAGCCAAGCGCGGCAGGGGCTCTGGCTCGGTGGCTACGGCACGTACGTGAACTGCTGGGTGGTCTGGCCCATCACAAAGCTGAGGGGAATGATGAACAGGATGATGAAGAAGATGGTCTGCGCAAGAGAGAAGAGAGATTAGAAATAAAAAGTTCCTTGAAAAGAGGTATTACGAAAATGATCTGGGCTTGGGGGGGAGCAAGTACGGCGAGGTGGGCGACCCTCTTGGCGAGGGACCACGGGACGAGGGCGGACACGACGGTGGTGGCCATGATGGTCAGGGACATGAAGAGGCCCCAGACGAAGTAGTACACGAAGGGCTGCGACGGATCCGCCCCGCCGGCTTCCTTGCTCTCCAGCTGCTTGCTCGCGCCCCTACGCACATAAAGTTAGCCTCATGTGATAAATTTGTGGCTCCAATCTGCCCACAAATGCTCAAAAGTAATTCTGGCTGCATTCGTTTTTGTATAAAAATTAAAACGAAAATCGCTGTACGAACCAGCCGGAGATCCAGAGGATGAAGCAAAGGGCGTGGGCCGCCATTAGGACGCCGGCAGCGATAATCACCTTGAAGTCGAAAGCCATTGCAATATTTCGATTTCGATTTGTCGGGGAGAATGGTGGAACAACCGGCGAGGCGAAGACCAAGAAAAAGAGTTTGTCGCCAAAAAAATTAAGGGAAATTAAGGGGGACTACCAGGCCATTGGGCGACTTATCTTCAGTGAACCCCAAAGAAGACGCCACGCAATTTTTGCCCTTATGTTGTGAGATTCCCAAGCGCTTGCCAAAGAGGAGGAAAGGGTGGACAACGTTTAACCCCGTATGTAAAACAATTGTACACTTGATAATTTATCTTTACAAGGGGTGATTCATTGCATCCCAGCACGCAGCCCCTCCAATTCAGCACAGTGAGTGCCCAGAGTCTCTTCCTTCTTGTCCCAGCAGCCACTGTGCTTCCCTTTTTTGAGCTTAGTTGGCGGTAAGGATAAAAGCAGCAGATAAGGAATACCTATCATCACACAGTGAGTAGAACTCCGAACGACGTCCAAGCAAAAAGGAGGGAGTGATGCTATGGTAAACGAGGAAGGCCGACACCGGCACCGGTATCCTTCTCACCTCGAGCGAGTACACCTTTTTTCGCGTGTGCGAAACTGGCGGGGCTTCCCTGGTTGGTGGAGCGTACCGCCATCGCCCCGTAACAAACACCCTCGCGGAAAGAGCTGGTGCCCACAACCGAACAGACAGACACAACAAGAACCAACAACACCAGGAGACGCAACAGAACCAACAACACCATGGCGAAAGCTGTATGCTGGCTAGCGCTCACTTGTGTTCTCCTGTTTATCACTGGCCATGAAGGTTTTTACCTCCGCCATCACGTACCTAACTTTTCAGGCAGCGAAGAAATGCTCACTCTTCCCTTGCCCCACGCGCAGGATTGCGGCTCGCCGGCCACGGGTCGGACGGGCCATCGGACCTGTTGAAGGAGTGGGCCAAGACGTACCTCTATGTGCGCGACGACGTCAGGTTTCTCCTTCTTCCCTTTAATTTAGTTGCTGCCTACGTATTGCAGCTCACGGTTGGCTCTCGTGTCGTCACATGGCAGCATCCAGTACCAGTCCACCATCGTGACAAGGGCTTTGGCCGACTATCAGCGCGGCACCGCCGTACGCCACTATCCCTACCCCGACATTCTCGATCGTTATCGTTTTTTTTTGTTTCTTTTTTCCCCTTTATCTGTCTCTTTTAACGGTAAACCCCAAAGAACTTCCTGGCCAACGACCGCGCCGATGAAGTGGACTTCGGGCACTTGGTCCAGTTTCCACTGTTCGCCCAGCCGATGGTGGTCAGCTACTACGTGCCGGGGTTCAGCTACATCGGCCCCACCCTGGTCTCCGATTCCCTTCCCTTTTTTATGTCTGATTTTCACAACATTTTCTGATGGCCGCATTATGACGTAGGTCCTCGACGGCGAGACGCTGGGGCTCATCTGGGCCGGGGAGATCACCCAATGGAACGACTCGCGCATCCAGGCCCTCAATACGCCCGTCACACTGCCCAACTCGACCATCCTGCTGGGCTACAACGAAAACAATCGCCTGTCCTTCGCGCAGGTGTTCAAGGAGGCCTTGTCGCGCTTCAGTCCCACGTTTCGCGAGGCCCTGGCGGCGGCTAACGGCTCCTTCGACGGACTGCCGCCTGCCCTGGCCGGCAACGCTTTCGAGGTGGGCGAGGAGCCCAATCAGCGTATGGACTGGCTCTCGAACACGCCCAACGCCATGACTTTTGCGCGCAAGGACGAAGCCGACAGATACGGCCTGCGCTACTTCTACATGATCAACAAGGCCGGGAACCTCGTGGAGCCGAGCGTGGATACATTGAAGGCCGCGATCTCCAGCTTTGCGAGCAACATAAGCGCTGGCCAGCTGTCCATCGACATCTCCGATGCGCCCGACGCCAACGCGTGGCCGCTGGCCTACTTGAACTACATCGCCTTTAACCGGTCCACCACTGATCTGGACTGTAGCACCGTCCAGGAGCTGCTGCGCTTCATCGCCTGGACCCTCGTGAACGAAGAGTACGTCGTCTCGTTTTAGTTCCTAATATGTAGTATACATCTATAGAAAAGATTGATAACATGACGTTCCATCGACGCAGAGCGTCTAACGTCATCGAAGAGACTTACTGGTGGACGTCAATCGACCCGAGCCTCCGCAAGAGAGTGCTGGATCTCTTCGGCCAGGTGCAGTGTAACAACGAATTGGCCGCCGAGACGTTGTACCTCATCGGCACGGGGCCGAACACGCCCATCTGGGCGACCTGGTCGGTTGAGTACTCGACGACGGAGGCCAGCTTCAAGTACTTCGCGTCGAGCTCGCAGCAGTCCAAGCAGCAGCTGGCCACCTTCGACGCCGACTTCGGCACGACGAACAACGGGTTGAAGCAAGAGGACGACCGGAGCAAGCGCAGCTCCGACGACGTCACCCTCCTGCCTGCCAATGCCTATGCGCTCGTGCCCGGTACGCCGCCCTTGTGACGCTCACACCTGGCGCTGAGGTGCAGCATCGCTCATCTCCGCGTTGTTGTCTGGCTAGTCTATTTTATACCTGGCCTGACCGGACTGGTCCTTGACTTTGCCACCATCGCCGGGATCTACATGGGGTTCGCTTGCTGCTCTGTGTGTCGTGTCACGTCGTGAGTGTCGTGTGTGCGGCGTACATGAAAAGATCGCCCGAGGATGCTGACATGTGTGTGGAGCAGGGAAGTGGTAATGTGGAACGACCCGAGGATCGTGGCACAAAACACGCCCGAGGTGGTAGCCATGCTGCCGGCAGAGGCCATTCGCGTTATAATTCCGACCGCTTCGTCGGATGTCACGCTCCAGTTCACGACATTGCTCAACGCCACCGTGCCCGCGTTCGCCGATGCCGTGGGCGCCGGTTCCGTGGTCGACTTTCCAGTGGCGTCCAGCCGCGACACGGTGGTCGTCGACAACCAGGAAAGCATCCCCAACGCACTGGTCCTCTCAATCTACGGTTTCACCTTCCTCGAGCAGCCGGAGGCCCAGCTGGTACGTGCAGCGCCTCTTGACCATCATGACATGACGTGGTGCCAGGCCTGACCCACGTGGTGGCGGATGGGGAGCGCAGTTGCTGGATATGGGCCAGGCCAGTTTGCGCAAGCTGGACGGCTCTGTGGTGAAGCCCAGCCTTGCCACGGTCCAGTCCGCCGTGGCGGGCTACCTCGCAGCCGAACCCAACCCGACCTTCTCGAGCATCTTACTCAGCACGTCTCCCAGTCTTCCGCGCCTGCCACCATCATCACCGCCAGAGAGCAGAGTTCTGTGGCGACCACCAGCTTGCCTGCGATGTATCCTGATTGTTTTGTGGTGTGGTACTCGACAGGCACAGGGAATGAGAGCTGGCCGCTGGTGACCTTCGGGTCGATCATCTACCATAGCAGCGCAATGGAGCACTGCGACAAGGCGCAGGCCCTGGCCTCGTGGCTCTACTGGACCCAGACCAACATTCGAGCCAGCAGAGCCGCCCAGAAGTTCGTTCAATTCACCGCCCCGCGCCGGAGAGATATCGATGCTAATCATGACGATGATCATTTCACCAAACCCAGGCAAGGCTTCCTGGTCGCGTCGGAAGCTGATCCGTCGCTCCGGCGCCGCATGTTCAACCAGATGAAGGCCTTCACGTGCGGCGGCGCGCATATGAGCGCGCTCGCCGGCTGCATCAACGACGGGGACGTGTGCTCCGGCGGGCAGGGCACCTGCATCGAAGGCGGGTGCGTGTGCAACAGCGGGTGGACAGGCGAGTTCTGCGAGCGGGCGATCGACACGAGATCGTCCGACACCACGGTCACCATCGTCCTTGGTTCGATTCCCTCCCCACGCTCCAGAGGCGTTGGGGACGCTGGCTTGGTAATGAGTGCCGTACTGACTGCCGTACCACGCCTACTGCAGCGGTGGTAATTCCCTTGGCCGTGCTCCTCCTGATCGTGGGCGCCTGTGTGGTGGTGGCGATCCTCTTGACCCGGAGAATGAACCGCCGACACGACGACTGGGAAATCGACTTCGACGAGCTCGAGGTCGGCGAGCTGCTGGGCTCGGGTACACCTCCTCCTGCATCTCTTCTACTTTAGCCGCTGGATTGGCATTCTCACGTCCCAATTGTGTCAACTGCGCGCGGTTTGTGGTTGCAGGCGGGTACGGAGAGGTGCGCAAGGCCATGTGGAAGGGCACCGAAGTGGCAGTCAAGGTCATCGCCGCCGAAAAGATCACGAAGGAGATGGCGTCGGGCTTCCAAGACGAAGTGCGCCTCCCCTATCCGAATATGAAGAATGATTCACAATAGTGGCGCAATGATTGATAACTGATCGAACTGCGATTTGATCTCACAGGTGCGGGTGATGACGGCGTTGCGGCACCCGAACGTGGTGCTGTTCATGGCGGCCTGTACCAAGGCACCCAAGATGTGCATCGTCATGGAGCTCATGGCCCTCGGCTCGCTCTATGACGTGCGTCTGCCTGCCCATCGACTCACACATGGCGCATGCCCATGCTGACCTCTCTTTTGGCCACTTCAGTTGCTCCACAACGAGCTGGTCCCAGACATTCCGTTTGTGCTGAAGGGCAAGATGGCGTACCAGGCGGCCAAGGGCATGCACTTCCTGCACTCGTCGGGCATCGTGCACCGCGACCTCAAGTCCCTCAATCTCCTCCTTGACGCCAAGTGGAACGTCAAGGTGCAACCCTCTTGCTTCGCTCTTCGCTCTTCGCTCTTCTCTGCTTCGCTTTCGCTCTTTGCTCTGCTGTCCAATGCCACGACGTCAGCAACAACATTCCGCCCATGGCCTGAACAGGTGTCGGACTTTGGGTTGACCAAGCTGAAGGAGGACGTGGGTCGGGGAGCCAACAAGGACGCCCGCGGCACGCTCCACTGGACCGCGCCCGAGGTGCTCAACGAATCCGAGGCCGTCGATTGGATCCTGGCCGACGTCTACTCCTTTGGTATCATCCTGTGGGAGCTCATCACCCGCGAGCAGCCCTACCTGGGCCTCAGGCACGCAATCCCATTCATTTTATTATTGTTCATTATTATTGAAAAAAGCTTGCTTATTTATTAACAATATTTCATGAGCGCAGCCCGGCGGCGGTGGCGGTGGCGGTCATCCGCGATGGCATCCGACCGCCGCTGCCGGACGAGGACGAGAACACGTGCCCGGCCGACTACCGAATGCTGATCAGCAGCTGCTGGCACTCGGACCCGGTGATCCGCCCGACATTCCTCGAGATCATGACTCGCCTGTCCGCCATGCCCGGTGACTCGTCGTCGCGCCTGGGCTCCTCGAGTATGCACTCGAGCAGCTCGAGCGAGTCCTACAAGAGCGCGGCGCTGTCGTTGGCCGACAACGACGGCGGCTCGTCGTCATCGTCGGGCTCTCGGGGCTCGGCGCACCTGGCGGCCGTGACCGCCCCAACCGCCGTGCGCCCGCCCGAGGGCGAGGTGGCCATCGTCTTCACCGACATCACCCGCGCAGCCTCGCTCTGGGTCCACGACGCGGCGGCCATGCGCGACGCCACGATCGTGCACAACGCCACCCTGCGCGCGGCGCTGGCCCGACACCGCGGCTACGAGGCCCTGTTCCTGCGCGACCGCAACAGCGGCGCGGGCTCGTTCTGTATGGCCTTCTCACGCGCCGCCGACGCGCTGGCCTGGTGCCGCGATGTCCAGGTGGCCCTGCTCAAGGCCGACTGGCCCGAGGCGCTGCTCGAGCACCCCGGCGCCGCGGAGGAGTTGGGCGACGCCGACGACAGCCGGGTGCTGTACCGCGGGCTGCGGGTGCGCATGGGCATTCACTTTGGCGAGGTCACGCTCGTGCGCGATCCGACGACGCGGCGGGTCGAGTACATCGGACCGGTCATCAACACCGCCGCGCGCATCACCGCAATGACCCACGGAGGCCAGATCGTGCTGAGCCACGCAGCCTTCCAGGAGCTTTCCAGCAGCGCCGATGGTGCTGCGTCGGAGCAGGCTCGGTCCTTGGTGTGCCTGGGCCGGTTCGAGATGGCCGACGCGTCGCACGATGGTACCCCCTATGGCGCCCACACTCTTGCCTTTGCCAATCAAGCTGCTCACGGGCGCTATCACACATCACACTTTCGTCGTCTGTGCGCAGAGTCAAAGCTGTACGAGGCCAGGGTCGAGGGCCTGGAGGGGCGCTTCTTCGGCGGTGTGACGTCGGACGGCGGCGCAAGCAGCAGCACTGGCGACGGCAGCAGCAACGGAGGGAACGGCAGCAGCAGCAGCAGCGGCGGTGGGCATGGTCATGGTCATCATCGACTGATGCAGACAGGCGTGGGCGAGGGCCTGCACTTCGCCGAAGACGCCTTCCTCACCTCGGCCAACTTGTGCCGGTGGATCATCGACTACAACGAGATCCGCATAGGCGTGCAGGTGGGCCTCGGCTCCTACGGCGTGGTCTACCGCGGCACGTGGAAGGGCGTCGACGTGGCGGTGAAGCAGTTCATCAAGCAGAAGCTGGACGAGCGGCGCATGCTCGAGTTCCGCGCCGAGATGGCCATGCTCTCGGAGCTGCACCACCCCAACATCGTGCTCTTCATCGGCGCCTGCGTCAAGTCGCCCAACCTGTGCATCGTGACCGAGTTCATGACGCAGGGCAGCCTGCGGGACCTGCTCGCCAACCCGACGGTCAAGCTGACGTGGCGTCAGAAGATGCGGATGCTGCGGGGCGCGGCGCTGGGTATCAACTACCTCCACTCGCTGCACCCGGTGATCGTGCACCGCGACCTCAAGCCGGCCAACCTGCTGGTCGACGAGGGCGGCAACGTGAAGGTGGCCGACTTCGGGTTCGCGCGCATCAAGGAGGAGAATGCGACCATGACCCGCTGCGGCACGCCCTGCTGGACGGCGCCGGAGGTCATTCGCGGGGAGAAGTACGACGAGCGGGCCGACGTGTTCTCGTTCGGGGTGATCATGTGGGAGGTGCTCACGCGCAAGCAGCCCTTCGCCGGGCGCAACTTCATGGGCGTCTCGCTCGGCGTGCTCGAGGGCCAGCGCCCGGCCATCCCCGGCGACTGCCCGGCCGAGTTCCGCAAGCTGATGAAGAAGTGCTGGCACGCCAAGGCCGACAAGCGGCCGACCATGGACGTCGTACTCGCCTACCTCGACCGGGAGGCCACCGGCAACTCCGACCCTGCCGTGTAACTTTGATTACCAAAACGCCAACAAAGAGAATCTATGCGCATTCGGCGCTTTACTGCGGTGGTGGTGGTAGTAGTAGAATACAAAGGGCTGGAGAGTGAATAGCGACTTAGACCATCTCTTCAGCCTTGGGGTTGTCGAGCCATTCCTCGATCGTCTTGCACAGCTCATCGGCCGCGGGGCGCTTGTGGGGCTTGCGGTGCCAGCAGCGGCTCATGAGCGCCGCGTAGGACTTGGGAATGTTCGAGGGCACAGCCGGGCGCTTGCCCTCGAGCACCTCGAGGCTGATCTTGGCAAAGTTCTCCCCGGCGAACGGCATCTTCCGCGTCGCCACCTCCCACATGAGAATCGAAAGACTGCACATCCGTCAGAACTAAGACATGACGCGTGTCGTGCGGGTGTGTGTGAGGTGTGTGTGGTGTGTGTGCGTGCGTGCGTGTGTGTATAGTATGTATGTGTGTGGAGTTGGAAAGCACCTGTAGATGTCGGCCTTTTCGGTGTAGTGCTCACGTCGCACGACCTCGGGGGCGATCCAGGCGGGCGTCCCGCACTTGGTCATGGTGACGTTCTCCTCCTTGATCCGCGCAAAGCCAAAGTCGGCGATCTTGGCGTTCCAGGACTCGTCGACGAGCACGTTGGACGACTTGAGGTCGCGGTGCATGATCGGCGGCGACTGGGAGTGGAGGTACGACAGGCCCAGCACGATGCCGTGCAGCACCCGGAGCCGCGTGGGCCACGGGAACTTGACCGAGTGGTTGGTCAGCACGTCGCGCAGCGAGCCCTTGGGGATCCACTCGGTGATGATGCACATGTTGGGCGACCGCACGCAGGCGCCGATGAACAGCACCACGTTGGGGTGGCGCAGCTCGGCCATCATCGCGGCCTCCTCGCGGAAGCGCAGCATGGTGTCCTCGTCGAGCCGCTGCTTGATGAACCGCTTGACCGCCACCTCGATGCCCTTCCACCGGGCCTTCGACACAACGCCGTACGAGCCCTGGCCCACATCGACCTTGGTCATCGCCAGCTCCTCGTACGGTATAATCCACCGACACGCGTTCGAGCTGCCGATGTACATGTCCGACATGGGCAACAGGGTGCGCAGCGGTCGGCCGGTGATGTCGGTCGACGAGCCTGATGTGGTGCCGTGGCCCGACGAAGTCGTGGCGTGCCCGCCCACCAACCCGCCGACGCGCTCCTCGAGGCCGCTCACGCGCATCTCGAAGATCTCCACGTCGGTGGACGACCCGCCATTCTTGCCGTTGACCTCCAGCACGCCCAGGCTAACGTAGCGGCCGCTGGGCGGTTTCCCGCTGTCGGCGCTGCTCGCGCCGTCGGTCGCGGCGGTCACTTCGCGCGAGACCAGAACGTGGCCGCCCTCGGCGTGCATGGCGAGCTCGGTGGCGACCTGCACCGCCGGGCCGGAGAACTCGAAGCGGCCCGACTTGGGGTCGCGTACGCGACTGGTGTAGCCCAGGTGGATGCCCATGCGCACCCGCAGGCCGCGGTGGATCACGTGGTCCCGGGGTCCACCGATCTCCTCCTGGGCCAGGTCGTGCTTGATCAGGTCCAGCGGCCAGTCCACCTTGAGCAACTCCCGCTGCACTTCATCGCTCCTGCGCGCCACCAACATTGGTCAGTGATGCTGTGGTGTGCGGTGTGCGGTGTGCGTGTGTGCGGTGTGCGTGTGTGAGTAAGCGCGTTTGTGGGTACCAGCGCACTGCGTCGATGGCTCGGGAGAAGACGACGCAGAAGTAGCCCTCGCCGCCGGCGTGATTCTTGAGGAAGACCGACTCGTAGCCGCGGTGATGAGTCATGAGCTGTCGCACGAGCTGATTGTGCTGCGACATGGCCTGGCGCATGGCCGATGGGTTGGCTTCCCAGAGCGGCGCCGCGTTGGCGATGTCGCTCATCACCACCGTCAGGTGCTCGCCAGCCGGCGGCGATAGAACCGTCTGGTGGGCACCACCGGCAGCGGCGGCCTCCTTTGACGCGCTCGACGAATTGGAGGAGGAATTGAAGCCGGACCGGTGCACGCCGTAGGTGGCCGACGAGCTGCTGGTGCCGGTGCCCGTCACGTCGTAGCCGCCATGCGACAGCATTGTGGCCAGGCTGGACATGACGTCGAGAAAAGGCGGGCGCATGGTAGGGTCCTGGTGCCAGCACTGGGCCATGAGCTGCTCGTAGTCGACGTGGCGCTCCTGGGCGAGATCGACGTCGGGCCGCATGCCGTCGCGGATGACGCCCACGGCCACGGCCGCCGGGGTGAGTCCGCAGTAGGGCTGCTCGCGAGTGAGCAGCTCCCACATGATGATGCCAAAGCTGAACACGTCGGCCTGCATGTAGTCCACGTCCACGCTGTCGCCCAGAACCTCCGGAGCGCTCCAATGAACAGTGCCTGTGAAAATTCGTGTGAGCTGGCATGTGTGCGTGTGCGTGTGGTGTGTGTGTTGTTGTTGGCTTCAAGCAAACTTGTGCTCACCTTCAACTTCATCACCGCCGGCTCGCTTGAGGTCGGCGCGGAACTTGGTCAAGCCGAAGTCGCTGACCTTGAGGTTCCACTTGGCGTCGAGGAGGAGGTTGAGGGACTTGAGGTCGCGGTGCACAATGCCCGACGAGTGTAGGAAGTGCATGCCCTTGGCCGCCTGGTACGCCATCTTGAGGCAGAGCGAGAGAGGAATGGAAGGCACCAGCTCGTTGTGCAACAGCTGCGAATCAAACAAAGGAAGAAAGGTGAGTTCGGCTGGCTGTGAGAGAGAGCTGCAGCGAACGACGGAGAGATTGGTGAAACGTACGTCGTAGAGGGAGCCGAGAGACATGAGCTCCATGACGATGCACATCTGGGGAGGCTTGGTGCAGGCTGCCATGAACAGCACCACGTTGGGATGGCGCAACGCCGTCATCACATGCACCTCCTGCCGTGTCGACGGAAGACTGATGAGATTGGCGGTACCACCCAGGAGTTGCGAGCGTCAGGTGTTGCTGACCTGTTTGAAATTCTCGCAGGCCACCTTGCCCGCCGACTGTGCGCTCATGATCTTCACCGCCACATCCGTGCCCTTCCACACGGCCCGATAGACCTCACCGAACCCACCTGCATGTTGGGTTAAAGGTGAAGAGGAGTGGTCAGACAGCGCTACATGCGCCACACAAACAAGTTTCGGAGTTATACCCGCGCCCAAGAGCGGCCCCATCTCGAGTTCGGTGATGTCGATCTCCCAGGCGTCGTGGCCGGACCGGCCCGCGCGGATGCGGTAAGCCACCACCGCGGCCACTATGCAAAGAGCGATAAGCGCCAGCAGCGGCAGCGTGACGCCCAGCGCGATGCCCAGCGACTCGCTCGTCGATGAACCCGAGTCCGTGGCGTTGACAGTGGCGCACAGTGAACCCTCTGTACCCTCGACCGTGCAGTGACACACGCCCGCCAGACAGTACCCGTTGCCGCTGCATAGGGTCCCATCGCTGGCCGTGCAGGTGAGCCGGCTGGCCGAGGTGGTGGTGATGCGCCCACCCTCGACCGCGGTGATGTTCTGCGCAAAGCCCGCGAAGAGCATCGAATTGAACGAGTAGCCGGTCTGCTCGACGTCGATCGCATTGTCGCGCACCATGCCGTAGTCGTCGCCGCCGATGATGACGAACCACTCGAACGACGACACGGTGTAGAGGGCCTCGGTGTCGAGCAGCTGCCACACGCCGGCCGACACCTCGACCCAGGCGTCCACCACCCGCGAGCCCACCGTCATGTTGGGATTGAAAGTGAACCGAAGGCCACCCACCTGCAGGAACTTGCCCGCGCCGCTGTTGACGTCGAGGTTGGTCGCCGTCGCCAGCGACACGCCGTTCTCGAGCGCCTGCCACACGTACTCGCCCTTGAGCTTGTAGGTGTAGTGCATGGACGTGCCGAAGGGGAACGCGGTCTGCTCCTGGCCCAGGGTGATCGCGCCTTTGCTGATGCCCGCACGCACCGAGCCGCCGTTGTTGAAGGCGATCTGGGTCTTGCCCAGCTGCTTGAAGAGGTCGCCGGTCCAGTCCCCGATCGTGCACTCGGCGAACAGGCAGTTCTGCTGGAAGGCCAGGTCGACCGCCGAGTAGCCGATTACGGACGTGTACTTGGCCTCGATCTGCGCGTACTCATCGATGAGCGCGGTCTGCAGCGTCGGGTCAGGCGCCACGCTGTCGTCCATCAGTACAGTGTCGCCCGAGTAAGCCGTGATCACGCCGTTGTCGTCGAACGTGACATCGAGCACGCCGATCAGCTGGCCGAAGGTACCGCTCGACACGACCAGCACGTTCTGCAGCCACCGGGTCTGGTAGACCATCGGGTAGGGGCCAACCGGACCCATCGACGCCGCGGCGTTGGCCTGAAGCTGCCCGGGGACGATCAGTATGTCGATGCCCGGAACAGCGGCCAGCACCTGCTCGGCAGTGGCGTTGCTGCTCACCGACGCCACGATCTTGTTGACGCCCCGGTTCTGCAGCGAGGCGACGGCCACCAGCAGCGCGTCGGCCTCTTCGGTCGAGTTGAGGCTCTGAGAGTAGGCCACGAGCGAGTTCAGATTCTCGGCGAGCGTGGCGGCGAAGCCCACCTTCTCGTCACCGCCACCGGTGCCGTGGCCCGCGAAGGTCTTGATCGCAAAGGCGGAGATGACGGTGCCGTTGGCCCGGGAGTCATCGGCGAAGCCCTCCAGGTTGCTCACCACGAACTCGACGTCCGACCCGGCGTGCTGCATGAACTCGACCACGTTGGGCACCAGCGCGACAAAGTCGAGGATCTGCCAGTGGACGAAGTCGTAGCCCAGCTGGTCAAAGTACGAAGCGATGAGCGACGGGCCGAATAGGAAGTAAAAGAGCGAAGTCTTGAGCACGTTGCCGGCGTCGATCAGTAGTGAGTTGTTGGGCGCCCGGGCGCGGACGCCGTCGATGACGGTCTTCATCCGCGCCGCGCCTCCGTAGCAGGCGAGGCCCTGGGCGCTCACGTAGGAGGAGGCGTTGACCGGCTTACACGGGTTGGAGTACTGGTCCATCGCCGTGAGAGCCGAGCTCGTGTCCGACGTGTGGACCAGCGTCAGGTTGAATAGCCCCGATACACCTACATCCGCCGCCCCCCCCCCCAATACCAAGGTCAGTCAAATAAAAAGCAGACAGGAATTACAAGCTGGAACGAAGATCAGGTTCCGAGCGAGGTTAGTGGGCGTGGTACCATTGACGAAGAAGCCGCAGATCAGAGTAGAGAACAACACCAGAGGAAGCACGACGGCCAGGGGAGCAGACGGCTTCATGGCGTGGGTGTGTGAGGTGTTGTGGGTGTGTGAGGTGTGAGAATGAACGTTGCGGGGTTGTCGGAGAGCAACAGACGCGATTCCGAGGCCCGCGGGAACATACGTATGTTGACAGATAGATCTCACCAACCAGAAGTATGACCGTTCGATTTACAGTTAACTCGGAAAAACTCGAACTGGGTCACTTGCCCGAAACAGCAGACCAATGGGCGACTGCGCGGTGTGGTCTTGCAACCAACGTAGCAGGGTGATGCGATCCTCAAACCTCTGCAACCAATCACGTCACAGTGGGAATTTACATTTGGTTGTGCCATCGGCCAATATATCTTTTCAAATATTCCGTATTTTCGTAGCTCCCTCTAACTCCGAACACGTTAAGGAAAAAGAGAAGCAACCCCCCTCTCTCGGGCGGGAACAGAGGCGGCGGGGTGTGGGAGCGTACAAGACAGAATAGTGGACCCTCCCTGCTGCTCCACCCGGCTGGTGGACCGGCAAACCGGCAGTCACACGCAGGCCATGAAGCCGTCTGCTCCACCGCGTAAAGCGGCGCAAGAAACTAAAAAGGAGAGCACGCTACGCGAGTGTTTCTCGCTAACTCTCACTGCGTCGTCGCCACACCATGTGAAGAAAGGGAGCCTTTATTGGGGTCGCAACAAACTGGGTTCTGGCTAGATCGCCGAACAACTACAGTTCGCGATCTCACCTCAGTTCCAGGCATACCAGCCGCCGTTGGCAGACTCGGTGCAGCGGGGCGAGGGCGACGAGTTGTCCTCCAGGGCGAGATAGTAGATCAGGTCGTCGAAGACCACGTCGTCGGGACGCAGCACCACCGACACACTGCTGCCGTTGCGGCTGTCGGGCTTGGTGCGGCCCACCTCGCTGGCGTTGAGGTCCTGCGTGACGACGGTGATCTTGATCTTGTTCACGGTGTCGGCGTACCGGCTCTGGTCGACCAGAACAGCGGCCGCGTAGGGGTCCCACAGGCTGTAGGTGTTGAAGACGGAGCCCATCTGGGTCTGCAGGGTGCGCAGCAGCGAGTAGACCCAGGCGGCCTCGCTCGTGTACTGGTTGACGCCGAGGCGGTCAAGATAGGTCTGGTTGACGATCAGCTGGCCCGTGGCGTCGAGCGGCACGAGGACCAGGCTGACGCCGGACGTGGCCACGGCGGCCAGGGCATCGGGGTCGCCGAGCGCGTTGTACTCGGCGTAGGTGTTGGGCACGTTGGTGAAGATGTTGCCGCCGACGTAGACGGCGCCGCCCGAGAAGACCACACGGCCGATGCGGACCTTGGCCCACGGGTGTGCGCTCAGCAGGTCGGCCACGTTGGTGGCCGGACCCAGCGCGAGGATGTCCACCTTGTCGCGGGTCGAGTTGAGCACCTGCACCATGAGGTCCACGGCGCCCGGTGCGTTCGGGTTGTAGTAGCGGCCCGGGCCGGCCTTGGGGAAACAGTGGGCGAGGCCCACGAGGGTGTCTGCCCACTGCCTGCCGCCGGGAGCGTTGGGAATGGTCTTGGCGTAGGTGCAGCCGTAGATGTTGTGCTTGATGTCGTAGAGCGCGTAGCCGCCGCCCCAGGTCACGGGGATGTCGTTGCGGCCCATGAAGGCAAGCATGTTGAAGATGTTGGTGAGGCCGGAGGAGAGCGAGGCCCAGCCGGTGCCGACGACGGTGATGGCCTTGATGTCGATATCGGTCCGCTTGAGCAGCCACAGGATGGCGATCGCATCGTCGGTGTTGGCGTCGGTATCGATGATGACCTGCTTCTTCTTCTGGCTCGAGGTGGCGTCCACGGCGAGGGCGCACACCACCAAGGCCAGCGCGGCCACGATGCAGATGTTGACCTTCATGGTGAGGTCGGCGTAGCAGTACAGAGATGGTGTATGTGAAGTAGTGAGGTGGTGTTGTATGCGTACAGAGTGGTCGGTGATGGAGAGTAAGTTTGGCGTGAGCGCCCATTTATGTGCCGCCCCGTCCCATTCCCAAGGACAACGGGCACGAACGAGCGCACCGTGCGCCCTGCCGTCCGCCCGCAAAGCGCTGGTCTCAAAATGGCTGCCTATCGGAAAGAAGTACAACGACTCATGAGAGATTGGTTGCACGTTGCAGAGTTTGCTAAAAATCGGCCGAAACGAATCGGCGGGGTGCGGGTAGGGGGGCTGGCGCTCACAGTATGAAGCCGTGGCGCAGGGGGTCGGCCGGGTCGAGTAGGAATTCGCTGCGGCCGGTGACGAACGCTGTAGGAAGCGCCGTGAACCCTAGCGTCAGAGAGAAGGCTTGAGAAGGGCTCTATGGGTGGGGTTCGTACCGGTGCCGGAGACGATGGGTATGATGGCTTCATGCGGGCCGAAGCGGGTGGTGCTCGCCACGATTCCGGTGAAGCTGGTGCCGATGATGCTTTCGATCACCGCCGGTGCCCCAGGCTGAATCTGATTCCTAGCATGAAGCAGTGCCAGCCGGCCGCTCACGCCAGTCCCTGCGGCCGGGCTTTCAGTGTTGTGCGGCTCGGCGATTTTTTTCTACGTACCGGTGGGGGATCGGTCGATCTCGCCGTCCGCGAAGACACACACGTTGCGGCTGTGGTGTTGCGCGGTGTGGGGCGGGCTCGTGATGATCGTCCCTGCCAGAAGAGGTCAGTTATCGGTCAGCTTGAACCAACGCTTGTTCAAACTTGTTCGTTTACCATAAAGAAAGCCCAGATCCGCTTCGAAAGGGTGGACGAGCTCAACCTGCTTGATGGCCGCGTGCTTGATGACCACCCCAATTTGCTTCAATTTGTCGCACTCCTGCCGTACTCACACGCCGCATTGAGTATCGCAGATGCCCACCAACCGGAACAAACTCCACTCCAACCCCGCACCTGAGGTACGATAGAGGTTGGAGGCAGGCCCAGCTCGTCTGTGCCGACGTACGCGTAGAAGGCACCACCAAAGCCGATGTCCACCTTCACCGTGTCCTTGCCTGAGACGGTGCGGTCAGCCCACACGGCCGTTGCCGGGGGAAGGGGCATGCTTCCTACCTAGCAGTGGTACGAAGGACGAGGACTTGAGCGGGACGTCCAGCTTATAGGCGAACGAGGGCACGTTGGCGAAGCTTACGCGCTCCACCGTGCGACCGTCCTGTAGGGCCGAGACTCAGCTGATGAGTTTTTGCCGCTGTGCTGCGCTGGCGTGTGAGCGAGAAGAAGCTCACCTGGGCAAAGTGCGCTTGCGCGGTCACGAGGCCCGCGGGAGTGTCGATCCTGAGCTCGGCGCGGTTGTTGGCCGCATCGCTGTCAGCGGGGAAGCCAGACTCCACCAGCAGCTTGGTCATGGCAATGATGCCGTGCCCACACATCTGTCACGTGCGCGGCGCCAACTTGGTCAGTCATCGGCGCCTCAAAAACGCAACAACGATGCGAGTCATGCACACGTGCTCAACTTACCGAACTGTAGCCCTCGTTGTGGAGGAACAGAACGCCCACGTGAGCGGTGGGCGAGTGCGGCGCGAAGAGCAAGCACCCGTACATATCCCTGCACTGGACTGGTTAGCCAAGCGAATTGAAGCACAACGAAGTGAGCGAGAAGAGCAGTTGTATACCGGTGGCCGCGGGGCTCCCACATGAGGGCGGTGCGAAGGTGGTCGCAGTGCCGCTGCATGTAGCGGCGACGGGCCAGCATGTCGCCTTCGAGGTCGGGAGGCACCTCCCGCTCCATGCCGCCCACCACCACCCTCAGAGGCTCGCCCTCCGTATGCATATCCACCACACGCACCACACCAGGCTCGGTCGTAGAGGCTGCTGCAGCTTCGCCAGTATTGCGCCCCCACCACCTTCTGCCTGCCCCCGCCTCCAGCCCCTTCAGCCCCGCCAGCGCCACCGAAGCTCGCGAGGCGTCTGGCGCGGCTGCGCCACTGAACAAGCGACGCCCCACCACCTTTGAACAGCCCACCCGCCCTGTCGTGGTCTGGCGCACCAGCATAGTGAGTCAAACTATACAAAATAAACGAAAAAGAAATATAAAAGAAAATATAATATATAAAATAAAAAGTTCTTTCTATTTTTTTCTTCCCGAGCGGCTCAACAGAACATGTGGACGAGCTTGGGCGAGGAGAGCATGAAGCTGGCGCGCTCATCCCCCACGATGGCCTGCAGCTGGTAGACGTCGAACTTGGAGTACAGCACAGTGCACGAGGTGTCCACCACGTCCGACAGGCCGTTCAGGATCTCCGGGTAGAAGTGGCCGTACTGTACCAGCACAGCGACAGGATCACCGGTCAGCAAAACGGGTCTATCAATAATGAGTCATGGACAACGATGTACCTGGGGAAGGCCATAGAAGACGACGTTCTTGGCGCCCTTGATCTTGTATCGCCGGAAGAAGTGGAATCGCTCGGTGAAGAGCATGAAGTCTCGCCGTCCCGTGGCGAAGAAACTTCGGCCTCGCGCCACCTCATTGCCGGGAGTGTACCTATTGAGAGGAAGAGCGAAGCGGTCAGGCGATTGGTGGACTGGTACCAATCGAATAAATGAAATAAGAGTGGAGAAGAAGAAGGCAGAGTTACTCGCAGCAGAGGCAGAACGAGGGATCGTCGGCGTCCTCCTTCATGAAGTTCCTCACGCGCACGTAGTCAAAATAGGAAGGAAAGAAGATGAAGACATGCTTCGACACGGAGGCCTTGAGCTGCGGGTAGATCTGTTGTGTGCAACATGGATCGTGAGATTGTTTGTTTTGACAGTGGCGACTACGGGGAGACCTGAGTTACCTTCTGAGTGAAGTACTTGAATCGGGCATCGTCGACAGCCTCGATGTCGTTGCAGTCGAGCTTGTGGAACACCTGCTGCACCTTGAGCACGACCCGAGAGATGCTACCAGGCTCTTTTCGCGCCACCTTCACCGTCCCGCGCATGTCTAGACAGCGTAATACACAGGTCAGCAATCTGCCTGCCATAGGATGACGGTGCTGGACGGAACAGTACTGTGACAGTTGCGGTTCATCAGCGCGTGGAGCTCCACCGTCTGCACCGACGAAAACACGAGCGTCTGCCTGAAATACTTGCCACTAGAAACGATGTCACGACAGAGGAAGAGAATAAGGGCCTTCGTCAGGATGTCTCGGCACAGCAAGCAGAACGAATAGAAGTGGTGTACCAGGTGTTGAGCGCCCAGCTTCGGATGCGGGAGAAGTCGCAGTCGTGTGCTTGCTTGGGTTTGAGGTTGAAGTGCTCGAACAACAGGCCCACGTGGTCCCAGTTCTGCATCTGGAACACGTCGGCCTGATCGGCGATCACCAGCTCCAGCGAAGACAGGAAGTCGTAGTCGCGCTTCTTATCACTGTGGAGGAGAGAAGTGAGGCGCTCGTTCGTTATACCTTGCATAGTGTTCAAGAGCTAAGATGTACCCTGGCGCTCCCACGAGCATCCTAAGGCCAAGCGGCGAGGCGATGATGATGTCCGAGTTGTAGAACTCGGCAAAGAGCTTGATTGTCTTCTTGGTGAGGCTGACACCGAATCGGAAGCAGTCGTCAATGTTGCCCGAAAACGTGTCCAGATAGTCCTCTGTCGTGTTCGTGTTCGCGTTAGACAGCGAACGGAAAAGAGAGAGTGTCAAAAGTGGAAAGAGTACGTGGGCGGTTCGGGTTGATCGTCTCCTCCTCCACGCCGTAGTCGCTGAAGAACCGATTCTTGTTTGCCACGCGCTCCTGGAGTTCACATCAACAACAGTCAGCGGTCGGTTTTAAAAAATATAAAGTAGCTCAAGTGGTCGCAGGATCGAAACGCCTCAACCAAGGCACGCACCTGCTGCAGCTTCGGGGCCAGCTGAAGAATGAGCTTGACCACTTCCAAGGCCGTGTTGCGGAAGGGGACCAGAATTAGGATCTTGGGTCTCACGAAGCCCTGATCCCTCAAATCCCTGCAAAACCCAGAATAAAAGCAAAGATGAGTGAGTGAGATAGAAGAAAACTGAGTACGTTCGAGGAACGCGCGTACAGTAGTGCTTTCTTCTCTTCGGCAGTGGCGTTGAGCTTGGCACTGTTCTTCAGGATGGTGTCGCGCGTTCTGTCCGAGCAACACGACGTTCAGTATCAAGACAAAATTTCGTGCGAACGCCAACTAACACCCCTTTGAGTGCGTACTTGAGGAGGTGGTTGATGGCATGGAGCACATAGAGCGAACGGATCTCAGCCGCGTTTTGTCCGGTGCGCCCCGTAAAGAGTAGGTCCTTGTACTCGTTCATGGCCGGGAAGAGCCCCTCCTGCAGGTCTGTGAACACTCTGGTCTTCTTCTTGGCTGCACGGCACACGAATAGGAATGGATGAACGGTGAGCAAGCTGCAGCTGGCACGCACATTACACCACCTTCAAAAGAAACATCCAGAGTGCGTGCACGCGCTGGTACGCACCAAAGACCTGTTCCCACTGATCGGACAGACGCTTCTTCATCTTGAAGCGAGTGACAAGGGAGGTGGCAGGACGAGAGGAAACGGAAGTCGGCAGACGCGAGCCCGCTACCGGAGGGAAGACGGCCGACGAGGGTTCCACAGCGTCGGCGCTCTGTGCCTAGTACACGTGCAGTACAAAGATCGATCAGTCATCAAGAGGTATGCGGCAGTAGTGCCGAAGAGAGAGTGACGGTGATCAGATGATGGTACGTACCTCTTCACTCTCCTTGGTGGGAGGCAGACGCGTACGCACGACACCCAGCACTTCGTCATCGTGTGTGTTCCATTTGGTGGCGGCGAGCAGCGCTGCCACCTCCTCGCCGGTTTCGATCTGCGTTGTGTGTTTGTTGTCAGGGTCACGTAGAGCCTATCAGTACCAGTGCCTGGTCCAGTCCAGGCTCCACAAGGAACAAGCCGCGACGTACCTCGGTGGCAAATGAGTGGAAGGGATCACCGCGCTGCTCCTCTTCAACGCCGAGCGCGGTGAGGTCCTCCTCCTGCACTGTGGCGTTGTCGGTTTCCTCGGGCTCCTCGGCTTCCTCGGCTTCGTTTTCCTCTGCTTCCTCATCACCTTCGGCCGCAGCTTGCTCGTCGCGGCCCTCTTCTTCACCGTTGCTGCCCTCCTCGGCACCGTCTTCCTCTTCCTCCGCCTTCTCTTCTACCTTCTTGGGCGCCTTCTTGCTCTTCTGCTGCTGCTGTTGCTGTTGCTGTTGCTTCAGCTTCTGCTTCTGCAGGGCCTTGGCCTGGGCGGCCGCTTGCTCCTGCTGCTTGAGTGCCTCCTGCTGCTGGCGGCGCTTGGCGGCCAGGGTGGCCTCCCTGCGCCGCTTGACCTGGTCGCTGAGGGTGTTGCCGAAGGACCAGAGCAGCCGCTCGTAGGAGGTCATCTCCTCTTCCTCTTCGCCTCCATCTTCATCTTCATTTTGTGCAGAATCGCGATTTTGTTGCGGCTCGGCTCGCCGGGCTCGGGCGGCAGCGGCCTCCTCACGTCGCACGGCATCGGTGACGTCACGAATACGATCGGACACCAGCTCCTCCACCTCGCCGCCCTCGGCACTCAGCTTGGTCGCGTAGCGGTGAGCCGCCATTCCGCTCTCCTTCTTCCGCCTCTTGTTCGATCCACCTCCGCCACCGCCTCCTCGCTTACCACCTCCGCCTCCGCCACGCCTCTTCATCTTGCAAGACAGATCTTGTCCGTTCGATTGCAGAACGAAATGGATGAAAACAAGATAAACAACAAAAAAAGAAGAATAAAATAAAGAAAAGGCGAATTCTCCGTTTCTTCTGTATTTCTTTGATCACCTCAATCTCGAGATTGCCCGGAGGAGGACAGATTGACCCATCTACGAGATACGAAGGAGAGAAGAAAGAGGGCGCCATGTCTAAGAACAGCAAGGTGGTGCGGGCACCCAAGCGACAGCGCGCAGACAATGGCAAAGCGAAGCCCAAGGCCGGCGGAAAGAGAAGGAGCAGCGGTGGTACTCGAGGCGAGAAGGCCTACTGGGACAAGCTTGGGGCTGAATTCGAGGTCAGCTCTGAGGAGGACAAGAATGAGTGGTCCGACTCGGATGAGGAAACGGAGGAGGTGCGCGGGGATGGAGTGAATTACATGAAAATCGCTGGCGATGACGAGAAGCAAGATGAACAGGACACAGCCTCAGCGATTGTGCGACGATGGAAGCAAGCCCAGCAGAAGCAGCAATTCCCGAATCTTGAAGAAGAAGTCAAGGCTGGCGAGAAGAGAAAGATCGAGGCGGTCACTGCTGCAGATGAAGATGAAGATGACGACGATGAACTTCCAGAGACAGATGAATTCGAGAATGTGAACGGAGAGCAGGACGGCGAAGAAGAGGCGAAAGCTGAGGGTGAAGGCCAGGAAGACGATGACGAGGAGGAAATGGAGGCCGAGGAGGTGCCGCGAGTGCGCAAGGGTCCGGGCAGTGTGTCGTTCGCCATGGTGCTGGGCAAGCTCCTCTCACCCGAAGGCGAGGTCGCCCCTCAGGCCGAGGTACTCTCTTTTGCCCAAGTCTCTTTCTCTTTCGTTCTTTGCGCGTGTGCGTGCGGCGATGCGTGTGTTGCGTGTTGCGTTGGTACTCACCACGACTGCTTACTTTGTGTAGGCGGAGGAGAAGGTGCAACCGGTGGCGGACCCCATCTTGAAGAACTTCAAGAAGCGGACAAACAGAAAGCTCCTGGCTGAGAAGCGAAGGAAGCGCGAGGCCCGAGAGCTGGCGCTCAAGAAGAAGCTCCTCAAGGCGCGCGACCATCGCATCCCCACCGTGCTCAGCGAGCCCGGCGAGGTGCGCCTGCGCAAGCTGGCCACCAAGGGCGGTACGGCCACCCACCCGTCCACCCAGCAGGCGACAGCTGTCAGTTCTCTAATCTTCTCTTCCTCCGCGTGCAGTGGTGCAACTCTTCAACGTGGTGCGGAAGCAGCAAAAGGAGATGGCCATGAACGACACGGAAGAACTCGAGAAGAGGAACCCGCTCAAGGGTACACCCACACCCACAACACAAGCAGCACTACAACGTTCGCTGACGATGTATTTCTTCTTCTCACATCGGCGGCGTGCAGCGGAGAAGCTGACGAAGACAAAGTTCCTGGAGCTACTGCAGAAGACGGGTGGAGCCAGGAAGGCCGGGGTCAAGAAGGAGGTCAAGAGCGAGGAGGCCGTCAAGCAGGAGGCCAAGCCGGCGTGGGACGTCCTCTCCGACGACTACATGCTGGGCGCCTCCCTCAAGGACCTGCCCGACGAGGACGCCGACGAGTGAAAGGTTTGATTGCTCGTCTCGTGAGGAGCGTGCGTCGTTTCGTTTTGCAGCCAACACAGTGTGGTGAGTCAAAAGATGGACGCCATTTTAGTGGGGGGGACGATGAGGTGGTACAGAGCGAGGGTGCGCGGCGATGATGGTGGTGCGCGCTCACTGCGACGAGCCCTTGGCGAAGCGGAAGGCCGCCATGGTGACGAACACGCCGACGGTGAGGCCGAGAAGGAAGGCCGGAACCTCGCCGCGCAGAGTAGGCACGGCCTGGAGCTGTTGGACGGTGGGCTGGAAACGTGTGGGGGAGGGCACAATCAGAAGAACGAAACACGAAGTCGTGGTCGGGGGGGGGGGGCAAGAAAGCGAAAGGGGTACCTTCTCGTTGGAGGACGACGAGAACGGGGTGGTGCCCTCCGGGAGGTGAGCCGGGCGCGGGGTGACACCGGCGAGCAGAGGAGACGAGGAAGTCGCAGGGTGGGGGACCGAAGAAGACGACGACGACGACGACGACGCCACCTCGGCTTCATCTTCGGCCTCGGCCTCGGCCTCGGCCTCGGCGGCACGCTTCTTCTTGAGCAGCTTGGCCTTCTCCAGTTCCCTGAGGGCATCGAGGCACATCTGTGGCGAGATCCACACGTCGTTTTCCTGCAGGAGGCGCGGCTTCTCGACCTGGCTCACGCGGGTGTAGAGCTCGTGGATGTCGAGCTTGTCGCCGTCGTCGGGCTGCAGGCTCTCGGCCAGGCCCAGAGGGCTCGTGGGGGTAGGGAGCAGCTTGATCGGCTCCAGATCCGGCTCGGCCTCCAGGTCATCCTCCTCAGCGCTGGTCTCCACCGCGAACGCGCCCATCGCCGCAACCGGCATTGCGCGCTTGGCGACCCTGAGCGTGGCGGCGGTCTTGCGCACGTTGTAGTCCGGCCCGACCCAGCCGGCCATCTTCATGAGCTCCTCCGACACGTCGTTGCCGCGCTCGACAGCGCCCTCCATCCAGTTGGCGCCCCACACCGATCGCTCCGAGCCGCCCCAGTGGATGCGGCCGTAGGGCTGGGTGAAGTACTTGCCGAACTTGGAGAGCACGCCGTTGTTGGTGGGAGCGTAGGTGAAGGTCACGCCGGGGATGGTGGGCTTGGCGGTGTTCCAGTCGTGGAAGATGATCTCCTCGTAGCCCTCGACCAGGTCGTGCTGCTTGGGGAAGAGGTGCTTGAGGAAGTCGATGGTCGATTGCTCGACCTGCTTCGGGCTCATGCCGTCCAGGCGGCGCGAGTCGACAAAGATGCGGACGATGCCGGCCTTGCGCTCGTCCTTCATGCTGCCGTCCACGACGTTGCCCCACACGCCCATCTCATTGACGTGGGTCGCGTAGGGGGGCATGATGAACATGCCTGCATCCATCAACACGACACAGTGTGAGCAACGTTGCTCGATCAAGGAGAGCAAAGAATGGCAAGTACGCACCGCCGCCCTGCTTCTTCCACCAGCGGTTCTTGTAGACGACGAGGATCTGGCGGGAGACGGTAGGGGTGGCCTCCATGGACGAGAAGAGCTGGGCGGCTCCGGGCTCGAGGGCCGGTGTGTAGTTGATGGTGCCGCCGAGGTTGGCCGGCGCCGCGGCCAGGGGCGACGTGGCGACGACCACGTACTGGGCGTTGACGGTGACGCTGCCGGTGTGGTTGTCGTTGACGACCACCTGCACGGGGTAGGGGCCGGCGTTGGCGCCGGCGTTGATGGCCGGCTGGATGATTTGCTCGACGGGCGAGTTGAGCTTGAGGCGGAAGTTCTCGTGGTGGCTCAGGCTCTCAACCAGGGCCTGCGTGAACACGCCCGTGCCGCCCTCCCACCTCAGCACCTTGGGCGGGATCTCAATTCCGTTGCGCGGAATGCCTCGGAATCTGCAAACACACAGGGCACGCGCGTGAGTGTCGTCGTTCCATGTGCGGTGTGTGTGTGCGGTGTGTGAGAAGGAAAGACTTACCGGACGTAAAGAGCGATGGCGCAGACCAGCGCAGAGACTCCGTGAAGGTTGGGGACTGCACATTGCATATTACACCGAACGATGTGAGCCACATGGTGCTCAAGCATCGACAAGAGTGAGCGCGTACAGGTCTCGAGGAGGTAGAAGAACTCGCGGGTGAAGTTGGGGTTGAACTTGTTGAGGATCCAGTGCTTGGAGATCCAATCCTCGAGGCTGATCTTCTCCAGCTCCTTGGCGGTCTTGCACGACCAGTCGATCTTGCCCTCCTTCACGATCTTGGCGCCCTTGTACATGAGCTTGAAGAAGAGCGGGAGGCCCGACGGGTCGAACAGGGCCTTGCTGAACTGGTTGAAGTTGACATCCGAAATCTTCAGGGTCTCCGTCGGCGAGCAGTTGATCTGTCGCGCGCGCGAGAAACAGCCACGCGTTCGAATAGCGCGTGAGTGACCGGAACGAAGCCGGAAGTCAAAGCACAGGAGACACGGTGTTATAACTCCGAGAACAAGCGAAGCGTGGGCTGAGTGGTTGTACCTCCTTCGCCAACTGGAGGGTGTCGTTGTGTTCGAACAGCGCGAAGGTTCCACCTGCGGGGAGTTGAGTTGGTGGTGGTGAGGTGTGGAGTGTGAAGTGGCGCGTGGTGGTAGAGAGAACGTGCGTACCGATGGAGACCTTGGAGTCGTACTTGGCCAGCTCGATGGAGCGGGTGCGGCCGCCGAACCAGTCGACAGCGTCAACGATGAGTACCTTGCGCTCTTTGTTTTCCTGTGGTGGTGGTTGGCGGTGCCAGGGAGCCAAAGTCAGGCCTCGAGGCGCTTGAAGGCAAAAGTTGAGGCGGACCAAAACCAAATAAACACGTGCACAAACGAACGCATGCGCGCGTGCGGGACACAGAAAGGGGCGAAGGAGTGGAAAGATGAAGACAGATGGGGCACAAGGTGAGAGGTAAAATATGCAGATGAACGAACCTGAAGAATGCGGGTGGCGGCGGTGAGGCCCGAGAGACCCGAGCCGACGATGACCACGTCCCAGTTCGAACCCTGCTCCAGCCTGTTCGTGTTTGGTCCAAAGAGTTACGAGGGAAGCAAAATGACAACCAGTCTGGAGTGGGCCTGTTGGGTGAGAGGCGTACGGTGCGGTGTCCATCTTATAGGTCTGCTGTGTTGTGTTTGATGTTGTTGTTTGGTTGGACGACGAAGACGAAGCGAATGTTTTCCTTGGCCCTGTGTCGTTCCTGGCCGTTGCATCCCATCGCTAGGTTGCGGTTTGGATGTCGACGCATAAATCTGAGTGGTCGTATGGTGTCGCCACCTCGCTCCCCGTTGGTTCGCAGGGTGATCCTGTTTATATCATCACCTCCCATACCCGTGGTTCCTATCGAGGCGTCGACGTGTAACTTTGAGGATTATTGCTCTGTGATGGTAATTTTTGGCATATCTTAACATTTTTAGTTCCTAACAAGGGTTCCCGTGGCCCGTGCACAGGAATAAGGTGGCGCGATTGGTCTACGATTCAACCAATCACCGTTTTTGCGTGGAAGTGTGTTCCGCCCAACCTTCTTCTGTGCTTTCATTCTTCTCTTCTTCTCCGCCTGGCCCAACTCCTACAAAAGCTAGGCACCAAGTACCAGTCCACACACCAGCACCCGACCTCAACACACAAGACCTTTCCAAGGGTCCCACAAGACACCAACCTCGCCCTTCAGCCATGGCCGCACGACAAGGCCTCGTCTGGCTGACGGTGCTGCTGCTGCTGGCGCTGGCCATCGCCGCGTCCCTCGCCGCAGACACACCCAACAACGGGGGCAACAAGAAGAATGGCCCTGCCAAGGTACTGTTCTTGTCGCGCCTCCTTCGCCTTCGCCTTCCACTCTCATCTTTCGAGACGAAAGATGAAAAACTAACAGAGACGATAACTCTTCGCTTCTCTCTTGCAGAAGGTGATCGACTTCCTGAAGGGCATGGTCGTGGGCAGCGATGACCTGGCGACCAAGGTCGAAGACCTGCTCGACACCAACAAGTGGGAGACGCTAAGCAAGCAGGCCGGCTCCAAGAAGGACAGCGGCAAGGTCAAGGCCCAGGCCGCCACCGGCGTGCCCAACCCCTTCCCCGACTTTGGTACGCGCACCCTCTACGACTCGAAGAAGACCACGTTGAAGAAGAAGAAGACAAGAGCTGACGTTGGGGGGCTGGCGTGGTGACGCCGATCACCGGTGGCCCGTCTAGGCTGGGAAATCGACCCCAAGTGCTTGGAGTCGAAGGAGTCGTACTACTACCGCTCGTGGGACGGTTCGTGCAACTGGCTGCGCAAGGGTCAGGCCGCGACCGGCGCCCAGGACCAGGCCTATGCCCGCGACTACACCCCGCCCCACTACAAGCCCGGTACCTCTCGTCGCCTTTCTCGCCTTGTCCGTTTGGTGTCTCGTGCTCTCTCGTGTTCGCGGCACATGTGGTTATATTTTTGGTGATGCCACGGTATATTAGCTATATTTTTGGAGCTTGTGTTGCTTCGGTGAAAGTGCACTTTCCTGTTTTGGTCCTGTTGGAAGGCAATATCGGCTCATTTTCGCCATTGGCCCATCGGTGGTTAATTTTTTTCCTTTCATTTTCTTTAGGACTTTTCATTTTTCTGACTGATTCCTTGTGGCACACAGGCACGCTCGGTGAGCCGAGGGACGGACCCAATGTGCGCGAGCTCAGCAACATCTTCTTCAAGAACAGGAAGACCGGCTACTGGGACCACACGCCGTGGCTTCTCGGCTATGTCGAGTTCTTGGTACGGCCCCTTTCTTCTTGTTTTCTAGCGGCACTAGCATTAATCCTGAGAAAACAATTCTAACCCTAATCTTTTTCTAAATAAATAAATAAATAAATAAAACTAATTTAGGTGCACGACCTCATGCTCTCGGACGCTGGCCGTGAGAAGGGCGACCTGATGAACATCGACATCCCGGCGGGCGACCCCGATTTCCCGCCCAAGACCAAGCTTGAGTTCTGGCGCAGCGAGAGGGCGCCGGGCACGGGCGAGAACGGCATCCCGCGCGAGCAGTACAACAGGCGGAGCAACTGGATGGACCTGGAGACCATCTACGGCTCGACCAAGGAGATGAACGCGCTGCTGCGCCAGAAGGACGCGGCGGGCGCGCTCAAGTGCGAGCTGATCCTGGACGACGACTACCTGCCGGTCAACGACGAGCGGTTCAACTTCTCGCTGCCGGGCCGGCCGGGCCAGCAGCGCAACCTGTTCGCCGCGGGCGACCTGCGGGCCAACCAGGACTACCTGCTCATGGTCTACCAGACCCTGTTCGTGCGCGAGCACAACCGCATGTGCGGCGTGCTGCACGGCAAGTACCCCGACTGGAACGTCGAGCAGCGGTTCCAGACGACGCGCATCGTCATGGGCGCCAAGATGAACATGATCGGCGCGGCCTACTTCAAGGCCTACTTCATCGACGTGCCGTGGCCCGACGATCCGACGGCGATCATGCGCAGCTGGACGGGCAAGACCGTGCTCGAGATCAACCCGCTCACCATGTCCTACCCGTGGCAGATGCTGCTCAACCCGAAGACGGGCGACCCCTACTCGCTGCCCAACGAGTTCAGCGTGGGCTACCGCTGGCACGACCTCATCCCGGCGTCGCTGCAGATCTTCGACAAGGAGAACAACCCGACGACGCTGGTCAACCTGGCCGAGACGGCCTTCAACGCCACCAGCTTCAAGCAGACCGGCATCAACAGCGTCGTCGAGGCCATGAGCGTCACCCAGATCCCCGACTTCCACAGCGGCATCCAGGACACCTACCGCAGCATGAAGTTCAACTTCCGCAACCCGGACGAGGGCAACGGCTTCGATCTCGCCGCGTGGGCCATCATGCACGAGCGCGAGCGCGGCCTGCCCACCTTCAACGAGTACATCCGCAAGGTCTACGACGGCGTCGTGCCCTTCAAGCCGCGCGCCACCTTCGAGGAGTTCACCAGCAACGTCTACTTCCAGCAGGAGCTCAAGCGCCTCTACAAGACGCCCGACGACGTCGACCTCTGGGTCGGCCAGGAGCTCGACGAGGAGTGGTGGCCCAACACCCACATCCCGCGCTCCATGCTCATCATCAACTTCTACACCCTCTTCAAGGCCGCCGCCGCCGACCGCTTCGGCATCAACTGGGGCATGTTCTGGTGCATCTCCAACTACAAGCCCTGGAACTGCCCCACCACCAACGTGCTCCAGGACCTCCTCTGGAAGCCCAACCCGCTCCCGCTCTTCCCCAACGCCAAGCTCCCCGACTCCTTCTGGTGGGAGGAACTCGATCTCCAGAACCAAGGCGTACGCCACTCTTCTCACCACCTTGTGTGTTGTGTTGGCGTGTGGTGTGATTTTTCTACGATCGTTTCTCACGCACGCACACACGACACCATAGACCAACTTGTTGCACAGGATGGTGACGCAGAACACGGGCGTCAAGTGCCTGCAGAAGAACCTGTTCTTCGTGGCCAACGCCAAGAGCAACCCGATCGAGTGCTTCTCGACGGGCGACATGCCGAGCCCCGACGACGACAAGTCCTTCCTGCTCGACCCGTTCTTCAAGAACGACGACCTCCACTTCCTGCCCTTCGCCCTGTGGGGCTCCGTGCAGCCCTTCGTCGACTACACCAAGCAGTACGGCGACGTGGTCAAGTTCAAGCTCTCCAACGACGGCAACAACATCCTCCTGTCCAACGCCAACGACCTGGGCAAGATCTTCGAGTCGGACAAGTACTGGCTGCGCAGCCGCATGGACTACTCGGACTTCACCTACGGCCGCATGGTGGGCTACAAGGACGGCACGCCCTTCACCGCCCTCTCCAACAGCCACCCGTCCGAGCTCTACAAGTGGAAGCGTCTCAGGACCATCTTCGACACCCAAATCACCCCGGCCAACATCAACCAACTTCCCACCATCAACGTGTATGTCCTCTCTCTCTCTCTCTGTGTGTGTGTGTGTGTTCGGACGACAGTATCTAATCGCAGATACTGCTCCAACACATAGGTCGGCCAAGAAGCTTCTGGCTACATTCGACCAGCATGTGGGCAAGAAGTACGACGCGGCCGACGATGAGACTGGCGTGGCCCTCGAGCTGGCCTGCTCGCTCGCCTACGGTGACGACTTCTGCCAGCGCGACCCGGCCCGGCTGCAGCAGTTCGTCAAGTACGGCAAGCGGTGGCTCAAGTATTTCCCGGACTTCCTCAAGTACGCGCCGCCGTACAACAACCCGATCCTCGTGCTCGAGGGCAAGACCTCCAAGATCAAGGACGCCATGGACTTCTTCGGCCAATTCAGCCGCGACGCGCTGGCCGAGGTGCGCAAGAGCCCGGCGGGCAAGACCTCGTGGCTGGCCAAGTGGGCGCTCACGCCCACCGAGGACGGCTCGCTGCTCGACGACAAGGAGGTCATCGCCGCCACCTTCGACTCGTTCATGGGCATCCCGCCCACCTTCAGCTTCATCCTGGGCCACGGCATGTACCTGCTCGCCAAGAACCCGACCGTGCTCGAGCGCGCCTACCGCGAGGTGAGCGCCGTGCTCACCACCGCCGCGCGCGACCTCACCATCGCCGACTTCCACCGCATGCCCTACCTGCTCAAGGTGGTCCGCGAGATCTACCGCTACTACCCGCCCGGCGGCCAGATCTACGCCCGCGTCTCGATGGAGGACGACACCCTGCGCGACTGGCAGGTGCCCGCCGGCACCACCTACATGATCCACACCGCCAGCATCCACCAGGACCCGCGCTTCTGGGCCAACCCGACCGAGTTCAACCCCGACCGCTTCGACACGCCCGTGGCCAACAACACGTGGATCCCGTTCGGCGGCGGCAAGAAGGACTGCCCCGGCAAGGACCTCGCCCTCCAGGTCTCCAACGCCTTCTTCGCCCACCTCATCCGCAACTTCAAGTGGACCTACGCCGGCGAGGACCCGCCCGTCATCCGCATGCTCCTCTCCGCCGCGCCCAAGGACCCCTTCCTCTTCAAGCTCCAGCGCCGCTCCGCCAAGGACGAGCTGTAGTTTTGTTATTATCTCCCTCTCCTCCCTATCGGGTCTTTTCTGGCCTCAACCCTAAGAAATAGATAATCATTTTCAACACGAGACGAAGACGAAAGAAGATGAAGGTGAGGAGGTCGTGTGACACGATGGCGGTGGTGTTTGCCAAGAACTCGGATCGTGAGCTTCCGAGACGTGCTGCCTGATGCGGGTGCCTGCGGCCGACCACCCGCCCGACGCCGTCCTGCTCTGCAAAGTCTGCCCCTCCCCCCCTTCGCTTTCGTTCTGTCCCTCGCAAACCCAACCCGATAATTTATCGGTTATTGCGCCATAGTGCGAAGCGTCAGCCGTGTCAGCGCCTCTAAGTGCACTCGCATTGCTTAGGCTGACGCGTTCAACAACCTATGTGTTGTTGATCGAATGTTACGGTGCAGCCCTGTCACATGTGGGGAGATGGGCGTGGACGAGTGCGGGCTGGTCATCGGCAATGAGGTACCTGCCTCGATGCTTTTCTGTCGGGACGAAGCGCTCAGAGTCATTCTCGTCCTCCTAAAGGACCACGGGCAGGTACCTGCTTCTGCGCCCGGCCACAGTGTGCTCCCATCCACATCCACCGACTGAGCGCCGGGGCCTGTACCAATGGAATAACAGTTGGATATTGACACGACTCCGCCACCCTCCTATAGATCCACTCCCGGCCCACGGTCTCCACCACGTGGTGCCTCTGCCCGGTCACATACAAGAAACCTGCCTTTTGCAGGCAAGGAATGGGAACACGCCTGCAGTGACGGTCTCCGGGACATGGCGGCCTCGATGGAGTCCAATCTCGTGGTTGATACAGAGGACAAGGTGCAGAACGAGTCGGAGAAGAGCCGCGCAAAGTTGAACTTCTTCGTCAAGTTCGCGCGAGGTGCGTTCCCTCCCTCACAATTCCAATGATTGTTTGACGATCGTGGTGAACTCTGTCGAGCGGCTTCGGTGCTGCTGCGGCCGAGTTCCACGCAGGGCGCGACGAGCTTGAGTCAACGCTCCTGCGCGAGGTCGAGCACGGCGGTGTTAGCGGGTCGTGTTGTTGGTTGTGTTTTATTTTTTCCCCACGCTCACAGGAAAAGAAGGAAGAGAAGCTTGAGCAGGAGCCAGATCAAGAGGGCGAGCCCAGTGGCGACCCCCAGAGCTACGCCCATCTCCGTGGTGGTGAGCTCTTGCCCTGTCCAGAAGGGATTCGGCATCAGCAACCAAGTAAACTGTAAAGAGAAGAGCGAACAGCAGGAGCGGAAGACGTACAGAGCGCCGAGGCCGTCGACACGTCGGCGTAGTCGGAGGTGGGCACGAGCCCTATGCTGGTGATGCACACGCGCTCGAACGCGTCCACCACCTTGCGCACGCCGTCACCATCGGCGTTGACCTTTGCGCTCAGCTCCCGCAGCCTGTGGCTGTGGTCAGCAACCGCCGAGCCTCGGAGAGTGGTGCGAGACGGGGCGTACCTCTGTGTGGTTTGGGCCGAGGTGGCGCGGTCGATGGCCTGGAGGAGGGCGTCGGCGGTGAGCTGCGTGCGGGCAATGGGCTGCGGCGCGATGCCGATTTCGTGGGCGCGGTTGGCCCAGAACCAGGACACGCGATCGTCAATCGGCACACAGACCAGCGGCACACCGGCTCGAATGGTCGCCGCTGTTCCAAAGACAACCATCAGCACACGCATGTGTCGTGTGTGTCGTGTGTCGTGTGTCGTGTCGCACGTGTGTCGCGCGTGTCTTGTGTGCGGGAGATACCGGTGATGGCGTGACCGCCGTCGATAACGGCGCAGCTGCACTTGGGCAGGATGGAGGCGTAGCTGAGGCGAGACACCACGCACAGCGAGTCTGGGATGGCCCCGGGCGCGTAGATCAGCTCGGCCCACCCGGGGTGCACGTCCACCACGCCGTCGCCGTCTTCCGTCATCGCTGCTGCTGCGTCCGTCGACGTTGGCCCCTCGCCGTCGGCCCCACCGGCCGGCTGTACCTTGGCCGGCCCGTCCTCGTCTCGAATGAAGAGGACCACCTGCCGTCGCGTCTTGTCGGCCAGTCGGGCCGCCACGTCGAGCACCGCCCGAGCGGAGGACTGGCTGTCGACCAGCCCGCCGCAGGCGAAGAAGAGGGGCCGCACTGCGCCCTCCGCCTCAGTGGTGGAGGAGGACTTTAGGAACCGCTCCAGCCGCTGCTCCTCCTCCTTCGCGCTCTCGTCTTCCTTCTTCTCCCACGTCGCCGACTCCACAGCTGTACACCCGTTCCTCCTGTTAACAGTGACCCCCAACACGCCGCACACGCACACACCGCACGCACTTCACACCGCACACGCGCACCTGACGATGACGGGGTGGTGTTGTCCTTGTCGGCGGCGAGCTCGAGGCGCAGGTCGGAGGAGAGGAACGGGGCCGGAGCGGGCTTGTCCGGCAGGAAGAGGAACGCCGGGACCTTGAGCTCGGCCGCCCAGTCGTGCGGCTTGGCGAAGAAGGCCGGGTGGAGCGGGTGCACGACGGGCAGCGTCTGGCGCTTGATCAGCGGCAGCACGCCCAGCGCGTTGGGGATGGGCGGCAGCTTGAGCCGGGCCTCGCGCCACGCGTTGACTGCGTCGCGGGCCGACCGCCACTCGAGGGCGAGGGCCAGCAGGTGGGACCACTTGTTCATCCACCGGCGGTGGGGCAGCGCGAGGCCGCCGGGCAGCAGGGGCAGACGGAGGGCGGCGGGGGCGGAAGTGGGCGAGGACGACGACGACGAGGCGTTGGGGCAGGCGGTGAAGGCCGTGCTAGGGTGGGCGTCGGTGGGCGACACGGGCGCGAAGAAGACCCCCACCCAGCAGATGGCAAATTTCTCCGCCAACCTGCGGCACACACGACACACCACACGCACGGCACACACACACGCACACGTCAGGGTGCGATCGACTTCTTTGTGGGAACGTGGAAGGAGCTGCGGCGGCACACGTACGAGTAGGCGGCGTGGAGGCTCGAGTGTTCGCCGACGATGCAGGTGCGCTGCTGCGTCGCCGTCGAGTCCCTCGTTTGGTCGATCCCCTCGCGCCTGCACACCTCCTCCAGCGCCTCCGCAAACGTCTACACCACCGCACGCACACGCACGCACCGCACGCACCGCACGACACGCGCCAGTAATATATATATATATTATTGCGGACAGTAATAAGATGGAGTGTGCTCGAGCAGCAAAGGTGAAAGGTTGGGGCGTGGGCTGAAGAGTACGAGGAAGGAGCGGGAGGGGGCGAGGGGTGCGGGGTTGAAGGCGGTCCAGCGGAGGCCGTAGTCCTCGACCAGCGCACGAAAGCGGGCGGGGCACGCCACCAGCACCGGCTTGTGGCCTCGCTTCACCAGGCCGCAGCCGAGTGCCACCATTGCGCGCACGCTGCCCAGCGTCCCGTCGGTCACCATCAACGTCCTCATCTTCAACGACCTCGCTTCGTGTTTCTGTTGGTCGACACAAAACAGAAAATAGAAACAGAAAATGAAAGTGAAAAAAGAGAAATAAGAAAAGAAAAGGCGGAAGCGATGAAGATGGCCCCGGGGTGGAGGCGGGCGGCAGCTGGTCCAGCCAAGCTGGGCCATGCTCGAGCGATGGTGTTGCCTCGGGAGCTCCCTGGCACAGATGCGGCGGGAATCTGCACACTCCGGAGAAATGTGCATGCATCCCCTCTTGCCGCCCTACTTCCGCCTGCTCGGGTGCCCCTCCGCCCGCCACGGCATTTGATCTCCACAACTTCTTCTCCATCTCCATCTTTTCGTACTCTTCTTTCCGCGCGCTGCGCCTGCGCGAACACCACAGCAGCACCGCAACCCCGCCGGCGCCCACCCCATCGAGCGTTGTTCACCACAGAAGCGGGCGCCAACGACGTTGGCCAGCAGCAGCAGCAGCAGCACGGCTACTTGACGCTCTCGTTCTATCGGTTCGTGCGGCTGCCTCCGCCCGAAGCAACGGCCAAGGCCGAGCAGGCGGCGCTCGAGGCCGAGGCTGAGCAGATCGCGGCGGGCCGACGGGCCGCGAGGCTGGAGTCGCTGCGGCAGGAGCTGCTGGCCGACTGGCGCGAGGTGGGCGTGGTCGGGCGGGTCTACGTGGCCGAGGAGGGCGTCAACGCGCAGCTCAGCGTGCCGGCCCACCGGCTGGCCGAGTTCCGGGCGACGCTCGCGCGACGGCCCGCCGTGTTCGGTGACACGCAGGAGCTCTACCTCAACTTCACGGGCGACGGGCGGCCCACGGCCCAGGCCGCCTTCCGCAAGCTGCGGGTCAAGGTCCGCTCCCAGATCGTGTCGGCCCAGGACGAGCTCAGCTTTCCGGCCCTGCTCCGCCCCAACGACCGCGACGATGAGTTGGCAGAAGGCTGCGGCCACGACAAAGAAGAAGAGGACGATGAGGGTGATGTGAACGCGACCAGTGGCGCTTCGGCAGCAGGCGGGAAGCCGGGCCGGCACCTCACCGTGGACGAGTGGCACGCGCAGATGCAATCGCCCGACGCCGTGATCGTCGATGTGCGCAACCACTATGAAAGGTTTGGAGCGGGCCGGCTGGATGCCATTGCGTGTGCGTGTGCGTGTGCGGTTGTGTGTCGCGAGTCGCCCCCGGTGCTCACACGTGCGCGCACAGCGAGGTGGGGCGGTTTGAAGGGGCATTGACGCCCAACGTGAGCACCTACAAGGAGAGCTTTTCCCTCATCCGCGAGATGCTGCGAGGCAAGGAGGTTCGTCTTTCCCTCCTCCTTCTCTTGTGCGCACACGCACCACCGCACACGCACGTCACGCATTAATTTGCTGAACCGCGCTGTATGCACACCACCACGCATGCAGGACAAACCGGTTCTGATGTACTGCACGGGTGGCATTCGATGTGAGAAAATGAGCCTCTTCTTGCACGAGCACGGTACTTCATCACCATGCGTGGTGGTGTGCATACAATGTGAACAAATTGATCTGCTGTGATTTGACTCAATTCACTGCGCTGCTGTCGTGACGACAGGGTTCAGCAACGTCAACCAGCTCAAGGGAGGGATCGTGACCTACGCGCGCGAGGTCAAGGAGAGAGGCCTGCAGTCTCGCTTCAAGGGCAAGAACTTTTGCTTCGATGATCGACTCGTACGGCACACAACACAAGACGCGCCTGCCCACGCGCACGCACCCCGGCCGGGGCGGAACAACACTCACCACCAAGCGAGTGGCGCCACTCGCTTCACCAGGGCGAGCCAGTGACCGAGGACATGCTGAGCGTGTGCCACCAGTGCGGGTCTCCCTGCAACGACCACACCAACTGCCGCAACGATGCCTGCTCGCACCTGTTCATCCAGTGTCCGTCCTGCCGAGAAACACACAAGGGTGCGCCGGAGCTTTCAAGCCCATGATTGTGTGAGTGAGCGGCTGATGCATGAATGATGTGGGCCACATGTGGCAGGCACGTGCGGAAGTGAGGAGTGCGCGCACACGACGGTCATGACAGAGGACGAGCTGCGCCACTACCTCAAGCACAAGGGAGCGTCGTCCTTCAAGGAGCGCGTCCAGCGGCGCTTGCCCTTTGCTTTCTCCTTCCCAAAACAAAAAGCCTGACAGCAAAAACCGGAAAAACTGCTCAAGAAGAAAGAGCAAGTTGAGCTCCTTCTCCTGTGGAGAGCATTCCTTGCGTGCAAGTGAACCTTCCCACCGACCCGCCACACAGAGGTGCCACACTGCACAGTGACCCTGCCGGAGGCATGAAGACCAAGTTTTGGAGATCTCCCAGCATTTCCAGCACAAATTCCTTGTCCTGGAAATTCCTGCAAGTCTTGAATATTTCAGGTAAAAAGGAAAAACATGACACAAGAATAAAGGGAGCAATTAATATTGTATTTGTTGATGGAAGAGCGACCAGTTCACGATGGTGGCGGTCCAGTAGTCGATGACGCATCACCACCGGCGGAGGTGGAGGGACTTGACGCGGCCCGTCCTACCGCAGAGGAGGCGGAACGCGACGAAAGCCACCACGGCACGACCACCGCCCCCAGGTCGCGGCAGTGGTGGCCCCCCGCCTCGCTGGGCGATGACCACCCCCAGCCGCCCCCGGCCACCGACCCATCTGACGCCAGCGGCAGCGGCAGCCCCGAAGCGGAAGATGGCGAAGCCGAGGCGGAGGAAGAAGTCGAAGCTGGCCGCGACGCAGAACATGCCCGAGTAGGAGACGACGGCAACTGGGGGTGGCTGCCAGCGATCGTGGCAGACGAGCCTTCAGGCGGGGCAGGCCGCGGGGGTCGGGGCCGAGGCCGCGGCACGGGTGGTGGCCGAGGCGGTGGCCGTGGCGGTGGCGGTGGTCGAGGTGGTCGAGGTGGTCGTGGCCGAGGCGGTGGTCGAGGTGGTGGTCGAGGCCGTGGGTGGCGGGGCGTGGTGGATTCGAGTCCGTACTGGCAGGGCGAGGGCTTCCCCGCGCCGCAGCCCAAGCGCCGGCCCATCACCGGCTGGCCCGCCTGGGACTCCCTCGTTCAGGTTCGAACGAACAGGAAACCCACCACGCGTCCCATAATAGCACTGACCGTGTGTCGTGTCGTGTCGTGTCGTGTGCCACACGCGCGCCAGTGCAGAAGTTGTACGTGCTGGACTGGGAGGACAGCGACGAGTGGTTCGTGCCGCCGAAGGGACCCGGCGACACCGAGCTGGAGCGCGAGGCCAAGCTGGAGCGGGTCAAGGAGCGCCGGAAGCACCTCAAGTCCCTCGTGCGCTACAACCTCGTCCAGGGCCACGTCGCCCGCGCCATCCCCGGTACCCTCTTCAGCCCTCCTTCTTTCCTCATCATCAGCCCTTTTCTGACTAACGTGTGCCGTGTGCCGTGTGCCGTGTGCCGTGGGTGTCGTGTCGTGCGCGGTGTGTGTCGTGTCATGTGCGGCGTGTGCGCACGCAGCCAAGAGCAGAGGGTACCAGTTCCCGTGTCGGGTGAGGAAGCCGAAGGACGACGCGGGCCTGGACTACATGGGGCAGCTGCCGTCGGAGGTGGTCTACTTCATCTTCTCCTTCCTCGACCCCGTGATCGACCTGCCCCGGGCCTCTGCCGTGTGCCACCTCTGGAACGCCATCGCCAGCGATCCCGTCTTCTGGATCCAACCCTTGCGCAGACGCGACATCAGTACGTGTCGTGTCGTGTCGTGTCGTGCGTGTCGTGTGCCGTATGTTGTGTATCGTGTCGTGTCGTGTTATGTTGACGTGTGTGTGTGTGTGTGTGCGGCGGACGCGACGCAGTGGGCAACACGGTGCTGCACTTGGCGGCGTCGAGTATCGACGAGGAGGTGGCGCTGCGGACGTGTGCCTACTTCATCCAGCGCGGCGCGGTGGTTGATGTCAGCAACCGGCGCGGCGACACGCCCCTCATCATCGCCACCACGCTGGGCCACCAGGCCCTCCAGCTCTTCCTCTCGCGGCACTCCGAGCGGTACCGGATGGAGGTCAGGGTGGGGTGGGGCCACTACAACTTCGAGATGGACGAGCTCATGTCGATCGACGCCTACCAGCGGGTCGTAGAGTTCCTCGGTGCCCACATGCAGCGACTCTACCCCTGCCCCGCGGTACCTCACGACACTCGCACACACCACCGCACACGCACCACCGCACACGCGCACGTACACAGTTGAAATGTTGATGTTGGTGGCGTGGCGTGGCGTGGCGCAGCCGAGGGTGGTGGATGGCAGAAGCGAACCGGGCAGCGGCTTCTGGATGCACAAGCACCTGCCGCGGCACGCCTTCAAGTTCCTGCGCCACACACGCGAGGAGTTCCGCGACCGGCCGCTCGACCGCTGGGAGGTGGGCCTCGTCCGCCGGCGTCACCTCAAGACCGCGGCCACCACCACCGCCGTCGCCGCGCCAGTGTCGGCCGGTCAGGCCGACGAGTCGGACGCGGGCCGACCTCCGGCGGCCGTGGTGCGGTACTCGGCGCTCGACACTCAGCACTGGCTCGAGGTGAAGCAGAAGAGGCAACGAGAGCGGGACCAGCGGCTCGCGGCAGCGCTCCAACGCCTCGGCGGCGGTCGAGCCAAGAAGGCGCCGCCGCCTCGGATTGACCACCGGGGCACCTTCCCGCCCCTCCCCCTGCAGCGAGGGCGTGGACGCGGAGGGCGCGGAGGCCCGCCTCGTGGGGGACGCGGAGGGCGCGGAGGCGCCACCAACCCCCCATCATCGGCCACCACTTCCTCCTCCTCCTCCAGCAGCAGCAGCCGCACGTCGCCGTGGGCGAGCACCGGCGGGGCGGCTGACCCGCGAGGCGGCGGAAGAGGTGGCGGCCGAGGCGAGCGAGGAAGAGGAGGTGGACGAGGCGGACGAGGAGGAAGAGGAGGAGAGGACGGTAGAGGAAGAGGTAGAGGAGGAGGAGGGAGAGGTGAGGGACCAGCCAGAAAGGACAAGGGAAAGGAGAAGCTCGACGAGTAAATGAAGTGGTGGATGAAGAAGTGGTGGATGATGATGGGTGAACGTGTTGTGTGAAAGGCTCCGCGAAAAGATAATTACAGCGATCGTGTGCGGCGCACACCCACCCACTCCTTCTCTCCTTCTCTCACCTACCCTCGCTCTTCTCTTCAGAGCTTGGAGTCGAGGAAGGCGGCGACGGAGACGAAGGAGTCGGCAAAGGCGACGAAGAGGAGGAGGGCGACGGCCACGGCGACGAGGTAGCGCGAGGGCGCGAGAGCCGACCCGCTGGCGCAGTACCAGCCGGTCTGGTTGTTGGGCAGCGGGTTGAGGTGTCGGCTGTTCTCGATGCAGGCCTGGCCCTTGGGGCAGCTGTAGCACTCGAAGATGTCCTGCGTGGCGTTCACGGCCACGCAGCCGCAGCACTGGTAGTCGGCCACCATGCAGTAGGGGTCGCAGTAGGTGCGGTCGAGGAAGTCAAAGTACTGCGAGCAGCAGCCGCCGGCGTCGCTGCCCGTGCACGGGTCGCAGGGCGCGGGGCACGTCGTGTTGGCCGCACCTTCCACTCCCGCCTGGCCGCAAAGCACACACATCACATCACATCGCCACAATTTGATTTGTTAAATAAAAGAAATAACAATTAATAGAATACAAAGCTTGGTATTCACACAACATGAAGTGATTGATGGATGTGATCTCTCATAAACCGAAATTCGCATTTGTGGGGGGGACAGATGAAAGTCGGGCAGGGATGATCGAAGAGGGGAGGTACCGTGAAAAGGGAGAAGAGGCACAAGGCGACGAGCACCTGAATGAAAGTTGATGTAGCCGACATCTGTCTGATGATTGTTGGAAATTTTGGATAGTGGCGTGAAGATTATCGACGAGGTAGGGGGAAATGCGGCCGCTGGGATGTGTCGCGCGTGTCTGCCTGATGCTTCAAAATCGGCGTGAGGGGGAGACTTGTGTGGTTCTTCACGATCAAGAAAGACCCCGAACACGAGAAGACACCACAGAAAATGTGAAGGAATTCACCCCACGCGCTTCTACAGCGCAACGCTGCGCAATTTGTGCACACCGCCAGCTCAGAAGAAGACGCAACTGGTTGGTGGTTGCACCTCTTCTTGTTCTTCTTCTTCTGCTTCTTGAAGAGGTGACACAGTACAAGCCGACTAGGTCTATGATCTTACTTGCCCTTTCTTCGTGATTCTGTCTCGGTGCCCAGCTTGGCGAGCTCGGCCTCGATGGTGGGCACGATCTCGTCGAACGACGGCCGCTCCTGCGGGTTGTGCCGCCAGCAGGCCTGCATGAGCGCGGCGAAGCTCGGCGGGCAGCCGCTGCTGGCGGGCGGCGGCGTCGGACGACAAGTGCCGTCCACGATCGCGTTACGGCAGTCCATCGCCTGGAAGTACCCATTCCGCTGGAACCTACAGCCGAGCCGACGAGTCAACACACATGGTGGCCACCATGATGATGAGCGAGAATGATGACGACGACACACGAATGAAGTTGAGTTACGTACTTGTCCCAGTATTCGGTCGTGTAGGGCAGCTGTCGCGTAGCGATCTCCCACAAGACGATGGCAAAACTGTGCGCGCGCGACGAGGATGAAAGAAGTGAGCTCGAGTGTGCCGCTACAGAGGCGAGGAGTAGAGAGAGTGAGCAAGAAACTGAGGAGGAAGAGAAACCTGTAGATGTCGGAGCGCTCGTCGTATTCGACGCGCTTGTGGCTCAACACCTCGGGAGCCAGCCACTGCCAAGTCCGCAGGGCCTCGTCGAGCGTCGAATTGACGTGCTGGGCCAAACCTGCATCCCCCACATACCAATCGTCGGTCAGCCTGCCGAACACCGAACGGCGGCGCCTCGGTGCGGTGAAGGGGCATTGGTACCAAAGTCGCCGATCTTTGCCACGACGGGTGCGCTGGTCGACGTGCTGGCCAACTGAATTGGGAAGCACGCGCGAGAGCGTTAGACACACGTGTGCGTGCGTGCGTGCGTGCGTGTGTGTGTGTGTGTGTGTGCGTGTGTGTGTGTGTGTGTGTGCGTGTGTGTGTGTGTGTGCGTGCGCGCGCGCGTTGATTGAACGGCTACGTACGAAGATGTTGGGGCTGCGCAAGTCGCGGTGGACGATGGGCGGTTGGTAGGAGTGGAGGTATCGCATGCCCTTGGCCACGTCGAGCGCGATGCGCCATCGGAGCCGCCACGGAATGCGGTCATCTGATACCGGCGGGGGTCGTCGCTTGAGGCAGCCCGACGGGAGAATGCCCCGCACGTTGTGGGTGGTCACCACCTCGCACATGTCATGATTCTCCAAGTCCTTGTGAATCGCCACCACATCGCCTGCAACCGACATACATGGATTATCAGCATTCCAAGCATTCCAAGAGCTGAGCCAGCTTGCATGCGAAAAAACACTGTGCGGCGTACCCAGCTTGACGGGCGCCGGAGAGAGGCCGCCGATGGGCTTGATGTGGTCGTGCGACGGATGGGAGCAGGCCACGTGCGCCATCTGGGTGGAGACCAGCAGGCGGTGGAGGTCGCCCCGCGGCACGTACTCCATTACCATCGAGACGGGCTCGTAGCAGATTCCGAAGAGCTTCACGATGTTGTCGTGCTCCAAGTAGCTGCATGGATCATTGATCATTGTGATGAATGAGCCACGCAAAAGAAGGTAATGATAATGCAAACGAGCGAGCGAGCGAGTTCAAGTGAAGAAGAAAACGCGTTACCTCATCAAGAAGGTCTCGTGGCGGAACTCGTCAAAGATCTTGAAGTCCTGTGTGTCGTTCTTTTCCACTTCCAGACCCTGCTCCACGAGGTTACGCTGCCGGGATCCGTGTCAGCCCAAGCCGTGTGGTGGGTGGGTGGTGGGTGATGGGTGGTGGGAGCGCACCTCGCCGGCTCGGGACAACTCCTTAATGGCCACCACCGTGCGGTTCCACGAGCCGCGGTAGACCACGCCGAACCCGCCGTCGCCGATCTTCTTCTCCTTGCGCAGCTCGCTCTCCTTGATGCTGCGCACGCCCGCCAGGAGCAGGTCGGGCGCGGCCCGCTTCACGCTCACCTCGTGTCCGCCCCGCTGGCACACCATCTTCTTCTTGGACTGGATCGAGTCGATGACCTCGCGATAGCAGAACGTCGGCACCTCGGCCGGAGAAGGAGGAGCGGCGGGAGCCTCGCCCTCGTCCGTCGCAGTGACCTCTCCTCCGCTCGCGTCGGCGCCAACGGTTGCGGGGCCGGACCCAGAGTCGGCCATGCACAGCGGGCACAGCACCTTCTTGATGACCCGAAGCCCTGGCGGTGACACGAGAGTTAAGCGGAGACAAAAAGGAAAAAAGTTGAAGGCGACTTAGTACGCACCGACGCAGCCCATGAGCAGACTGTCGATGCTGTAGACGGCCTGCTCCAGCAGCTTGCTCAACTTGGCCGAAGAGTCTTTCCCCCGCTTTCCTGGCACTGCGTGCACACAGTGATGGGTTGGTGAGGCAGCCACGCAGTGTTTGCTTTTGGAAGAGGGGGAGGGATAGGCGGCCACACAACAAACAAGGAAGCGTACCATTCTCGACGCGCGCGGAGACGATGATGCGGTAGCTCGGGTCGAGCTGTTGCATCATGAAGAGCGTCTCCTTCCTCCCTTCCACCTCCAGCTCCACCACCAAGCCGCTGCGCCACGCCACCACAAAATGGACATTCGGGATGTGCAACACCTGTGGTGTCCATCACCGTTCGCCACCGCGCGTTGTTGGGTCAGTGTGCCACGCGCTTTTGAGTAGTAGCTTGGATGGGGGGAAGGGGGAGCGTACCCGAACGATGAGCCGGCAGAACAGGCCGATGGGGAGGAAGGAGAGATCGTAGAAGCGACCGAACGGGATGACCCCCGCCGGACAGGCCGACGGCCACGCGGTGTCCAGCTCTGCTGGGCAGTCCTCGGGCAGAAGCGACGGAGCCACCAGTGTTTTTTCCTCCTTACCCCGTCGTAGCGGGAAGAGGATCTGTGGTGGTGGGGGAAAGTGAGCGTGTGCGTGCGTGGATGGATGGGTGTGGTGGTACTTGCCTGGAATCGTTCGAATATTCTCTGGAGAGAGGAATGGAGTTCGGGCGGGTAGTCGCGCCAGACCCACTGACGGAGGTCGCTTTCGCCGACGAGGCCATTCTTGATCCACTTGTTGTTGAACGAGACGACACTCTTCATCACGTCGGCCAACCATTGCGGATCGATGATGACCAAATCCTTTAGCGATCCGAACGGGTCGTCAAAGTGCACCAAGCAGCCCACGTCCTGTACACACCACACGCACGCAGTCAGTTCGAACACTGACCAGAAGCGTGGAGGGTGGAAAGAGGGCTATCGTACGTGGAAGAAGGAGACCACTTCGTTGATGGAGTCCGCTTCGATCTTGCAACTCAGGCCCAGCCGTACCATGTGGTCCCAGTTGATGAATCGCACGTACTCCTTCTTGTCCCGCTTGCGCACCGAGAGCGGGCCGGTCGTCAGCAGCACGTTCTCCGATGACCCCAAATCCGAGATCGTGCTCGAATGCGCTTGGGCGCCTGCCAGGAGCGAGAGTGCGTCAGCGACCAAGCGAAGTGGAATGTGCGGAATGCGGTACGAGAGAGCTTGCTTGCGAGTAGTAGTCGACGTACCCTCCTTGCGCATGTTCTGGAGGATCTGGAACAGGTCGAAGTAGGAGCCGGGGATGACCTGCTTGAGGAACGAGTGCTTCTTGGCCCCGAGCACGAGTTCGTTGATGAGCTCCGGGATGCCCTCCTTCGTCTTGGAGCTCACGAACACCACCTTGCGGATGTTGGTGTCCTCCCTGTGGGTGGGTGTGATGTCGTGTGAGTCGTTTAGCATAGACAACGCCAGCAAGCAGGTCGATTGAGGACTAGGGAAGGCACTGGGAAGGAGTAACACCTGCTGAGCGCACGACCCAAATCATGAAGCTTAGAGCGGTCGCACTGATCGGAATCGATGTGCGTGCCAACGATGAACACGGGCGTCTCCACACCTGCGACCCCGCCAAAGCACCGGTGAGATTATGGGTACGCGCACGGGACGAGACGTATTCGCATATACCCTGGGTGCTGGCCCGGATCTGCTTGATCCAGTATCGGACGTTGTGGAGATCCTCGTTGGTGACATTGAACACGACCAGGTACATGGAGCGTGCAGTGAGGAAGAACTGGTGCGTGGGATAGAACACCAGCTGTCCTCCAAAGTCGTACCTGCACACCGCTCGCTCCTGTTAGGAGTGGAGAACGCGTAGTTACGTGGATGGGGGGGCGGGCGGGCCGTGCGTACGTCTGAAAAATGATTTCGTTGTCGGGGCCATCCTTGTCAGGCTTGAATTTTTTGTTCAGGGCCGACTCGCTTATGCTGAGCTCGCCCATTTCGATTCCGTCCGTGCTGAGCTGCGTGGGTCCGTCCTTTGACTGCCAGGAGAAAACACCAACACACCGGTTCGTGAGTTGCGGCTCCCACGGCGGTGGTTTGAAAGTGGCCCTGTGATCGCATATACCTTAATGCGGCCAAAGCTCTTGAGGCTCAGCGTGCCGCTGTGCTTGCGTGGCGAGTGGGGAGCCTTGGTGTCGCCGAGATGCTTGCGGAAGGCGCGGAGGAGAGTGGTTTTGCCGACGGCCTCCTTGCCCACGAACATGAGCTTCACCCGGTTCCACTTCACGCGCGAGACCTCGAGCTGCCGGAGGTAGACCAGCAGACGCTTGAGCCCGCCCTCCTTGACCTCGGTCGGAATACTCTCGAGCGGATTCCCCTCGAGCCTGACTTCCTTGAGGTTGGTCATTTGGGTCAGGAAGAACGGCAGCACGTTGATCTGGTTGAACGACAGATCGATCTTCTTGGCGCTGGTCAGCTGCTCGACCCACTCCGGCACATTCTTCAGATTCTTCGACGAGAGATCGATTTCGGTGAGGTTCCTCAGTATCTTGTATGCCTGTTCATCACGCCGGCGTAATAACGTCTATTATTATTAGTGTGCGATGAGCTGATGCGAAGGTGATCGCAAAGTACGTTGTCTGTTATTCGAGCACCAAAGGTGAGGAGCGTGATCACGCCTTCGACGTGATTCTTCGTGAGGGCAATCTCGAGTGGCGTTTGGTACTGCATGTCACAATACGTACGATGGGAATCGGTTAACCGATGCATTTGCCGGGTAAGTATGCAGAGCTGGTAGAGACAGATGTGTACGTACATCCTAAAGGGCCAGCCCATCACCCACGGCAAGACGTATGGAACCTGGTGTTAGCGGAAAGATGGAACAAGACCGACACACAACGGACACGTACCCACTGTTGCACGGGGTTGGGGGTAGGAGTGAATGCGACGGTTAGTGATCGACAGGTAAATGGAACAGAATGGCTTGGGTGGGAAGGGGGAAGGGGTACTCCTGAGGAGTCGGGGTCGGCGCCGTAGCCGAGGAGCATCTCCATGATCTTGTTGTTGGCCAGCTTACAGGCGTAATGCAATGGAGTCTGCAGTGATGGTGAATGAATTAGCACGCGCGCGGCATACAACGCTGTACATGTGAACAGCCCATACCTCGGGCTGTAGAACGAAGACGATTGGTGGCGAAGGAGATAGACAGATCGGCGGGCAGGGGGAGGCAAGAGTTGAGAATGCGGCCATGAAACGGCAAAACAAGCGGAGAACGAGAATGGCGAACGTACCCCCTGATGTGGAGAAAGTTATTGGGTCAGAGTCAAGGTAAAGTTGTTTGGAGGGGGGGGGTGTAAAGAATGGTGCGTACATCCTGTTTCCCAGTACCCAGGCAACACCGTGTGCTGCGTTTAGTCAAATCTCACACGGAAACGACCAACCGGTGCGTGAGAGGGAAAGTAAGAACGCAGTATAGGGTACCTCCTGCAGCACGTGGTACCATAAAAGGAGTGAAACTAGCCGTTAGACATGCCATGGTTGTTCACGTTATGATCAGGGTGGGGTCGAGCACAGAGAGGAGGCGTCACGGCGTACTTCTTTGATGTTGACCAAGGCCTTGTACTGGAGGAGGAGCTGAACGGACTCCGCTCGTCCGTGGTAGCACGCCCAATGCAGCGCCGTCTGTACTCAAACAAACCCAAACGCGCCCGTCAGCGTTCGGTTTCGTTGTGGGTTGGTCACACTCGTCACAACACGAAGGAAGGGGCTATACCATCTGTCAAAGCGGACAGAGAGTGAGAGGTCAAAGGAGAGAGAACCAGTTAGAGTTGTTCTTCAAGGAGAAGCGCGAGATAAGGCGTCGTACTCCCTATGGGTGGCAAACGACAGCCAAACGGAAACGGCAATGAACATAGAGTGAGTACTCGATTCAAAAAAAGGCCGACACACAAGAAGGGTAGCATACATTCTGCGCAGATGAAGATCAACGCCAGCCCAAATGCGCGTCCGGAGGAAGAGGGAACAACGTTGGGAGTTAAAATCAATCGCATGAAAGTTGCCTCCATCTCGATTGCGTAAAGATTGCGTCAAGTCCCACGAAATGAGTCAGGTCAGGGAGAGTACGTAGTAGCCATTAATGTCGCTGGCGATTCCCTTTGCGAGGAGTGCTTCCACCTTTTGCCGCTTGCCCTCTTCGATGGCCTTCACCAGGCCCTCGGTAAGGGGCGTACCGGCCGACAGCGCCATGTGGTATTCCTTGTACGACCTGCCGCCGTCACTGCCGTTGCGGAAAATGCAGAAAAAGGCAAAAAGAAAACAGAAAGCTGTGGGCTCGAAGTCTGCTTCAGGTGGAACAGCGCTGGAACGCAAACGCTTGCCCTTGCATGAGTTACTGGCGCACTATCGGCGCCTTGTGAAGGAGGCCAACAAGCTTGCCCTTGAAGGGTCCTTATGCTGCCCACTATTTATTTGGATTGTTCAAATTTTTGTCTGTGGCGTGCTTCCATCTCACAAAGTGTAATGGAATTTAAGGAATCCAAGATCGCTTGAACATCGGCCACTCTGCCATACATTATTGCGCCAACAAGAGAACGAGGAGGGAGCCTCAGCCCCGCCAAAGACGCGGCGAAGAAGAGGGCAAAGGCGGGCTTGCCGAGATGATGGAAGCATCTTCGACGCTGGCGTTGCATCAGACGGCGAAACAGAACGTATACGAAAATGTCATATCGATAATCAAAATTGGGGCTGAAGTGGATGAGAGAGACGCCAAGAGCGGACAGACAGCGCTACACATCGCGGCCGCGTTGAATAATGTCGAATCAATCAAGGCGCTTCTCGACGCCGGTGCCGAGGTGGAGGTAGTGGATAGCTTCGGCGACACCCCTCTGGCCCTCGCTCAACGATTCAACAAACCCGAAGCAGTCCATCTTCTCCAAACAGCTGCAGGCCAACGCCCCTCCAACAACGGCGCGTCATCCTCGACTGCCGGCGACAAGGGTCGAATTGCTGGGCGAGGCGACACCAACCGGCGTAAGATGAAGCTGCATCTCGAAAGCGGAACGGGCCTGTTTGAAACTCCTGCCCCCCTCTCGCCCCCTTCGACGCGCCTCCAGCCTCCAGCCTCTCGGCCCTCCCCCTCCACTAGCGCGGTGGCTACCGCCGCACCACCCACCACGGCAACCCTGGGCTCTCGCGGGACGGCCCTTCCCACGGCGACGGGGTCGGCCATCGTGCGACGCCCGGGCGGGTCAATAGGGAGCGGAGGCCCCGGCTCAGAGTCGCCGCCGCCACGACGAGGCTCGACGGACGGTGGAGAGGGACTGCCGAACATCGGACAAGCGGGCGGGTGGAAGAAGAAGGACTGGACCGAGACGGCTGCGTCGGTGGAGAAGGGCAAGACCCGAGGGAGGACGGAGCTCCTCTCCTCGGGCGGACAAGGCACCGAGGGGTGGAAGAAGATGAAGAGCTTCTTCTCCACGAGCGCTCACCCTCTCCCCTCGCCACCTACTGTCGAGGTCCTGCAGCAGCAATTGCAGCGCGAGCAATCAGGTACCCTAAACTTCTCCATAGTTCTCTCTCCGCTCGCATGCGGGCGGTCATAGCAACGGATCGGTAATCGACCGATGTGTGTGTGTTTCCATGCGTGGGTGACTACACAATGCAGAGCGACGGCATATGGAAGAGGAGCTCCGACAGTTCAAGCAGAGGGCAGGGCCGCTCATGTACCAGCTCAAACGGCGGTACGTCGAGTGCTACGACGCCAACAAGACGCTCACCCTGCGGAACGAACATCTCGAACGGGAGCTGGAGGCGCTCTCCAAGTTCGGCAAGCCCGGCGCGCCGCCAATTGCTCGAGACAAGAAGCCCGCATCGCCGGAGGGCTCGGCAGTGGGGACAGCGAGCGGAGGACGAGCAGCCGACTTCATGGCGCGCGAGAAGATGCTGGAGGCGAGGGAGAAGAAGGAGTGGCGGAACACGCGGATGATGATGGTGGAATCGCACAAGACGGAGAGGCTCGAGCTGATGGCGCAGGTCGAGGAGCTCAGGGAGAAGCTCAAAGGACTGACCAAGGATCTGCTCGAGGTGTTGGACGAGAACGAGAAGCTGGTCAAGCAGCTGGAGATCGCCGAGGAGGAACGAGACAAGTGTATAAAGCTGATGGAGAGCAAGGTCTCCTGACGACGGCCACCGTGTAAATACCTCCTGCCTCCCTTCTTCTTCTCGACGACCCCTCTCGAGCGCTCCGGCGTCGCCGTCGTCGGTTCGATCGGACTGCTGCACCAGTCCCGCGAGAGTCTGCAAGAACGCACACAAGCGAGAGACGAGAGCCATCGCGGAACGTCAACTGTATTACTTAGGGCGCCCCTTCGCGGGCGTGAAACAAAGTGCACGCAACTTTGTAACTCAACAACTCCCCGACCGGTCTGTGCCCACAAGCGTGCGATGACGTCAGCAAGTGTTGCGCTTTCTTGTAGACTTCGCTCTTCTTGTTCTCTTTCCGGCTTGACGCAGAGAAAGATGGAGGAGCGGAGCTGTGCCGAGACGCCCACACTGCGGCCCATGGCCCTGCGCGATGTGCAGGCGGCGTGGTCCATTCAGGTGATCGCTTACTCCGACCCCAGCCTCCACGAGACGGTGCGTCGCCCCCCCCCCGGACCACCAAAAGATTTACAACATCTCACTTGGGGTCTCCACACGCATGCAGGCGGACCACTACGAGCGAAGGCTGGCTGCCTACCCGCAGGGCTGTTGGGTGGCGGAGCTTAAAGAAGACGACAGCGCGGAGCCCGTGTTGGTGGGCTATCTCGTCTCGTACCCGTCGCGGCTGGACGACCCTCCGGCTCTGTCGAGCCACGAGTGGGCCGTACCGCACCCGGCTGACGCCTACTTCATCCACGAAGTGACTGTCGACCCGCGCCGCCAGGGACTCGGCCTTGGCCGTCTGCTGAGCGCGAAGGCCACGGAGTGCGCTCGCACGAGCGGCCTTGGCCCGGCCGCCCAATACGTGGCGCTGGTGTCGGTGCAGGGCTCGTCGCCCTTCTGGCATCGGCACGGCGGCTACCTGCCCTACGACTTTGACGTCAATCGGCTCCACACCTCTCTGCCCTCTGCCAGCAGCAGCCAAGCCGATGGGCCGTGTCTCTTCGACGAAACGACCGCGCATAAGCTCAAGACCAAGCTGATCCAGTCCTACGGCCCTGGTGCGCTCATGATGTTGACCGCCATGCCTCAACACCAATAAAGGTTCGCCTTGTCCTTCACCTTCGAGCAAGCAGCAAGATCTACCTCTTCTCAGGAATTTTAAAAATGAGACACAAGAACATTCCCACATTCTTAAAATCTCAGGTTATTTCCGGCTTTCGCCTGCCCCAACCCCTTCGGTAGGCAACGCGGGGCCTTTCCTTTCTCCAACACCGAGGTGGGACCGAACTGATAGAGTGATTGAATAGAGGGTCGAGAGACACCAACGTTGGGAGAGATAGAGAGTGAGTGAGAGAGAGAGAGAGAGGATGAGCGGGGCCAAGGCCAACCCACAGGACTTCGACTCCCTCAACAGGTCACTCAAACGCTCTGTGGACCTGCGGGACTCGACCAAGGCCATCCTGCGGGCCTCTGAGAAATGGAACGAAGCCGGACGATGTGCGCCCCCCGCCCCCCTTTACCATCCGGCCTCGTCTTGATATTACATCAAATCCCACACTCAATCCGCTCCTTCACATCTTGGTTTCCCTCGTTTAGCGATTGATCGCTCTCCACATCACACCTCTCACATCTCACACCTCCTTCATCCGATCCGATCCGATCAGCGTACTCTGTGGATATGACGGACTTTGCGGAGAAGATGCTCAAGTTTGTAACGTTTGTGGAGACCAACGAAGAGCTTGGTACGTGCCATCAACTCTGCCCCCCCCCGACAAATCTCTTCTTCTGGTCATTATTGTGTGCCGGTCTGCTGGCTGTGAAAAGAGAGCAAGATCTCGGCTCGTCTCCCCCGCACCAACACCCCTTGCTTACTCTACCCGGCCGGGTCGTGTCAACAGTGACCATTCTCAGATATTTTGGAAAGACCATGAAAGCCATATCACAAGAGGGGAACCAAATGGTACGCGGTCTCAGTCTGTCTCTTCCGACTCGCCCCCTGCTCCTGCCACTGGTACCCAAACCGACACGCGTAATGTGCGACTGTGTACTGTACTGCGTCGCTGCAGATGGAACGGTGCGGGCGAGACTTTAGCGAACCATTGGCACAGTTTATCGAAAACGACTTCATAGCCACAGCGGTACGCCCTCAGCTTTTGGTTTTCTGCGTGGTGACTCTTTTTAATGCTGGTCCACTCTACAGGAAGCGAAAAAGAGAGTGGACAAGGCTATGTCCGAGTACGAGAGCACACTGGCCAACGTCAAGGGAGGAATCACGAAACACAACGCCATCGACCAGTCGCGGCTGATCGAGGTGCGCCACTCTCCCTTGGACTCTACCACGGGACTGCAGGTTGGTCGACGGACGCTGATGACCATGCCATGTGCCGTCTGCAGTTCACGCAAGAAATGGAGCGACTACGGGAGGGACTCAACCAAAAGAGGGCCGATCTGGCGTCGCGGCTGGACAAGATCGACGTGAAGGTGGAACAGAAGCTGCTCAGCTACCTCTACGATCTTATGGCTTCCCAACACCAGTACTTCATTCGGTGCGTTATGCCCCCTTTGTCCAGTGGAGAGTGAGTGAGGGGTGCATCGACAATTTACGCCGGCCCATGAGTGACCTCGACAGGGGCTGTGAGATCTTCAAGACGATCAAGCCGCGGATGGACCAGATGAAGCTGCACATCGACCAAGTGGCGGCCACGCGAGAGAAGGAGGTGGTGTCGACGAAGGAGGGGTATCTGCTGCACATGAACGAGAAGAACCGGGTGAAGAACAAGTGGATGCGAAACTGGTACGTCCTGCGGGACGGCCTCTTCTATTGTAAAGTGGGAAAGGTACTCTTTCCCCTCCTCGACCCCCCTGGTTATAGTTGTTTTGCCTGTGCTGACCGGTGGTCTGATCGGCAATGGTGGTCGCGTGGTGTAGGAGGTGGACAACGACAGTGTGTTGGATATAGTGCTCTGCACCGTCCGAGTCCCGGCGAGGTCGAGATCGGGCGTGGGGTTGAAGGAGGCGGCCAAACACAAGTTTGAGATCATGACGCCCGGAAAGAAGAAGCCCATCGTGTTCGCCGCCGAAACGGAAGGCGACCGAAAGGAGTGGGTGGCAGCCATCCAAGAGGCCATCAGCCAATCCCTCAACTCACAGGTCCGTCTCCACACTCACCAATCGCGCGCGCGCCGCACGCACACGCACCACCGCACATGCACACGCAATGGCGCCTGCACCACGTGAGAACGAAGCTCATAGGGATGAGTGCAGGATCTCGACGCGGCGCCTGCGGTGCGATCGAGAGGTGGGTCGTTGGTGCAGTCTAGCCCGAGAGTAGGGACCCCGCCTCCGGTCCAGAGCGCCGGCGAAAACCGCGGGAGGCTGGAGCGCCACATGTCCTTCGGCAGCGGCACCACTACCACCACCGCCAGCACGCACGACCAGGAGCAGATGCGATACCTCAACATCCTGCGGTCCGTTCCCGGCAACGACGTGTGCGCCGATTGCAGAAGCAAGGGTATGCGCTGCAGCACCTTCAAACCGCGTGTGGCACGTTGCGCAGACTGACTCGCCACACGCCTATGGGCATACGATCGCAGAACCGGAGTGGGCTTCGATCAACCTGGGCATCCTGATCTGTCTGGAGTGTTCGGGAGTGCACCGAAGCCTGGGGACGCACATCTCCAAGGTCCGGTCTCTCACCCTAGACAAGTGGGACCCCGAGCTGCTCATCGTACGTCTCTACACACCCTGCCACACGCATGGACTTCAAGGCCTTGACGGCGTGAAATGTTTGTTTGCTTGTTCATTTGCGCAGATGATGAAGTGTCTGGGCAATACGAAGTCGAACAAGCTCTTTGAGGCTGCCATGTCCTCGAACGTGGTGCCCCACCTGAGCAGGATCACGCCCGAGTGGCGGAGAAAACACATCAAGGCGAAGTACGCCGAGAAGGTCTATTTCACCCCGACCACCTCCACGCCGGATGAGCTATCCGAGGTATGCACCCGGGGTAGCACCTGCGCTGCTGGGAGAATATATTGTGGGGTTGGCTGACCACCCTGTGACTCACCATCATGTGACCAATCAATAATCAATGCAGGAGTTGTACAGTTTGGTATCCAACAAGGAGGACGCATTCAACGTGGCCAAGTTCATCATGCTGATGTACCAGGGAGCCAACGTGAACTGGCCCAATTCCAACCACGAACACAAAACGCCACTGCATAGAGTGCGACCCTCACCGCCTGACGCCCTCGCCTTACACCACCACCTTCAAGTGCTGGCGCTGACTCGTCACCCCACGTCTTGGCACTGGATCAGGCGGTGGAGCTGGACAACATCGTCTACGTGGAGGCGCTCACCCAGAACGGAGGATCGCCATTTCTGCTGGACGACCGAGGGTGGACGGCCATGCACTACGCGGCCTACTTCAACCACGTGCGGTGCCTCAGCCTGCTGCTCAAGCGCGGGTGCAAGGGCAAGAACGACCTGCTGCTCGACACCGAGGGTCGCACGACCCTGCAGGTGGCCGAACAGTACCGAGCACTGGTACTCGCTCGCGCGCCTGCGTCCGCCATTTGGCACACGAGCCATTCCCCTGACGCAACGCTCGTCCGTGTGTTGTGTCGTGTCGTTGGTCGTGTCGTTGGTCGTGTCGTTGGTCGTGTCGTGTCGTGTCGTGTCGTGTCGTTGGTCGTGTCGTGTCGTGTCGTGTCATCAGGACTGTGAGCAACTTCTGCGAGCGGAGAGCTTGCATACACCGAAGACGCGAGAGGCCAATGGGAAGCACCACGAGAAGAACGGCGCTGCGGAGGCGGCGGGTGGGGTGCTGGGGTCGGCCCGCAGCGAGAGCGGGGGCGAGCTGACCGCCGACGCTTCGGGGGACGAGGCCAAGGTGGAGGCCGGCGGCGGCGGCGGTGGCGACGACGATGACGGGGAGACGAGCACACGGGACCAGCGGAACTCGGAGCTCGACCTGCGGAACCGAACGCTCATGACCGTGGAGGACGTGGAGAAGGAGCGGTGCTGGGAGTGCCTCCAGCACTTTCTCGGGCTGCCCAAGAAGGTGCGGCCTCGACCTACACAACGAACACACGCACCGCACACACGGCACATGCTAACCGTGTGCTGCGTGGCTGGTGCGCAGGATCTGCCGGAGGTGACCGAACAGGGCAAGTTGCTCGCGCAGGCCCTACGGGAGCCGCAGAAGAGCAAGGGCATCACCCAGTCGGGGTCCGATATCGCCACCCGCAACCAGAGCTGGGCAAGTGGTGCGTGCGGGCCACCCAAATGATAACGATGCGATTTCCGCACCTTCGCTCAGTCGCCGTGAAGAGTGCTGATCGCTTTACTACATACATTCATACGCAGACGACTCGGTGCGAACCAGTTCGAGCGAGTCCAAAGACACGAAGCGAACACGACGGCTCAGTCTCAACCTCAGTCTCATCAGCGCGGTGCACAAGGTACCACCGATCACATCGCATCGCATCGCTTCTTTTGCGCTGTGCTACAGCTTGGCTTGTGGCTGTCTGGTCTTACCCAACACGCCGCTTCCATTGCATTGCAAAGGGGCCGTCGAGGAAGTCGGGCCGGGAGAACGGCGCCAGCGTGGTGAAGACGGCCAAGGGGTCCAGCGCTGCGGCCTCGCCGCAGCCGCAGCCGGTGCAGTCCCTGAGCCAGTCGGCCAACATTCCGGCGGTGAGCCAGATCCACCACCAGGGGCAGCAGCGGGGAATCAACCGAGCGGCGACGTCGCTCGGCCTCAGCGGCGCCTCGTCTTCGGCGCAGAACCCGAACGCCATCCAGCCGTGGTTGCAGGAGGACTACTGGGAAGACTCCTCCAAGACCTCCACCGACGAAGACGACGATGGTACGCGCACACCGCACACGCCGCACACGCTTGTTGACACTTTTTTATGGGGGCGCGTGCAGAGGAGTACGTGGAGAGCGCCGACTCGGACCCGGTGCCGGGCGGCTTGCGAAAGGCGAGTTCGGTGGACGCGCTACCGATCTCGCCCAAGAACAACCAGGTGCAGCAGCCGCACCACGGCGGGGAAGGCGGGGCCGACGGCAGCGGCTCGACGCGCGCGTCGCCCAAGACCTACCTGGGCAAGCTGCACGCCTCGCTGTCCTCGCTCCCCACCACCTCATCATCGGCTGGCCAGACTCCCGCCGTCGTCGTATCGCCGCCCTCACGTGGGACCAACATCTTCATGCGCCAGCGATCCAGCGGCCCGTCGTCGCCCAAGTCGCCCTCATCGCCTTCATCTCCGTCATCGTCTTCATCATCATCGTCATCACTGCTGTCGTCGTCGCCGCCGACCAACGCCGGCGGGACCTCGGTGGCGGGCATGCTGGCCGATGCGCGCAAGGAGCGGAAGACCAAGAAGCCCGTCGCACCGCTGGACTCGATTCTGACGCCCAACAGCCCATCGCGGACGGGCAGCTGCATCGTGCCCAGCCCGCGACACGGCTCGCCGCCGTCGGCCCCATCGCCGCTCGCCGCCATGAGCCACCGCTCGTCGTCGCTGCGCAACGCCCTGTCCATCGGCGACATGGCGTCGTCGCCGCCCAAGTCACCGTCGTCGGTCCTCTCGGGCGGCTCGCCGCCCGATCAGCGGCGGCCCTCCGGCGGCAGCCTGTCGAAGGCGACGGCGCGCAAGGCGATGACGTCAGCCATGACCTACGACTATAGGGGCGACGATGCGATGTCGTCGACCATCGGCTTCAAGCCGCAGAGCGACAGGAAGCTGTGGAAGAAGGAGGACAGCAAGCTCGACCGTAAGCAGAGCATGAGCTTCGATGATGGTCTAAGCGGCGAGGCCGACAACATGAGCGTCGATGCGTACGAGGCGACCGCCAGCGTGCCGACTCGACCCACCGGCCCTCCGATTCCCGCCGCCAGCGACAGCCCCAGCAGCCCGAGCAGCAGCAAGAAGGAACCGCCAGCCGGCGACACCTCGGCTGGCCCGCCAAGCGCCGCGGAGAAGAAGAACAGAAGGAAGACGTTTTTGGGGTTCGCCATGACCAAGTCGTGAGAGACTGCTCGCTCGTACACACTCTGGCGCTCGAGCACGAGTGCAGACAACACTAGGCAGCCCAAGGAGTGTAAATATAACAAACAGACGTAGTTGTGAAGGGGACCAAGCTCGCCAACCAATAAATGAACCTAAACGTAACAGCGTTGATCTCAAGAAGAAGGTGATCGCAATGTGAAGATACACTTGCGTTGTTTCGGCCGAAGATCAAAATGGTAAGAAATTAATATTTTCAGTGGTCGCTCTTCTCCTCCGCGGTCTGGGCTTGCTCGGCGCGTTTCTTCTCCTTCTTCGCCTTGCTCTTCTTTTTCGTCTTCTTCTTCTTCTTCTTTTCGCTGGTGTCATCGTGCGACTTGTCTTCGGTGGCGGTGTCCTCGTCCTCGTCGCCCTCGTGCTGTTGTTCCTTCTCGCCCTTATTCTTCTTCTTGGCCAAGTACTGCGCCTTCCAGGTCTCGTGGTCGTACTCAAATACCACCTTGCCGCCGTAGTCCTCCTCGAGCGCCTCCTCCTCGATCACCTAATCGCACACACACGACACACACGACACACGCGGCACACTCGTTGAGACCAGCGAACCGCCGACAGCGGTGTATATGGGGCGTGACATGCCTCGAGAATCTTGGCAAAGTCCTTCTTCCCGTTGATGAACTGGACCTTGGCGAGGGTCACCTCGTTCAGGAACGGCTTGATGACGCTCCAGAAGGCCGAGAAGACCCACGGCGTGTTGGTCATGAAGGCCACGCCCAGTCGCTGGATGGACGACGCCGACGCAAAGTGAGCCAAGTACGACACGCACACACACGACACACACACACCACACACACACGAAGAGGGTGGTAACACCAACCTCGGGATAATGGTTCAGCAAGACGTGCATGCAATCCATGCTGACTTGCATGTTGCCGACGGAGGAGGTGCGCATGCCGGTGCCTTTGAAGTCGGCCACCCACACCATCTTCTCCACGCCCTTCGAGGCATCCATCGCGGCGATGGCCTGCTCCAAGATCCACACTAGGTACTTCAACTGCAAGGTGGCCATGCAACGCATACCACACACACGCACACACACCACCGCACGCACACGACGCACACGATTAAGACATGAAGAGCTTAGTCCATAGTGTGCGGCTAGCCCGCGGTCGATGATGGTACAAACCTTGATGACGCGGTCGTTGGACGTATCGCGCACCGGCTTCATGTAGATCACAGGCCGGCCGAACTTGTCGTGCTGGCCATTGAAGTACATCTTGATCACACCATTTCATTTCGTGTGCGCGGCCCACATCGCACACGCGCAGAGATCAGAGACGACACGACACGAATGTCAGAAGTGCCCACGACATCACATGACAAGAGTGGTGTGCACGAGAAGACGGCCAATGAAGTGTAGAGCAGGGTGAGGTCACTACACAACGGTATTACCTTGCCCTGCTCCGCTTCAGGCTCAATGTCTTCCGCGGTGATGAGTTCCGGTCTGTACTCGGCACGCCAGGCCAGGGTGGCCCTGATCATTTCCTGTTGCATAATTTAATGAATTAATTAATCACACAACATTTAGTATTTGATTTATTATTCGATGCTTGGGACTTGCATTAAATCAATCTTTGGGGGGGGGGCAATACCTCGGCTTTGTCGAGGTCCCAATCGCGAGCTCGCAGGTACCGGCAGAGGCACATGTCGTCCAGCCACCGCCGCTGATCATCCGTCAACTCGCCGGCGTCAGCCTCATCGCGTTCTTCGGCAGCTGCCTTCTCTTCATCGCCGGCCTTCTCCTTCTCCTTCTCCTTCTTCGTCGTGGTGTGTTTGCCCTCTTTACCGCCGGCCGCGGTCTTCCGGAACAGGCGCGCCCGGAAGGCCTCGAGCGCGTCCGTCTGTTCTGCCGTCAGCGTGCCCCGTACCGTCCAGCCCCCTTGTTCCTCCTCCCCAGCCGACATGTTGGTGCTCGTTCGCGTTCTTCCTCTCCCTCCGGCCGGACCTCCACGCACTAATACCGCGCCAAGGACCGTTTCCTTCGCTTCTCTTCGCTTTTCTCTGCCTCTCGCAGTTCAGCAGCTGCCTCGCGCAGTTCAGCCAATGGCCGACGCGCAATGCGCGCTTCGCGCAGCGGCCGACGCACAAACGCTCCCAACTAAGTGGTCGTGGGCTGTAGGAGCTGGTGGCACCCACCACCCATACATTGGACCATTGCGCGGGTGCACCACGGAGCGTGCAAGGCCTTCTTGTGCACAGTGCTTCTGGAGGCCTCGCCGCGACGACGATCTGGTTGGAGAAGAAGGTTGGATCTGGGGCGTATTCTTGTCCGCCTCTGGCGCGTTAGTGCGTGAGGTGGGATTTTTCACAGTAGGGTTTCCATGAGGATTGGCTCATGCTCAGCACTGGCAAGGGCCGTTCACACACAACGCGTGCGTGTTTGTACGCGAGGTGTAGGCGCGCAACCGGTGTTGAGGTCGCCGCACCAGCCTCAACGGGCACATGTACCCTGGGTTGGCAGCTGGCCTACCAGTTTCTGATGGAACTCATCGAAGCTGACGTGGGATGTCACGGTTGGTGGGATTTCTCTGTGCGTTCTCGGGAAAGTGTGGGCCTGATCTTGGAACCTTCTTCGCCTGCCTTACTGGGAAGGGGCCGGGTCGCCGAGCTGCGCAGCCGTCTCCCTTTTCACCGCGGCCCTACGTACGGCGCTCTCCCGATACGACTGGAGCGCGCCTGTCTGTCCACTTCCCACGAGCGCGCGTGACACGGACGTCTGTTCACCGGCTCCCTTCTATAAAGGCCTGCCCACGTAGGTCCAAGCTGGTCACAACACTCAACCACACAAGAGCGAGCGGATAAGAACAGATACTGCGCGCAGCCGATAGTCACGGACACACATACATACGCACGTACAGCATGAAGAGACTCTACAGCGAGACACAACAACACCACCAGCAGCACCACAACCAAGGAAAGAGCGGCGCCGAGGCGTCGGACCTGGTGAAGAAGCTGGTCGGCGAGATAAGCGTGGAGCGCGAGAAGAAGCGACGGCTCGAGTGGTACCTGAGCGAGGTGATGAAGGAGAGGGAGCAGCTCATGCGTGAGAACAGCGAGCGAATGCAGAGCCTCAACCTCGAGGCCGCCTGCACAACGCCAACATGCACGACGAGCTCGATCGAGCCGCCGCAGTTCACGCGCAGCACCAGCGGCATCTGCGACGAGTACCACTCGCCCATGCTTAGGGAGGGCTCCACCACATCGTCGCCTTCGTTGTCCCCACTGTGCTCCTCGCCGACGCTGACCACCGCGCCGCTGCTCGAGTCGGGTACCACGGAGGAGCTGTGCTGCGGCACCGCACCGGCCTTCGTCGCGGTCAAGTGCGAGCCCATCATCGACGAGGAGAGCCTGGGCCAGCAGTTCGGCACGACCACGACTTCGTCCACGGCGAGCTTCTTCTGCACCGAGGAGCACCGACCATGCATGGACGAGCCCACGCTCGTGCCGGCGAGCTGCGAGTGGCTGGCGGAGGAGCCCACCACCACCACCACGTTGCGAAGCTTGGATAGTGGCAGCTCGTGCGCGCAGGAGGCCAAGAAGGAAGAGCTCGAGGGCTGTCTCGACCTCGACGTCAGCTGGTTGGGGCAAACCGATGAGCAGGACCTCATCAGCACTCTCCAAGAGTACTTCAGCTGATGCTCTGCTCTACTCCAAAAGTGTCCACCACTTTGTACCAAACAGCACTCTATTTTACAATGCATGTATAGCCAACACAGTCTTCCACGTCCTGGCCTTTTCTTGTTGCGCGAAGGCGCCGTGGTGGTTCATGTTGTGAGATTCACGCGACTCTGGCGCTTGGTTGTCCCACAGGCCTTTGTAGGCAGTGCGTTGATTGGTCCAAAAAATCAAAGACAAGACGCGAGTGGACGGAATTCAAATAGCAGTTTGCGGCTAGCACACGAAATGTTCTGCAGCAGCCGACGTGTGATTTCAGACAGCACACAACCATCTACTCGCATCAATCGCGACTTATACTTCCCATCTTCGATATACACGAATCATGTTTGGATCGTCGAAGGCCGAGCCCGTTTTCCACCCCAAGGCTGGTGATGATTTCATCAGGAGGGTCGAGGAAAGCGATTTGCAGATCGTGCTGAGGGACGACGCGGACCTCTACGATTCCACGAGCTTCGTGATTACGGGCAAGGACAACTCGCTCATCTTCATCCAGGCGATTGTGGCCAACATGAGGCCCATGTACACCAACCAGGTGGGCATTCACATCAAGTACGTCAATCCTGCTGGCAAGGCTACCTTCTTCTCGCACAAGTACGGCGACAAGCAGTGGAGCTTCGACGATACTACCATCACCATCGGTGGCTTCAAGATTGTGCGCAATCCTGAGGCCAATGCTTACCACATCACTGTATGCTCCCAGCAATCTTCCCTTTTGAGTGCTGATTACGAAACTGATGAAGCGTGAATCGTCAATGTGTGTGGGCAGGTGGACGATCCCGAGTGCAAGCACATCAAGGGCGAGCTCATCGTGCAAAGCAGTGAGGGAGGCGGCGTCAAATTCGGTGACGATGGCAAGACTGCCTTCGCTGAGGACCGCTCCGCCTACTCCTCCATGTTTTACGCCATCCCTCGCGCCACGGTATCCTCCCTCTTTCGTTGCGCTCGCTCCTTTCCTTCTCCTCCAGCCCACCGCTCCTGCTTGGCCGGCTTAGCCTGCGTCCGTGCCTTACGCGATGTGTTGTGTGCGTGTGATAACAATCACAGATCACGGGTGCGCTGTCGGTCAAGGGCGAGAAGGTCGAGGTGGACGCGTACGGCTTCGTGAGCCACTTTGTGCAGAACATGAAGCCGCACAAGGCCGGCCTCAAGTGGTCCATGATGAAGTTCCACGCCGAGGAGCTTTCCCTCGTGTCCGATCTGCTCCTCACCCCCAAGCAGTACGGCAAGGAGGAAATCTCGCACGGCCTCTTCGTCTACAAGAACAAGCTGACCGCCGTCACCGTGGACAACAGCATCACCTACCCCACCACGCAGTACGACAAAGGTGCGCAGCTCTCGCCTCACTCTGCTGTAGCTCCATCAAACGCGTCGGTAGCCTAACGTGTTGCTTGCCGTAGATACTGGTTACGAGATGCCCACGTCGGCTGAGTACGTGTGGCGCGGCAAGACGCTCGAGGGACAGGACTTCCAGGCCGTGATCAGGCTCACGCCCACCAACCTCATCGACAAGGTCGACATCCTCGGCCATCTGCCCTGGGCTCTGAGAATGGTGATCAAGGCGTTCGTCGCCCGTCCCTTCCACTACCAGTGGCTCGACACCGCCACCGCCACGGTGACCATCGGCGAGGAGACCATCACCGTCGAGGGCAAGGCTCTCCACGAGGTCACCTTCATCAACCCCGAGTAAGCCCTCAACTCTCGTCCGCACCCCGCCTCCTCCCACTTCTTCTTGTTCTCTCTCGGCTTCTCTTTCCGCAACCCAACACAGTCTCGTTCTCACTCATGGAGGAGACTCAACTTTTTTTCTTGGTGACACGAGCTACGACACCATGTGGCGCTCACTCACTTCGCTCCGTCGTGAGTGGATCGAAGATGACGATGACGACGGTGATGTCGTCCCTGCTTCCGCGTCGCTTGGCCCGCTTGCAGAGCCCGCGGCAGATGTTGTCGAGGAAGTCGGCCGCCGACTGCCGCAGCTCGTTGAGCTCGCGCTGGCCCTCGCTCTGGCCGCCCGCCTGCGCCTTCTCCCGCTCCTCCTCCTCCTTGAGCCGACGCCACTTGAGTACTTCGGGGCTCACGTGGTCGACCACCATCTTGTTGTCCATCACGTCCCACAGGCCGTCGGTGGCCAAGACGAGGAAGTCGTCTTCCGGCTCGAGCGTGTGGACGGTCATCTCGGGCACGGCGATCACCACGCCCTCCCTGACGCCCTTCAGCTTCTTCATCTCGCTCTCGCTCTTCTTCTTGTTCTTCCCTTTGCTGTTGTTCTTCGCCCTCTTCGTCGTTGGCGTCGTCGTTCCGCTCTCCGTCGTCTTTTCCTTGCTCACCGTTGCATTGGGCACAACTCTACCAACGCTGCTGCCGTTGCCGTTCGACGTCGTGCCGTTGCTGTGTCCGGCGTCTCTCTCATCCTTCTTGTCGCCCTCCACCTTCTCCTCCTTCTCCTCCTCCTCTTTTTCGTCCTTCTCTTTCTCCTTCTTCTCCTCGCTCTGTGGTGAGGTTGAGTCTTCGCTGACAGCTCGAGGGGGCATGGCAGGCGATGCGGTCTCGTCGCTCTCATCGTCGTTGTTGTCGTTGTCATTGTCGTCGGGCTTCTCGTCTTCGCCCTCGTCGCTTCCATTGCTCTCTTTCTTCCTCTTCCCCTTCTCGTTACTCGTCGCTTCCTCTTCACCTCCTCCTCCTTCTCCTTCTTCTTTTCTCGCCCCTACGTCTCCTCCCTCCTGTGCCTGCTGCTCTGCTGCTTTCCGCTCGGCCTCCTCGGCGGCCTTGCGCTCCTCCTCCTCGACCTTCCGCCCTTCGCCGCCCTTGACCGTGCCTCGTCGCATCTTGCGCCCTCGCATCCTCCCCTTCTCCAGAGGGTCGCCGAACGAACGCGACGGAGCCAACACCCCGAACACTGTTAACACCCACCCACGCCACCAACCACCGACACCACCACCAGCACTGGCGATTAGTTGATCAACGCCTTCTCCATCACCTTCGTCATCATCAACCGCCATAGCGTGAGGCGTTGGTCAGGAGGAGTGGTACCGCGCCCGCGACGAATCCACCCGCCAGCGGCGATGATGCGCTGCCTCTCGTAGGACGCGACGGCCTTGAGATCGCGCGTGAGCGGTACGGCCGTGCAGCGGATCTTGTCCTGGGTGAGCGTCTTCAGGAACGAACTGCTGTGCTGTACTCTGTGGTGTATGTGCGCCGCGCGTCTTCATCAGCGTGGATGCGCGTCTTCATCATCGTCATCGTCATCGGTGGTGGTGGTGTAGTACCGGAGGTTGACGCGCTTCTTCCTCTCGCGTGTCTCGATCTCTTCGACGCGGCTGGCCTTGGCGAGGGTGAGTCGGCCGATGATGCTGCCCTTGACCTTCTTGCGGCCGATCAGGGCGCGCGAGTCCCCCAGGTTCGCCACGTAGAGGCGGTCGCCCTGGTGCACCACCGCCACCGCACAGGCGCCGCTGATGTCGTCCCTCCGCTCGTTGATCGCCAGCACCTCCTCCTCTGTCTTCGCGAAGCCGTGCAGTATCGCCTCCTCCATCCTACCCACACGCCACACCCAGCAAATGAATAAAATATTTTACAAGAATAATATTGTTTTATAATATATGAAATTAATAAATAAAACTAATGAAGAGGCAGTGTACAGTGTCGGGCCTGGCTCTGCGTCGCCGTCGGAAGGGAAGAAGAGGGAGTGATTGGGCGGACTGAAGATGTGCGCGTGGAGGGCCTTGGCGACGTGTGTCACCGCCAGGTCGCCGGCATGGCCGTCATAGACGGCAAAAAAGCCGGGACTCGCCGACGCCGAAGATGAAGATGAAGATGAAGAAGACAGAGGCGAGGGCGACGAAGTCAACGCCCAGGCCTCGTTGCCACAAAATTGTACGAATCGATCCTCGTTCGCGTGCGTGGGTCCTTCCAGCGAGCAGACCCCCACCCCCCGCACCTTCATCTTTTTTGCTCTCTTCTTCTCTTTTCGATTCAGTTCATTCAACCTTTCTTTCGATTTACTTTTTTTAATTGTTCAGAGTTAAATCCAAGGATTTATCCGGGCATTTCCACTCTTGCTCGAAAAGGCACCACCAGCAGATTTGGGGTGGAGAGAGAGCCAGCTGGCCCAGCTCACGAAACCAGGCTCTGGTGGCGAAGAGGTGAGACCATAATAGGATCTGACAGAGCCCACAGATCAGCATCGTAATCTTTTGACGATTTCGATTGATTGCAGCATTCTAGGGAGGCCTTGGAGAATCCCCTGCGCGCTTTCAGATGGAAAAGACGGTGTTGGAAGTGGAGCCGGGGGCGGCCACAGATCAGCAGGCACAGCCCCACCAATCACCCCCACCATCTGGGAAGGGCGATGGCCGCAAGTCCCTTCTGGGGGATGCGGAAAAGCTAAAGGAGCTGCGCTACGTACGCCCCCCCCCAGCCATCAATCTTGTTCCTCGTCGAAGGTGCTAGAAGGAACCCTTCTTGGCTCATCAACGCCGCGCAAAACAGAACACATCCAAGGTAGAACGACATCTCAAACAGCTTGTAAAATCGGGGGAGGAGCTACAGAAAGCGAGAGAAGGCACGCTCCACTCTGATCCATTGACTCGGCTTGCTCTGCGCCCTGACACTTGCCGTTCTCTTCATCTCGTTCTCTCGCTCTTTCTTCACAGAGTTGTATGTCAAAGAGCAGCAGTGGGTAATGGACATGGTGGACTTTAACCTTCATCACGATGTGCGATGTACGCCTTCCATGCTCTCGTGTGCGGTTGATGGCTGCACAGTCCCTCGGCTCACTGTATGTCGTGCAGCGGATAAGCACCCAGCGTGTGTGCTGGCAGCAACGTTAAAGGACTTGGCTCGCCAGATGTACTACCTGGTACGCAGCTCCATCACTATCTCTGTCGCGACCATTGCGAATGGACCTCTAAGCAGACAGAGTTTTATGCTATAGAATAAGGAAGTGCAGGAGGGAGTGATGCAGCCAATGAAACAGTTCCTGCAAGTGGAGGTGAATGGGTCGGTGGAGATGCAGAAGAAACTCGACATGGCACGGGACCGATATCAAACCGCTTCCACCAAGTTCTCGGGCGTCTCGCACAAGACCGACATGACACACTTTACCAAGGTCTGTTCCTCCACCTCACTAGCACAGCTGAACAATGCACTCACCCAAGCACATGCGCAGTGGGAGAACGAGGTCGCAGAGTCGAAGCAGGAATACGATCTGATCTACTTCAATGGCATGACGAAGATGATGGAGGTCGAGAGGAACAAGATCCATCTCATCCACTCGCTCTTTTACCACTTCTATGTCACCTACCAACGCTTCTTCGACACCACGGGCCAGACCTTTGACTCCATCGTACGCACTCTCCGCGCTTCGCCTAACTTATTCATTTCTGACTTTCTTAAATGGTCAGATGCCCGAGATGCTACTCTGGAAAGAAGCCATCGACGAGGTGCGTTGCGTTTAGCGCGTCCTTATGACGCTTTGCTTTGGCGCTTACTTCGCGATTGCACCTTCCCAGGGGCGGAAGAGAGCTAGGGAGCAGGCGGCTGAAAATGACGACATCATGATGGACCACGTATCGAAGCTGCAGCAGGTAGCTACACCCCTCTTCCATTCTGCTGTATACGACGCCGTCCGCTCACAATTCGGATCGCCAGTCGGGTTTCAAATCGCGAGAAGCGCTTGAGCTGAAGTCGCCACGGGTAAACATGCTGGGCAATCCGGTGGAGCCCGATAGGCAGGGGTACCTCTTCAAGAAGATCCCCAAGAAGGGAAAGGGTTGGAAGTGCTCCTGGTTCGTCCTCGAGAGGGGGATCCTCATGTACTATAAGAACATCAGGGTGCGCCGCCCAACCTCGTCAGTTCTCCCAACAACCTCGGTTTTCGCTGATGTGCGGATTCCTTGGGCGCATACGCAGAGGGAGGTGCCGGATGGAGGCTTGAATCTTCTCCTGTGTACAGTCAAGGAGGTCCCCGAGAAGCATCTTTGCTTCCAAGTAATCTCCACGGATGACCAATTCAATCTAAGGTAGAGCGTGCAAACCAACACCAATATTGAGATGATGTTGCTGCTAACACGTATCCTCTGGACAGAGCAACAAACGAAACAGAATACGCAGAGTGGGTAAGCGCATTGCGTAGTGGCATAGCCTCGCAGCTAGCCGGCGGAGAGGACTCCTCGGATCCGAGAAGGCTACCCTCGGCAAGCAAGAGCAGTCTAGTACAGGAACTCTGGCCGATCGAAGGCAACAGCAAGTGCGCTGACTGCGGTCAAAAAGGCACGTAGGCCTCTAGGCTAGAATGGTGACCTGACTGGTCCGCCGGCTAACTGATCTTTTCTGACCTGCAGATCCCTACTGGGCAGTGCTCAACTGGGGCGTGCTGATCTGTGTCAAGTGCTCCGGCACACATCGAAGTCTGGGCGTGCACATATCCAAAGTCCGGTCGCTCGATTTGGACAAATGGGAGCCGCAGCAACTGGGGGTGCGTTCTGACCTGGCCGGCTCCCTCCTCCGTTACAATGAGTTGACCCATCGTGTGCAATGTGACCAGTTGATGAAATCGATCGGTAACGCTCTCTCCAATACGTTGTGGGAAGCCGATGTACCGGAAGAGTGGGCCGCACAGCGACCAGAGCCAGAATCAGATGGGTATGCCTCCGTCGCAAAAGGCCTTATCTCCCGCCAACAATAACGCTGACCTCTCGCCCGAGCAGCAAAACTAAGGAACGGTGGATCAAGACCAAGTATGTCGACAAGGCGTTCATTCATCGGGCAAACTTAAGTCCGAATGAGTTAGGCCAGGTACCGACCGCCCTCCCACTTCGTTCTTGGCGTTAGCCACGAGGTTACTGTGTCGTTCCAGCTAACAACACGCCCTATCGCGCAGAACCTGCGAGATGCGGTGCTGGCGAAGGATTACACTGGCGTTTTGAAGAGCATTCTCCTGGGGGTAGACATCAACTGGGCCGACCCCGAGGATAGCTCGCGCACGGCGATTCATGTGCTGCCCTTCTCCGGCGGCACTGCAGCGATGCTGGAGTTCCTCTTGCAGAACGGTGGCGAGGTCAACGCCGAGGACGCCAGGTTTTCGCCCATCCCAGCACATAACAATCTGTGCCTCCGTAGCCAGCGAGCTAACCCGCTCACCCGACAGCAAACGAACACCGCTACACTACGCCGTTGAGAGTGAGCGGCCCGACCTTTGCAAGATCATGCGTTCGCGTGGAGCGTCACTGGCCAAAGTCGACGCAGAAGGTACCCACCGGCCCTTCCCCTAGGTGCAGATCCCATTGCTAAATTGCCTTTGCACTCTCCAGGTCGCACACCGTTGGAGTTGGCAGAGAGTTTGAAGCATGAGGGCTGCGCGGCGGTGCTGAAGGACGAAAGGAAGGAATCGATCGGGGCCGAGCCGCTCACGCCCAAGAACTCGTTCACCGGGATGGGCTCGGCTGCGGCGGCCAGCGGTGCGTCGCCGCCGGAGGACATATCCAAGGCCCTGCGCGGCAGCCTCAACTTGCTCAGTAGCGGATTTTCCGGCTCGCCGGGGCCATCGCGGAGGGAAGTCAAGGAGAGGGACCGATTCCAGCGGACCACCACACCGCCGGGCAAGCTCAACAAACCGCGGCTCATCACCATGATCAAGGACCAGGTACCGCGCCCTCTCCCTTGCCCCCTCCCCTCAAAGCCGTTGGTGCTGAGACTGAGGATGTGTGAAACACGCAGGTGATTGGTAGAAAGAAGGCATTCACGATCAGCGAGCCGCGGCTGGGCGCCTTGCCCAAGGACCGAGACGAGCTGGGCTCCCCATCGGGCGGCGTGGCGACGTCGCCTGTCCGCCGATTGAAGGGTTCGTTCGAGGGCGTGGACGACTACGCCCTCGAGGAGGACGACTCGGCCGCATCGGCTTCTGATTCCGAAAACGAGTCCAGCAGCGCCGGCGAGAGGTCGACCCGCCCGCCGTCGCACACGATCGCCGCAACGACTCGAAGGAGCGATGGCCTTCCGCCGGCCCTGCGGAACAGTTCGGATGGCGCCAGCTCGGACGGAGAGACGCCATCGATCAATGGCAACGAACAGCGGAAGGCCCGACACACCGACGCACCACTGGTGAAGGGAGTGATCCCTCGCGCGCGGCGGCGCAAGTCCACCGACCTCACGCCCATCGTGCTGGGGCAAGCCCGCGAGCGCAAGGACAGCAGAGCGTCGCCAGGTGGTGAACCGACACCACCAGGCACTACCGCCACCAGCGGCAGCAGCACCAGCAGCAGTCACAACAACAACAACAGCGCCAGCGGTGCGACCAAGGAGAAGGAGGTGGACAACACGAAACGGGATCAGGTCAGAAACATTACTTCGAGCGCGGCCTACGCCACGCCGCCGAAGAGGAACAACTCGACCGAGTGGGTCAAGTCGCCCAGCCGGGCCACGGCGAGCGAGCGGGGCTTGTCATCGTACTCCTCTGCCGGCACCACGATGTCGTCATCGCCCCCGACATCCTCTCCGCTCTCCACCTCCAGCGGTACGCTCTCGTCTACGGCCACGATCTCGTCGTCCCTGCACGTCTCCACCCCCGATTCCCGTCGGCGACGAAAGAGCGACGCGACGAGCATGGGCGGGACCATGCGCGAGACAACGCGCAAGAAGGGCAAGAAGAAGCAGGTGCAGCTGCAACCAGACGAGCTCCAGCTCCAGCCCGAGCCGCCTTTGCCTTTGCATTCACCTTCACCTTCGCCCTCACCATCGCCGTCGGCCTCAGCCTCGGCCTCACCCAGCGGCGGGGCGTTGCCGCAGCTGTCTGTCGACCCACCGCCCAAGGAGGGTTCCAGCGGCGGCAAGACCGTGGGCAAGAAGCTGCGCTCGCTGCGACACTCGTTCGGGCGGCGCGATCAGCAGCAGGAGCTGCAGAAGGAGACGGCCACGTGGAGCTCGGCCACCAACCTCTCGCCCTCCGCCTGGGAGAGCGGCTCCGGCCAGATCGCCACCAGGAGCGGCGAGCCTGCCCTCGGTCGCAGCGGCAGCGACATCCAGCGCAGCAGCAGCAAGAGGGATCGGCCCAGTCTTGGCGAGTGGGAGCTATGATGAGGTGTTGGCGAGTTGGGACGCTGCGTGAAAGAAAATTGACAGTTTTTTTTTGATTCAGTCTCAGTGCCACTGAACGGCAACGTTGCGCTACTACACTACATGCCTGGTGCCTACTCGTCAGACGCGGGTTTGGCGGCCTCCTTCTCCTTGGCCTTGCGGTCGGGGTCGCTCTCCTCCTGCTGCTCCTCTCCCTCCTTGGCCTGCTTCTCCCGCTCTTCCTCTTCGCCTTTCTTCAGCCACGCGATGTACTCGTCCGCGTCAAACACAAAATCGCTGTCGCCCGCGTACACGGCCGGCAGATCTTTCAGGTCGATGTACTCCTGTGTGTGTGTCGCCGTGTCGTCGAAACAATCAGAACGATCTTTTGACAAAGGGCGGGAAAGGGCGGGAGGCCCGCGCACCTCCAAAACCTTTCGCTTGTCCTTGTCGCTGCCGCTCACAAAGACGACCTTCTTGAGCGTCTTGGCGTCGACGAACGGCGAGATGACCTTCCAGAAGGCCCGGAAGAGGAACGGCGCGTCCACCAGGATGAGCACGCCCAGCCGCTCGGGGTAGTGGTTCTGTAGCATCAACACCGTCATCATCGTCATCATCAACAAAGCCCGAGTTCAGGCCTGATCGACACTGTGGCTGCACGTACCTGCAGTGTGCTGAGCAGCTCGCGCGCGAATCCGGCCTCGCCGTTGTACTTGAAGTTGTAGTTCTTGCAGTTCACGCACCACACCATCTTCTCCACTCCTCGCTCCTTCTCCATACGCTGCGAGTAGTAAGATTGGTGTCAGTGCGCGTGTCCCTGAGGAGTGAAAACCCGGGTGGTGTGCGCAGGCACCTTGATGGTCTGTTCGAGCGTGAAGATCATGAACTGCAGCTTTTCGAGGCGGGTGTGCGGGTCGGGCTTGTCGGCGACCTTGAGGTAGACCATGGGCCGTCGGAACTTGTCGTAGCCGTGGTGGTACTGTGTATCGTTCCTCAGGAGTCAGCCGAGCGCTGCAACACACAAGGCTGCGTTGAAGGGGGATGGGCCACGTCGTACCATGCCGCCAATGCGGATCGAGGAAGCGATCATGTCGGTGGTGATCTCGTCCGGCTTGAAGTCCGCGCGCCACTGTGCGCAAATGCACCGAAGCGACATTTTTAATTACAAAAAGTACCGAAGAACACGCGGCGAGGTGAGGTGGTGCGTACCTTCATGGTCTCCACGATCATGTCCCTGGCTGAGTCGAACTTCCAGTCGCGCGCCTTCAGGTACCGATAAAGCGTGTAATCTGGTGGTGGTGAAGCGGCCAAAAGGTCAGCAGACAGAAAGAACGAAAGCGAAAGCGAAAGAAGAGAGGGAGCTCGTGCAAGGGGAGGACGCGTACCGTCAAGAAACTCTCGCTCCTTCTTTGTCCATTCACCCGCTTCCTAATGTCACAAAGAAGATGAGCCGGCTGAGATGAATGAAATGAGATGTGAATTTGCAATTCGTGCCTGAACAATCTGCCGGAATTCGGCAAGTTTGGCCTTGGCATCCTCGTCCAGCTGCGCTAGTGTGGGAGCATCCACACCCAACACATTGATCTGCGGGATTTCTGAAACCCACTGAGTGAATCGGACCTGCAATAATTTGCTAGCAAAAAAGATAGCAAAATGAGAGAAGATGGCCACACACCTTGATCGTCTTCCATTCTATCTGACCAAGCACCAACTGCGTGCGACGAGTTGCAAGTCAATATTTGTTTTTTCAATTTTATTTTAATTTGTGTTTCTGTTTCGTTTTTGTTTGGTTGGTGGTTCCGACTTTTCTCGCCAATGGCAACAATAAGAGGCCAAAAGAAAAAATGAATTTCCTTTGTTTTCGGGGAGGGCGAACAGCGCACGCCGAAAAGATAGATTCCACGCGTGGCAGTCATCTGTCTGACGTGGGCCGAGCAACAAAAGGCGAAGGCCGCCTGCATAATTACAAATTACAAATGGAGTTGGAAATCAGAGATTTGCTTGGCTACCATAAACGGGCCGTTTACGCGCTCCTTCTACTATTCGCTTTCCTCTACGCGTACGTGCCCACCCCCGCACTTCTTGCTCGATCATTGAATGACACATCATGATTGCTCAGGGAGGGTGTCCTGTTGGGTGCCGTCACCGATCTCGACGTGTGCGCATCCGATCGCTTCACAATTCGATCTCAGCAGGCGACGCTGTGGCACACCCACCGCTCCCTCTCGTCTCTCGTCTTCACCACTTCTGTGTGGGCTCTTCTCATCTTCCTCGCCGTTCTCGTGACGTGGGGAGAGAGCAAAACGAACAGCTCCGATGTACGTAGTGCCATACCTTGGTCACAGTCGTGCGGCCCACCTGACCACTCTTCTTCCTGTGCAGTTCTACATGCCTCAGATCCAATGGAACTGGAACACGTTCTTTGGTGCCGCCTTCCTGCTGTTGTGGTACATCCCACTACACCACCTTCTGGCAGGCCCTCGTGCACTCGCTTGCAAGTCTAACACGCGCGTTGTGTGTTCAGGTACGGAAGCACGTATGCGATGATCACAGTGCTCAAGGTCGTCTTGGGCGACACTTCTTGTGGGGGTGAGAAGAGCAACAGGTACAACGCATCATCGGTCGCCGATGCCTTTGATTGGCTCAGCAGTTTTAGGACTCATGCCTTTCTCTTACTGCAGTGTGTCCGGCCACTTCAGCTTCTTCTTCTTCTACGGCGTGAGTATGCCCTACCTGGCCCTTACTCTCCTGCCCTACGACAACGCTCGCCTGGCCTTCCGCAGCATCCTCAGCCCGAAGTCGACCTTCCACTTCAAGCTGGCGCTCCTCTCGCTGTGCTACGCCGTCTTCCTCTTCGGTGGACTCTACACTCTGACGCAGACCTGGAGCTGGGGCTATCACTCGATGCGACAGATCATCTACGGCGTCGCCTTCGGTCTGGCCAGCCACCTTGTCCTGCGCAAGATCTTCAAGCAGGCGGCCTCGTCTTCGTCGGCTCGCACCCTCGCCGTGCCGACCCGCCTTCCGGCCAACGCGGACGAGTTCCAGGTCCTCGTGGAGGACTTCTTCCCCCTCTCCTACCTCGCCATCTTCAATGCCGTGTCGGTGTTCCTCGTCATCCTGTTCACCTTGAGCTTCCCCTTCAACATCTACGAGACCATCGGCTTCTTCGTCCTCTGGCCCTCCATCACCTACGCCTTCCAGTACGAACCTCTACACCGCTCTACCTCTCTCGTGTCGTTGATGATGAAGTCTCACGTTACGCTTCCTCTACTCGTTCCAGCTTCCTCCACGGCCACTTCAATTCTCACAGCACCGTTGATTAGTCAGTTGTGGCCTTCTTCTCTCTCGCTCTCTTGTGAATACTGCGCTCGACTTGGTACCACCTCTACCTTGATGATGGTGATGCGTACTACTCCTACGCGAATAAACAGTTTTGACCCAAAACCGTGTGCCACGTCACGCCACGTCAGCCACCAGTTTTGGCGCGGTGCTCGACTGCCGGTAGGCAGGGGCTGACGCCGCCGGCAAAGGCGGCATTTCGCTTTACTCTTTGGCTACGACACGGAGGCCAGGACAGGTACATCGGCCCAGTGACTACGCCGAATGGACCTGATGATGAGTAGCAAAGTCGTCGACGTCGGCGGGATGTCCAAGTACCGGTTCAAGAAGCTGAAGACGATATGGCGCGAGAGATGGGAAGCCGAACAAGAAGGCAACAAAGAGAACGTACCGCCCTTCGTCATCAACGGCTCGCTCAAGGTATACCCGACAAGTCGTCCGCTACGCGATACGAAAAGGAGGCCGCTAGCCGCTATTCAAGTCGAACCTACGTCACCACTACCGCTACCGCCATCGCGTAAGGAAGTGAAGTCGCACGCCCCTGCTGGTGTAACGCGTGCACCGCTACCGAGATCGATGCAGCCCCACCAGGCCCCGGGTTCGCCATTGTCGCACAGCGAGAGGAAGCCGTCTAAGGCCCGCGCCTTGTTCTCTCCCGAGTCGCCCGAGCTCGCCCTCGGCAAGAAGTACCCTCCCGACCACGCACCGACAGCTGTGCCAGCCAAGCGTCGTCGAGGTCGGCCGAGAAAGACGCCGTTGCCCGTGGAGCAAGCTGCTACCAGGACGAAGCCCTCGGCATCCCCTCCGCCTGACGCCAACAGAAGACGGCTGTTCGCAGAGACGCAGAGGTCGGGCTCAGAGAGGCGAGCGAAGCTCCTCGCTAGGGAGCATCTCTTCAGCGCAGGTGAGCAAGGCGAGGCCACAACAGGCGGTAGCGACTGGGAAGGGGTCGAGACCGACGAGGACGAGGAAGAACCTTCAGACGTCGAGGAAGACCATTGGGACGACGAATACGCACCCGATACGACACGCGCCGTCAAGGAACGTAAGCGACCGCGCCTCCCCAGCCTCAGCCTGCGGGGTGTCGCCGGGCAGGAGATGAAGTTCGACATGAAACGCATAGGCATCCAGACGGAGGAGATCATCAAGCTCATCAACAACGAAGAAACGAAGGAGAACATCATCCAGAAGACTGGCTTCTCCCCGAACTACGTCATGAAGCTGCAGAGAAGAGTGCTTCGAGCCTCACCGAGTAAGCGCCCTCACTTGCCGTTTGTCTGTAGAAGCGCTCCATCTCACTCGTTGCGTGCTTCTCAAGGTCTGCAGCCGCGGCCCTGCCACGAGCACAGCATCCTGGGCAAGGAGCTGCACGTGCTCTACGGGATCCACGACGTGCCGATGTTCATCTGCAAGGAGCTCTGCTACATCCTGTCCGTGTCCGACACCTCTCTCGCCTACTGGAAGAAGAAGGTCCACGCCGAGGAGCTCGAAACCTCGCAGGACTTCAAGCTCATGTGCGGTCTGCCTATCGTCTTGTGCTTCGAATCGCTGACCTTGGTGGCCCTGAAATGGTAGGGATCAATGCCGCGAGATCTTCGGAGGTCGAGCCAGCTACACGGTACGCAGGCATCTCCTCTTGGTCATCATCGAGAGCATTGCGCCCTAACTCTTCTAGGACCAGCTCTTCCCTGCTAGTTCGCTCATGAAGATGCTGCTCGAGATGGAGAAGTCCAAGCAGAACACTTTCGAAATTCCCGCGTTCGGCAAGTTGATGGAGAAGGTGAAGCTTTACGTCGAGGAAGAAGAAGGAGGAGCCGACGAGGGATCCGCCTAGTCTCGAGAGCAACGTCACGTACGCTTCTCCTTAATGATCTGCGTCACGTAAGCAGCGAAGTTAACGTCGAACTTCTGCGCCTCCTTCTGGCTCAACAGGCTCTTTCGATAGTCGAACAGCGTGTGGAAGCCCAAGAACGCGGCAAACACTTCCACCTGTACAGTTCACGCACATCTTCGGTCAATCGAGCATTCGCACAACCAAGAAGAGTGGTGTACGAACGATTCGCTTCCACTTTGTCGTCTTAGCGCATGACTCGAGCGATCCCGAGCAGTTCTTGCAGAGCAGTGCGAAGTCACCTCTCGCCTCCTGAGTTGCAATGTGATCAATTTGGCCGATTGCCGAGTGGGCGTGCAGTGTGTGGTGGTACCTCGCTTTGCGCGCACTCGTCGGTCACCAGGAGCAAGATCACCGAAGCGATCAGCATGAAGCGACAACTGTCCTGCAACTGTACAAAGGAGGTACGATGCCGCTTCCAAGCCTGCCCACCGCCACCCTACATCAGATGGCTCGCCAAGGAGCAGTGAAGTAACGACTTGCAAGGGTACCTTCCTGGACGCCACCATGTCGTAGAGGCTCGAGTACTTCTCTGCGACCTGCGAAAGGTGACATTTCGAGCTTAGCTACGGAGCAGTGCGTGCCAAGCGCTTCCCATCCGTACCTCACGCAAGAAGGACGCCACCTGGTCTGCCAACGTGCTGAGTATCTCCACCTTGCTCTGCTCCCGAAGCGAGAAGTGTGCCGTCATCCGGTACTTGGATCCGACCTCCTCCTCCTCGTCGTCTGTTCTCCCCCGTTCCTCGCTCGCTCGCCCATCGCCATCAAGTAGCACGTAGTCGATCGGCAGGAACCCACCGGGGAGGAAGCAGAGCGCGCCGTATCGCTTCATGATCGCCTCCTGCAGCTGCTGCGCCATCCGCACCGCCTCGGCTTCCACGCCCTCGAGCGTGAAGGTGGTACCACCTTCTCTCGCACTCGTCTCGTCGGCGCCTTCGCTTGTCTGAGGCTTCAGGCCGTTGGGCACAGGGCTCGCCTTGAGCCTCTCGTCGAGGGCCTTGAGGTGAATGAGCTGCGCGTAGCACTTCTTCATCCTCTCCTTCAGGTAGGCCCGCGGGTGGTAAGCCGGCTGGTAGTTCGCCACGAACAGGTGGCTCTTCGTTATCGAGTCGCAGTTCAACGAGACGACGTATGCCCTCTCCCCGAGCTTCTCCTTGTCTCGACTCTTCTCGTCTACTTCGCTTTGCTGCTGGGCTCGAGCGCTTGTGTTATCGATGTCGTACTTAAGGCACAGGGCGATGAACGAAGCCAACGCAGAGTCGACCAACTGCACCGGAATCGGCTCCGGCACCGCCGCGCCATGGGCCAGCACGTCGCGCACGCGCACCGAGTCTAGCAGAGGAGAAGACACACGATGAGCACACGTCATCCGAAGAGAAGACGAGAAACGAAGAAGAAGAGAAGAAGAAGAGGATGAAGAAGCAACGGTACCGGCCCAGATGAAGGTGTCTAAAAGTACGTTGGTATTGTGATCACCCAGCTCATCGTAGATCAAGTTCCTGTTCTCCTTCTCCCCAACGCTGGAAGCCAGCAGAATGTCCAGCGTCGTGTAGAGCACATCACTTTCTGCGCAGCGGGTAACGAACATCGAACATGAGATAGACGATCATGTGTGGATATGGTCTCTCCGGTCTCCCCGAAAGACAAGGCGCGGAGGTGAAGGTGCGTACCTGCGGAGAGGATGGTCTCCGGGCAGTTGTTGACGATGGAGTAGATGCGCCGGATGCACTTCTCCATCTGTTGAAAGAGGAGCACCAACGTGTTGGCGTAGTGGCCCTTCCTACTCGAGGGAGCAGATGAGGAAGGAACGCTAGCTCAGTTCATCCATCTACGACTGTACGATGAAAATGATGGTGGTGGTGGTGATGATGATGGTGGTGATGAATCACGTTACTTACTGGTGCTGGGCGAGCATCTCCCGGAGCACTGGGTGCTGGGTGGGGAGAGTGAAGAAGCTGCGCTCGATCAAACGCTCCACGCGCTCGTAGTCCGTGTGCTCTACACGTACATGGAAAGTTGTTAGCATTCTGATGTGATGAGCAGAAGGTCGTGGTGGAGACGACGATGATGGTGATGGTGGAAGAGAAACCCTGGAAGAGGTGAAGCGAAGGAGGCATGTTGGGGTAGCGTGCGCCTGAAAGGTCGATGAGCGGACGCGGCGTGTAGTCCCACTTGCACAGGGCATCGGCGATGCTCAGGTAGACCAGCATCATCAGCGAGGTGTAGCTGGCGTGGAACTCGGGAGGCACGAGGAACCCGTGCCACAGCAGGTTGCGAAGGTTGAGGCTGGACAGTGGCCCGATGAGCAGTCGAATGAAGAACATCTGCGAGAAGAAGACAAACACCACTGAGCTTGAGGCATGCGCGCGAACCGACAACACACACCACACCACACACCACACACACCACACACACACACCACACACACCACACACACCACACACACCACACACACCACACACACAGAATGATAACGGCGGGCATGGATCACCTTTTCGACACCAATCGCGTTGACGATTTCTTCGGCGACCAAGAGCTCGTTGAGCTTGCGCGGGATGAGACTCGGGTCACACTGGGCTCGCGAGGCATAGACATCGCCTGCACGGGTGTGAGAGAGACGCGCGAAGATCAGGGGACGTGGTCACCACCACCGATCAGAGAAGAAGGAGAGCGGCATGCCTAGTGTTCGCTCAAACGCGCTCGAAAGCAAGCTGAAGGCGAGCATGGCCTGCTCCGCACTACCGCACATCAGCGCATACGTCTCAGTGAAGAACTGCCTCAGGGGTAGAAGGCCCTGTTGGTGAGTAGCGGCCTCACGAGAGAATACAACGAGGGCAAGAGGCAGCCTCACACTACCTCTGGTCTGGCGGTGATGGTGAAACGGTGCTGGTAGAGCTCGGCGAAGCGCAAGGCTGGCATGCGGCCGAGCCACGAGCGGTGCACGAAGAGGCTGACCTTGCGCAGGAATGGGGCAGCCCGAAGGAAGTCGTCGTCGTCGGACGTGATGACCCGCTCGGCGAGGCCTTTGCCGCGGTCCATGCTCCCTAGCGCCTCGTTGCTGGTCAATCGTTGCCAGTTGAGCGTTCCGTCTGGCATTGTGATGAAGTCCTCAATCTTCCAGCCTTCGTTCTGGATCTCGGTCCAGTGTGCATCCTCGTCCAGCCACACCATGCCAAAGACGCGAGGAGAAAGAAAGATTGGTCTCGCCTGCTGACAGGCCTGCCGCAACTCATCCAGCTCGACTGCATTCTCGTTGTCGCTGCCGCTCTGTAGCGCCTTTCCGGCCCACCAGCTGCGCTCGCTAGGGCTTGTGGCAGACTGGAACAGTGTCCAGTGCCTCTGCCAGTCCATTGCGTTAATCAAGAGCACCTCCGTCTGCTGGCGGCACTCATGGAGTCTCCTGGTGTGGTTCTGTTTCTCGTTCTTTTCTCAGTGTTTCTTTTGTGAATGGCGGCAGGGATTTAATTGATCAATTAAATCATCGCGCCGAAGATGAGACGCCTGTGCCGTGTGCAGAGGCTGCCAAGCCCCAAGGCACGTCCGGGCCAGACGAAACCCCTCTCGTGCACGGTCGGGGCAACGCCAGCATCTCGCTTCCTCTCCCAATTCCGGTGCATTTCGCGAGAAGCAAGATGGAGCGGGATTAATGCACGACTGGGCGTCTCCACTCGCCAGCATTCGACTACCACGCTCCCCAGGCATGCACTTTGCACCTCTTCTTCCTACTCTACACGCGCATTCGAGCCAGCGATCGGCGAAGTGCCGGAAGATGAGCCAAATCTCGCCGAGGAAGGCCGCGTGATCGAATACATCGAAGACGGCGTGCCCAAGCTTGGGCTGTTGCTGCAGAAGCTGGAGGAGCACGAGCGGGAGAGCAAATCGCTCTGGATCGTGGGCAGCCAGGATGCTCGCAAGTTCGCCCTCTCCCAGGCCAAGTTCTCCTACGTGTGGCCAGAGATGCCACAGCTCGGACTGGTTGATGGCATCACGGCACAAGCGGTACGAGGCAATGCCAAGCAGCTTGCCGCGCTGGCCAAAGAGGCTGAGGACCTGCGGGCCACGATCGCTCCTGAGCGCCTGCAAGCGCTGTGGGAAGAAGCTCAGCTGACAGGGGATTCGCCAGGTACTCACTCAAGTTCTCTCTGCATACACATTGTCCCTTCTTCTTCTTCTTCCTCACCCACACCGCCGCATATGTGAAGACTCGCCCAGGAAGACAATCACTCCCGTGCAAGCTGCCCAGTTCCTCTTTGGCAGCACCGGCCCGCTCGAGGTACACGCCCATCACGCGACCCTCAGGCATAGATCACGCTGTGCATTGCTTGACCTCGCTTTTGTCTTTTCACACAGACCTACGCGGCGCACGGCCTGCTGTGGGAGACGCGGGTGTACTTCAAGCCGCGAGGCAAGACCTTTGTCTGTAGGGACCGCGAGATGGCAGAGGAGCTCAAGGATTCACTGCAGGACCGAGTAGACAGTGTCAAGCATTCCAAGCTCTTCCTCATCAAAATGCGACACAAGCTCGAACGTGCTGTTGGTGGAGACCAGGTGCGCCTCACTCGCCGCTCTCCTCCTTCACTAGCGCCTTCTGTTGCTTATTGCCTGTGTGCGTGCAGGCACCTTCTGCCTTCTTGCCAGACATTGCGGACCTCAGCAAGGAATACCAAGCGTGTTGGAAGAGTCTCAACTACGCTGAGGACCGAGCCAGCACAGACGTGGACCTTGTGGCTGGCGGGATGGACTCCCTGACGGAGAAGCAACACCTAGACTTCCTCAAGAAGTGCGCCCTCTCTTTCAAGAAGCGTTTGCTGACAGCAGCTCCTTCTGCTGCACTGCCCTAACCCTCCATCGTCAACTACCCTACATTTCGCAGGTATGCCGCTATGATCATCTCTGAGACGCCCAGCTCTGAGCCGATCGATGTGACGGAGCACACCCCGCTCGAGGGTCTCTTGAAGGAGGGTGCCAATTCGGTCGACCTCTTCAACGCCATGGTGCAATTAGGCGTCTTCTCTGAAAAGGAGAACCTGGACATCATCCTCCACCGCCGACCACTCCACTTCCCTGAAGAAGCCTCCACTTGGGTCAACGTACGCGCCTCTTCCTTGTGCGGCCGGAGCCGATTCGGTTCGAGTGTTGTCATCTCACTACTGGTGTGTGGTATGGATCTATAGGAGGTGCTCGCTCAACCGCCGCCGGATAGCGACGGAGGAAAACGACTGGACTTGCGGCAACTGCCAGTCTACACCATAGACCCGCACGACGCCTACGAGATCGACGATGGCCTGTCCATTCAGACCGACGAGGATGGCGACACCTGGGTTTATGTACACGTGGCCGACCCCACGAGGTACTGCACGCCTCCCAGTGAACAGCTGCCCACTTTATGTCGCATCCAGAACAGACTTCTTACCGCAGAGACTGTTGATTCATAGATGGATCACGCCGGACAGTCCACTCGATCTATTGGCGCGTGACAGGGCGCAGTCGTTGTACCTCCCCAACGGCGTGTCCCTGCCCCTGTTTCCGCCCAAGTTCACCTCTCAGGCCGTGGCCTTGCGACCAAACACCCGAAGCTGCGCTCTGACATTTGCAGCCAAGCTCGACCGTGGTACGCATCGTCACAGGCCGCGCTGCAACTTTCTCAACTGACGCACACTTGAAAACAAAAATGGTAGAGAGCGGTGAAATCAAGGATTACAAGATCGCCCCCACGCTGGTGGAGAATGTGCACGGCCTCACCTACGGGCAGGCCGATTCTCTCATCCTCTCCGGGCAGGAGAAGTACGCCAAGGCCACGGCACAGTATCTCCCGCTTCATCTTCAGGAGGAGCAGCAGCTGTTGGCTGTTCCCGACGCCGACGAACGGGAAGAGCGCAAGGTACGCAAAAGATCGCTATCTCCTTTGCTCCAGTTCGCATTGTGCCTTCAAAGTGGCCCCACTCACTGCACTGTTAGAACGATATCAAGGAAAGCCTCCGACGCTTGGGGCTCAACCATAAGTTGGGCAAGAAGAAGGGGGAAGCGTCGCGCAAGGAGGCACCACACAGGACACTCGATCTGCAGCGTGTGGAGTCCGCAGATACGTTCAGCAACAGGGAACTGGCGAGGCCGGGCGTGGACAAGGAGGCCGCGATGGGTGCAGTGTGGGGTCTACACGAAATGGCCAAGTTGCGGCGACGCTACCGCGAGCAGAGGGGCGCAGTTATCGTGTCTCTGCCCACCACCGCCATCCGCATCGATGGTGCGTGATCGATCAACGATCCCCCCCTGACATTTTATGTGGAGTCTGGCTTGGCGATCTACTCACATCGTTCATGGGTGTGCCGTGTTTAGATGTGGCACAGCATCGAGGTGTGAGGGTGCGTCGGCTCGAGTCCAAGGTCACCGAGGAGGGTGCCAACCTGGGGCAGGAAGGCGCGAGTGAAGAAGGCGAAGAGGAAGAGGAGATCGAGGGAATGCAAGAGAGCACGGGCGCGCGTATGATGGTGGAGGAGCTGATGCTTCTCGCCGGTGAGATCGCTGGCAAGTTTGCCGAGGCCAGAGGGATCCCAATCCCCTTCCGCGTTCAGCAGCGACCTCCGGTATGTGTACCCTCTTCACCACTCTCGTCCCCCTGCGGCGTTGTTGCTGATTTGTTGTGGCGCGCGCAGGGCGACTCAAAATATTTAGATTATCTCGTGCGGGGCAAGGAGAAGAAGGCCGTTGTAAAGTCGTGGAAGTCGCTGGTGGGGCTGCCGCCCACGAAATACTCGTCCGTTCCCGGACCTCACTTCTCGCTGGCACTCGACAGCTACGCTCAGGTAAGAGGCATTGCGCGCACTCTGCCACTGCTGACTCCCGGTAGTGTACTGACCTGAAATCACCTTCTACCGATCGCTTGAAGGTGACCTCGCCAATGCGACGATACGCCGACGTGTTGGCTCATCACCAGATCAAAGCCGCTCTTCGTGGCGAGGAGCCTCCCTTCCTTTCGTGGCATTTCGTCCCCATGTTCCAGACCATGATCCAAAGGAAGCAGGAGTTCGCATCGCTGGTGGAGGTGATTTCCAGGCGGTGGATCATTCAGTACCTCAAGGAGAACAAGGACCGACCATTCCGGTATGCGCCCTTCTGCTTCACCACGCGTTGATGGCAGTTGTCGACTGACCGTCACACCACCAATGCAGTGCGGTGGTACTCGAAGTGCAGGAGAAGAGGGCCGGCGGTAACTTGATCGGCGACAGTCGTGCGACGGTGCTACTGTCGGAGCTCGGGTGGCGCACCATCGTCACCGTGCCCAAGTCCGTCAAGCAGGGCCACGCCCTCACCCTGCGAGTCCGTACGGCCGACCCGTGGACCAACTACGTCTCCTTCTTCAAGCTGCGCCAATAAACCAACCACTTCGCGGTCCGCCTCTCTCCCAGAGCTTTCGCTCCTTCTTTGTTGACGTTCGTCTGCGATTTGTATCTTCATCTTATCTCACCGCCATCATCTTGTCAAGTCTCACTCCGAACGGTGATACTATCTACGTTGATCTCTCGGCAGTCGCTGAGCTGCCGTACGTGTAGCACCTCAGGTGGACGACAGAGATAGCAATCGTGAGCGCACCTCTACTCGCACAGCCCAGATACTCCCCAGAAACTCGCGCTCGTCATTCTCGTGCATTCCAGAACCACCTGGCTGGTCTCTAGAAAGAGCCAAGTGTGACCTAAGGTTTGATTTTGAACCCTGATTGAGTGCTGGCTAGCCAGTCCTTGTGGAGAAGATCAGCCAGCGCTCAGGTAGGTAGAGTGTTTCAGTGGAGATTTCCCACCGGGCAGGGCCTTGGGCGGGTTCGAACCCATGAAAGTTGCGCCACAGTGCCAATCGTGCTTGTTGGGAGATGGAAATTTCGGCGCAAGTGCCAGAGTTCTGATGTGACGTGGGCACACCCGTACGTTACTGGGCGGTTGGCCAGGTTTAAATACAAACGCTCCTCACCATCAACCACAACTCAGAACTCAATCGAACCAAGAGCGTGGACGTTACGACAACGCTAAAACAGTTATAACCACCACCTATCTTCGACAACAACCATCCCCTACCGCGCTACCCTACCATCATGAACCCACAGTACACGTTCGAGTCGAGCGAGTTCGCCCACTTCGTGGACACGCGCATCCGATGGCTGCAGGCCCAGCTGTCCCACATCCAGGCCATGAAGAGCCTCCTGCGCGAGAAGAAGAAGCGAAGCCCCAAGCCCGCTGTGCCCAACCAGAAGCGACGCAGCGACGACCACTGTCACCAGGTCTCGTGGGCTCTGCAGAAGGCATCGAAGAAATTTGCGCACCACCAGAGCCGGCGACGAAGGAGGGCCGCAGCCCGGGTGCCCCTGACCTGGACTCCGGCCACCTTCACGACGCTCAGCGAATCGCCGGTTCGCAGTGGCTGCGCCGCCCGCACTAGCCTGCGCGCCTACTGAATACTGGTTCACGCCTCGTAGCGGACCAGGAGGGAGAGGTCTCGAGAGCGATACATACTTTCTCTGTATTTTGGAATCATCACGATTCATTCATTGCACATACATACATATTTCATATACACACATACATATTCATGCATCACATTTATGTTCATTATCACACCAAATCAGCAGCGATGTTCATCAAAAAGCGACGGTGAGGACGATCTTGCCAATGGCCTTTCCGCTGTCCTGCAGCTCGAGCGCGTCCACCAGCTTGTCCCACGCGAACCTGTGGTTAGCCGTCGTGCGCAGGACCTTGGCGTCAACCAGCGACGCCACCCTGTTGAGGATGGCGCCCTGCTTCTCCGGCTCCACGCCGTACAAGCCGCGCGTGAACATCAACTCGAACACAAGCGAGCCGCGCTTCCCCTGCAGTTGTGTGTAACGTGCACATGAGTGAGAGCGATTACTCACCTGGAAGATGTTTGGAGGCGCGTACGAAGAGAGGAGCAGTGTTGATGGGCGTTTGGATGGGTAAAATGTGGCCGATCTTGCCCAGCGGGTTGACCAGCTGGATGAGCTGATCGATCACCGGCTCCGGCTCGCTTGTGTTGAAGATGAAGTCCACGCCCTAGAGGCAAACCGCGTCAGTCGCAGATATAATAATAAATAAAGTTACAAGAGGAGAGAGCGAACCTTGAGGCCCAGCTTGGCCAGCTCATCGGCGAGGGGATTGCGGTGGTTGATGGTCTCGTCGGCTCCGTGGGCCTTGCTGTACTCGATCGTCTCAGGCCTGGCAGCAGACCCGATCACTCTCCCGATCTTCAGCACCTGTCGAAGTATAGCCAGTTAAACAGCTGCATAGATCTACACTCCGCGTACAGTCGCGACAGGCACGCTCGGCATCGAGGCGCGTACATGCTTGGCGATCTGCAGGGCAATGGAACCCACGCCGCCTGCGCCGCCCAGCACGAGGAGGGTCTTGTGCTGGTTGATGGTCTCATCGCCCACGTCGGCGGGCACGGGGATGCCGAAGCCCTCCACCAGCAGCTCCCACGCCGTCAAGCTCTGCATTCGCACGTGCGGCCCCGATTAATAAGGTCAGTCCCACAATCCAAGCGACACAAGACATTGCGTAAGCGTGTGGTGCGGTGGTGCGGGGAGAAAGCGCACGGTGAGCGGGAGGGCGGCGGCTTCCTCATGGGTGAGAGATGAGGGCTTGCGCCCGACGAGCCGCTCATCAACAGTGGTGTACTCAGCAAAGCTGCCCGCTCTGTTGATAACGCCTGCGCCAGCCGACCACCGGTTAGTCCATGCCTGGTCAGGCTCAGACGGACAGTTCAGGGAGGGTAGCGCTCATACCAGCAAAGTAGACCTCGTCGCCGGCCTTGAAGAGGGTCACCTCGGCGCCCACTGCCTCCACCACACCCGACGCGTCCCATCCGGGGATGATAGGCGACTCGACCGGGGCGTTCACGTCGCCGCCCCAGTTGGTAATCTTCTTGATGTCCACCTGCGGTAGAGGGAAACAGAAAGATTAGAAGAAGAATGATGTTGTTGGAGCCGACTTGTGGGGAGGGAGCGTACGGGGTTGGTGGCAACGGCAACGTTACGGACAAGGAGGTCGCGCCGACCCGGCTGCGGCTTGGGTACGTCGACCAGGTGGAGCACCTCAGAGGGCTGACCATGGCGGGTGAGGCCGTAGGCTTTGATGCTGGGCTGCTTGCTCTCTGTCGACATTAAGCTTTTGCTTTCGTTACTTGCTGTGTTTGCTGGGTTGGGTTCTGGTTTGATGATTTTCTACTCTCCTGAGTCTGTTTTTATGCGGTCGGTTGTCGCCGATGACCCAAGAGCCCGAAACGGCGCGAAGCCACCATTGGTCGGTTTGGTGGCGATCGCAACTCATTGGGACTCCCTGACTTTGCGAGGGTACTTGCAGAAGGCACACGACCGCACGACACGCACAGAACGCATCGAAGAGTGAAAATGCATAACAATGGTGCTGTACAAGTGGGGACAGTGAGCGACATGTAACTCTGGGGGTGGCTGGTGGGTAGCTTAGGAGGTGATGGATCGCGACGGGCGAATGTGAAGGGAACAGTAGGGCCTGCCGTCTGGGCCAGCGTAGAAGGTGTGCTCGAAGGGCACCCGGCACACGGTGCACGCGAAGCAGCCCTCGTGCCAGTTCTGCACCAAGGGCGCCGCGCGCGACGAGCAGCCCTCGGCGTCAGTTCGTTACCACGCGCAAGCCAGGTGTTCACATGACACGCCGAGGTGCATACCTTGTTCATCGCCACAAAGATCTCTCCGTGGATGGACTTGCCGCAACCGGAGCAGTAAAAGCACGCCGTCCTGCAGGAAAACCAAAATGGGTTTGTGTGTCGTGTGCGTGTGCGTGTGTCGTGTGTCGTGTGTGGCGGGAGGGGCAGGTACGGCTCGGCGCAAGCGGAACAGAGCGGCACGCCGTGTTGGTCATTGCAGGTTTCGTATTGGAGGGACTTCTTGCACTGCATGCACTGCAGGCAACTCCTGTGCCACTTCTGCTCACCGATGCGCACGGGCACGTCCTTGATCTGATCGAATCGTCAGCGAACTGGTTCTAAGTGAACTGGAAGCTCGAGCGAGGCTGCATGTACCGTGTCGCCGCAGTGATGACAAGCGGGGAGGGTGAGCTTGTGTGTGCAGTATTGACAATGGGGCACACCCCGCAGCATGAAAAATGCGCCCGTGTTGAGCGGGCGCAGGCACTGATTGCACACCCTGATTTGAGGTGGTGAAGTTTAGTTCAGGCATTGGTAGCGTGGTCAAGGTGCATGGGTTCGAGAGAGTGGGGGGGGGGCGTACCAGCAGCCTGAGTGGTACGTGCGGTCGAGGGCCTTCAGCCTGGGGGCGCCCACAGGGATGGGCTGGTGGCCTTGAGATGATGGAAAGAGAAACTGTGAGCTGTGCGTTTTTGATGCGTAGTACTGAAGTGGGCGCCTAACACGTTGTGCGGCACGTACAGCGCGCGCAGGTGCCCAGTGGAGCGCTCTGCTCGAGCCTCAACGCATCTCGGTCGTTAGGCAGCATCGGCCTGAAGCGAATATGGACACAAGGAAAGAAGCACAGTGAGGCACGTGCACAACCCAAGAGAGAGAGAGAGCGCGCGAATGTGAAATGTAAAGTGGGACCCGCACCCGTCGTTGAGCTGCTCGTTGAGAAGCCGCATGTCGACGCTCCTGTCCTGAGTGGTCGGGGCCGGTCCAAAGAGGGCAGGCGACGAGACTGAGCGCAGCTGCCCACCCGGCGACGTCGGCAAACCGAATCGGTAGTGATTGTGATAATGATGATGCTGGCGGGTGTTGCCGACAACCATGGTGGCGGGTTCTGCCTCCTCGTCGGGGATCGGAATGGACTCGAGCGATGACGACGCGGACAACGTCTCCTGGCCATGGTAGTGATCCTCGTCGTCGAGCGCGTTCACCTCGAGCTGTGCCAGCAGCTGCTCCAGTGTGGCCGTCTTCCTCTTCACCTCCTCGTCGTCTTCCTCCACCTTGGCCTGTTGATGGCGTGTGCGACCATGAACCTGGTGTTGGTGTTGGTGTCGATGCTGGCGGGCATCATCACCGACCACCTCTGCGATGGCGTCCAGCCCGTCGCGTGAGTGTGACGCGTTGGCGGAGAGGCCCTGCATGAGGTTCTCCCACTCCTGGTCCTTCTTTCTCCGTTCCTCCTCGCGTGTGGGTTGGTCATCATCGCCGCCGGCCCCGCTGAACTCTCCGCCGACCTCGTAGAGCGCGATGGAGTCGTTCGACTCGCCGAGGGCTTCGAGAGCGAATCGTTCAGCCTCGCGCAGGCGCTGCGGGTCGAGCGCCTTGGCGCGCTTCATGGTCCGCATGGGCAGCTGCGGAGACAGGGCCGACGAGAGCGGGTGCGGCATCGGTGCCGCCACCTGTTCCTGACTCGCGGACTTGACCACCCCTGCACCTCCCGCCAAACAAAACATATCAGCACAACCAGTGCTGTGTTGTGTGCGTGCGTGTGCGGTGGTGCATGTCGTGTGTGCGTGTGTGTTTATGGACGTGTCCGTACCAGCTCGCCAGCCGTTTTCGACGTTGGTGGCGGCGGCCGGCGGCTGCGGCGGTGGATCGCCCAGGAATTGGTGTACGAGGTCGGTCACGGACACGTTGCGGTCCCACACTGTGAGTCCGCTGGCGCTGGGCCTGGTCGACGAGTTCGTGGTGGTCGAAAGGAGGCCGAAGTCGGACTTGGGCCTCCCGTCTCCCTCGCTCAGCGAAAGGCCCGTCCCGGCGGTCTGACGCCCGGCGCGTCGTATGGGCGCGCCGCCCCCGCCACCGACGGGGCCACCACTGCCAGGAGGGGAAGTCGCGGAGGAGGAAGCCGAAGAAAGCGGCGCGGACGACTTCACCACGGCACGGCTGCGGCGCGAAGAGCCATTGCGGAGGGTGCCTGTTTTGGATTGAAGGGAGACCAGCAGCTCATCAAATACCTCCGTCATCTGCAAGAATGAAGATGACAAAAAAAAACAACAACAAAGAATCAGTATTGACGTTTAATTTTCGGGTGAAGAAAAACGAAGGACACCTCCGGCAGAACGAAGGTTAGGTTATGCAACCTGGAAGGGCCAGAGTCCACTGTCTGGTGAGCTTGCGCTTGTCGTGTTTGTTATTGTTGCGGCCGGAGCAACCCCGCTTGTGAGGAATCTCAAGAATGCGTCATCAGCGCTTTGACATTCCGAGATGGCAAGAAAAATTGCTTTCGCAGTCATTCCTGTTTCTTGAAAAGAGACCTGTCCTTCACCAACGCCTGACAGAGTTCGGTAGGTGTGTCGTCATCAGCACCGGTCGGAAGAGGAGATTCCTCACCAACCAGTTGCTCCGGCCGCAACAATAACAACAAACGAACGCGCTCTGAACGAGAGGAAGCGAAACCGCGGTTGAAAACAAAGTCCGCGCGCCCTTGCCCGAGTGACGCTAAGTGGCAAATGCACTTTCTCACTTTGCAGATGGCGCAGAGAAACGGCCAATTGGTGCACGCTGATAGAACGACCTCCGGCTACCAATCAGGGATAAGAGAGACAGGGGGTCGCGAGCACAGTGCAACCGAGGTCCATGGGAAACCAATTTGAATTTGTGGCCATGTGCAAAATCAAGAGTTTGACAAGACGTGGCTGGTCACTCAGTGTCCCACTGGACCTGGTCTACTGTGGTTTGGATACTTGACTGCCTGTCCGACACACCCGGACCATAAGCTTATCGCCACGCGCAGATAAATAGCTGGGCTGGACAGACTCTTGTTTCTCTCACCCACCACCTTGTACAACACAACCCAACAACCAACGCCGTGATGCGACTGCTGACCACCGCCCTGCTAGCGGCCTTGATGGTTGCTTCGGCGCTGTTCTGCATTGCGCCTCTTACCGAAGGTGCGACCCACCCAACTAATCGATAGGCTTGTTGGCTTGTTTAGCAAACTAACTTTTTCATTCATTCTTTCGGACTACAGCTGCGTTGAGTACCCAACTATACGGCGATGGAACCTCGAACGCCAAGAACCCCTACTCGATGCTTGGGCGCTGAGCTACAGCTACGTCCGCGATGACGTCAGGTAAGGTCCTTGAGTTAATCCATCATGAGAGTACGATCCTCATCGATGTTGATTCCAGCATCTCCTACGCGGGCTCCGGAACTGAGGCCGCCCTCCCGGCCTACACCAAGCAGACCGTGGTTCGTTACCTCTCGCTTCTCGTTGGATGATCGTTTTTGTCGACCATTCTTCGTTTCTTTCATTTTTCAGACTTTTGGCGCCTTTTTCGCGATGTTGAACATTCACGATTTTAATTACCCTTGACATCGTCTTGTTTCATCAACGAAATTGAAAGGATTTCGTGGGCACCGACCGAGGCATCACGAAGGACCTTGTCGCAGAATTTGCCACGCTGCTCCAGTTCCCCTTGTACGGGCAGGCCATGGTGGTGACCTACAACATCGACGGCCTGGATCCCGACACCGATCCCTACCTCGTTCGCCCTCCCACAATCACTCGCCCGAGCTGTCGATAGGCGCTGACCTTGTGGGGGGGGGGCAGATACTGGACAGGGAAACGCTGGGCCTCATCTGGGCTGGCGAGATCACGCAGTGGAATGATGCGCGCATCCAGGCCCTCAACCCGCCAGCGGTCAGCGCCAAGTTGCCGGCAGCAACCATCACCCTCGGTTACAACATCAACAGCGTGCTTTCGTTTGCCGAGGTGTTCAAGGTGGCCCTGTCGAGCTTCAGCGCCACCTTCCGCACGGCGCTGGCCGCGGCCAACGACTCGTATGCTCTCATGCCGCCGGCACTCGCTGGCCACGCCACCGAGGCCGGTAGGACAAGCGCCCTTCGCATGGCTTGGCTCAAGGTACGCGTTAACGCGCCCACGCGTTTTTGGATTCAACCTTAAAGTTGATCGGCGATGTGTGTACAGAACAATACGAACAGCATGACCTTCGTCAGGCAGGATGACTGTCTCAACTCGGGGTTGCCATGGGCGAACATGATTAACAAGGCCGGCAAGGTGGTCGCTCCGAGCGTGTACTCCGTGCAAGCCGCCATGGCCCAGTTCGCGGCCAACTTCAGTGCGGGCAACCTCACCATCGACATCGTCGACGCGCCTGGTAACGACTCCTGGCCGCTGTCCTACACGACCTTCATCGCCATCAACCGGAGCATCACCGCGCTGGACTGCACCAACATCGAGGAGCTCATGCGCTTCATTGCCTGGACTCAGATCAACGACGGGTACGCACGCGTTGCCTTATCTGAATACTCTCACTGACTCACCAACATAACGCAACAGGGCTTCAGTACTGGCAACCTCCAGCGGTGGTGTGCCAATCGATGTGAGCCTGCGCAAGAACATCCTCGATCTCTTCACGCGCGTCCAGTGCAATGGAGAGCAAGCACTCGCCACGTCCTACCTCATTGGAGCCGGTCCCCCGTTGCCCGTCTACACGGCGTGGACGGTGGCGCAGTCGACGAGCGCGGCGACGATCAAGTACTTCGAAGCCACGTCTCTTCAGGCCAAGCAGCAGCTGCGTACCTTTGACGAGCAGTTCGGTGCCACGAGCAACGGTCTGGAGGCCGAATGGTACAGCAACATCCCCGACATCGCCCTCGTTCCCATGACCATCTACGCTATCGTGCCGGCGTACAACCTGCGCGAGCTGGACGGGCTCGAGCTCGTGCTGGACTTCGATACCATCGCGGCCATCTACATGTCCGAGATCACGCAGTGGAACGATGCGCGGATCAAGGCCATCAACTCGCCGGCCGTTGCCGACGTGTTGCCCGCCAAGTCAATCGTAGTGGTCACCCAAACCACGAGCTCCGACATCACCCAGCTGTTCACGACCATGCTCAGCGCCAAAGTGGCTGCTTTTGCTGCTCAGGTACCTCCCCTTTCGCCAGTACGCTTGGCTACAGTGGCTTACGTTCGCCTCCGTTATGCCAAACGATGCGTAGGTGGGCGCGAGCGACGTAGTTACATTTCCGGTGCAATCCGGTATCAACCAGTCGGTCGAGGTGGATAACTACACGTCCTTGGTCGCCACGTGGCGGACACCAATTATGGCTTCGCCTTCATCAACAACTACGACGCCGTTCTGGTATATGGTCCCTATCTGCACTCCACTCTCTAGTGGCTCCTAAACCGTGCCTACGCCCCACACACAGACCCGCACGCTGAATCTGGCGAACATGAACAATACCGCGGGCATGGTGGTCCGCGCCAATTCGACCACCGTCCAGAGCGCGCTGAGCAACTACCTGGCAGTCAACGCCAATCCGGCCTACACCGGCATCATCCTCAGTACTGTCGCGCATCCTCTATTTCAGGTCACATCACACGCTGACAGGTTTGTCTTTTTCGCTCGCACGCAGGCGCAGGTGCCGCGAGCTGGCCATTGGCGACCTTGGTTCGTTCTTCTATCGCAGCAAGACGATGGAGGACTGCAACAAGGCCGCGGCCTTGGCCAGCTTCCTGTACTACTCGCAAACCGACCCGGAAGCCAAGTCAATCGCCGATAGGTACGATATCCACGGTGCGCCGTCCCGGTGGTGCTAGCCCCCTAACGCCGCACCACACGTTGCACCCGGACAGGCAGGGCTTCATACAGGCGTCGACCGACGCCGGACTCCAGCGACGTTTCCTGAACCAGCTGAAGGAGTTCACCTGCGATGGAGTCGCTGTGAGCTCCCTCTACGGATGCATCAACGACGGACGGACTGTGCTCCGATGCCGGTGTGTGCACCAACAACACGTGCATCTGCGACAGCGGAAGAGATGGCCAGTATTGCGAGAGCTTCGTGAGCGCCAGCTCGTCTAGCGATGCCTCCACCATCACCTATGGGTTCGAGTCACACTTCAACATATGGGAGTGTGCACTGCGAGAGCACTGACCCTCTCTGCTCGGCGTATCTTGTTTGTTGTCCTTGTGGTGGTGTGGACGCGTTTACAGCTGTCATCATCCCCGTGGCTGCGGTCATCCTGCTGGTGCTGGTCGGCTTCATCGTCGTGCTGGTGTTCTTGATCAAGCGCAGGGGCAACAAGTCTGACGACTGGGAGATCGAGTACTCGGAACTCGAGGTCGGCGAGCAGCTTGGCGCCGGCGGGTACGCGGACCTCTCTCTTCCTCGTCAGCTCGTGCCTGCCCCCTCGCGAGCCGGCCACGATTCGTTTCGGCTCCTAATTAGGTGGGTGGCGTCGACCGCAGCTATGGCGAAGTGCACAAGGCCGTGTGGAAGGGCACGGAGGTGGCCGTCAAGGTGATCGCTGCCGAGAAGATCACCAAGGACATGGAGAAGAGCTTCCAGGACGAGGTGCGGGTGATGACCTCGTTGCGGCATCCCAACGTGGTGCTGTTCATGGCCGCCTCGACCAAGCCGCCCAAGATGTGCATCGTCATGGAGTACATGGCCCTCGGTTCGCTCTACGATGTACGCTCGCGCGCACTGCCTTTGTCGGGACGTCGAAGCCCTGCGTCTCACTGAAGAGTTGTTTGCGCGCGTACAGTTGCTGCACAACGAGCTGGTGCCTGAGATCCCCTTCCAGCTGAAGGCCAAGATGGCCTACCAGGCCTCCAAGGGCATGCACTTCCTCCACTCCTCCGGTACCCCAAACCTTCTTCGCGCTTCGTTCTTCCCCCCCCCCAATATGCGCCTTCCACTCACTCCCGGATGTGGCGCTGGCCATCCAGGCATCGTGCACCGCGATCTCAAATCGCTCAACCTGCTGCTCGACAACAAGTGGAACGTCAAGGTGAGCGACTTTGGTCTCACCAGGTTCAAGGAGGACGCGAAGAAGGGCGGCTCCCAGAACATCGTCGGCAGCGTGCACTGGACCGCGCCCGAGGTGCTCAACGAGTCGCCCGACGTGGACTTCATTCTGGCCGATGTCTACAGCTTCGGTATCATTCTGTGGGAGCTTCTGTCCCGCGAACAGCCCTACTTCGGCATGAGGTGCGTGCAGTGTGTGTGTGTGTGTGTGAGTGTGTGTGTGTGTGTGTGAGTGTGTTGCGACTCGGGAGCTTACACCTCCACAACTTTTCGCCCATCCCCAGTCCGGCAGCAGTGGCGGTGGCGGTGATCAGGGACGGCATCCGGCCGCACATGCCCGACAACGTCACCTCGTGCCCGCCGAGTACGAGGAGCTGGTCACCAGCTGCTGGCACAGCGACCCGGTCATCCGCCCCACGTTCCTCGAGATCATGACCCGCCTCTCCGCCATGCACGGCGACTCGACGTCGGGCGGCGTCACGTCGTTCACCTCCAAGACCACCACCTCCTCCTCGAGCGGCAACTCGGGCGGCGAGCAGCGACGGCAGCCCAAGAACACCAACACCTACGGCTCGTGGACCCTGCCCTCGACCAACGGCTCGGCCACGTCGACCGGCTCGTCGTCGTCGTCCAACGCCTCCAAGAACTTCTCGGCGGCGCAGGTCGCGGCCGGCGGCGTGCGCGCGCCGAGGGCGAGGTGGCGATCGTGTTCACCGACATCACCCGCGCCGCCTCGCTTTGGGAATTCAACGCCGCGGCCATGCGCGACGCCACGCTGGTGCACAACGACACCCTGCGCGCGGCTCTCAAGCGGCACCGGGGCTACGAGGTGGTGTTCCTGCGCGACCGCAACAGCGGCGAGGGCTCGTTCTGTATGGCCTTCCAGCACACGGCCGACGCGCTGGCCTGGTGCGCCGACGTCCAGCAGGCCCTGCTCGAGGTCGAGTGGCCCGAGGCGCTGCTCGACCACCCGGGCGCGGCCGAGGAGTGGGGCGACGTCGACGACCGCGTGCTCTACAAGGGCCTCCGCGTGCGGATGGGCGTCCATGTCGGCACGCCCAAGGTGGTGCGCGACCCGATGACCCGGCGCGTGGAGTACATCGGCCCGGTGGTCAACGCCGCCGCGCGCATCACCGCCATGACCCACGGCGGCCAGATCG